GCACAGTTTGCACTCTTCAATTTGTCCATATCCGACCACTAGAGCCCCTGTCTCGGAGACGATCAGTGTAGCGAGCGACCCTTGTTCTGTACTTGTCAGTGGATGCATATGGCGATATTCATTGCGACAACTGGCAAAAGGGCCTTACGCACGTGCGCGCTTGTATGTACGTAGTAGTAGGGCAGTGACTTCAAGCAAGCTTGCCTGGGATCCTAACTGGGGACTTGCTGTGTCGGAACACAACGACGATACAACAAGACCCCTCGCTCCCCTCCTCGGCGTCAGGAGCCGCCATGAAAATCATCAAGTGCTGCAGTAATCAGTCAAGCTACACTCCCTGACATTCGTTGGACATGAGGACGAGACTCAGGCCCTAGGAGCCAGCTTTAGCCAAGGGCATGTGTAGAATTGGCTCCTTTTTTTCCTGCCACCAAACCATCAGCACAGCTGAAGGACAGAGATGGACACACTCTGTTCTCCCCTAATCGCCTAATCAGCGGCACCCACAAGATTGGTTTCCTTAAGAGATTAGGGTCTATCCTCATGGAGGGTCATATGTAAGGCATGTACAACGTATCTACAAGGAATTGCCCCATAGCAGAGTCGAATACGCAGATCGGGCCTTGCTCCTTTGCTCGTAGGACCGTCTATATTTTGTGAATGCCCCAATTTCAGTCTTAACAATGAAAAGCGTTAGGGGTGAAGAATCGAAGGGAGTCTTCTGGGTAGTACCCTGCTAGGCAAAATGACCATATACATTGCCCATAGACACGCACGTAGCGGTATCAATTGTCCAATTGGCTTGAGCAGACAGGCATTTAGCGCTGTACGTAGTACATTCCAAACATAGACTTGCAACAACCCATTGATTGGTCATTGCTCGGATATGTCGGCACCCGTCTGCTCGATTGCGATCAGCCGGAGCTGCGAACAACAGAGACAGGAGAGATGTCGGTCTTTTCCGTGAAAATCATGCTGAGATGAATGGCAAAGGATCTCAGATACCTAATTTTCACGCCAAACCTAACAGGAAAGGGAAATCAAGAAAGTCGGATTTTTGTGAAACTTTGTATGCAAAAAACCTCGAGCTACTTATCAGGACAGCTAAATACCTATATAAACCTACAAGTTGGTGAACGAGACACTGTGTGCCAGGGTCCCACTGCGGGGTGACCGCCCGTCCGAATTGAGGGGCACCTGGCCGTTAGCGGACGGGATCATCGTCGGCCCCTGTTGAAGTGACGTCGGTTTTTCCAATCCCTAGCCCAGCTGCGCCCAACCATCTGACATCAGAGCTAATTGACTCGTTGCCAAGGACTTCGCCGAGATTCTACTGCTGATGGAAGCGCTAAGGATGCTTTCGGTGGCCATTTCTATTAAATGGATACCAAGCAAAAACAATGTTTTCGGTTCGGGGGCTCTTGGTGTGCTTCTATGCAGCTCTTACCCTCACTCAGGACCATGGTGCCGATTAGTATGTGCTCGTCCCGAGACTGGAAGATTCGGTTCATTCAGGATATACACGGATAGCGTATGTAGACCTCTTAGGTGCGTAGGTGACATCGATTGTCGTATTCAGTCCTATATAGCTTTGGGTGTTGAGTACCGAGATGTTTCCTCGGGGGCTGAAGGGCTTATCAAACGTGGGGGGAAAGACTGCGCCTGTGCTTTCTCGCTCGTGCAACAGCTCAGTGGTTGTTTTCCTACTGTGTATTCCGGTGCAGGTCAGAATTTTCCGGGACGCTGTGACTGGTTGGCGCCGGGCATCGCGGGATACCTAATTGGGAGTAATAGCACCAACGCTTTATTCACCAAGCTTACAAGGACTTGGCAGCTTATCGCTAATGTCCACAGCACCACATGTTGGGCAATGTCTGTTAGAGCAAGGAGCTTCTGGAGCTTGACTTAGCTTCTTAGTTTAGCGTAATAACTACCTAGGAAGCTCATAGCATCCAAAATGAGGCGGTGATAGTTGTGAGACGTTGAACAGAGTGGGCTGTCTCACAGACTCGACACGCGATAGATGCTATTGATGATATCCATGCGGGGCAGTCTTGCGTGCAGAATCAAGTTCTCACCAAATTCTCTGGAGACACACTTCCTAGAAAAATTTCATTAAGATCATATTTTCAACCAATAAGAAATCTTGCTTTATGCTGTTGTTAGACAGCCCTCGTCGGAGCAAAAAGACTTGTGCAATGAGGCTGAGTAAACAACCTGGGCGATGTAGGTAGGTGAGACGGACGCCCAACTGCTCGGTAAGTTGAGTCAATGACTTTATTTTCGCTTCCCTGTTACTGCCAAAATCGCTCAAGCTGCAGCGCGGTCTCCGTTGACCAAGAACCCAATGATGGCCATGTTGTTGATTCCTCAAAATGCGACTAACATCACTGTAGATCAAGAAAGTGGCGGGTTTGCGCATACAGTGTCTAACAAGATATGCCAATAGCGTCTCAGCTTCAGTCAAAAAAATGTACCCAGAGGCTGTTGAGCACAACCAGCTTGTTGTCTCCGTGTTCAAAAGAAAGGCATAGCACCTAGATCGAACATTTAGCACGACCAAACGTTCTGTCTGGGTGTTACCAGACCAAATAGTTATTAGAGGTCAGAGATTGACCCTAGAACACCACATAATTGCCAGAGATCGATCGAAGCCTTAGAAACAGGTACGATCGTAGAAGTCAGCAATGCAGGCGGCGTCTCTGGCACAATGAACCAGATCAGCGGTAGGGTCCAAAATCACTGCACCATGTTGCGTCATCAAGACTAGAAGGTCGCCGTTAGGAACGGCTCTGCCAGGGCAGATGGGAACCTCAAATAGGCAAAGCGACATTGGCATTGTGAAGGAAGAGAAGTTAATTCATCGAAGCTTCACACAACAGGCACTGGTTTCTGAAGTTATTAGCTGAGGGTTGAGCCGATGTCGCAGCTCTTTGTTTGATGGTACAGATAACGCGCTTGCTTCTAGGTATCCCACATGGTGACAAAAGAGCAAGCGGCACGCGACCCAAAGAGCAAAGCCGCCTGGTCGCTTCTGTAATCCGTACCCGTACTACTGTGCCCATCGTTGGCCCAGACAAGCTGGTCCTCAAGTACGGAGTGTGACGATCCAAATCCGCAGGTCCGGTGGCCGCCGACCCAGGAAGGCGGTGTGAAATCGATGTGCTGGCTAGTTGAGGGCGTTTAATATGCGACCCAAAGGCATGGACGGCCTTCCAAGGTACCAAAGCAGCCCTTGTGAGCACGTGCTGCCCGACATGAACCCAACCATGTCAAACACTTCAGCCAAGGCAAAAAAAAAAAAAAAAAAATTAAAGGAAAGTCGGAAGGTAATCGGAAAGCAGCAGCTTCCATGGAAGGCTGCCAATCCTTGGCTCTAGCAGTCTGCTCAGCATTGTACAAAAGACATCGCGCGAAGCCTGCGCGCTGTAGTATGCCATCCAGTTCATAACTGTGATTACATGTTAGCCACGCCCAGCCCGGTTGGCTGCCATGAGATAATCAGTATCATATCGGTCTTTCGGGGAGAGGCACGGTGGAAGATTAGAGATGCATCGCAGTGTGTGGTAGATTCTCCAACGTAGTCGACCCAACATTGGCTAACCCGAACCCTAACCATACATGCCGCATCTGTTTCCCCAGCGTCTGGAGACTTGGGGTTCCCCCTCCCCCTCTCTGTTCCGGCACACACTTTTGTTTCCGTTTCCACCTTGCCAGCCAACAGCAAACAAACTTCAACCCCGTTCGGTGTTGAAGTTCGGCGCTGGTCACCAGAGGGCCCTCATTTCACTATGTCTTCTCAGTTTAACTTGTGCAGTCCTTACCAATGGCCTCGGGGAAACCATTGCCCTCGTTGACCGCCAAGAGCGCAAGACATGCTTCCCGTCGTTGTTGCGTTGCCGCGGCGGCGACATGAAGTACGTAGGGTTTCCAATGGCGTCTGAGCAACCTAGGCAGTTTTGACACCGGAGATGGATACCAGATTATGATAGGAAGACCCGAGATTCATTCTGCCGCGACTCATAGTGGTTGATGCATGTCTGATATAGATTGCTTATCTATGTAAGCTACCTACCCTCGAAGCCGAAGGAATAAAGCTTGAATACAAGATGATTTTCCATCCATATCGACTTATTGACCCGAAGTCTCTCCCAATTCAGGATTCAATGTTTTTTAAGCTCGTTTTGCCTTTTTGAGTAATCCGCACCCAAGTCACTGCACCCTAGCCCTGAGATCACTATGGCTCAACAACATCCTTCCGGCCCTTGGAGGCTTGTGACAGTCAATACAGCACCGGAGCGAGCAAAGAGGTTGATTGGTCGCGTAGTGGAAGACGTCAAGGACAGATACGACATCATCCACGAGGCGAATGCAGCTAGTAAGTAGTACATGGTGGTCCTGTTATACACTAAATCCTTTGTCCGCTAAGTGCTTGTCATCTATGGATTAGGCATTGACGAGGTTCGTGAAACGGTTGAGCGAGTTCGGCCCAACCTATTGGTGAGTTTCTGGAAGCCTCTGCTTCAACAGGAAAGGAAAAGTTATTGGTAGCCTCATACAGGACTAATCCAAAGCAGTTCACAGCATCCATGTGGACACCGGAGGAAGCTCAAAAGATAGTCGGAATTGCTAAGGAGATCGTGCCAGATCTCTTGACGTTTTCTCTACCTCAAGGACTGCAGGTCGAAAAGGGTCCAGATGCAGTCGTGGAGTATATTAAGGAGCATCTTCCTTCTATACTTGAATGAAATAGTCAAAGCTAAGAAATGCCATGGGTAGAAAAGTCCAGCTTTTTTGTTTTGAAGGGGAAGGTGGGGTGGGGGACAATGTACAACATAAGTTCCGTTTCGCTCAGGTTAGTGGCCAGCGTAAACAACCACCTGCCTAGGTTAACAATCTCTGTTCACGAACCTGGGATGCGTACCACATCTTCACGTTAACCGGCTAGCAATTAAATACAATAACAGAGGTCACACAAACACAAGCCTTTCCTTTCTTTTTCACTCCTCATTCTTGAAGACATTGTACAGGCTTCCGATATATGGTAGGATCTCGACCACAAACTCGTCGCCGTCATGCAGAAGCTCCTGAGGTTTGCGGGCAAACCCAACGCCGGCAGGGGTGCCAGTGACAATGACAGTGCCTTTGGGTAGAGTTGTACCTTGGGAGAGAAAGCTAACAATCTGCGGAACAGAAAAGATCAAGTCCCTTCGTCGCTGTCAGCGCATGCTCAAAAAAGGGTATGAGTCCAGATCAACACATACGTCAGCGGACTTTCCTGCACAACCTTCCCATTCTTCAGCCCACGTAACTTCAGCGCGCCAACGTCTGGGATCAGCTTTTTCGACACCAGCACGGGGCCGATTGGGCAAGCACCGTCAAAGCCTTTCGAGTAACACCATTGCGACTGCGCAAATTGCGCTGCGCGGCTCGATACATCGTTGCTGGCCGTATAGCCTAACACGTAGTCGAGGGCCTCGGTCTCCGACACGTTCTTTGCGTCTTTGCCAATTACCACGGCCAGTTCGGCTTCGTAGTCGGCCGAGTCTGTCGCGATCGTATGCTTAGGGATAATTGTGGGCGCAGGCCAGGGGTCGGCAAGAGAGGTGGCTGGCTTCCTGCATTGTTGGAAGGCATATCAGCGTTTACGATGCATGATCCGGGCTAAGGGGGGTTCCCTTACAAAAAGAGAGTTGGAATCTCCGGAATGGCCATTTTGGCTTCTTCCGCGTGTTTCTTGTACTGATATAAGCAAGAGACGCCGGTTAACAGCTCGTTCAGTCTCCTCCTTTCCCCTTCTTACAGGCCAACAACTCACATTCAACCCAATGCATCGAATGGTACCAACTTCATTCTGTGTCAACGGCGAGAGGATCCGGCCGATGGTCACTGTCTCGCCCGTCGGCTCGCCCTCATCCAGCACAGAGTTGCCGCTGTACACCCTGACTTGAACTGCCTGTCCGTTGCGGACCGCGGCGCCGACATCGATAGCAGCATCAACGGGCTCGCCGATCAAGACCTTATTGTCATTACCCACCGGCACGAACCGAACCAGACCTGCGATCAATCGCGATATATGTCAGTAATTGCGTGCTCGCGAGTTCAACTTGAGCGGTCAGAAGATGCGCAGGGCAGGAATGGGTTCAAACACACGATCCCACGACATCTCGGTTGTAAAATATCAGGTTTGGCAGACTGGCAGTTGTGTTTCGGTGACGGGAGCTTTTACTAGAAAGCTTCAGTTGTCTGAGTAAAGAAGTTATGTAGGTAGTTGCAGACGGATTGTGTACCTAACAATGGTTGGCGAAGTTGATTGTCCACAATACGGCGTCCGGTCTTCGGGACTTAAATGTTACTCCGGTATTATGTTCCAGGACGGTTGTTATAGGCCGCAGTACGCAGCAGGGTCCGGACTCTCCCCGATGGTGAACCTAGCCCATGCAACCTCGACCCAAAACCACATCTCCCATCAGCTTGGAGGAAAGGTAGGAACAAATCAGCACCACTGGGCTTCGTTCTCTCGCTGCCAGCAGGTGTCTCAGCTAAAGAGTAGTTGACGACTTCCAGATATCCATTCTTCTTCCACAAATTCTGGGTTCTAGCTCCCAATCGGGTGGAGTGCTCATGAGGACCGCTATTCCGCAAGAAAGTGCCGGATGACGAGCTCAAGGACTCTATCAACCTGCAGGCTGCGGCGTTGCTCCCGCTCCCTTGTTTCCTTCCTACAGGTAGGTTCCCGGACCCCCACATTTCCCCGCACTGCACAGAGGGGAGGGAGGAGCCGCTTCCCGCCAGGTAGGTAGGTATTTTCCGTAGTTGACACGCCCCTACCTCAGGTACCTCTTATACTAATGACCGTAAACCCCGGCCCCCGTAAACAAAATGGAGTATGCTACCTAGTGACCTCGATTGGGTAGGTGCGTAAGGCAAGTAGGAAGCGAGACAGGACTCAAATACCCACAAGCTTTCAAAGATAGACACTTCAGGCATCCTGACGACGGAAAGTGTCAAACAAACTGAAGAGGCAAAGGAGGGAGCAGGCATACCTATGATGTTTACGAAGTTTTGAAATCAGCGGTGCTTAAATTGGATCTAGGGGAGGTAAGCATTGTTGTCACTGATATCCATTCTCGCCATCACATCCGCTCCCCATCATGATCATGATAACGGACGTGGTGAGCCTTGGTCTAACTAACCGATGCATCACTTGGCTTCTCACCATTAATACCAGGCATCCTCCAATGACAAGACTCCCAAGCCTGTTGTGTATCTCACTCTCTCCTCTTCTCCCAGGCTCGAGCACCTCGTCTCTAACTACTGTTTCGACGGAATTTCGCACTCATTCAAGCCCGTCAACTTCTACAAAATAACTTAACCACTCTTTTATGGAACCTTCCATTCCGACCCTCCCCCCTTCTTGACACATCATTTCCAAGCGCTTAACCCCGCCCATGGATCCTGCTGCCCTTGAAAATGTTGCTGCGCTGACCCTGGGCGTCCAAGAGTCGAGTTCGGGTCTGCAGGGTAATGTTCGTTTCCATAATGGATTGTTTGCTGTGGGCCCAGAGGTGGCGGACCTGGCGGCGGCGGCGGCGGGACGAAATTTGGCGGGATCGTGTATCCTCCGCCGACACTTGGTTGCGAATGTGGATTCCCATACGTGCTGTACATTCCAGAGCCAGGTTGGGAGAAAGTGGTCTGTGTGGGCGGCGGAGAAGCAGGTCCTCGGGAAGGAGGTCCAATATTGAAGGTAGTTTGAGTTGGTGGGGGAGAGGCAGGACCAGGGATGCGGCCGTGGGAGCTGGGATTGTAAGTAAACCCCGTCTGTGAAGGAGGCTGCTGGAGGTAGGACTGTGGAACTGTGGTTTGTGTCGGAGGGGGGGAGCTGGGTAGCGGGTATTGCGTTGCATAGGTCGTCTTGGGATAGCCGGTGCTTGAGAATGACAAAGGAGCGGGTACTGGGCGAGTTGTTGGCAGAGAGGTGGGTGGCGGCTCTAATGACATGCGCTCCATTAAGGCTTTCAGGCGCTCTTGCTCCAACGCAGCCTGATCGCTTTTGCTCTTTGCACGCTCCTGTTCTATCTTATTCAAGAGCTGAGCCCCTTCTGCTCGTCGGTTGTTCACAAACGACTCAACATTCTTCTCAAGGCTCTCCACGGTTTCCCTCATCTCCTTATACCATGTCTTCGCGCTCTGGAGACCTGCTTCCAGATCCAAGAATTCCTGATACGCTCTCTTGTATTTGTTGATGGCAAAAGCTCTCGATCTTTGGAACGATTCATACCTGCTCTGCTCTGCCCTGACTCTCTTGTCCTGAAGGAGGTTATTGAAAGTGATAGTCAACTCCCGCAACAAAGAAGCCTGCTTATGAGTTGCCTGCACGAGACGGGTTTGATAAGGCCGATATTTCTCCAGTTCTTGCTGGAACAATTGTTGCTCGTAGTTGGCGATGGCTTTTTTGTTCAGTATCAGAATTTGTGATATGTCATCATTGTGTGCCTATGTATGTCAGCTCTCCTCTCCAGCCAAGTAGGCATGCCGCTAGGTATTGCTGTCATACGCACCTTTTCCTTAAGGTCTTTGAGTACTTGTACCCTTTCTCTCTTGATAAGGTTCAGTTTCTTGAGGATATCTTCCACCTTTGCAATTTGGTCCAGAACGCTGGGCCTGCCATCGTCGAAGTCTGCATCAAGCAAGTTTGGTTCTGTAGCAGGACTGGTCGAATTGCTCGATTTCCGGGCTTTGCTCACGGCACGCTGGAAAAGCGCATCGATCTCTCCTGTTTGGGCTGCTGTGCGCATTTCAGCAAACTCATTCTCGTTTTGCCGAAGTTTGGCAGCGAGCTGGCTATCGCTTCGGGCCGCCTCCTCTAAAGCTTCTCGGTAGTTTCGAATATCGCTTCTCAACGTGGTGGTAAGTGGCGCACTAGGCTGCTGTGTCCACTCAGAGTCATACTTAGATCTCATCTTTTCACAAACACTTTCTTCTGTGTCCAATTGCTTGGTGCTTCGGTCTAAGATCGCCACAATTGCCTGCTTTTCAGCGTGAAGAAACTCAAAGATCTTGGAGGGATCCTCATGATCCGCAACATCGACACACCAAGTGCGGAAATCTTCATCCGGCAGCACCTCCTGGTCAAATCCGCCCTTGAGGATGTTTAAAGCATTGGGGAGCCGCAGATAATCCAGAGCAGCAGCCATCTCGCTATTGTCTGTCTCTACTCTCTCCGTCTCGGCTCTCACAAGCTTTGCCTTTTCCTCGTCGTATAAACTCGCCGACTCCGTTACTGCCAGCGGCACAATCTTTGCGAACAGGTCAGGGCCGGTAATGCGCTGAATATCCTGGCCTGCATAAAGCTCGCTGACTGGGATTGGTTTTGCAGCAGGTAGCTTTGCGACGGGGGGCACGCTGGCCTCGCTGGGGACCGGATCATGATAGATGAGGTCGTTTTCCCTGGTCAGTTCCTTGAGCTTTTGTTGGACAGCAACAAGATGTCTCCTGGTTATATCTGCGAGGATCGGCCCGCATTCTGCAGTGAGATTCGAATTTGGAGGCACAGAACTTGGGAAATTGGTTGCAATTTTGTTGGCTTCACGAATATGACTCTCGGCAACTTGGAGCCGGGCGATGGCCATGCCGTGTGAATTGGCGTCATTGTCGGCTAGAGCTTGGTAGTACTGGGCAAGCGAGCTCATGAATTTGAACTTGATCTGGACCATTAACAGCCAAACTTTCTCGAAAACCGCCTTTGTGACATTCTCTTGCACGCCCTCGAGTGCTTGACCATAGAGGGTAGCAGCCTGGCTCGCCAATTTGGCCAATAGCCCGATCTTCTTCTGGTCTGTGATAAGCTTTTCCAGAAACACCTCTTGTGCTTGCGCCAGCATGATATTTATGAGGGTCTTCAGGGTATCTCTGCTCAAGTCGGCGGAAGGGGCATGCAGGAAGTTTTCATTTATATAGGTGAACATGCCGGCGGCAGCCTGGAAGGAGTGGTAGGCTTGCTTCAGCCCAGACTCGTGGCTTCGTGTCTGGTTGGCGGCATGGCATGATAGGACGGCCGAGATATTGAAGATGATAGATGCCTTCTCGAAAGCCAAAGAATACTGCGACGTCCCCTTATGCGTGAAGGCATCATACCTACGAAAGAGAGAGCGAGAGAGAGTTAGAGAGGGCTGCGGTACATTGACTTCTAGCCACGGGAGGGGCACCCCGTTGCGACGAGGCATGGATGTATTTACCAAGTAAATGAAACCCGGATATGTTGTTCGTCGATGGGGAAGCGAAGATCTAAGAATTCGAGCTGGGCATAGTAACGGTATAGAAGATCCCTCCCGGCAGTGCTATCCTTCCCGGCGCCCCTCATATCCTGCCTCAGCCGGTTGAGGGTGGCGCACTCTTCAGAATAGCGCTCGGGGTCGTCGCCATAGGTGTCTCGGATGTAGGTCTTTAACGGAGTGATCCAGTCAATCTCGTTGGTAGCCTTGAGAGGCACCGAAATCATGGGCGATTGCGTGCCTGTCATCTTGGGCGGCGGGCAGTGGGCGGCTGGGCAGATAAAGCAGAGCCGAATGTCGTGCTGCTGCTGTCGCCCAGGCAACTATGGATGTGCCGCAAGGAGTTAGATGGTCAGAGTGAAGAGTAGGTGTTAGGTTGGGCAGTTGAGCAAGCAGTCGCGACCACGCGGTTCAAGATCAATGTGCAGAATAATGATGATGACAATGATGAGGTGAGCAGAGTCTCGGCGGTTAGGCGAGGTCCAGGACGGTTTCAAACAGGTCGCGCGCGTTAGGCGGGGTTCTAAGCTTGTCACTGCCGCCGGGGTTCCAAAGGCTACGGATTACAGTTTCGGGTTTACGTCAACCTGGAACCTCAGCCTTTCGGGACTTGAACCTGGGAAAAGGGACTAAGCCACCAGAGGATGCAACTTTGATCTAACTGCGTGTCCAGCCCAAGTGTGTTAGAGGAACCTAAAAGCGGGGAGCAAATAGATGCAAACAGCAGAACCCACGGTCTGAATACACGGGCAGTAATTCGTATGCGCATTTGTTATCGTCGGTAAAGGAACCGACCGCTGCTCAACTCAAAGTTGCCAAGCCGAGCTGCCTCTGCTTTCAGCGTCAGGTAAGAAGTGAGACTTCAAAGTCACCAATCAGGTTCCGATCGCCGATGCCCAGCAAGCAGTGGCTGGAGGAAGCAGTAAGGTCGAGCAAGCCACAGGCAGGCAGAGCACACCAACGGTAGCGCAGCTCATCGATGGCATGGAGGAAATCCCGCCACATCTCCGGGGAGAGCAGAGGAAGGTGGGGTGTTTCATTGTCCTTTCAAGCCTGGGGCAGCCTTCTGTGTGCCCCTCACCACCGCGTAAGGAAAGGCGGGGGCTGTCCCCATTGTGACGTAATTACATTTAGTTTCTTTCCTAAGCGGTGTAACTAACCCACCTACCTACCTACCTACTAAGATACCTAGGTATCTACCTAGACACCGTGCATCGCCTTGGACATAAATGATGACCCCACTTGTCCACGAGCATGTGGAATAGGGCTATTTGCATCCCTAGCAATACCTTAATTTCTTATTTTATATGTCATAAATGTATCTGGACCCCAAGGGCTGAAGAGTAGGCATGGATATACTTTTTGTCTTCGGAGTGTACCCAAACGCCTTCATTGGGCTTCTCAGGAGCTAGATACCTAGTTTTCCACTCGCACTGCTCTGTTTCATTCTCGTCTTCAAAGCTGTTTCCAGTGGCGCTCCTCACGGAGTCTACTAAGTCTTCTCCTCGTAGTCCCATCGCCTTTGTGTAGGTATGTTGTTGTCCAACTCGAAGAGAAGGGCGGCGATCTGGTAAGTCGCCAACAGCAACCATTACCCAAACAGAGTTGTGGCAACAGTCTGGACCTGTCAGAGAGCATCATACTAACTTTAAGGACTTAAGAGGAAACGCGGGAGAAAACGTATGTCATAAAAACCAGCTGGTGACTACTGATAGGGAGAGCACTAGATCCTTCAATATGACAGTACCCCGCACAATGATCAAGAGATGAGCGATAGCGATATTTTTAAGACCCTATTAGATACCATTACCAACACCTGACATACCTAACCAAAAGCAACCAACCCCTTTCCAACGCACACCCTTTCCTTCCTGATTAGGGCTCAGTTTATTCCTCCATGAATCGCATCTCAGCTTATCTGCAAGCCGTCCATAGGCATGGTAGGATTAGATGGGTCACCCTGTATTCCAAAGAATTGGAACCTAGAACCAGAGTTAGCAGTTGTCGCCTTTAGCTGAGCGAGAAGGGAGAAGAAAACATACCAGTCCTCTACGTTGAGCGTACTCGGCACTGGTTGCCCATGCGCCGAGCTTGTACTCCAGCTATCACTTGGGCTCTGCCCGTCCACCATTGTCGTATCATACCCACTGTGCCAGACATTGCCATTGCCTGAATTACCATTGCCACTGCCCTGCTGCTGTCCTTGCCCCTGGAACCCAAATGAGTTCTGCTGTTGCTGGCTGTCACCACTACCCTGCTGTCCCATCTGTCCCATCATATGCGCGTCTAGCCCTCCTTGATGAGGAGGTGGGGGTGAAAATTGACCAAAAAGCGGGAGATTAGCGTTCTCTGGAAACAGCTGGTCAGGCTGAAAGTTCTCCCACATGGACTGCGACAGGTTAGGCGAGTTTCTTGTGACAAGGTAGAGATCGGGAGGAGTCGCCGGAACAGAGAAAGATGGGTTAAAGGGGGTTGCAGGGCGGGTGTGAGGACGGGATGCGCTGCCTCCCATAAAGGCATCCCCTCCATTGCGTGTGTGAGGAGACACATTAGCTGGGGGCGGCATCGGGTTAGTTCCTGGCTCAGGCTTGGACGGCAGGCTTGGTGTCTGGGGGCGAGAACGTTCGTATGACTCCGGCGGTTGCGGGGTGGTGACAGTAAAGTCTAGAGACATCTCGTCAAATTTGCGCTTCTGGTCTTGTGCAAAACGCTGCTGCTGCTGCTGTTGTTGCTGTTGCTGCTGATGCTGATGCTGATGCTGATGCTCGAGTTGGGACATACTATGTTGCGACCTGCGGTGTCTCTTAACTGACGCTTTCTGAAGTCTTTCTTCGAGCACTTTGTTACCCAGGATTGCCTCGAAGAGCGTGTGAACCATCTTTCCAACCAGCCAAACCTTGGAGACATCTTTGAGCGCGGTCATGCAGGTCCGTATCCTATCTTGGGTAACTTGCTGAATTGTGGGAATGGGTGACCGCATTTGATATACGTGCATAATGAGAGCCGAGAATAAGCTATACACGACGAAAGCGGGACAGTACCGCAATTCGCCATGAGCAGACAGATTCTCGATGATCGACGTAATCATTGCGGCTGCTTGGAACGCAATATTCCGGGAGGGATAGACATGCTCCTCAGGGATTCGGTTCGAGTGAGTTGGGGGCATGTGGGCGCGGTGAAGCAAGCAGAGCGTCGTGTAGTAGTTGAGATGTAATAAAGCAGACCAGAAATGATGTCTCGGCATTTCCCAGTACACAATCTTGGGGCAGTGTTGTAGCCAGTCGGCCAGGGCCATATCGCTGTGCGTAAGGTCGATGGCATTCGTCCGACGCCCCTTATTCGCGACAGAATACTGCTGTGCGAGGACGATACCCATGATCTCACAGAGCTTAACGTACTGAAGGAAGAACTGCACGTGTACCGGATCTGGAGGATACTCTCCAGGCTCATCGCCATCTTCCTCGATGAAATCATCCTCCGTCAACATTTCCACGTCAGAGTCGTCCAGATTGATATGGCACGGCCGGCCCAGGGCAACCGCCACGGAGCGATCTCGTGTGAAGAGCGTCCACCAAATGCGCTTCCACAGTCTTTTGTCTGACTTGCTTAGCTGCGAACCCTCCACACTACGATGCATGCCGGAGCCCTGAGCGACGATTGTGGCGACCCGGGTCCAGTAGAAGACATTCTTGGTAACGTCCTCAGGGCCTTCCCAATACCAGCCCATGAGCAGCAGAGACTGCACAATCGTCACGCGATCATCTTCATAGTTGGCATCGTACAAGGCCTTGGCTCTCTTGTAGAAAGTAAGGGCCGCTGGTGCCGATGAGCCATTCGCGTCCATCAGCTGGGGATTTGTGCACACGCGCGAGCCGGCCAGCAACATTGCCTGGAGCAGCAACAATGATGGCGGGTTCTTGGGATCCCTATACCTGCGCATGAACTTGGTCTTGTTAATGACGGGGACGATTGGATGAACCCATTTGAAATAGGCGTCGATCAGCTCATCGCAGAGAGCTCGTGGTGGAAGCAAAAAAGCGCCTCTCTGATGAAGGATGTCAATCTCGATGCTGTCCAGCTCGGCTAACCGCGACTTCGTTCCTCTCATGCTCTCGGGCAGAGGGTAATGCACAACATCTGAGGAGCTTTGGCGGTCATGGACCAAAAGTGTGAGGTTGGAGGATTCGCCCAGGTAGGCAACCCTTCCTGCTTCCGTGATGGGTGCTCTCGTGAACTTGGGCTTCATGACAACGTCCATGTAATTTGCCAAAGTTGCGTTTTCAAATTCTTCCTTTTTTTGCTGTTCATGGGCCGTTTGGGCGCTTGAGGGGGTGCCCTCGTGGGTATGATACACAGCAGGAGGGCGCGTACCACTAGGGAACGCACCGGTGCCGGGAGGGCGAGGGGAGCGAGACTCAAGATCTCCTCGTTCGCTGCCATGGTGTTAGTGGGAAGATCGCAAGGACAGGAGTAAGACTGGGGTTGCATGATCGTGGGCTATATTAGTGAAAGAGGGGGCAGTTGTATGAGGATATGAAAGACGGGAGAGAGAGCATTCGGGAGGTAAGGGGAGAGGGGGGAAGGGGGGTATACGACGTGGTGTACCTGTCCGAATCCTTGGACAGCAGTACGGCGTTTTGGGCCTTCTTGCGCTTTGGCGTCGGAATGCGGCATTCGATTTGGAAAGCAACGCAATTTGTGCATGGGACACCCAAACTGGCGGCATCGCAGCGAACCTGCAACGGTTGGTGTGAGTATATGTGTGTCAAGATTCCAGAAGATCAACTAGGGATCGGTTGTAAGCGCGGGCACAGTCCACACAGCCTTTTCTGTGGATTCGACTGTGCGCTTACACGCGGACTGGGGAAAGCTCCTACTTTGCGGGCATGGCATGTCTAGACCGTGGAAACAATGTCTGGTTAGCTCACGGTATCACAGATACGGAATACGGACAGCTACCGGCATGGCGGATGAGCCGAGGCAAGATAGGCGAGACGGACGCGACACGGCCTTAAGAACCTCGGAGGGGTTCCATCCAACCCACCAAACCCCAACCGCGGAGACATCCAGCCAGCTGGGTATAATTTTGGGGCCGTTGTCGACTTACCTCGCATGCTCTTGAGGCTCGTTGTCTTTTTGTCCGGAGATCATCCCAGGTCAGCGAATCCTCCTGCTTGCTGCATCTCCCCGGCAACACCACAAGGCCGGGGATGGCGCCAATTGGCTGGTACCCACCTCCTGAAACTCACGTGGCCCGTGGTCGTCGTCGTAGTTGTGGTTGTCGATCCTGCCGACGGCGACGGACGCGTTGTCTGAGATTGCGCCGGCGAAGCCGACGACGACTGCTTCCGCGGGGCAGGATCGACGGTGGCCGCTGACTCGACTTCCATCTGGGCGGATTCGGACAGACAAGCGACGAGGGGACTCGGAGGTTGCTAGCTAGAAGGGCGTGCTGCGGCCTGCGGCTGCTTTTTCAGAAGGAAGCGGCGTTGGGAACAAAGTAGAACTGCGAATACGGATTATGTGCCGTTGCCGAGGATCAAGACGGATCGGGTCGAAGCGGGCTGCTCTGGGCAGGTCGTCCCAACCACCGAGCTTCCCGGCCCTCTTCTTCTAACTAGAACCAAGCAAATAACTGCTCGTCCCGGGCTCCGTTGTGCTGATAGGCGGGCTCGAGATGGACAGGCAGCTGTGATGCTGTTAATGCTCACTGTGGGCAGATTGTAGAACTGTGCGGACAGTCGAGACGAGCTAAAGAAGCGTAATCATGGGATGCCAGATGGGAGTTGTAAGGATAGTGCGGGCACTGCGGAAGAATTAGAGCACGCCGGGCCGTTGGGGTCTTTTTTTCGTCTCAACTCGAGGTCTGGGAGTCTGCTGGAGGCCTGGCCGTGAACTCGGTGCGGGCTGCGGAGGGGGAAGAGAAAGCGACGGTCGGGTCGGGGTCGGCTGTTCCACCGGGGCACGCGAGAACGGTTTCATACAGTAGCGCGAGTCGGTGGATTGACAGGACATCGGCCTCGAGTCCTTGTTGACTCTCTTGAGGGGGTGCCCACCAGGCGGCAATCTCTAAGCTGCGCAACCCCAGATTTGGCTGGTGTTTACGGGGCAACTCTGGGCCTCTTTGGGTCTCTCTCTGTCAGTCTAGCGCAGCGAACAGCGCGCGCTCGGCTCAGGTTCAAAGATCCGTTCAAACGCTTATTTTCTTGGCCCGAGCCCCATATCGCTGAGGTCAGGAGGACGAACTGCAGCTAGACGCTTAGCCCAGACCAATTGAGGGTACACCAGGAAAGTGTCGGCTGATCCTCGAAAGCACTGCTCTTCTAGTCATTTGCGCCGTGTGACGCGAGGAAATTCTGCATTCCATAGATAGGGACGACAGGGACGGGCGAATACGCGACAGGGTCAAAAATTACAAGGGGCGTAACGATGACCCGGTACGGCAGCGAACGCCCGTGGCACGGGGCACAGTCGCACATTGCATGGCGTGGCGAGCGTGACCCCGCAGACATGTGAAGCCCACCTTTGCCAGTGCCAGATCCCCGCACTGCGCCCGCCTTCAGCTGGCGTGGCCTGGCACGGCTGGTCGTGGAGTGCTGGCGTGTGGCTACGCTGGCAGCTGTGGGGAATAACGCACCAGCCAGTCGGTGGGCTAGCGGTGGAGCTGCGCCAACCGAGATTTCTCGGCGGGAGGAGCCACCACCCGATGAGGAAGCTGCGGCCGACACCACGAATCCGGGGAATGCTTGGCTGCCCAAGATTCGTACGGGACTGTATGTTTGGCAACTGCCAAGGTCCTTGTTTTTGGCAGCCAGCAGGCCAATCCTCATCACCGAGCAGTAGGCTGGGTCAGCCCTGGATGCTGACAGGGTACGGAGAACGTCTACCTAGCAGGCTAGCAAACCGCCACCTCGAAGTTGGCATCACGCAAATACCTTAATACCTACCCCGTACTTGTAGAATGAGATGAGATGCCCCAGGAACCCACAGCGCGAACGATCGATGCGAGTCTTTTCTCTGCATCTTAGTTTGACTCCTGACTTAGCACCTGGTGCCATGTCATTCGTGCTTGTTTCTAACCGTGCAGCACAGTCTCTGACCGCTTATTTGATAGGTATCTCATAGATCTTAGGTAGGTCAGACAGTGTGGTAATCCGTAGGTAAGGTAGGTATGTCGTAGTATGCTGGGGGATTCATCATTCAGGACGCCCTTGGTGTCGATAAAGTCAATCATGATGCTTCCAGTCGTGTGCAGGTGCAACCATGTAGGTGTGGCCGATGATGGCTCATGCATCTCCTTTTTCCCGTTTGCTTTTTTCAGCAACTAATAGCTGCACCAGAAGGCCGTACACAATCTACCCTCTTCCGCATATGGATTGCGGAATGGGTAATTCTTGCGGCCAGCAAGCATGTGAGCATCAATCAAATCTGTCAACCCTCGAAAGCTGCCCGTGACAGATCGAACTAGTTTAGGTTCTTCCAGCGGCCATTGGCAGACCAAGCAAAAGACCTACCCTAAGTCAGCCATGGGTATCTGTTCCTGATATCCTAGTGCGTGGAAAGCAATGTCTACAGTAGCGTGCCATGGACATACGTTTAGCATGCCCATGACCCCATGCGGAAAATCGATATTTTGGGTTCACCAAGGTGAGTAAATTAGGAAGTCGGCCCGCGAGGGAAGTCAGTCTCATCTTGACCTACTATCCCACGGGTTGGTTGCATGGTACCATCCTGTCAGCTGTCCATAGATCGGTAGGCAAGTATGGGTGCTGCTCATGCATTCATACACCATGCCTGGTAGGTAGTTCAGCATTCCGTGCTTCTCTGTCCATCGGCCGGTCGCCTGTTCATCGGAGATTAAGATCCAACGCCATGTTCCCTAATTCTCCAGATTGTTAACCGGTCATGGCCTCAGAAACTGGAATTAAATAATTTTCGAAATAATTAAATCACCGTTGGCATGTAGATCATGCCATAGTTCGAAGCAGTCAAGGCCATTCAAAACAATACAAGTCGATGTGCTCTCAAATGCTGACTAGGCGATTTTTTGCCCTCCCACCTAAGGTAGCTGTAGACAACACAAGGCTGACGTCGTAACACGACAATCACATGTGAAGAAACCTACTGTATTTTGCCTCTCTGCAAGAAAAAATACAGCCCCGGTCTGGGGTGAGGGTGGGGAGCGCGGGGGTGGCAGAGCACTTGGGCACCTAGAAAAAGGATGAGTAGGGAGCTGGACTAACTGCCCCGATTTCTCTGGGGGATGTCACCTCAAACTGATCGGAAACTTGCCGAGACGGAAGCTAGGCATGTAGACTCCTTTATGCTGTCATCGCTAAAAACCCAGGATGCCACGCCTACAGAATCTGGCGGTAGACCAAGCTGAGCATGTGATTGACGGTTCCCAGGTAGACGTCCTCGTCTCCAAGCTAAATGCCGCAAAGGAGCTCAATTGTTCACTTCTACATAGGCCAATGTAGGATTCTGTAGGATCATGTAACAGACTCCACTCATCATGAAAACAGTCCTGGTGCTATGTCATTTCTCTTTTTGATCAACCTGCCAACTCTCCTCCCCCGTATAAGTTATGTTCAGAGCAATTATTACAAATCTATTCATAGTTATATGTACATCATCATCTTCTCACTTACCTCCAACACCTCCGTTACCTTTAACGTCATCCACGAATACATCAGGAGGAGAATGCTCAGCTGCCCCGTTTGGGGCAGCCTTGATCGCATCCTCTCCAACATCAACACCAGAAATGAAGACCGCGCTAACGCCCTCCAGCATCGAGACAAAAATGCCCAACCCACTGGCAATGACAAAGTGGCTAATCGTTGATCCGATCTCGAGCCATGACCCTTCGTCTTTGACAACCCAGAAGAAGTACAACGTCAAAATATCGCTGACTGCCATGACCAACATAAAGAGTGCCGAAGGTGCCACGCCGAGACGCTTGTTCAGGATGCCCAGGTTGGCCGAGATGAGCGCGAAGGGAATCAGTAGCTTAAGGATGAGCATAGCTCCTTGTGACCAGGGATCAAAGATGGGAATCAGCCGCGAAACCGACTCCAAGCTAAAGGCCGAGACTGAGGCGATGTTGCCTGTGCTGAAGAAAGCTGACTGCAGCAAGACAAAGAAGAAGAGTGCCACACGTGCGTCGTTCAGAGTGAGTGGGCGGAAAGACTTGCTAATGTGCTTTGTGGACTCAAGATGTTTATGGGATGTCACCTTCATCACACCGTTCGCTGGTCCTGGTCCTGATGCTGTTGAAGCCTGAGATGAGACGAATATGTAGACGGCATGCTCGAGTCGCACCCAGCTGACAAGGATAGCCGAGAAGGAGAGATAAAAGAGCCCTTCGTATGAGATAGTAAGGATGACAAAGGTGGGTGCGCAAGTCAGAAAGAGGACCAAAATCCTGTGCATATAGTGGTTGTTGGGATGCACACGGTAGGCAAGCGGCATCAAAAACGACAAACCTGTAGCAGCGTTGTTAGTTCTCACAAGGCTTCATTCGCGCCACTCAACACTTACCCAAAACGGCCCAGCCCACGATTTGGTTGCCACGGGGAAGACCCTGTTTAGCCTGCAGGGATAGGGCACTGGACCGGGTAACAATCGTGGCAAGAAGAATTAAGCCTGTTTGTATGCCTACAAGTGTCCGCGCATAAAGGTTCTTCAGCGTGGAGGGCTTTGCGGACCAAGTGAAATCAGCCAACACGAAGTCCTCTAGGAGAAGATAGAGCACGCCAGCAAGGACCATGAGAGACCCCCCAATGACGCTGTAGGCCAATTCAATTAGCGAGAGCTATACATGACAAATAGGTGGATTTGCTCACATCAAGTTGATATTTTCAGTCTTGTTCGCTGGGAGAAGAGTAAAGGTACTCATAGCAAGGCATGACAGGAACCATGTCATTGACAAGGCAACATGTTGCTGTAAGAATGATATGCCGTATGACAGGGGCCAGAAAGACGCAAGGACGAAGAGAACCGTTAAGATCTCGCGATGGATATAGCCCAGAGCCTGCTAGCCGTTAGCTCTGATTGGGTAGTGGATGGGTAAATTGCTGTTGCAGCTTACTAGAGACACAATGACGCAAACATAAATAATGGAGTTGAATATAAGGGAGGCGGCCTTGCTGCTTGACTGAACTTGGCCGAATAACTGCCTGCGACCTTCCGCCAGACTATTCCTCCGCGCATACACCTCTTCCCAGAAGAAGACAGGAAAGAAGGCATAGGCGTAGTAGGTCAGTGGCGATTTAGAGATCACAAATGATGCATACAGCGCAGCCAGAGTAGACGAAGCAGCGACAACTCCTGACATTGTCCTTGAGGGCTGGAGGTGCCCATGTAAGACATGCAGGTCAATGACCGTGGTCAACGCGTATGCGATCCAGCCAAGGTAGCCGATCGTAATTAGGGCACGCAGGAAAAGCCAGTCGTACGTCTGCAGATACCGCAGGCCGCCGAGGCCGATCTTCATCAGAGCGGCTGATTCTTCGATAGCCTCCTCATAACTGCCAGCTTCGATAAGCTTGCGAATAGCAGCAACTCGGCTTGCAGAATCCTGACCCTCATGACTGAGGGGAGAGTATGGCCGATACCGCAATTCGGAGGCTTTCTTCTTTTCCTCCTTGACACGATACTGTTCGAGGATGCTTTGTGCATTGACAAGGGCCGCCTCAGCTTTGCCCTTGAGGTCGGCAGCAATGTAGGAGAGAGGCAGCTCGCCCACTGAGTTTGCGGGGAACTCAACACCAATCAAATATGCCATGAGCGCGGCAATGTCGGCCTGGGCGACGTCGTGTCTCCGAACGTGGTTAAGGTCCCAGTCAGCTGAGTATTCGTCGTGGCCTGGTGCGACTTCTCCGGGATATAGCTCTGGCTTGGCCACTCCTGAGCCCCAGGCGATAAGGGGTGTTCGAGTGTTGTCAGGATGACCATCACCGTGGCTTCCCCAATCACTCATGCCGTGGTCGGCAGTGAAAATAAAAGCGGTCCGATCATCTTTGTAAAAGTCGTTGATAACAGCCACGACCTCCTCGACTCCCTTATCCACAATCTTCAAGTTGTGGAGGTACTCCTTGGAGTATGGCCGGTGGAAGTGCCCGGTTGTGTCCAGACCGAGTAGATGAAGGAAGAAGACAATCTTGTCTTGCCGGAGCATGTCGTTGAGTGTCTTATTCTTGCGTGCCTCGGCAAAGAACTCCTTGACGTGGTCAAAAACCCAGATATCCAACGCAGTGGCATCAGACGAAAAGTCCTCCATCTCGGCGCCGTAGGCATAGGCATCCACTCTCCCAGGGACTGCACCGTATTGGAACATGGGCAGAATATCAGGACTGCCCCAACTCCACGTGTGTCGACTGCGGTTGAAGACACTATCAAAGTTCACTGGGTTCATCTTCCACCCGGTCGTTACCGCAGACACATCTTCGTAGAGGCCGGCAATGATGGCTACGTGGCCGGGTCGAGACTCAGTTGGCACGCGCGTGTGGGAGACACCGAAAGTTCCTTCTTCTAATATCTTAGACCGGAGAAAGGGCGCGAGCGACCGAGGGATGAGGTCCTTATCGGATTTGGGGTAGGGCTCGGGATGCAGTTGGAATGCCTTGTCGGCACGCAATCCATCTCCTGGGCAAATGGGATAGAAGGTCAGCATTCAAATCTCCTGGTGATGCGAAGAGAGACGTTGAAAAGAACTTACCGACAAAGAGGACCAGACGATCTGCGGGCGCGGGAGTCGAGGCCGGCCTGTCCACCTGGAACAGGCGCATGCCCGACACAATCGGGCTAACAAAGTAGATATCGAAGATGGAATATATATACACAAAATGGAAAATGACGGCAATTGCCATGAAGCGGAAGCGCTTGGACGAAGCCATGGCGACTAGGTCGCGTAGGGAGCCGTGATACCCAGGGACCGGATGCGGCGGCGGCTACGACTTCGTGGATTCGATTCCACTGGGGCAGCCTGTTACCTGAAAGAGGAAGACAGCGGCTGTTTGGCGGCACGAGGACTTAGGGTCAGGTTTGTTGCTTAATATAACGAAAGAGCAGGTCCAAAGACCATCATGGCGTTGTCTTGGAATGAGTGGAAGTGGCTGTGGACAATACGCCCCTCGAGGGTAGCTTTGGGAATGAGAACATTGGAGTGGACAAGTTAAAGTTCGCGATCTGGCGCGCCTAGGTTGCCGTAGATCGTTACGGTTAGGAGGTGCTTGGCTTGTAATGTGTGGGAAAAATTGCACTCTCGGACGTGTATCATACCGTAATTACTGCCACCGAGCCCACGTGGATGGGGCAACTAAAGCCCTTTTTCCACCTTACGGGGCTGCCAAGTTTCAGGGTGAGTGTGGCAGACAGGGGGTTTCTGTCCAGCCACATGCCTGAGATCTCTCGCTCAGGCAATCCGATTGGTGAGTGAAAACGTGACTTCGCGTGAACTTTGAGGGCGCGGAAACCGCGTTTTCCCACTTCACAGGCAGCGTCACACTGTGGCAGTCTCTTCCAGCTGCCGACTTTGATGTAGAAGTAGTCCACAGCGCCATCGTATCAACATCGTGAACTGCAATGGATTGCTACACCAAATATCTAGCAGAAAATGTCCTCTCAGAGGACAAAGTGGTATGTACCTACCAGCTCCTAATTGCCATTACTTCCGATTCCGTAGCGGTGGCTGATGAAATCACGACCTGCTTAGGTCACTTATCGGTATCTCAGTCGAGCCCTCAGAGTCCATGTGAACACAGCAAAGCAGTATGTCTATTACTTTAGTCTCCAGTCTCTCTCTATTGCCAAGTCTGACACACCACATTCAGGATGCTCTTTGAATTTCACAGGAGCCAGAACGCGAAGTGCCCCAACACTGTGCATGCCACCTACCTGGTGTACGGGAGAAAGAAGGCCGATGCCGAACAGCCATCAGCCCTAAAGAATGGTGATGGTGACATTGAAATGACTAGCTCCCCACCGGAAGCCGAATCTATTTCTGAAGCTGTCCCTGCGTACAGCCTCTCCTTGATTCCTGAGGACCGTCTTAGTGGTCAGTCTTTAGCTCCGCATTTCTAAGGGCTTAGCTAACTGTTCCTCAGATGCCCTCGCGGACTATGACGAGGTTTTTTCTATTCATGTGTATAGCATTGGTCCCCATCCAAATAAGGTACAATTCTCAACCTTGTGGTATTGTCCTAACGGTACCAAACTAACCTGTCATACTTAAGGACGTGGCATTACTTGCTGATGCAGCTAATGCAACACTTAACTTGGAGAGTAAAGGAGATGTTACCCAGCTCAGAGCCATCATCAACCCCCGAGCACGCCGCAGAGAACAGCAAGGCGCTGGGCTTAGAGCTGCTGCCGCTGCCGCGACTGTGAAGTCGCAGGCGAAATCGATCTTTCCCAAGCCACCAACTGCCCCAAGCACTTCCCAAGTCAAAGAAGCGCCGAAGGCTAGCCAAACCGTTGAAGAGACGGCTGAGAAGGCAACTTTATCAGCTCCAGCTAAGAAGGGCTCCTCGGCCCCCAAGAGCGCTGCAAGCTCCGGTGGTATCATGCAGGCGTTTTCCAAGGCGGCAGCGGTATCGAAAGCGAAGAAACAGACACCCGCATTGAGGTCTGCTACACCAGCTAGTGTGGAGGAATCGATCCCGCAGCCGCTGTCTGACGATGGAGAGGATGATGAGGACATGCCCCAGCCGAAGCCAAGCCGATCCTCCGCAATGAAAACAAAGAAGCAAAGAGAGGAAGAACTGCGGCGGATGATGGAATCGGATGATGAGGAAGAGAAGAAGAAGAAGAAGGAGGAGGAGGAGGAGGAGGAGGAGGAGGAGGAGGAGTCTGAACATGAGCAACTTCCTGCAGAGGAAGAACCCATGGCGGAGGAACCAAAAGCCCCAGAGCCAGTCAAAGAGGAACCAGCTGAGATCATTACTGCAACTACCAATGGCCGGCGACGTGGTAAGAGGAAGGTTTTGCGGAAGAAGCAGATAATGGATGAGCAGGGCTATCTAGGTAAATTCCTCCGATGGCACCATGTGAGAATAGCGGACTAACTTACCATCAAAGTTACGGTGACGGAACCTGCCTGGGAATCTTTCTCAGAGGATGAACCGCCTCCGCCCTCGAAGCCCAAGGCGACGAGCTTGGCGCCCGCTACACAGGCGACCAAGCCAAAGAAAGGAGGAAAAGGGGGGCAGGGAAGCATTATGTCTTGGTTTGCCAAAAAATGACTGAGGTTTGAGTCGGCCATTATAATTTCTTATAAGAACATGTAAGATACCACAGATTTGATTATTGAAAGCCCGAGATATGTGGTTTGCTCTTTGGTTGATGTTACAGTCAACGACCGACGTACGGGATCATGTATGGCAAGAAAGGCGCCTGGGCTGAAGTTTGAACAGTTCCTTCGCTACTTCGACAGCATGACCGGTGACATTTACAACGGGTGTAGCAAGCTTTATGTCGATTTCGACGATCATTGTACACAAGCATCTGGCAGCAAACAACTTACTGTGGGAGCATTAACTTTGGATTCAAGAGCATGGCTGGCTACTGTGTAACTACCTGAGGTAGATAGTGTACCTACACAATAGGTATGCGCCGCCATCTGACGGCGGCTGTCAGGGGGAACCTTCGTCTGGATGGCCCACAGCATTGTCAAGATGGCGTAGACAGGACCACCTAGCCCCACTTCTTGCAGTGGAGTGGCTCTGGGCTGGTGCGACCCGTGGGACATCCGCCAAGACTGGGGAAAACAATGGCTTTATTTCAGATGCAACGTCAAAAAGGTCCTGATATCTGTCGTGAGCCCGTGACCTGGGATCGGCCACCTTGACCTTCAAGCCCTCCTTTGGTCTCTATTTAGCCAGCTTACCAGCTGGCAGTGTTCTTGTGAAAGCAAAGCTTTCACTTTTCAGAACGTTCGTACTCTAACATGCTTCTTTGCCGTCTTCCGTCTGCATAGCCTCTTGCCGAGCTAAATTGCTGAAATGGACCAGAAGCGGCAGTGTTGCTAAATCTGCGGCGAAATCTTAATCCTCGACAGCCGAACTTGACATTAATCGTTCGTACACAAGCAAATACAATCAGCTCATTAATCTTTCCCCTCTCCGCCTTTGTCTCTGGCTGTTTGGTATTACCCAATTTCTCCCCCCCTAGGGCCCAACCTGATAGCGCAATTCAACAATGGGCCGCTTGTCATGGTCTTCGATGCTTCTGGCGCTGCTCGCGCCATCATCCTGGCCAGCAGCCGCTTCTCCAGGACAGGCCGGCAACCAAGAACCGTTGTCGCATAAGTTTGACAAGACATCCTGCCCTGACTACACCTATTATGCCGCTTATCCTCAGTAAGTGAAAGCGGAAATGAGGCGGCTTATCTGCTGCTCATCTTGTCTTGGTAAACGTGTCTAACTGACGGCTGCACAAAGTCCACCCTTGAGCAATGGCCCGCTCCAGCTGCCATTCCAGAGGCCTGACTCCCGGTGCCGGACCTTTCACTCTGACGCCATTGAAAAGGTTATCACGGACGTCACCTCTCGGATGAAGGATCCTGACCTTGCCCGACTGTTTGAAAATGCCTTCCCGTCCACTACCGACACAACAGTCAGGTTCCATACCGACGGCAAGGACGAGAAGATCAAGCAAAAGTTGCGCAGGCGTAGGGAAGAAGACGCCTGGCTAGATGAGGGTGAATGGGAAGGGCCCCAATCTTTCATCATCACAGGCGACATCCTTGCTGAATGGCTACGGGACAGCACCAACCAGCTCAAGCCGTACCAGCCCCTTGCAAATAAGGACCCGGCAATTTTTAACTTAATCCTGGGTGCCATCAACACGCAGAGCGAGTATGTCATTCAGGCTCCCTACTGCAACGCCTTCCAGCCACCGCCCATCTCAGGCCTGCCCATCAGCCCCAACGGACAGGATGATAACGTGCACCCTTACTTCGACCCGAACGCTGTCTTTGAGTGCAAGTACGAGCTCGACTCTCTTGCCCACTTTCTTGCCCTCGGCAATGAGTTTCACAAGCACACAGGCAGTACGGAGTTTGTCAACAAGCGGTGGCGTAAGGCACTGGCGCGGCTGGTCGAGGTGCTTGAGGCGCAAAGCAAGGGAACTTTTGACCCGGAAACGGGAGCTTTTCAGCAGAACGAGTACACTTTTCAGCGGCACACGACCACGGGAACCGAGACACTCAACCTCCATGGCATCGGTAACCCGCTTAACAACGGCACGGGCCTGGTGCGCTCGGCCTTCCGCCCTAGTGACGACGCAACCATTTTTGGTTTCTTCATTCCAGCAAACGCGCAGATGGCCGTCGAGCTTAAGCGCACGGCTGCCATCCTCCACTCCTTGGGGACCCCTGCTGATACCAAGCTCGCCGATATCCTATCAGACTGGAGCAGACGTATCGAGCAGGGTATTTGGGAGCATGGAGTTGTCAACCATAAGAAGTATGGCAAAGTATTTGCCTTTGAGGTGGATGGTTATGGCAGCTCCCTGCTCATGGATGACGCCAACTACCCAAGCTTGCTGGCGCTACCGCTTATGGGGTTCGTGGATAGGAACGACGAGACTTATCAAAACACACGACGAATGATTCTTGAGAAAGAGGGAAACCCGTACTACTTGAAGGGAAAGGAATTCCGTGGCATTGGAGGTGGGTCTTCTGAGCTTCTTCTCAAATAAGACTTGTGCTTGCAGGCGTCATCTTTTCGACTAACCTCGCTCTAGGCCCGCACGTTGGCCTTCAAAATGCTTGGCCTATGAGTCTGCTAGTGCAGGCTCAAACATCAGATGATGACGAAGAAATCCTCGAGTGCCTCAAGTTGGTGCTCCACTCAAGCAAGCTGGGACTTATCCACGAGAGTATTGATGTGAACTACTCTTGGTCGTATACTCGTACGTTTTCACCCCGTTACCTTGTCCCATCCTGATGCATCATACTCTGACACTTGGCAGGGAGTTGGTTTGCTTGGGCAAATGGGGTGTTCGCCGACACGATTTTAGATTTGGCACGGAGGAAACCGCATCTGATTTTCGAGAAATCTGAGCCATACAGCATCTAGGCAATACGCTTGGAGTGCTATTCGGGTATTACTTTAGTCAGTGATTGGCTGGCTGGCTCGCTTTGTTTTTTGTCTCTTGGGTTACATGATAATGAATATACTTGATCACCCGTTCCCTTTACTTTTGGATGACAAAAGGTTAAGTACAAACCTCAATATTTCGACAGTATGCTAATATATTGGGGTTTTTGCGCGTTTCGCTAAACTTGTACAGACCCATGAGAACACTTAAGTCTTCCTGCCATTCACCAAACAAGATTCCGAAACCCCGATTATATGAAATTGTCGGGTTGGATTATCGCATGCCCCTTGGCTCTGGGATTTGCCTCAACGGTAACCTTTCTTTTACCCTTCTTATCCATTCCGACCTCAGCTTTCTCGGTATTCTCCTCCCGACCCTTTCGGGGTACCACCGTTTCTTCCTCCGAGTCTGGCTCCGGTAGCGGCCAACCGCGCTGCTTCTTCGGCCCAGGAGTGGGTCTTGAAACAGGTACATTGTCATGAATTATTGTCGTCTGGGGCTTGAGAATCGTTCTCTGGATCCTCGGGAAAGGCTCGTCTATTGACGACCCGACCGGCGCTAGTTGGACGTTTGGCGCGACATGTTCATTCGGCACCGTGACCGGCTCATACCACCGCGGATCCCCACACGGCCGTTGCTTCCACCATGGGTTTTTGTCCTCAAGTGTTTTGTTGCGGTAAATCAACAGATCGGGACCGTTGAGTTCGGCGATTGGGCGAAAGCGCTGTTCCTTGGCAAGCGAAAATGCGCTGGGCTCTTGCAAAGCAATGCTCTCGTGAATATTGCGACGAGGTCGGTACGGTCTACTGGCAGGTTTGTAATAGCTGTCTGTGGTGGTATGCGTATCAACGGACGCATCTCCAGCCGACCAGCTGGCGTTCATGTCGTGCGCGACGGTTGGAGTCGCAATGGGAATCTCGGAGGTTCCTGGAGGAGGAACCGGGGAGTTCAAGCTGTCACGGACGGATCGGCGCAGGGCGGCCATGTCCCGAGCGCGTTTCACATAGCGTCGGATGAGGAGTATGGCACCGAAGAGGATTGCTATGCCCACGGCACAAGCGACAGTGATGCCAGCAATGGCACCGGGGCTAAGGCTTTCTTTTTGAGAAGAGACAGAGTATTGCATAGCGAAAACTTTATCGGTAACGGTTACGGTCGGCTTGGTTGTGCTGGTCTCGGCGGCTTGGGCGAGGGTTGCGGTAACGGGCACCATATTGATGTTGATGGTGGCCGAACAGGCACAGGGAGTCACGCCGCCGATGGTGGTTGTCCATGGGGTGTATGAACTGGAACCCGGGTTAGTCGGCACTTCTCTCCCTAACGACGAGAAGGGTAAGCGAGACCTGCCTCGGGCAGCAGTGGCCGTGAACCTTGTGGTAGTCCGAGGGACAATGTTCCATGAAAGCGTCTCTGCTGTTCAGCGGCTCAGGGAAACATGGGCGGGAGGTGATGCTAGGGGCGACGCCGCGCGTCTGGAACGGACAGCACTCTTCCCTGCCGCTAATACAACCGACAAAAGCGGCGTAGTAGGCAGTTGGGCCATCGTCGATGAGGGTAAACTCGGGCGTAGCGCAGGCTCCAAATAGCAGAGGGCCTTTGTTCCATTGCTGGGACTGGGGGCCAGCCCCAGAGGGTGAGGAAGTAATGTTGTTGGCAGGCATTTCTTCTTTCTTTTCTCATCCGCGATGGTAGATGAGGGAGGAAAGTTTTGAACGGCTCTACGGGGTGGAAGAAAAGCTCATTGTGAGCTTCAAATCACCCCGGTCTGGGCACATGCTAATCATCATGATGGCAAGGAGAGACTGCATCATCCGGAAAGTTAAAGGACGCCCCTCGCTTCTCGGGTCCTGGCGGACTGAAAAAATAGCCCGATTCTGATTTGAGGTGACAAAGGTTTACGGCACAGGTTTCCAAAAAAAATAAGATCACGGCGCACGATGCTGGTAGCGTAAGGAGATGGAGGTAAAAACACCATCACACATGTGACTGACGTGACGTGTTTACGTCGCGTCTTGGACATGTCACGGACGTTCTAAAACACAAAATGGATTGCGCTTGGGGAGGGCTGATCTACATGGTATCTGATAGCATATGAACTTTCCCAAACTCCTAAGTCCTGAGTCTTCTTAGAGTCCCCGTCTCTCAGTGCCCCTAACACTTAAGTCGTTCTGAGTCTGATGGCTTGGCTGCCCTAATATCTTAAGTAGCAACTCCTCTAAATCGCCCCACCAACCTACCTACTGCAAATCCACCCTCTAGAGTGAGGTGATACCTCTTGTTTTGTAAGTTATAGGCGAGACTGAAGTTAGGTCCGAAATCAGAGGCAGGATCGCCCTCCGGCCCGTGACGGCAGATCGCTGCGCCAAGACACCCAGGGCAGGGCAGACTGCAGATAGTGGGGCCCGGGCGGGGCTGCAATTGGACCTCCGTGACGTGGGCAGGCGGCAGCATCTCGGACGTGATATCAGAATACTTGTCCGCGTTCGGCTCCCCAATCAGCTGTGCTAGGCGCGCTTCGAAGAGCGGCGACTAAGCATGATAAGTAGAATGGGTGCACTCGGATCCTGATAACCGAAACATGGCCGCTGCACCTCCACCTGACCTGGTCGACGCAGAGATGGCGGCCAGCTCCAGTTCCAGCGCTGGTTCCAGTTCCAGTCGATCCAGTGCCAACACAAATACCCACAGCAGCACCATCGTCACTGCCGCGGGCTCCGACCGCGACCCCGCTCCCGCGCCTGCTCCGTTCGTGCCGGTCGAGGTAATCCAGGCCCAGTTAGGTTTGAATGGGGCAGGCACAGGCGTCGCGGGGCCCGATTTAGTGCCAGGGCCAGGGCCAGGGCCAGGGCCAGGGCCAGGGCAAGGGCAAGGGCAAGGGCAAGGGCCTCAGGTAGGCTTGGGGTCGGGGCCCGGACCCGTGGAGTCCATCTTCCCTCCGCTGCACAACAACGCGGGCACAGACACGGACTCAATCGCATCTGGCACCTCAGGTCGGTCGCGCTCGGCTGCTGTTGGCAGTGCTACAGCCATGGCTGATGACAATGACGACGAGGAGCCGGCCGTGGCCCGGCCGTTTCCGAGAACCTCGAGCCCTAACCTGACTGCCCGTCCGGGCGCCGACACTGTCGATGACGATCTGGACGACGACGGCGGCGGCAGCGATGATGCGACCCTGCCCCGTCTTGGCCCAGGCATGCTGCCCCGGCCCCGGCTGCGGCAGAAAATGCATCGCTTCAGCCTGTATGAGACGGCAAGCCGCTTCTACATCGTTGGCACCGACGTCACGGAGAAGCGCTATCGCATCCTCAAGATCGACCGTACCAGCAATGACTCCTCGGAGCTCAGCATTACCGAGGACAAGACGGTGTACACGCAGAAGGACATGAGCCAGCTGCTCGATACCATCGACGACGGCAACAAGGGCACCGGCGGCCTGAAGCTGCGCTGCACCACCTGGGGCCTGCTGGGCTTTATCAAGTTCACCGGCCCTTGGTACATGCTTTTGATCACCAAGAAGAGCACTGTCGCCATGATCGGCGGCCACTATGTCTACCAGATCGACGGCACCGAGCTCATCCCTCTGACTTCTCCCGACTTCAAGATGGACCAGCGCAACACCGAGGAATCGCGCTTCCTAGGCATCCTTAACAACCTGGACCTGACCCGCTCCTTTTACTATAGCTATTCATACAACATCACCCGCACCCTCCAGCACAACATTACACGGGAGCGGAATGCCATCATCAGCGGTGTTCCCTGCGCGCCAGACGACGACCTGAACACCATGTTCGTCTGGAATAACCACTTGCTCCAGCCGGCCCTGAAGTCCCTCAGCAGTCCGTACGACTGGTGTCGCCCCATTATCCACGGCTACATCGATCAGGCGGCCGTGTCCGTGTATGGTCGAAATGCACACATCACCATCATTGCCCGCCGTAGCCGTTTTTTTGCCGGTGCACGGTTTCTGAAGAGGGGCGCAAACGACCTGGGCTACGTGGCCAACGATGTCGAAACGGAGCAGATTGTGTCTGAGGCCGCAACCACGTCCTTTCATGCCCCGGGCCCCAAGTTCTTTGCGAGCCCTGCGTACACGTCGTATGTGCAGCACCGTGGCTCCATTCCTCTCTACTGGACCCAGGACAACACGGGCGTCACCCCAAAGCCCCCGATCGAGCTGAACCTGGTTGATCCCTTCTACACGGCTGCTGCTCTGCATTTTGACAACTTGTTCGAACGCTATGGTGCCCCGATCTATGTGCTAAACCTGATCAAGGCTCGTGAACGGACGCCGCGAGAGAGCAAGCTGCTTGAAGAATACACTCGAGCCATCGACTACCTCAACCAGTTCTTACCCGACGGCTCCAAGATCATTCACCGTGCCTGGGACATGTCGCGTGCCGCCAAGAGTCGCGACCAGGACGTTATCCAAACCCTGGAGGCCATTGCTGAAGAGGTCGTCACCACCACTGGCTTCTTCCAAAACGGCGATGGGCACACCAGCCCGATACGCATGCAAAACGGCGTAGCACGCACCAACTGCATCGATTGTCTGGACCGGACGAATGCCGCCCAGTTTGTCATAGGCAAGCGTGCTTTGGGCCATCAACTTCACGCTCTCGGCATCTTGGGTGATACTAGTATTTCGTACGACACGGATGCCGTCAACTTGTTTACTCATATGTACCGTGGTCACGGCGATACCATCGCTGTGCAGTATGGCGGTTCGCAGCTGGTAAACACTATGGAGACGTACCGCAAAATCAACCAGTGGACCAGCCATTCTCGCGATATGATCGAGAGCTTTAAGCGCTATTACAACAACTCCTTCCTCGATGCTCAGCGTCAAGAGGCGTATAACTTGTTCCTGGGCAACTACATCTTCGCTCAAGGGCAACCAATGCTGTGGGATCTAACCACGGATTATTACCTACATCACGGTGATCCTCGGACGTGGCTTGACAAGCCAAAGCCTCATTACATTCACTGGTATACTCCGAAGTTCCTCGAAAAGCGTGTCATGCCTCCGTATCCGACCACCAAGCATGCCGCAATACCGTCTAAACCTTTGGTTGCCTACGACGATTATTGGATCGAGTACTACCGCCCAGCTACGCTTTCATCCTTCCCTAAAATGTTCCCCTACAAAATGAACTCCACCATCAAGTACATCCCCTTCAAATCGACCCAGGATGTTCGCTATGACCTCAGTCCCTTTCGGGTGCGCAATGAGACCGATGCCGAAGCCCAAGACAGGAGGAAAACTGTGATCAAAAAGGAAGTGACCATCGTGGCACCACAAGATCTCGCGCGCATGGCCGACGACACCGAGACGTCGTCTGTGAGCGAGAAGCCCCAGGGTTCCTCCTCACCTGCTGTCGGCAGCGCAAGTCGGACCCTTACTCTCCGCTGGCTTCAGCCGGGAGACAAGCAGCAAAATGGGCTTCTTCATCATACTAATCACCAATCCCATCCTCATCACTATCATAATAAGCAACATAGCTTGTCGAAGGAGATTTATTATGGTCCTTTTGGCCACAATCTGGTTGACGATAATAACTCCAAACGCGGCTACCACCAGCAGCAATACCAACAACAGCAACAGCAACAACAGCAAACTGCTTTGGACAAGGCCCGAGCCGCCCAATTAACATTTACCCAGGTCATCCATGCCAGCCTTAACCCAACTGTCACTCCCGCGGAAGCCGAAGACTATGCTCGCTATGTTAGCCACCCACACAATCTTCCCTTGGTCACGACCGCGGACACCCCCGGTCCAGAGTCAGTGGAGCCCGAATACCTCGAATACGTCGATGGCGCATGGAAATACGAAGGACTATCGCTCGATGCGGCAGTGTCCCAGTATCCTCAAACCGATGATGGCAAAAGCGATGCCGGTGGGAGAAGCCTTTACCGGGGAATCAAAGAGGAAGATTTTGCGCTCTACGCCGAGACAATCAAGGTGGCCGATAACCCATTGAGCGTCAGTGAAGAGGATGCTGGCAAGAAGCGTTATCGAGCTTACCGGAAATGGCTCAGGGGAAAAAGCTTGTTTAAGCAGCAACCAGTCGACTAGGAGTCGACTTTGTCTTCGCCGGTGATGATGACGATGATGGTGATGACAGATCGTTGCCGCGAGAGGGATGCTTGGGGGTTGTGGACAGCGAGTGGGGTGGCTGGAAGAGACCCTGAGACAGGAAGGAGAAGGTCGGCAAGGTCGAGGGGCGATTCTGTTGCGACCATTGCATTGGATCTTGTGTGGGAAGATGAACTCTGCTCCATGGGCCGACTGAGATGAGAGAGTACTGCACGCTGGCTCAACAACACATGCCGAAAAGCTTCGACAGGGCTGGCTCTTTATCTATCAGCGGTGAAATGTGCGCAGCGAGATTGAAGCCATTCCTGTCAGCTTTCAGCACCGAGATCAGTGCTTTCGCACCTACTAATAGCTCCTGCTCGATCTCGATCAGGCGCTTGTCATTTTTATGGTCACCAACATGGAGCCAGCAGAGTACAAGAGCATTGATGATCTCATCGCGCCAAACGGGCGACAATACGCGTGGCCAGCAGTTTGTCAGGACAGCCTGTAAGGCTTTGACGGCTGACAGTAAGGTCGGTGGATACAGAGGAGCAAAGGGATCGGTCATGATCGCGGAGAGCATTGGGATCAGGTCCTACAAGCTGTTAACCCTCGGACGATCCAGGGACTCAACCATTCTTCGTTCTGGGCTCTTTCTCACCTTCAGGTGCTTCACCCCATGAACTCCCATTTCTCCTAGAATTATTTGTGTTTCCCGGCACAGCACCTCGACGACCCGGACGTGTTCCTTGGCATGGAAGTACCCCATAAACACACCCTCCCGCATTACCTTGTCCAGCAACGCCATCTTCTCTTTCTCTCCAGAACCCAGCTCCGTTTCTGCTTCAGCCCGCTTGCGAGCCAACGTTCTTAGCACCTCGTAAGCGGCTGGTAGAAGCTGCACGGATGCATCATCCGGTGTGAGACTCGGCAAGAAAGCGAGTGTGGGAAAGGCCGCATCCTCAAAAACGCTAGCTAGGCCTGTCGAGCGCAGGATCTTGGAAGGAAGCTTGGAGAGAAAATCGGTCATGAGCAGGAGACCACGGCGACGAAGTGGCGTACTGTTGTCATCGGCGAGGGTGAGAAGAACAGGAGTGTATAGGGGCCAGTGTTGGGCTATCAAGCTTTTCTGTGTTTTATTTTGTTTTTGTTAGTTTGTGTTTTCGTTAGTCTCTTGTTGGAATGGGTTTGATTGAGTTTACGGGGTGTATTTGCATAGTTGATCAGTGAAAATGATACCCATTCATGGACATCAGCTAGCATAGCGAGTGCAATCTCCTTAATAAATATGATGACCAAAGCACCAACTTACATCTGCCTGGGCTACCGCCCATGAAATTGCAGGAACAGCCCTCAAGTCCGTATACTTCCACGGCTTCGTTAGTGATGTATCGTCTGGTATGTTCTCTCCTCTTCTGATGCTATCGATGTACTCGGCCTTTCGGCCTGAGGAGGTAATTGACGTCGGTTTGGATCGGGAGAAGAGTGGACGAAGGTAACGTTGAAGGATAATTTCTGTAATGAAACTGTCCTTTGCGCCAGAGTTGCTCTGGAGCTGTTGCTCCAGAATTCTAGTCGCTCTAGCAGTCGTCTCTGGATTTTCACTAGGGTTCCAGTCGTCTTTCTCTTGGTCGGTGAAAGCAAGAATGGTGATGAGAGTCTCCTCATCGAATTTTACCTCATTGTCGGAGATCGCCAACAGCTCATCTAGAGCTTCGATCCCCAGGTTGGAAAGGGTGCGAGAGCAGTTTACGAGTTGCTCTCGTGCCTGCTTGAGCTCGTCGTTGAAGACTACGGGAATTATCAACACTTCCAATCCCCTGAGGCCAGGTTGAAACAAAACAGAGCATCCTTACCTGCTGGGATGTCGTCGTCATCGTCTATCGCATCTTGACTCTTGGTGATGACGGGGGCAATGGCATCAGCAATGATTCGCGCAAGCCTCTGAAGTGAACTAAGCTCGGATGAGGGTAGATTGGCAAGTCGTTGGGGGTATCGTAAGCAGGTAAGGACGGCGAGGAGACTCTGGGATGTGCGCTTCGTTTCCTTGCAACAATTAGGCACGGGAAATTACGAGGAAAGACCCGGGTCTAGGGCCTGGAGGAGTTCAGACTTACTTCGGCTGCGATAGACTCGTTTCTCGCAAGAAACCCCTCGGCTGCGTGTCGCAACTCCTCAATAGTAAAGGATTGTGGGACATCTGAGTTATGAGAGTATAATTAATATGAACTTGAGTTCATAAGAATCGAAGGTTAAAAGTGAGTTGATGACATACGTTGGGAAAGTTGATTGTATGCCTCAGTCGTTGAGTTAGGGTAGTCAAGACATGAGGCCGCACTCGTCGATAGCGCCTCAAACCACTTCATTGTAAAGCTTGAGAAAAGGGACTGTTATCACGCTATCAAAAATTTGCAGTCAAATTCGTGAAAGTTGTACTTTTTGGTTGGTTGTGATATTATGAGATGGGCGGCTTTTACCAACACAGCCACTCATAACAGCATGAAACACGAAGGATACTATAGGGCCCAGCTGCTAGAGTATGATGGATGCTGGTGGAAAATTGAAGCGCTGAGGGGTCAAAATGCTTGCTTGACATGGGGCCCACCTTCCCGCTCTCCTGAGAAAAGATTCGAAACCACGGCACTCTACATGTTGTACGTACTTCAAGCTTACAAATAAAACAAAGGCTAAATGCTGTTATGCCTTTAGGATAACTTGGAAGATGTTAAAATAGAGAGGACACAGTGCGTTAGCTGGTTCAACGCTGCTTAGGAGGAAATGCCCCGGGTTGAGAGTTTCAGCTGCTCGCGTACAAGGCTTCAGTTCTCTAGTGTCCCTCTGTACATCTTAGTGGATCATGCAAACAGAGCAGAGAAACCCCTCGAGTCAGAGGTTCACGAAATGCCCTTAGGAGTGAGGAACGGATAAACATCAGATATTTTTTTTTTTTACTTAAATTCCAAGTACATGTACATGTGCCGTTTGATGGTCACTCGAGTTCGTCTTGTAGCCTTTTCCTTGGGATTAAGTGACTTTAACTTCAATTCATACATGGAGAGACGGTAGAGTATCATCCGTCCATACCTTAGTTATCCGACCATTTATCCCTCAGTTGATACCCAGCTCGTCTCTCTTCTTTATGACCTCCTCAATAGCGCCAGATGGATTTGTGACCCCCGGGTTTCTGAGCTGCCATGCTAACGCAACATCCAGGGCCGCACCCATCCACCTGCCGGGTCTCACCCCCAGCGCCTTGGTCAACATGTTCCCATCAACCAGCCTTTTAATCGAGGGCGCGTCCATGACATCCAGGTCGATCAGATGGTCCAAGAACGCCTGCCATTCTCTCAATACATCTTCCATTTCCTGGGATTCAGGCCTCTCTCCACAGACAACTGCCTGGCCACCCACGCGCTCAGCAACATCAACCAGCAGCGCATACAGCACCTGAAGTCGCCAGTTACCCCCTCCGCCGCGGGTATCCCATTCACGAATGGCCATGCCGAAACGGTCTCGCTCGCGGACGCCATTGCCCTGGGTCTTCACCAGATCCTTCAACTTTAGAATCGCAAGGCGATGGGTGTGTGCAGCCGTAATGATGCTGCACAGCTTGTTCGGCGCCTTGAAGCCCTCACGGGCGGCCTGTGTCAGTAGCGGAGGAGCAGGGCGCCCGCTCCTGAGAGGCGGGTCATCCGGAAGTTGTTCGAAAGGGGTCAAGGTTGCAAGTGTCCAAGCGATGTAACGGGCTTCCTCGGACGTGACGAGCAGGGCATAGATGGAACCTGGGGTATTGTTGCGCTCAAGGAAGTCAAGACAGTTGTATGCGGCCTGCCAGGCATGAAGCTCGGGACGCGGCATGTTGGACCGATTGGGGTCAGTGAAGACTGCGTGGTAGAGGCCGAGACGGTCAATAAACCTGAGGGCTGCGACAGCATTTGCGTCTGTGTGGATGCCAATCAGCCACGATGTCGCGTTAACATTTCAGGAGGGAAACATGATGTTCTCACCTTTCATCATCTTTTCCAGCTCAACGCCAATTCTCTCCCGGCTGATTTTGATTTTGAGATTCTCCAATACCCTCTCGTCCCCCATAACACTCTCAGCTGCCTCATCGATGCGGAATCCAAACCGGCTGGCAAATCGTACCAGTCTCAGTACACGCAGAGGATCATCCAGGAACGTTTGCAACGGTTCCATTGGCGTGCGGATCAATCCAGCTTGCAAGTCTGCTACCCCTCCGGTGAAATCTTCGATTTTTCCCGTGTTCAGGTTGTAAAAAAGGGCATTGATTGTGGCATCGCGCCTTAAAGCATCCTCCTCTGCTGTCCCAAACTCGACTTCGGGGTTTCTGCTATCATCCGCATACGTCTCCTTGCGCAGGTTCACAAAGTCTACATCCAGCCCGCACAATTTGATCGTGCTGGTAGCCAAGTGCTTGCTCTTGTCCGGGTTGCGCGGCACGGTATGCAAGCGGCCTATGTCATCGTCGTGCAGACCGTGCTTCGCCTTGTTGGCTGGATCGTCACAGTAGTCACGGAGCCCATCCACAAAAGCCTCGCCCGTCATCGAGTTGATGGCCGTGTCGATGTCGTGGGACGTAATGCCTAGCAGCTTGTCGCGCACCCAGCCACCAGCCCAGCGGAGTACCAGAGGGTCGCGGCGTGGTTGCGTAGAATGTCCATCTCCAGCCTGGTTCAGGTCGCGATTGTCCATGTACTTGGCTGCCTCTAGGAGCAGATTTTTGAGCTGCTCTTCACGGGCATTGAGAGTGATGGTCGGAGGGCTAGGGAGTTGAGAAGGGCTGGCGTGGCTCGCTGGTGCTGCCGAAGGCATGGTAGACAGTCTCTTGCAGGGAATTGAAGGAGTGGATGACGATGTTGGTGTCGATATGCTGTCCAGTTTGCGTTTCATGGGGCAGCAGCAATGCCAGATGAAAGTGCCTGGTGTCCTCCCCCGAGCAAAACGAGCCAGCATGCGTAGGCACAGAAACAGCTGCTGTCCCCCAACTGTGGAAAACTATTCTTCCTAAAAAAATGAACCTCGAATAAATTATCGTTCAGCACCTGAGCAAGACAGTAGCTGCGTATATCAGTTAGTGTTCAATTAGGCCCTGAGAATGAGGGGTCACCAATGACTGAATGCTGTGTGTGCTGCGGCGGCGACGGAGTCACATCCATGAGTAAGGCTGACATGAGCTGGCTGTGTGGTACGAACCTGGAGTAGCCCCGAGCTAGGTATGGTAATAATTCTGTAGGTCAAAATTTAAAAACTCTCATGCAAAGGCAAGGCTTCCATTCTTTTGTCCCTTTGTGACGAGGGAGCTTCTGATGATATCTTTTCATTCATGTTATGCTTGTATTGGTGGGGATACGGCACAGTACTGCACAGTATGGGGCTAAGAGGTATTGTACTGTGTGAAGGCAACTAGCTTACCGTGTAACGTTTGATACTGGTACGGATCGGTATGTTAACTTACGGGTCGCTTAACCGTGCAGTTTACAGGGCACCCGTCACAATATCAAGCTCGTCCACCCGCTCTTGGGTGGACGCTCAAGGGTGGGATGATGCCCAAGTTCATCATCCTGACATACTCTATCTGGTTTTCTACTATTGAATACTTGCCATTCCTGTTGCTCATCTCATTTGGTCAGCTTTCATCAAACTTTAAAAGCCCTAATCCCCCGTTTATCATTAAGTACACACACGCGTGGTATCGAATCGACGAGTCACATCACTAAGCCAAACAAAATGTTTGTGAACCCCTAAGCCTTCCGTTCCATCCACGCTTCCGTCATCATCACGATGATGGAGAATCGGTCTGTGGTGGTCCTGCTTCCTGCTTGCTTGCTGGTATCGGTTCCAACTCCTCCCCCGGCTCATCCAGCGCTAGGTCTGCTCTTAGATTGGGCAGAAATCGGTCGATGCGCTTCCATGTCTCATTCCAAAGCTCCTTACGAGCAGGATTGCGGCTGGGAGGGACTAGATACCCATTGCTCGACATGATGAGGAGCACGTTCTTGAGGTTTTCGGGCACTGCCTCCTCCTGGTCGCAGCCAGTCTGATCAGTTATCAAGTCCATGATTACTCAAGAGAGCGAGAAATAAACTCACCAAGCTGTCACCCTGTCCGCAGCCCATCAAGCGATCCATGATCTCAATAATCTTGAGCCAGAGGTCCAACATTCCCTCCCATTCACTCAGCTCTACCAAATACTGCAAAAACACTTTGCACAGCATGGACGCTGCCTGTACTCGCGTCTCGCTCATACCATCACGATCAGTGGAGAATACCTCGGGTTTCAGCAAAGTCAAAATGAGAGGAAACAACACCTCGGTGAAAATGGCTGTCCACGGGTGTTGATACTTGAGTTGCCCTTCTTGACCATCCTCTCTTGAAACGGGGACGCCAGCTGCACTGCTTTGACTGACACTGCTCGTCGTTGCTAATAGCTCCGCAGAGAGCAGCGTGCGTTGCAGAGAGCTCACAGCGAGATGGCGGATCTCGCGGCAAGGGTTAGTGCATTGTGTAGTGAGGCGCTGAAAAATGGGGAGCCAATAAGCAGACCAGGCCTCGTTACTCTCCAGGTGTGACTGCTTCATGAGGTGCGGGACACGTGCTGTCAGGCGCTGGATGCTGTTGACGGCTTTCACGCCTCGTTCAACAATAGCGTTTTCGCTCGGCTTCTCCATTTTCCCTCCTCTCCCCCCTTTTCTTCCTAGCCTCCTATCATTTTGCTGCTCAGCCACGGCTCCAATGCTTGCGATTGATGCAAACTCATTTAGCAGTGAAAGTGCTGCTTCGTAGTTGTCAGCCATAATAGCTGGAGGAGTACTTGTGATGCCAGCTTCGAGTATCTCAAATACAGTCGACGCCGCTTCAGGATTGCCAGCTAGTGTCTGAAGGATGGCCCAGAAGTCAGGCGATGTCATTATCTCATTTCGTAACGGGCATGGCTTCTCAGTGCAGCGCTTCAAGCCGCGCAGCACGAGTCCAGCCGTCTTGAGCAAGATATCGTTCGGGAAGCTGGAGATGGTGTGTAAAAGGATAGGGACCCGAATATAGTCGTAGTCCTGTAAAACTTGTTAGTCAAGATGATAAAGAAAAACGAAATGACATCTGCCATATCTGCGCTTACATAGCTAGCATGGAGGAGACTAAGCAGATAGAATGTTGCCCGTTCGATGACAATGGGATGATGCCGAGGAACATCCCGAAGAACAGTCTGAAGAGCATCGACGACGCGCTTGCCAAAAAGCTCAATGGTGCTGGCATCACGCAAAGCCAAAAGAGTTGCAAACTCAAGCACGTAAACCAGGGCTGGATCATAGGTAGCTGTACTCTGCCGGTGCTTTTGGCCGTTAGCCTGGGAGGGAGGAATGTTATCTGTCTTTACCGTAATGACTGTTGAACCACTGTTTTCGGGAATTTGCTCTAACAGCGCATCTATCAACGGTTCAAGACAATGGCTTGGAAGGTTCCTATATTGCAAAGTCAGAAAAAAAAATCAAGAGGGAGAAACATGTCAAAGGAGTTGATGAACTTACGCAATGTTGGAAAACACCTCCTCCATGTGACACTGGCTCACACAGTCAACGGTGCACAGAGTGCTTTCGAGCTCCTCGTCTGACGGTTCAGGCGGATCATCGGCGGCGTAACTGGAGATATATGAGGTGAAAGCTGAGAAGAAGCCGGACTCGCTCTGTTTAGCGGCACGGTCAATCACAAGTGACGGAGGTTGTAGGGGGATGGCCGGAAGCCCCAGCTTTTCTGCCGCATCAGTCGAAAAATAGGCCGGGATAAGAGAGTTGACAAAGAGGTTAAGCCAGATGCGCACAATGTGCTTCCAACCTTTCCGGATGACATGCTCTGACCCGTTTACAACTCTGAACAAAACCAACGTGGCCAGCTGCGGACGAAGGTCCCTACCAAACTTGACCGCCAGCTCGCTGACCATGACACTGGTGTCTCCCACCTGAACTTCTGTGTTCAGAGAGGTGTTGGACAACGACTCGGTGCCGAGCGTCGTGATATAGTTAAGCCGGTATATTATCTCATCCAAGGCCTCCGAGTTGCCGTACTTGGTGGCGATGCGAGCGCACTCGTCGAAGCCTGTGATGACGCGAGCGTAGACTGTGTCATCTGTTGCCGACATAAAGACGAAGAACAGGCATGAGACGATCGGGTTCCAGGTGGTAGCGAACATATCGGCATCGTAAATGTTGGTATCGCAAAGCACCAACGGACCAGCTGACTCGCTCTTGAACAGCAGTTCTTTCCAAGCATAGTCAAACGCATGCTTGTTGTCATGTTCGTCAGGTAGGATGATTTCATTCGTCTTAATTGTTTCGTAGATGTCCTGAAGGTATTCGGTAGGAAAATCTTGCCCTCCGTTCTGGCCCCGGAGATTACGTGAGAAGTCGGCGAAGGTCATGCGGGATTGATTCTTGAGTGTTGGATTATGCTGATCTGTATTCAATATAATGATGGCGTAGGTGAGAATGAAAACAGCGTCCTTATTAGCTACGCCATCCGGCACCGAACTGGCGCAATACTTTTCCGAAAAGGAGCTGACGATGCGCTCAATTAGGGGCGCCTCTCCAGGGAGACGGAATGTCTCCAGCAGAGAACGGAGGGCTTCGTCGACTCGCTTCCCTGTGAAGTCGAACGTGTCGATAAACGCGTCCAAGATGGGTTCGTTGCCCTTCTTAGACAAGAACTCTCCAAGCACCTTTTTGTTTATCCTGGTTGTGCCCTTTAAAAACTTGGCAACACAGACAGGGTCGCTAGCATCTGCAATGATCCCCTTCTCCTGCAAGTAGGCCAACCCGCCTTTTGGATTCTCATTGAATTTGTTGGTACCTTTGATTATGATCTTTTTCCTGCGCCGTCTCTCCCTGAGCGTTTCAAGATCAGGATAGCCTTCTGTCTCTGGAGTCTCGTCGAGTCGCTCGGCAATGAATTGAATGAAGCGCAACAGAGCGTCAAGACATAAGGGGGGAACGCTGGTTGTGCTCCATGTGGCAGAGTCCGGGAGCGCATTTCGCGCAAGCAGACCGACCAAGTCCTCACACAAGTCAGAGCGGTCTTCGTCACAGTCGTAATTGACAAACAGTTCAGTAAACCAGGTTGGCATCCGTGCCAGAACGCCAATATTTTCCACCATTGCTTGCCTGGCATCCGGCTTGCGAGCGCCACCTTCCAAGCCCAACTTCTGGCGATCTTTGACAGACACCGGAGTAGATCTGCCGCTGCCAGCTTGTGAGGGCGGCGGCTTGACAAGCTTTGGAGCTGTTGGGATGCCCGCGTATAGAGCAGGATCGATGCCAGGCTCACGGGGGATTTCTATCGCTGGGTGCAGACAGGCCACTAGATAGGATAGGTACAGTTCCTGCTGCAGTTTTAGGATTCCTCTACACGTCGAAAGGAGAGTACTCGCCACTATCAGAGCTTCCTGAAGCACGGCCATGTTATCGGACCGGACGAGTTGGAAGAGATAGCAGCACAACTGGTTTTCTGCAATGGTCGCCAGGGCAGGATGACGGGCGATAGAGGGTCCCGCAACCTCGAGGGCGACGTGGATGATGCGCAGGGCCATGACGCGCATCTGGTCGGGATGCCGACGGTCGTGTGGATCGAGGAAACTGACAAGGACGCGGAAGAGCTCCCGAATGGATGGGAGAGAGTAGGGGCGCAGATCGATTGACTCGGAGCTTTCCGTGGCAGAACTTGTACTCGGCCGGCCAGCTTCGTTTTCGGGGCTTTCAGCAGACCCTGAGGACTCACGATTGATCTCACCTGGGCTTGGCTTCTCCTGGACAGCAGGCTCGCCACCTCCCTCTGGGGGCTGTGCAGGCTCGCTGGGTTTTGCTCCATTTACCTCTGCTTCTGGCACTGCTGCCGGCAGATCGGTGCCGTTGACCTCTGGGTCCATATTGATATTATCCATGTCCTGGCTTGTTTGTTGATCCAAGGCTTCGCTCTCCTCTCCTGCTTCATCCTCTAAATGCTTCAAGTCTTCAAAGATGATGCGAACCATGCGGACCATGGATGCCTCAGCAGTTCGACGAAGAACCTCAGAGAATCTTGGGCGAGAGCATATAGTCAAGCCTCGCCCCATCATATCGCAAATGCTCTCATCGCTGAGGATGTCTCCTCCAGGACCGGACAGCATATCTTCCATAAGATGGAGAATCATAAGCAGTACTACTTCTTCCTGGGCCGGGTCGCTGATATCAAATTGACAGTGTGTAATAGCGGCTGAAAGAGACTGCATGGCCAGGGCGAAGCGAGGAGAAACCGGAGCGATGAAGCCATAGGCCAGGAACTTCTGGATGGACCTCAGAGCGAGGATGGTGACGGGGGCAGCGGTGCCCTTGGCTTGGATGACTTGCAGAAAGGGGTACAGCAGAACAAGGGAGTCGAACTTGTATATGTCTGGCGCGAATGTCAGCATATCCTGCGGTTGACTACGGTCGATTGTCCCCCATTTCCTCCCAGTCAAACCCTCCCCGGTTCATTCTCTCATACCTTTCACACCAGCCAACTCCTGCCGCAGTCTTCCAAAACCAGCGATCAGTGGGCTGTCCTGCATGCTCTTGCCTTTCTTCCCCCGAAGACCCCATCGGTTTGTGGCGTACTCGCCAGTCCCGCTGCCGTGCGGATCGCTAAAATGCTTGCGGACATGACGACCGGCCGGGCCCGGAGAGCCAAGCTGGACAAGGTTGGGGCTGCCGCCGAGGATGGCAGCGACTGAGGAGTGCGGCGAGCGGGCGTGCTTCTGGATGGCCGACGTGATGGTGATGCACTCGGAAATGACGAGAGACACGGGGTCGACGGCTACCGAGACAGGACGACTGCGGTACTGCATGCGCGAGGAGAGAACAGGGCCGCGTCGAGGGAGGGGTGTGGGAGTAGACGGTATGGGAGCAGGCGTGCCTGGTCCTCCTACAGCTGATGCTGCTGGTGTTGCTGCTGCGACGGTGGGATCCATGGCGGCGGCAAGGTGTGCATCGTGGCTCATAGTGCAGCAGAAGTGCCCGAATCGGGATTTGTGAGGATCTTATGCCGCCCGCGCTGGCTTTTGTTCACAATTTGCTGCGTCAAGTTTGCAGCAGTTTGGGTTGCGAGCTGGGAGTGGGAGACGATGGGCCAGAGCAAGTGAGTGGAAGGACGCGGGGACAAACTGTCCTTGCGATGGCGACGCCACTACGAGGCGGTTTACTTAGTGTAGCAGTAGCAGCAATGGACCTTGTCAGATCGGCAGGACGACAAGTTACTGGGACTGTCAAGTCTCTCAAAATGAGATGTCCGACGCAGCATTGTACAGCCTCGTAAACGGCGTATTTGTCTAATTCTAGAGGGCAAATGGTTGTTTATTTCATTGAAGCTGCTGTTCACCCGTGCTGTTGAGTCTTTCTACCCTTGTTCAACCCGAGGCCCCTGCGTGGAAGTAAGCGGGTTGTCGCCAGAAACTCATTGATCCACCACAGTTGCAGTCCGCAACAAGCTACTAAAGAGACCATGTGGTGCAGGCTTTTGTCTAATCATCTGACAGGATTCCTTCCAGCATAGAATGTCAAGCCAGGACTGCAGGCAGGCCACTTCGCGGCGATTAGCACCCCGTCTATGGCCAGCTACGAGCATCCATCTCTGTTGTTTGCAGGGCCCTGGGCAGAGAACTGACTGCTGCCCAAGCGTGTATGATTTGATTTTCTTACCAAAATCCTTTAACTCACTTTCAAGTACGAGTTTGTTGGGGTCTGCATCTTGGCCAGAGACAGCGTTAAAAAGCGAAACTTTCGTTCATTCAGATTATCCATCTATTGTTAGTCGCAGCAGCCCTAGGCTCTCGATCTGAGCAAAAAAAAAGTGGGTTGGTATATAAAAGCTTAAAGTATTAGGTATTGCGGAGAACGAAAACAAGAAGCCCAGCCCGTGGCACTGTTGCCAAATGCCCGTACAAAGACAGATATCACCTTGCCTCGGCCTTTTCTCCCGTCTTGCTGCCGGCAGCGGCCGCTTTTTGCGCATCCTCCTGCTTTTTCTGGCTTTCGGCTATGGCAACTTGTTGGAGCTTGGACTTGTCCTCCTCCCACTGGCTTGTGGCATCACCAAATGACTCCTTCAGCTTCTGGGCCTTCTCAGCTTTTTCTTTCTCCTCCTTTTCTCGTGCAAGGCGCTCACGTTCCATTTGCTGAAAACACGCAGTTAGCTCAGGACCACAAAAACATCCGCCAGAAAAGGAGGGTAGGTACATACCTCCATATGCTTGAGATCCTCAACACTAGGTTCATACAAGTGCCAGATAGTGTAGTGCGGCAAGCCGACGACCGAGAACTTCATCTTCTTTGCCATCTGCTGCGCCGTTAATCCATGTCTCAGCAACATTTAAAGCAGAGAGGTACGACATACCTTGCCAAACCCTTCAGTTTCAGCGTGCTTCTCAAAGCTGAAGGCCGGGAAATGGACACCGTAGCGGAAGACTCTAGCCTTCGCCAGGATACTCACGCCGCCAACGCCGTCGATTTCCATTTCCATATCAGGGTCGCCATAGGGATCGCGCAGGTATGCTAGGTGCGGGCGCCAAGTAGCGTACTCGGCATACCCCTCAACAATGACAGCGTCCTCGTCAAGAGTGTCGGCCAGAGCCAATGCCGTGTCTGACTCTTGCCACGAATTGAGATCGTAGGGTTGTTCGCCGCCAAGCCAATCGGGCAGTGGGCGCCAGACGTCTGCAGCACGATCCATGTGTTAGTGTATGTAAAAAGAATGCGCGATCGGAGGGCGAGACGTACTCGGAACGATGACGTCCTTGTTATGACGCATCAAGTCCTCCAGAATTGTATATGGCGCCGTCTCAACATCGACGTCGCGCCAATAAACCCAGGAGTGATAGGGCCGTAGGGCCGCGCTCAGAAGCCAGTTGCGCGCGCGCGCCATGAGCTTGCGTCGCGGGGCCTGAGCAGCGAAACCATGGCGACTTTCTACATCCTGATTGACAACCTGGCCAAAGTCCTTTTCGATGATGCTGACCTCCCCAAACATCATATTCGGGTCCCCACTCTCCTGGATCTCACTCATATAGTGTGTCAGCACCTCAAGGGTACGGTCCTTCGAGTCGGACACCAGGAACGCTAGATCGATCAATCGATGGGGGTATGTAAAGTTGCGCAAGTGGGAGAAAAACATGGGTAGATGTTGCTCGGCATCCCGTAGCGGAACACACACCAGGATGCGCTCCTCGCGTTCCCAACCTCGGGCAGTGCCTTGGACATCGTTCAGATCATAGTAGCGGACCGTCTCAAGTTCGCTATCCGCGAATGGGTTGCGCGAGGACGATAACAAGCCAAATGAGATAACTGCCAGTGGCGAGATTCCAGCAGTCCAGTAAAGAACAAAAAGCAGGAATGCAAAACCCGCAAGCCCGTATCGTATGAGCAGGCGCTGTCGTCTTCGTAACGGTGTTGTGCTTCGTGGTTGGTATCTGTGGGTAGCATGGAGAGCCAGGCAGTCGGTCAGCTGTTTGTCCTGGCGATAACCAGACAAAATTTGGGGCGAGAGACGTGTTTACTGAATCAAACATACCTATGAGGCGAAAGCTCGAAGGTAGTCGCCCGCGGATACCCATTGGAGTAGCTGGCCATATGTTGTCGAGGGGTCACCTTGGACCCCGAGGATGCAAACGGCAACATCTGTTGTCGACAGAGCAAGGTCTCGCCGCAGAGTCTCGCCGCAGGGTCTGACGCGAGAAATCCTTGGCTCATGAGGCAGGACCCCGAAAACTGGAAATCGTGCGCGGGCGTCGGCGCAGGAATTTCGGGATGGGTAAGTTCACCAGCGGCCGATGGCTTGTTGGGCTGTTTGGCGGTACGTCGTCGGTATGCGGTTCTCTCAAGGTCGGGTTCGTAGGGCGCCAAAATCAGGTCAGCACATGGCTGGATCCGAGATGGAACATAGGTGGAATGCAATAGCCTTGGGCTAGGACAAACGTTGTACGAAACAGTTGGCCAAAGTTGGACGTTTCTCGTCAGTCTGCTTTGTGCGTCAGTCTCGCTGCTTGGACATTTCAACCCCCTGGCGGCCTGTCTGCGCGGCGTGACCGTGGCGGTTTGATTCTGGCAGACCCCTTGACGTTCTTGGCGCTGCAACTCCCTGGTTCCCACTTCTTGGTGGCCCGGGCTTTGATGCAGGTCCTCTCTACGGTACCACTGGTTAAAGTCACTGCAAAAGCATTCCAGCCAACAGAGCAGGAACGCAAGGCTTATAGTACTTTCTCCGCATGTACTGGGACATACGGGCTACCCCTTAAAACTGTCAAACATGGTTTCAAATTTGGCAAATTTCAGGTTTGACTTCCAAAGGAGATGTAGAACGCAAAACGAGTATTTGGGGTTTTTCGACAAGCGGCTTGGTTGCAGAGGCACTGATACTTCACGGACCCCTGGGAGCACGCAACCCCAGGAAACGCCCTCGCAGCGATATGGATTACTTCGTGCCGAATAAATATGCTTTAATGGTATTAAGCTACTAGAAGCTACAGGCACCTGCGGGACTTGGTAGTATTTGGATAGTTCCAGTCAGAACACGAGACACGCGATGGTTGAGCTCCGGCAGCCCTACGAATCTCAGGTACTCACCGAAAACCTACCTCGTCAGGCCCTCTGGTGTCCCGCGTAACACTTGGCAATATTTCCTGTGCGGTGAATCTCCAGTAACCTGCATTGGGATAGTCTGCAGACATGTTGATCGGTCAGCATGCATCCTGGAACCAAAATGAAACATCGAGCATTTTATAAGCCCAGCTTCAGACATGCCAGTTTTACTCAGCCCTACAGGCCGGCCCAGGCCGCTGCACACCATAACGGTACACATCAACCGCAGACAACTGAAGCCAAATTACGTTCCCGAAGGAACAACACCACAACTCATCCTCACATCCAGAGATGCTCGAGTGCGGGTGGATGGCTTGGCCTGTATGTATCGTTGAATGGATAAGCTATTGTCATCAGATCAGGTAGTCCGGAATCCGGTGCACCCAAAACTCCAGCATTACCTACCGTTTGTCCCGGCCAGAAATCATATTGATTCTGGCCAAGAGGGGAGGGGAGAGGATAGTGTACCTAAACTAGTACTTGTCCATATGGTTAGTTATGAATTGCCAGTAAAGAACGTTACGAGTCGAGGATGTTGCAGATACAGCATCAGAGGAGGGTTATGGTATTTGTTTATCTTCATTCTTCTTCAGAAGCAGAACTGAAAAAGGATAACGCTCATCATGGCAAGAAAAAAAATCTCAGAGGCAAAGATCTTACCAAGTCAGAGAGTGAAAACCGCTCGATGGATCAGACAATTAGCTGTTGGAGACAGAAGGCATCAATCTAACGACACGTTAGCACAAGTCCATAATGCTCGTATTGAGGGCTGCAATGACAAGAGAGCCGTCAGATGGTAGTGCATGTATTATTCCTTCCGCTCACAGGACGTCGCGTGAATTGTGGATATAGATTCATCATGAAGTTGGGAGCAGGGTTTTTGAGGAGTGTCCCAATCTTACCATGAGACCGGTCCGAGGGTTCGAATTGGGGACCAGACAAGTTTCCGAGTGGTTTCTGACTAGGAGAACTGTCTCCACGCAAAGACGACAGGAAGGCAATCGACCACGCTGAACCGCCGCTCCAAAAAAGGCTTGCAAGCCTCCTATAAAGTTATGAAGCATGAAGAGATTTTGAAGCATAAAGTTGTGTTCTTTCTGCCATAGGACAGAGCATCATCTTGATGCAGCTCACAACTGCCAACATTGAGTTCGAAGCGAGCGAACGCTGAGGATTGGAGGAAGCAAAACCTGAGAGTCGATAAATTTTTATTTATATAGCCAGCAGATTTTGGTGGGGTGTGATCCGTGCGTTGCTCGAGTGGGGTCCTTCGACTGCCGTCCGTTTCGTCATTTCATTGGCGCAGGTCTTGAAGTAACAGGAGAACAAAGTCGATGTCTCTCCAGACCTTCATGGCTTAAAACAAGAGCAAGACTTGACGAACTAAGCGGGTTCATCGATACGAGGCCAGCCCGTATCCTCAAGTATCAGATCTACATGTTCAATTTTCCTGAATTCGCTCGCGTTTTTTGAGGGAATAATAGGCATACCTTTGACCCTCGAATCACTTTTTCAGCATCTCACGATTACGCTTCATTCCTTCCACTCAGTTATGACCGACAGAAGGCGGATCAATGGCCCTGCCGGGGCCACGATCCCTCCAGTATATGAGGACTCTGGAATCTCAGAAGTAAAGGCATTGAAAATTAGATCACGTCCTTCCAACATCATCCGGAAAATCTGTACGCACCGTCACTGCTGTTTCTCTATCAGTCCTGCTAACTCAGCACAGATCTCAAAACGGGTGTGACACCCTCGGCATCAGGATCCGCCTATCTGGAATTAGAAACGTCTGCGAACTCTGGAGTCTCTGGCCTCAAATTGAGCTGCACTGTCCATGGGCCACGGTCACTGCCTCGATCAAGTCCTTTCTCACCTCATATGGTTGTGTCTACCCACGTCAAGTATGCACCATTTGCAACCAAGCAAAGGCGAGGGTATCTTCGCGATCCCACTGAACGAGATCTTGGTATTCATCTCGAGGCTGCCCTCCGTGGGGCCATAATCGCCGACCGGTGGCCAAAAAGCGGCGTTGACATTATCATCTCTATCATTGAAGGTGACCAAGACCGCGAAGCGTCTAAAACCCAAGGGGATGAGGTATGGGATATGATGAACACGTTGAGCGGGTGTATCACCGTTGCTTCGGCTGCATTGGCCGATGCTGGAATCGACTGTGTCGACACTGTTGCTGGGGGCGTTGCTGCTCTTGTGCAGGACAGTGATGGATCGCCGGAGATCGTGGTCGATCCCATCCCGTCAGAGCATCGTAAGATTCTTGCAGCATGCTGTGTTGCATATCTACCTATGAGGGATGAAGTCACAAACCTTTGGTTCAGGGGAGATCTCCCTGCTTCTGACATGGATCTTTACACAGAACTTGTTGAAAAGGGGATACAAGCTTCACGGAGCGCTAACCGTGTGCTTGTTGATTGTTTAACGGAAACAGTTGGATGATAGTCAGCAATGCCCACATGTTATTTCCGGTTAAAGCAGCAATCTTCTACATACTTAGCTGTTGGCTGAACTGTCATTAGAAGGTCAAATGGGCATGCTACAAGTCCTCGTTCGGCTAAACATCACTCCGAGGATATCCTCGATTGCGATCATTTCCACGGCTCGATTGGGGAATGCTACGGGCAGTCATGTCCATGCTTACGAATCAATGCGATCTGGGCAATCCTGTAAATGGCTACTCGAACAGTACAGGACAAGCAATTCAACATAAGAGTGGTAGTGGTCGATCGAAGATATCGTATCTTATCGTCGATCTCGAGGCTGTACATACCAAACTGCACCTAATATACGATGCGCAACCTGTAGAACAACATGGAGTCAAATATATTTTCACATCATGAAGACATCAATAGTCGTGTTGCTGATGAGGGAGACGTTGCCAAATACAAAGTGTTCTGGATACATAGGGAGAGTGACCTGCTTGGACAAATGGGATCCTGAATGCATTGAATGCAAAGTTTTAGGTATTCGTGATCTTTTTTAGGCAGTTCAGCTAGTAGGCAGGGAGTTTTGCGAGGTACGTTCGGGATTTGTGAACTAGATTAGATTCTCATTCTACGTTCGGTCATCGAACACACCATTGAATAGGGGCTCTGCAGAGAGTTTTTGTGGTCTCCTGGCGTGGGGTGGTCCAAATCTGCGCTGATTGCGTAATGCACAGTGTCCCTCGTTGGTCAGAACTGTCTGAAAGCCATTGGGCTCTGAAGAAATTGTCAGTTCTAACTTTGCGATCCCATACTGTACTCACACACAGTACATAGAACCCTGCCGCACTAGCCATGGGTACACCTATAGCGACGCCTAGCGGGAGTATCCACTGGCTGCCAGGCTGGGCCAAGCGTCCGTTGCCGAGCCAAGGCTCCATCATGCTGCTTCAGGGATCTGTAGGTAGCTCACCCAAAAGGCGCGCCCGCTGCGGGCTGTGCAAAGGCCATCAAGCGAAGGTTGCATTTGGTTCCACGGCTCATGATTCGTCGCCCCTTATCAAAAAAACAGACGCCGTTCTCTGATTCCTTCCAAAGCAAGTCCTCATCAACTCTCCAATCTCTCGCTCCAACCTTCGCAGCAACCTACCACAAACTAATAATACAGCACGACTCAGCCTTCTGGGCTGTGTACCCTCGTTTGCAAACCACCTACGCACCCTACCCGCGACTCTCGTTGCCCTGACATCATACGTTTACCTATACGACTTTTAATCTCCTAGATTTTGAGATTCTTTGATCACTTTTGCAGCAATTAATTGTGACGCCACATCCTAGAACCAACCTAAAGTCAACTCGATGCTCTTGATGCATTCGCAACATACATTCCAACCGTAGTTTGTCGTTACCTTTACACAGGAACGTCTGCTGATTCTCTCGGCATCGCCCTTGTTTTGTTGGCTAATCCGAGCTCCTTGGACGGCGTCATTCATAACTACTTTCGATGGGCAAAAATTGGCGATGGGGCGTGATTCTGGACGCCGGGTCGTCTGGAACGCGGCTACATATATACCGGTGGAAAGACCCTGAAAAAGCGATCAAGACAGCCTCCAAAGAAACTCTCCGCAGTCTTCCCAAGCTGGTGACAGATAAGAAATGGACAAAAAAAATCAGACCCGGGATCTCTACGTTTAGCGAGCGGGTGGCCGATGTAGGACCGGAGCATCTGCAGACTTTGATCGACCATGCGCTCGATATCATACCCAAAGATAAAGTGGAGGACACCCCAATCTTTCTCATGGCGACCGCCGGCATGCGACTCCTTCCCCAAATTCAACAAGCGGCCCTGACACGTGAAGTGTGCTCCTATCTCCGCCAAAATACTCGCTTCTACATTCCTGACTGCAGTAAACACGTTCAAGTTATTAAGGGAGAGACGGAGGGCTTGTATGGTTGGATCGCCTTGAACTATCTTTTGGGCGGATTCGACCACCCGGAGGACCATCGACATGGAAAAGGACACCATACTTATGGTTTTCTGGACATGGGTGGAGCGTCTGCACAGATCGCCTTTGCGCCAAATGCAACGGAAGCCGAAAAGCATGCCAACGATCTTAAGCTCCTCCGATTACGAACCCTCGATGGCTCTTCACTGGAATACAAGGTTTTCACCGCGACGTGGCTCGGTTTTGGAGTTGATCGTGCTCGGGAGTCTTACATCAAAACCCTTGAGGAATACTACGAGCCGTTTGAGGGTGAGCTCCCCGATCCTTGCCTTCCCAGGGGCTTGAGGATCACAGTCGATGGCAATCCAGCCACACAATCTCAACCAAGGAAGCCGACCCTGCTGGGCACCGGAGTCTTTGATGAGTGCTTGAGGCGAACATATCCTCTGCTTGGCAAAGACAAGCCATGCCAAGATCACCCATGCTTGCTCAACGGACAACACGTGCCGGCGATTGATTTTGATGTGAACCATTTTATTGGAGTCTCCGAGTACTGGCATACAACCCATGGTGTGTTTGGAGGCAAGGGAGATAAGGCATACGACTTCGCCACATATCAGAAAAGAGTTAAGGATTATTGTGGACAGGACTGGGAGACCATCAAGTCCAAGGTCGATAATCGGGACGAATTCGAGATGAAGATTGCCCAGGAAGCTTGCTTCAAAGCTTCTTGGCTCATCAATGTCCTCTATGAGGGCATTGGTATCCCTCGTGTTGGCATCGACCAAGTTCACTCGGCAAACGTATCCAAAGGTGCCGTCGAAAATGTCAAAGAAAAGGGCTTTGCGGACCCATTTCAGCCCGTTGACAAAATTGATGGCATTGAGGTCAGCTGGACTCTTGGACCAATGGTGCTCTACGCATCGGGTCAAATACCCCCCAAAACATATGATGACAGGTTCCCTGTTGGATTCGGCAGCAATGAGCCAGGTATTCCGGCAGACTTTCAGTTCGCTGGCTCAACATGGCAATCATCTCAAAGCCAATACAACAATGGGACTCTGGTTGACACTGAAAGCGATGATTGGGATCTCGATGCCGACGAAATTATTGACAAAGCCAAGTCGAATTCTGCAGCTGGTTTCTTTATGTTCGTCTTTTTCCTTCTCGTCTTCCTGTACTTCTTCCGTCGTCGTGACCGGCGCATGCGTCTCTACAGTAGAGTCAACTGCTTTATCCGCCGCACTCGGAGATCAGGAGGAAGTGGCCTGCGCAGTAAAGGCAGCCATGGCCATGGAGGGCTCTCGGGATTGGCACACAAGGTATTCGGGAGCGCCACAGCCCAATCCATGGGATCTTACGAGCGTATTATGGAAGAGGGAGAGGCAAACCGTTTCGAGCTCGATGGCAACGGCCCATTTGAATCTTCCATAGATGGCTATGCCGATACCAATGATTGTGGTCGCGTGGGAAGGTCTTCAGGCTTGGCCACACCTAAGGACCACTTGGGACGGTTTGATCACCTTGTATCATCTCCAACGGTGTCAGCGCTGGATCGCAGTGGCCTTGTGGTTCGCACCGACAGCCGCGAACGTCTAACACTGATGCCCCCCCCTCTTGGGTCTTCTGGTGTAGGCAGAAGAAGTCGCGCTGGCAGCCCAACGAGGCTCAAAAGCCCTTTGTTGTCGCCGCTCCAAGAGGCATAGAGTCATTGCCATGAACTTAAGGGTATGATGCCATGTATGACGAGTCAAACGGGATCCGTGTTTAGCGTTATGTTCTCGGGTTATGCTCAACGTTTAGGGTGTGGTTTGAGCTTGCATGAAATGATAGCGAAGTAAGTGAGGATTTGGTATTTTCTTGCACATTTTTCAGTGTCTTGTTTCTCTTCGATATCCTGGAGCACTCGCACGCTTTGAATGGATGGATGTATGGCATTTTGTCCTGTGTGCTCAAGTGCGGACGCCATCGCGTTCAGTCCTTGTTCCAGGAGCTAATATTTCTTGTTCAACCTTGGTGGTCAGCGATTGAAAGGCAGGTATGACCTCTTCCGTTATCATGCAGCCTATTTTTGAGAATCCCAGTACGATAGATGTGTGGATGATTCAAATTAATTCATGTCTATATTGATTCATGGCTAGATGGTTTCGAACATGACATCAACCGATTTCTCGTGTTACTCTTGTTCCTATGGTTACAGATCTAGGATCGCTCATTTTTGTGCCCTTTTCTTGCTCTTCACACTCTCTGCCTTCCTCTAGAGTTTCTCCGTCTACCGGTCCCCTGGCGAGCCTCTCTGAAGCCTCACTCAACTCTATCAAGGAACTTTGGGTCTGCCTTCAGTTTTGCCTCAAACTTTCGCCACCAGTCCTCGAACGCGCGCAGAGGTACTACCTCGACTCCCCCCTGCTGAGATGTGAAGCTTGTTAAGAAGTTGAAAGCATGCCGGATTATGCGCTGCGCAAGCACTAGGGTGTCAAATTGCCCCAAGCCCTTTGATTGATCAGAAGCCGAACTTGAAAGCGATGAAGATGCCGGTACCAGCGCGAATGCGTCTTGCCCGGCACTACTAGACTTGCTGTTGCTCAGTTCAGCCATGCGCGCTGAAACGGACTCTGCGGGCTCAACCGAAATCCCTATAACCACATTTTCGCTCCCTGTTGTTGGGGAGCTATTGCCTCCAAGCTTGAAGATTGCGCTCTCCTTGCCTGTGCCAATACCACCCAGGAACTTGGAGTTGGGTTCGGCCTGGCCGGGGCCGGGGGGGGTCACCAGGTAAATCGCGGCCGCGGTGCCTTGAGGTAAGACAACGCCAGGGAGAAGAAAAACGACGATGTGGGAAAACGGTTTCCCGCTGGGAGCTTGGGGGACTGCATAGAGAAAACTTGTCGGAGTAGGGGTTTGTGTTGGCATGTATATGACCGGTTGGCCGGCAGGCACCAGTCCAAAAAGCTGTTGCTGAGACATGACAATGACAAGGCTTGTCCGAGACGATGTTCGGCAGCTGTCAAAAAAGTTGATGGCCCGTTAGATGTGGAATGATTGCTGCAGTTGGTGCTTGCGCAGCTAATTGATATCCCTCGGCTGGGTTCCCGAATTCTTGCGCGCTTCTACGCTTAGCCACTGGAAAATGAGAAGCGCAACGAGGGCGCAGGAATCGTTGCTTGGTTCTGATGATGGTCGCAGACTCAAGCGCTGCTCAGCAAACTCCCTAGGTAGCGAGGTCCGACTCCGACCCCAACACAAAGCAGCCCCGAAGTTGCACCACTAAAACACTAATTCTGGAGTTTTTCGCGCTTTATTATGTTATTCAGAGGTTAATAATCAGTGTCTTTTTGAGCCACTTAGTTGTCTCGAGTATGGAACAAGCCTTGGCACCATCACTTACAGTTTTCAAGAACCGCGATGGGGTTTTGCGCTCTTCCAGAGTAACTAGCTCACGTGTGCCTAGTTTGGTAGTAAGTGTTCGATAATACTTCACTTAAGAAGTGCCCTAAGCTTCCTTAACTAACATCCACTGCACGGTATGCAAAAATCGTCGTGTGGAAAAATTTCCTGCGCACCGTCTTAGCTCCCTCGCCGTCCGTGGTAATACATCTTCGAAGCCGCTGCCCGTTTCTAGATTGATCCACGGCTGCCAAGACTTGACAAGCAGCAGCTTCGGCAGGCCCTTTCGAAATGTTGACACAGAGCAGGCTTCTGTTCTAACCAAGTTTTTGTATCTACCTATGTTACACAAATCGTAGGGTCCCGTCGGTAAGTTTTTTTTCTTACAATCACAGCCCCGGGTCTCTACATATTGAGGAATGATAAAGGCAAAGTTACGAGAGCTTATCGGAGGAGAGTAGAAGGCTGGGTGCTTATGTAGTGTGGAGGGGAGGGGTTGCAACAATGTGGGGTTGTTCCCCCCCAACATCAACGCTCTCTCAAGTCATCTCCTCTCTTTGTCGACCCACTTCTTGGTCAAATCCCCTTAGGCCTTAGGAATATCACTGGGAGCGAGGAGGACTTTTGAGGCAAGACTGGTCACTAGATATCTGGAAATTTGCACTGAGGAGAGAAGCGAGAGCAAGATCATCCACTAGATTCTTTCTTTTGTGCAGCTCTGGCACCGGTTGCAACGTCATGGCTCCTCGATACACATCTCTCGATCTTTTAAACGCTTGCGATGCGTAAGTTGTTTCTCCCTTCCTTCTCCTCATCGTGCCACAAATCATGCATTTTTTCTTGCGCCAAAATCCCTGTTGAATTCAAAATGGAGTACTCCCAGTATCCGACGATTGAGCCTTACCCTCCGTCAACCGGGGGACCAGGAATCGGGATGACTTTCCCTCACCCCTTATACCTTCAACTAACTGGCTTTTGCGACGCAAAGGTTCCCTGACCCTAAGAGAAACCCCCAAGCTTATTCAGAGTACATGAAAGGGTTTTACACGTTGCTCTGGCATGACGACGAGGGCAGTTATCCTATCGGCTATGTTCCATTATCCGTGATAGAGGCGTTGAAAAATACGCCCTCGGACATCACGGGCCGAGTAGATATGGACGATGAGGCCCGGACAGTGTCTCTGTTCGAGGAAGCAACTAACGAGGAGGAGCGCACAAAACTGGTTGGCCAGTTGATGAAGTACTGGCACGAAAACAAGACCTTTCAGCTCCTCAAGAGCTGGCGGGACGAGCTTTGGCCCGTCTATGGGAGAAAGGGCGAGCTCTTGTTCAACATGGAGCGCATGGCAGTTGGCTTAATCGGAGCTATGCGGTATGGAGTACACATGACGGCCTTTATCCGCCGCAAGGACAACAGCAGCCGCTATGATTTTCGTATCTGGGTGCCCAAGCGGGCGGCTAGCAAGTCAAGCTTTCCGGGAATGCTGGACAACACCGTTGCTGGTGGTCTGATGACAGATGAGGATCCCCTGGAATGCATCATTCGAGAAGCTGACGAAGAGGCGTCGCTCCCCGAGGATTATATGCGTGCGCATGCTAAGGAAACCGGCACTGTCACCTACATTTACATCACGGATGAACGCTCGGGTGGAGAACCAGGCTACATCTATCCCGAGTGCCAATGGGTGTACGATCTCGAACTGCCGGTTGACGGAAGCATCATACCAAAGCCCAAAGATAACGAGGTGGAAAGCTTTCGCCTGCATACAGTGGAGGAGATCCAGGAACAACTCGCCCAGGGGCTTTGGAAGCCAAACTGCGCCATCGTCATGATTGACTTTTTCATCCGCCACGGAATATATACGCCCGAGAACGAACCTCACTACGATGAGCTCCGGGCAAGGGCGCATCGCTTCATTCCTTTCCCTGGTCCGCATTGGCCGCATTGGAAGCCTTGTCAGCCAAGGGGCAGGGCAGCGAAATCCTTATAAACATCGGGAGTGTGGAAGGACTGGCGCGTCTTCCCGGGTATCTCATTGTGTACATATGCAACAACCATGTATCCGCTCCACTCTAGTTTGCCATCCATTTCTTAACGCCTGCGACCCTTGATTCGGCTCATTCATCCTGGTGGTTGGGCTGCTCTTATCCGCATCCCATAGACTTTTCGCTTTCCTTAGAGGAACGTGGTCTAGATCTGAATTGAATGGAATCACAAAGCACGCCAACCTGCAGTTTATCACCCCCTCCGCACAAGGAGATAAACATAATCGACGCGCAGTGGCGTGAGCTTCTTGTAGGGTCCTTCAAGCGACATCAGCAGCCCTCCAAATGAGATATACGCCTTGCTATATTTCATACCTCTCCGTCAGCCATCATTTTGGAATTTGTACACTCCATACGTGCTGCCCCGTGGTGCGACAATACTCACATATTTTGTCCGTCTTCAGCATCCTCAAACTTGTAAATCTTGCCATAGCACACGTAGTCAAACATATCAGCTAGCGTCGACTCGCTGGAACCAGCCTTGGCCAGATCACGCCAGCCTTGTCGTGTTTCGTCCTCGTCTCGGTGGCCGTCGTAGTGGAGAGAAGACGCTAATGCGACGTGTAACTCGTCGTCTACCTTACAGGGGAAGAGCTCTTTGTTGATGTCTAAGCTCATATCGATGCTTCCATCAATGGACTTGCAATAAATGCGGTCGACACGATCATACTTTGGTTCAGAGAGACGCTCCACCCTGAAGTGATCTTCGAAGAGTTGCGCGTCGGACGCGATCCCAGACATGATGGTTTGCGGGTTGGTAGGTAAGTGGTAGCAGGGAGTGAAGACTGAGTATCGCGGACACCTTCAGGGTTGATGGATTGAGCTAAACTGGTCCCGCAAACAGAGAGCGGTGTGATTGTGTGGCGATGGGGGTAGTTGTCGAGACGCTGGTTTTCTGACTTTCACACCCGTGATGTTCGCGGTTGCGACACGGGTCAAAAATTGCGGAAACGCTACAAGCCTGGTCCACTGTAGCTTTCGCAGGTGCTGCAAGATCAAAGCGGGGTAGCAAACGTTTGCCTTTGATAGCCTACCCGTCATTCGAGGCGTTTATCGATAAGATACGGCGGCACTGCCCCTCTATCAGTTGATCCAACCCCTCCGCAGGAAGGCTGGTAATATCCATAAACTTTGGGTCCAACCGCGCATGATACCCGCCCGACGAAATGTCCTTCGTAAAAAGAAACACTGTTCTCTCAACGCGTCCAGGCAGATCTTTTCCTTTGCAGACTCAGGAGAGGCCACAACAGCTTGCTCCAGGAATCAGACCTTCGCCGCTGGATGGCAGGCCCACCACATCAACTGGAACTGCATCCTTGGATCAGCTTCTGGCAGGCCATGGCGGGCTCGCACTTGGAACCAGCTTGTTAATTGAGGAGCAAGGGACAACAGACTTCTCGGGAGTGCTATTGCGATACTATGCTGCAGAGGGACTAGTGCAAGGCCACGAAGTCCATCTTGTTGGTTATCCTCCAGAATGGCGACACCAACTCCCTGGTTTGACGGACCATGAGAGCAGGGTCAAATCGGCACAACCAACTGCGGCCCCTGAAGAGAAGATGAAAATCGCATGGAGATATGAAGCACTGGGGAACGCAGCAGCATCTAGCACGCTCCCGAGAGGAGACAGCAACCAACCTCCATTTTGCCATACCTTTGATCTTTCTAAGCGGCTTATACCCAGCGTATGCAAAGGCACGTTGCATCCCACGCCAAGTACATGCCCGTCTATGTTCGGCGATCCCAAAGCTTCCGCCACTTCACCTCTCAAAGCGATCCTCAAACACCTCCAAACCAAACTCTCTTCTTCTTCGCCAACAACAATCCATCGGATTGTCGTCCCCAGTTTGCTTTCTCCTACGCTCTACTCTCCAAAATGCAGCCAACCGTCCGAAATCCTCCAGTTCCTTCATGGTTTACGCGCACTGTTGCGGCAATACAGCACGCAACTGACTGCAATGATCACCCTACCAACCACTCTCTTCCCGCGGTCCTCGGGCTTAGTACGGTGGATGGAGCTTCTAAGTGATGGCGTTATTGAGTTGATACCACTGCCTGCAGATCCCGCAGCAGCGCCGCCAACACCATTGGGGCAGAATGGAAAAGATCAAGCAGCTATTTCTCAGGGTATGCTCAGGGTATACACATTGCCCATATATCATGAGAAGGGCGGGGGAGGTATCGTGACAAGCACTTTCCACGAGACTCTATCATTTAGTTTAAGTGCTACAAAGGGGTTAATTATCAAACCCTATAGTCTTCCTCCTGTTGTTGGAGATGGCGAAAAGGAGGAAGCTGTGGGACGAGGGAATCCTAAGGATAGCCTTGACTTCTGAAATGAAAAGTCCCGATGAAAGCTAATACTAACTTCCAACAGTCGTTACAAAATCAGGGGAATAACAAAAGGTGTGAGAGCAACAGAAAGAAGAGACATGAACAGATGATAACTAGAGCTGTCAAATAGTTGGGCTTCCTTTCATGGAGCTTTCGCTAAAAGTTTCTGTTCAAATTACAAGGGATGTAATACGGTATGGATGTAACAGGACCCACGTGGTGGGTCTGAAATTCCAGCCTGCCTTGTAACCAACTCCCGGGTATAAATTTTTCACCCCCAACCGTCAACCACACCTCCCCCCGCCCTTTTACCGTGAAGCTGCTGAACTCAGCAGCAGCCATTGCCCACAAAGTGAGTCGCCTTTTTTCCTTTATTATTGCTTGCATTTAATTGTCCACAATGGACTTCGAAATGATTAGACCTATCGTATTCAATCTGTCAATCCACTGAGTTCAGTGATGACCACATACGTGTCCAAGGCTTATGATCGACTGCCTCTAAGCTTTAGTCTGATTTTGCCACGACGCCTTTGCTGGATGAGTTCTAACAGAGCTTATAGGTTATCCAAAGTGTTCTCCCATTGAAATGACGGCGCCAGTCGCCCAACGACGGGTCCGTATCTCCCGTGTAGCGGGCCGGTTCCTCGTTTTCGACATTGATGATGTCGTTTACATTCGTCGTCATCATGGTATTTGCGCAGTTCTGACGGGCACTATGCCCCAGAACCCAACGCAGAACCTTTTCTTGGGCTTGCCTGTGGAGTTGCAAGCCGAAGAGGCCCAGCTGCTTGTTGATAAGGGAGTTGGCTATGTTGCTGACGAGCTCTCTGAGCACCTTTCATTACTGACATCCGCGGACGACACAGCCCGCAAGGCTTATCTCCAACACCTCAAGCAGCTGCGCCGAAATGCGCAGCTAGCTTTCGAAGAGGAAAAGGCGAATATCCAAGCTAAACACCAGGCAAAACGTAAGGTCGCCGCCAAACCTGCCAAGGCGGCAGAAGGAGAGCCATCTTCCTCCAGTACAAAGCCAGCCACAGATAGCGAATCCACCTCTCTCCCTGACACTACCTGTGTTGTCCCTAAATCACCTCCGAAAGAGAGCCTACCCGCCATTACCCCCACCACAAGCAGTGCCCTCATTTCCGTCACCCCTTCGGCAGCTGCCACAGAACCCCCCGTACCCTCATCTTCTCCTTCGTATCTGTTGTACAGGTTTCTTAATTCACGTGGTTACTATTTTACACCCGGCCTGCGTTTCGGCGGTGACTGGAGCGTTTACCCTGGTGACCCATTCCGATACCACGCACATTATCTGGCCAACTACTATGGATGGAACGAGGAGATACCCATGCTGGACCTGGTGACAAGCGGCCGCTTGGGTACTGCTGTTAAGAAGGGCTTCTTGTTTGGCGCACAAAAGCCATCGCCAGCAGGAGGAGAAGTTTCCGACACTCCGAAACAGGATAGTGCCAATCAGGGTGGAGAGGTGCGTGTGTTTTGTATCGAGTGGGCGGGCATGTGAGTAAACTTTGAGAGATACCCCATTTGCATGAGAGCCAGCACACAGAAGCAATAAACAATCTGCGCAGCACTCGAGGTTTGATTGTGAACTGTAACAGGATAAGTGTTTGCCCAGATTCGATTCCGGATTGCAATGGCACTTGGTGAATCTCCGAGAGCATGATATCAAAGTTCACCAGCCTGCACCCAAATTGTTTTATCATTATGCTTTTAATGTTTTCCACGTTGTTCTTAGCATTAGGAGTGAGGTATACCATGCTCAGCAGCCCGGAATCTCCCCAAAGACAGAGCCAAATTCTAGCAAAACCAAACTCATTGTCTCAACGCCTGCAGATGCAAATCGCGAATGTCTTATTACGTACTTTTGACTTAACGGACGGGTAAATAAAGTACACAATGTCAAGGAAAAGGCAGAAAAACCCGAACCAATCCCCATTCATCAAAGTAGACGGAAGATGTAGTTAAGAATTGATCATGGCACATAAATCCGGCTGAAACTGATCACGTCCCGCCGGCAGCAGACGCATTTGTCAAAATTATTCATCGCCAATGACACACGGCAATCATCACATAGGCTCAGACACCGGCAAGGCCACACAATGATTGTGCGTGGCGCACTCTGGCAAACCACACACTGCGGCCCGTCCGGGCCGAGACCTTCTGCACCGGTGGCCCAGGATGAACCTGCTGTCTCCTTGGATGCAGAAGCCTTGGCGGCGGCTGCCGCGCGCCGACGGGAAAGGAGGAGTTCTTCGAGCCGACAAGCTTCTTCTTCCGGGGTCATCTTCTCGACAATGATCGGTTTGCGGTTGCTCTGACTGGGTTGAGATAAATAGCTGTAGTTGCCCGTCAGCAGGATCTGCGCGCGTTGGCGTTGCAGATACTGGCGGAAGCGCGACCGTGTCATGATACCATCGCTGGTAAGGTGAGCGGCCAAAGTGCGGGCTTCCTCGCGGTCTTCTGGGCTCTGCGGGTTCAACAGCCGGGCAAGGTCTGCAGGGGAGATAGGAGTGTCGACGACGGGGGTCGATTCGCGCGACGCACGAGCAGAAACCAGAGCCTCAGCAAATGAAAGAGGGACGTGGTCGCGTTGGGTGGGAGTACGTTGGCCGTCGTCGAGTGCGTCATTGTCACCATGATCTGATTCCCAGTCAAGCTCGCTATCAATGGTAGTCTCAGTTGTGGAGACAACACTAGTGGTGTCAAAGTCGGGGTCATTGATATCAGTGCCTTGTGGTGATGGTGGGACATAATCACCACTGGAGTCGTTGGCTCCCCACCAGCCTCCCCTTAGGAAGTAGCTGTAGAGTTTGAAATCCACTTCTTCCTCATCAATCGGGGGATTGTTTTGATTAGTGGCATCTGCAGAGTTGGGAACCATGTGGCGCCGTAATTCAGCCTCAACATCGACCTGGTCTGTCCGTGGAATGGTAATGAAGGACTTCCCTTCCCCAGGTGACAAAACATCGACGTTGAGCCCGCGCTCACGCCGTCCTGACCTCCTCTTTTCGCGAGACTCGGGTTTGGGCCTCTGTGACAAGCCTTGCAGCCACCTTGGAGGAGTGCGTACACCGAAGACCGTCAAGATTTTCACCGTGCAGAGAGCCCAAGTGACAATAAGCAGCCGTCCGACATGCAGCACGTACTCAACGGCCATGAGCCACCGTGAACTTCTTTCCGAGGCACCCACACCATCCCTGATCCTCCTGCCAGAAGCATTATTTTTTGGGATTTGCTGTGCAGCCCTCTCTCTTGCATATCCGCTCGTGGCGTTTGCCTGTCCATTTTTGATCGGGACCAGCCCGATTGCCCCAACTTCGTCAAAGCGAGAGCCGGGAACGCCACCGGCTATCCATTGCATGCGCATCTCCTCCATTTCGCGGAGGCGGTCCTCCTCTAACCAGGTGCATCGCTTCAACTCCACGCAACGGTCCTCGTTGAGGTAGACAGCTTCACTTGCCATGGTAATGGCCCCGAAGCCAGCCCGCAGGAGTGCAGAATAGAAATCCATGTCCGTCCTGATACGAATGTCTGAGAGTGAGATGTTTGTTTGCATGTTAGCATGTGCGCGAACTAGGCGCTGCCTGAGAGACAAGCGATGGCCATCTTCTCCTGATGAGGGCATAGCAAGAGCAGAAAGTAGAAGAGCAGTGACGTAAACAACCGCACATGCCCAAATGCCCGCCAACACCAAGATGTGTGGGATAAAGCCGACGATACAAACGGTAGGGAACCTTAAGAGTCCTTGGGCTGATGGATCATCGAGGGAGAAATTAAGCGCACTCAGGAAGATGCCGGCCATGAAGCAGAGTCCCCAAAAGCCAGTGCTGATGAGCCGAAACTTGGATTGGAGATTGAAAAGCCCGAGTATGTGGCTCGTTATATGACTCATCGCAGAGATAAAGGCGACGAACAACACCTCGGGAGAAGTATTGACCCGCTTCATGATCATCGATCTTGTCAGGGCAACTGCCGACCCTCCTAGTGAACTCCCCTGAGAAATGGTTGACTTGTTGGTGAAAAGACTCCATCCCAGCTGATTACCAACGGCAGCTTCGGCTTCAGCAAAGGCCAGGGAGTGCTCAAACAATGTCATGCCAGTCTCAGCTGCCACTGGGCGGCCTTGGAGGACACAGGAAAGAACTTCAACAAACTGGCTGAAGCAAAAAGTCGCGAAAAGTGGCCACAGCTTTGAAAGAGAGCCAACAAGCTCTGGCTGCTGGTGACTGTCCCACGGTATCATCCGGACCGAGCGGCAAGATTCTTGGTCGCTGGCGCCCAGGAGCAGTGCGGAGCTTAACTGGTTCAAGACGCTATTGGGGAATGCAAACATAAGCTCGGAACTTTTGTTTGCATTGCCCCAGCGTAACTGGGCAAAATCGGGGGAGGTCTGGCACTGGATCGATTGAAGAAGGCTCCTAACCTGAATGAGCAGCAGCACGATTGGGCCGATCCGCAAGAGCAAGCGGAGCGGCCACCGAAGGACAAGTCTCCGACGTGTTGCAGCGAAAACGTGAGTGCGATTGATGATGACGGCCATTGCAACGCAACAAAGTGCCCACTTGCTGGTAGCGTAACTAAAAAATGTCCCAATTCCCCTCGAACTTTCCAGCGAAAATCCCGAGTTGGAAGAACTTTGGTCTTGGGTCGCAGTGGCGGCAGCAGCAGCGGCAGAGACAACAGACGAGGGGGACGAAAAGCTGACTGACTCGACAAAGGACTCGATCTGAGCCATGGGAACAGCAGACGACGATGATTCCATGGCGAACATGTTGGGGTCGGCTAGACTGGACGAGACTCGCTGACCGAAGACGTCGATGGCATCGGGAAACGAGATGAACGAGCCGCCGAACTTGCCCAGCTTCATCACCATTCTAGGTCCGGCCCAGACAAGGTCTTCGAGCGAAGGCGCTAGCCGGGATATGTTCATGGCAATGCCCAGGTGCTGAGTCGTCCATAGGGTAAAGTTGTGCCACGCGTTCACAAATTCCAGTGGCCGAGATGTAGCTGTTGCGGCGGCCTCTTCGGCGACTAAGACATCAGCCATGGCCGCACTTATACTCGGTAATCGTATCCGCAGATCGTGGCTCAAATTCGCAAAGTGCAGATGCAGATGCTGCCGGTACTTTGTAGAGGAAATCGGGTCTTTTTTTTTGGGGGGGGGGGAGGTTGTTTCCAGGACAGAAGGGTTGACAGAAGAATATCAAATGACGGAAAGGGCCTGGAAGCCGGGAGCTTCTAGAAGAAAGGACCGCTCGCTAGTGGGAGAAGGTCAGAGGGCTCGTAAATAGGGATGGGAGTGGGACGACGTGGAAGGAGGCAAGGCAGTGAACCATCGAAAGAGTAAGGTATCCGTGATTACTGGCAAACTTGCAAAGAACACTGCGTACGGTGTGCTGGTTGTTCGCCGCGAAATCAACGTAATGGGCGCGCATGGCAGACTTGACTGCCCATTAGTCGCGCATTTCTGTTTTCGTTTTCTTGCTGGCAAGATGTGGAAAAGACGGACTGCTCTAAGGATAGTCTCAGAATCCAAAGCGATGCGTCGCGTTTCGCCGCGACGCCTTATCATCGGATGCTTGGGGCGCTGGTGGTTTGTGGAAATCATTTCCATGGTGGGGCCGTCTTGGCATTCGTAAGGTGCAGGCTGCAGCAACCAGAAGGCCAAAGGCCAACAGCGCACGGGAGTGGTGCTCCACAGTTGTTACCCGCAAGCGTGCTTTCCACGGCTTGGCAACAGTCTTCGGTCGCATCCAACATGATGGAACTTACACAGTAGTCCTTGGACATTACACTGTAAGTGGATACCGTAGCCCGTGCCTGGGATCTGCTGAGTGATCACAGCCAGCAACCGAACCTAAAAAGTAGTCCAAGTAAACTCCAAGCGATCTCAACCGCAAGACCAACACACCAGACCGCTTTTGTACTTAAAGCCGACACTTTGAACCAGCGCGACAGCACACAACAATGGCTTCCAACCAGGGACAGCAGCCGCCAATTGCTACGTATGTGTCATTGCACTCCGACACATACAAGGCATGCTCCTCATGGTTGTCGCTTGTTCGCTGAACTAACCATCATCACACAGAGTCTATGTGCGCAATCTCGAGGAGCGTGTCAAGGTCGACAAGCTGAAGGAGGCCCTGTACACAATCTTCTCCGAGTATGGCAATGTGATCGACATTGTGGCCAAGACCAATCTCAAGGCTAAGGGCCAGGCTTTTATCGTCTTTGACAAGCCTGAGCCTGCCTTGACCGCCGTCGAGGAACTCCAGGGCTTCGAGCTGTTTGAGAAGCCTATGCAGGTAGCCCTAGCGCGTACGCGCAGCGACGCCACTGTTCAGCGGTATTGCAGTGAGGAAGAGTTCGAGGCGCATAAGCGACATCGCATGGCCGAGAAGGGTATGTTAGAGAAGTCGCGATCTTGCCCTTGTACCTGGTTACTGACCACCGCTCAACTGCAGAAAGGAAGAAAGCTGCCGAAGCCGAAGAACAGAAGCGCCTCAAGAGACCAATTCCTGGGAGCGGTGTCGAGGCTGGCGCGCGCCCGGCCAAGAGTGCGCGCGGTCCTGGGCTCAAATCCACGGCCCCTGGTGCAGCTCCGGTGGTCCCAGACGAGTATCTGCCGCCGAACCGCATTTTATTCGTTCAGAACCTCCCGGACGACTTCGACAAAGATGCCCTCACAGCCATCTTTGGGCGCTTCGAGGGCTTTCGCGAAGTGCGTATGGTGCCTGGCCGCAGTGGTATTGCCTTTGTTGAGTACGAGTCCGAGGCAGGCGCCATTACTGCTAAGGAAAATACGGCAGGCATGCCGCTCAAGAATGGCGAGAAGATAATGAAGGTGACATATCAGCGCCAGTAGAGCATCGCTGACAATGTCGCTCCGTATTGCTCACGATATGCTCACTCTGGACGGACCCCGGGTCGAGCGTTCAGTGCCTTAGATGAATTATGATGGTTCTAAGATGACGAGCGCTCAATAATAGAGCAGCATCTCGTCAAAGAATGCCTTTATGGGAGGACCTTCTAAGATACCCAATACAAAATATTATTGTCATTCACCAGTCTCGCACCATTAGGTTCCTGAAAACAACACAAAGATGCCCACAATAAGCCAACCCATCCATAACCATGATCCCAGGATGATGCCAAAGAGAAAAACGCCCTAAAAGATAACATCCTCGTCTTCGACAGATTTAAGAAGATCGGCAGGTTCTGCCGGGGGCTGTTCTGAGCCCGCTGCTTCTCTGTTTTGATCTGTCTTCTTTTTGAGTTCCTCATCCAGAGCAGTTGTGTCTCGTTGCTTCTTGTTGGCAACCTAATAGGAATTAGCGCTCGTGTCCTCTCCAAACATCGTGATTCAACTTGCCTTCTTCAGCCTATAGAACTCTTCTCTGTCGAGCTCATCAAGCTCGGAATTAATGTCTAAATTGTGTTAGCTCCGGCAGTAAACTACTGGACAGATGAAGGATGCTTACATCTAATGGTGTTTTCTGTCCGTGGAATAATAACATGTTCACTTCATACCGTCAGAACTTGGCTACAGGGTAAAGAAACAAGCACACTCACATGGCATTGACTGGAGGACGTTAGCGCAATCAGTTCAAATATCATTCCTACCAAAATGCGACATACCTCTTCGATTGACAACCTTGATAACTTCATCAAGTATGACAAATGCCGTTTGCAAACTTGCCAACTCGACCAGGGCTTCAACAGCCCGGGCGTATGTTTCGCGGCACCGCTGAACTTGCTGGCCGCCTTTACCCAAACCCGTCATGGCAAAGTCGTTGCTGCCCTCCGCGATGTACACTTCAAAAGTAGGCAACAGCACGCCTGACACATTCTCCTGCTTTGTGCGAATGCGAAATCGCGCTGATTTCGCCGACTCTTGGATTTGATACCCGATGTTTCCGCCAGCGGCGTAGGTGACTTCGGCTAGGGAGAGAGATGCTATCTGCATAACGCGACCCATCTTGCGCTTGGCCTCATCAATGCGACGAGTAATTTCTGGGCAGTCATCGTTAGGGAATTACAAATCGAAGGCATCAGGGTCCTGAGGTGAGCAGTACCTCGGAAGCGTCTAAGAGTTGGGGAGCCGGTGTTAGTCTTCAATATTCCACGTGGGGGATAACAGCAAGTTGGGCATACTTCGTAAGAGCTTCACTTTTCCTCTTCAACAAGCTGTGGCCGGTCTCGGCACCCTTCAGTTTTGCCTTCATCACGCCCAAAGACTGACGTGTAGGAAACACAGCTTCCCGATCCTATTATCATCATTGTCATCGGCGTCGGCACGGTCAGCCAGTCAAGCGACAGGTGGGGTCGATGCATCAACCAACTTACCGCTGCGCCGGACATTGTCACGATTGATCTATTTTGATACTCTCAATATCTCAGGGCTGAAATAGCGGAGAAAGAAAGCTGAGAACGAGTGATGTTTCTTCTTGTGGCCGTGAGGTTCTCGAAACAGCCGATAGCGGCTCCAAGTTGTCGTCGCTGCTAGTGGAGCTGGAGCTTCGCCGCGGTGACGAACACCCAACGCTGGAGCTCGCAACATACTTGGATTTTTTGGGGGGGGGGGGGGTGTTAGATGCACTGCTTGGGGCGGCTGCCCCACTGAAGCCGAGCATGCCAAGTGCCAATCCGAACCATGACCCCCCCGATAAAGTGTAGCTGTGGCCCGAGCGTCCAAAGGTGAGTCTGCATCTTCCGCTGCAACGCTAATCACCAGGCAATCGAAAAAAGCCCCAAGCCGAGAAACCTACCAAGAATCACAACCTCATCCTCGCGGTCGCTGTCGTCCCCTCCCCGCCTTCGCTACGCGTGCTCTACAATTCTCCGAGGAACCTACAGTGATGCCGTGGCAACGCGCTGTATAAGCTCCGTTCTCTTCCTCCTTTTTTCCCGGCTTCTAGCGCGAATCCCTCGAGGCTGCCGATCAAGCTCTCCGTCATTGCGACGCCCTAGACCGACTGGTCAACCGCTGCTGGGTCCCTCCCGCGGGTACCATCCGCCATCCAGCGCTCGCTCCAGCCAAAATGCCGTCAACCTTGGCCTCCGATCGCCAGCCAGACGTGGCTCTTGTGGTGCGTAGTATCTTCTTAGCGCCAATCTAATCGTAGGCCCAATGGTTTGCTGACTGACCTATTTTCTCCAGTGCGAAGATGACGCCCCTTACGAGCAAGATATTCTGAGGAACCCCGGGAGCATCAGGCCATGGCTCTCCTACATCGAATATAAACTGCAGCATGGAACACTACGCGAGCAAGCCTTTGTCATGGAGCGGGCGTGCGTTCAGCTGCCGCGGTCATACAAGCTCTGGAAGATGGTACGCTGTCAATTCCCTTTCCCCTCACGTCCAGTCATTGTCGCTTACACATGGCAGTATCTTCAGTTCAGGGTGAACCACATTTCCAAGCTTAACCCCGCCATTTTTGCCACCGAGTATCAGAAAGTCAACGCCTTGTTCGAGCGTGCCTTGATCCTTTTGAACAAGATGCCCCGGATATGGGAGATGTATCTCAAGTTTCTGATGCAGCAGCCCCTTGTGACTTTTACTCGGCGCACATTCGACCGCGCCTTGCGAGCACTCCCAATTACCCAGCATAATAGGATATGGGCTCTTTATAGGCCCTTCGCAAACTCGGCAGAGGGAATCACGGCTGTGAAGATCTGGCGGCGGTACATGCAGGTTCACCCCGAGGATGCTGAGGATTTCATCGAGCTCCTCATCCAGTGCGGGCTGTACACCGAGGCTGTCAAGAAGTATATCGAGATTCTCAACAATCCAAAGTTTCAGAGCAAGAATGCAAAGGGTCATTACGAGCTCTGGAGCGAGATGGTCGACTTGCTCGTTGAGCATGCCGTTGACATCGAGACGGGCCACGAAACCGGCATCGACGTGGAGCGCATCATCCGGAGTGGGATCGAGCGGTTTAGCGACCAACGCGGAAAGCTTTGGAGTGGTCTGGCCACATATTGGATTCGCCGGGGAAATTTCGACCGAGCGCGGGATGTGTTTGAAGAAGGCATCACGACGGTCATGACAGTGCGAGACTTCACAATGATTTTTGACGCATATGTCGAGTTCGAGGAGTCCGTCATCGGGACCCTGATGGAAGCTGCATCTAGACGTGCTGAGAAGGGCGTTGTGGACGAGTCCGCTGACTTCGACCTTGACATTCGCATGATGCGCTTTGAGCATCTCATGGACCGTCGCCCATTCCTCCTGAACGATGTCCTCCTGCGGCAAAACCCCAACAATGTCGCTGAGTGGGAAAAGCGGGTTGCCCTGTGGGGCGATAACAAGGAAGAGGTGGTGAAAACATACACCGACGCTATTGCAGCCATCAATCCAAAGAAAGCTGTCGGTGCATTCCACCTACTCTGGGCCAACTATGCCAAGTTTTACGAAAAAGCAGGCGACTTGCGTACAGCCCGCATCATCATGGAGAAGGCCGTCAAGGTCCCATTCAAGTCTGTTAACGAACTCGCCGATATGTGGATTGAATGGGCTGAGATGGAATTGCGGAACAAGAACTTCGATGAGGCAGTCAGGATTATGGCCAAAGCTACACAAGCTCCTAAGAGATCAACCGTTGATTACTTTGACGAGTCTCTCTCGCCACAACAGCGAGTCCACAAGAGCTGGAAACTCTGGAGCTTTTATGTCGATCTGGTGGAAAGCACGAGCTCACTGGAGGAGACCAGGAAGATTTATGAGAGAATATTTGAGCTCCGCATCGCGACCCCTCAGACAGTCGTGAACTACGCCAACCTCCTGGAAGAACATCACTACTACGAAGAGTCGTTCAAAATCTACGAACGTGGCCTTGATCTGTTCAGCTATCCTGTCGCTTTTGAGCTGTGGAACCTCTACCTTACCAAGGCAGTCGATCGCAAAATCAGCATTGAACGGCTTCGCGACCTTTTCGAACAGGCCATTACCGACTGCCCACCCAAATTTGCCAAGGTGCTTTACCTCATGTACGGCAACCTCGAAGAGGAGCGTGGTTTGGCACGGCACGCTATGCGCATCTACGAGCGCGCCACGCGCGCAGTCGCCGACGAAGACCGGGCCGACATGTTCAACTTTTATATTACTAAGTCCGCATCCAACTTTGGTCTGGCCTCTACGCGGCCAATTTATGAACGGGCAATTGCAACGCTGCCCGATAATGAGGCTCGTGACATGTGCCTGAAGTTTGCTGATATGGAGAAGCGTTTGGGCGAGATTGACCGCGCCCGTGCTATCTACGGACATGCATCACAGTTCTGCGACCCCCGAACCAATCCTGAATTCTGGGCTAAATGGGAGCAATTTGAAGTCCAGCATGGCAATGAAGATACATTCAAGGAGATGCTTCGCGTGAAGCGCAGCGTCCAGGCCAAGTACAATACGGACGTCAACTTTATTGCATCGCAAGCGCTTGCTAGGAGTCAAATGTTGAAACAACAGCAACAGCAACAACAGCAACAACAACAGCAACAATTGCAGCAACAGCAGCAAAACGGCAGCTCTGGCGCGGGAGATCCCGAGGTTGCAGATGCTATGGCGCAGCTGGAACGGCAAGCTCGGGCCCCAGCTGGGTTTGTGGCCGCGTCTGAGAATATCAAGGGCACCATTGCGCCGTCAACCCAGTCGGTTGAGGTGTCTAACCCGGACGCCATCGACCTCGATGATATGGATGAATGAATTTCACGATCTTGCGTACATAGACAAACTGGTGCCTGGTTTCTTTTGTCGTTATTCCTTTTGTCTTTTGGGGAGAAAGAGTCGGGATTCATTGCAAATGCCACTGTCTTGATGTGTCCCTTTCCAAGAAAGCGTGGTTGCATCATGGGAAGGAAATGTGGCGCGATTGCTCACACAGTTTATCATTACATTGCAACCGTGAACCAGGATCTGGGGTTTCTAAGGTTTGAGCTGGACTGAAACGGATTACCTATTTAACAAGAACTGCCTATTCAAACGCCTCATTTATTTTCCGATGCTAACATCATCGTCTCTTCATTTATTAGCCTCCCTGAAGAGCTGAAAATCAGCAGATATATAGGTATGGAAGACTCCTTAAACGAAGCTCGGTGCCCACGATATAGTACAGTTCGTACCACAACCTTGCCCTTAAAAGCACCGTTACCAACCTTTCTTCCTGTTCTTCAATCATTCTTTGAACTGAAAGGTTCAGTCTCCTCTTTCATTCACCGCTACCGCCTTCATCTTCAGCTTCTCCTGCACTTGGTATATGTTCCCAGGCAAGGGTATTAGCTACCTATGCTCATCATTCTTTTTTCTTTGGGGCGTAGCCCATCTCAGCCAGCTTCTCGTAGTACTCGGCGGCGTAGTTTCTGTCGATGCGGCCATCGCGCGATGAAGGCACGCCAAAGATAGAGCCTTTGCGTTTTTGGAAGCGACTGGGCGGTACCTTGGCCGCATCTTGGTGAAGGAGATGTTGTCAACACGAATCCGCTGGGTAGAAGCCTAAGGGAGAAAAGGGCAAGGTAAGGCAAACCTACCCCACTCATCACTCATGCGCCGGTCCCGTGGTGCTGAGGGCCCCGTCGCGGGTGGCTGGCTTGATGTCTCTGCTGCTTGCGTTGGAGAAGACGGCTCGTTGGTTGCAGTTGTTGGACTCTGCATCTCTGCACTGGCTGTGCTTCCCTTCCGAGCCGTCTCAAAAGGAGCTGTGGGATAAATCAAATCGACAGTCAGCCTAGATCCGTCCCGCGGAGGCAACATACGGGGGTATCCCATCCGTTAGGCAGGCCATGGAAGGGAACTGCGGCGAACAGGTGATGGACTGATTATTACCTGGATTTTGAAGAGGACTCTTGGGAAGGAAGATTAGCCTGTCTGGCGTTTCCATACCTGCCATTGTGAGAGTTGCTTGCTGATCTAGGATATCAAAGGTGTTGGTGGCAGTTATAGGCTAGGTGGTCTCTCCGCGAGCCAGGTAGGTTGTTCAATCCAGATCAAGCAAGACACATGAAGTCGTCAGAAGAAACGAAAGCGAGTGAGGGGGGATGGGTGGATATCTATGTTCGGAGATAGGACGTCAGTACGTGAGTCTGAGCACCTTGAGGGTCTGGACCATAGATGAAAGCTATAGGTGAAAGACAAGGCATTGTTGTCTAAGCTCAGCAGAGAGTTCCCCGGCTTAAAAGCAGGGACCTACCGAACCATCTTTGATCTTGTGGTTAGAGGTCTCGTGTCTCCCAAACTCAGAAGACGAGTCGAGCCACATACATGCCTGGATGCCCGAGTTTTACCGTCTCCTACACTGGTCTCTTTACGGGCGGTTGTTAACTTCCCACAACGGCTTTGTTAACAAAAGTCTCAGATGCCGTTCTGCCACAAAAAATAGGATACTACAAAAAAACAGCCAGGGTGTCACAAAAGTGCATCACATGAAATCCTCTTATTCCAGAGTTAAGATCCAATGAAAAAACCGTAGGCCGCATATGTATGCGACCATGACAGTTTCTGAGGACTTCAAGCCTGGTGTATCTATAGTAAGAGTTTCCGGAGTCTCACGAGAGCATGTGGTGTGACAATGCGAGACGGAATGACCATTCTGTCATGACACCCCACTTCAAAGTTGTCAGAGCAACAGGTTCAACCGCTGACGTCATGCTTCACTGACAATCCCTGTATTCTTGCTGCTCATAACTATCACTCTTACCGCTATCCTTGCTTTCTGTAATCGTTCTTGCCGAGACTAATGGCGATTCCCGGACATTCTGTTGTTCAGCCGGCTCAAGCAACTCCAAACTATCCATTCTTGACGCTTGGCAACAATCCAACATCTCCTGTTCGCTTGTTCCGGTCCTCTTCCGATGTTTGGTGTAAACTGAGAAGAGATAGGACGGGATTTAACCCACTATGCCTTGTTCTCCGTCATGATCTACAATGGAAACGGGATCGCTGAGACCAAGAGAGGCCTGTGGACAGCAGCAGTGTCCGTGAAGGACGATCTCCGGAAACTTAAGTAGGTAACTCATCTGAAAGGTCTTGTTTTCCAACCGCACCGTGAGGACACTGTCCGGTACAACGCAACCAAGACAACACACAGATTGTAGAACCATAGGTAAGGAAAAAGCGTGCAAAGTGGAAGTTGGCTACGCAAACATTGACCATTACCGATGGAGCAATTTTTGATTTCTCGTGATACAGCTTGCTGTTTTACTTAGGTATAGCTCCAGGGCGGAAGCTGCTTGGAAGCTCGACAAACCAAACGTTCCATCTCATTTCACTTTCATTTAAACCAAATCTTCTACGGTGGTCGAGGCGATTAAGTACAAGAGCACAACGAGAACGTTTTATGTAAGAACTCCAGCAAAAATGCAAAAGTGTAGGTCGTGCCCGGATTCGAACCGGGGTTTTTGGAAGATGAGTCGTTTTTCCAGCTCAAAATCCAAAGTGATAACCACTACACTACACAACCTTGCTTGGCACTTTCCGCACGCTGTGTTTACTTATCAAGACCATGCCAATATCATGAGAATGTGTGTTAGGGTTAGGGTTGATCAAGCCTCGTCCATGAACCTGCAATCAGTGAAGCCACCTAAAAACAACTAAAGTGGTTCGGTATAACTAAGGCTAGCTTTCTCATTGCTGAAAGATATGTTCGGTTGTCACAGCAGTATATGATTTGAATATAATTAACTGAGTGTCTGGCGTCGCCCAGCCTGGTCACTTTGGTGAACTCTGGCTTCTATTGAACCAGGAAGACATGAGAACAATGTTACTGACTTATCATACGAACTGTTTGGCTTGCCAAATATCCCTAGTACAGTTCAAACAAACACATATCATACGTCTTTGTATCAATCTCAACTCGGTTGTTTGCTTTCCCTGTACCATTACATCACTCCTGAGGCACCTTACGTTGGTCTCCGATACAGCACACCGGCACCGGCCTAAAATTCATTGTTAGGCAACTATCCGGATAAAGAAAACTAGCTTCTGGTTAGGATACTTACCTGATGGCTGGGGAAGATCAATGTGTCAGCGACCACAACATTCTGTCTGCGGCTCGCAACAAACACTACGACCTCGGCGATATCATCAGGGGTGAGGGGATCACAGCCGCTATTCTGCCTGTAAGCCATGATAATGATTCTGGTTCAAGATCGAAAAGGATTTCCTTACGCGTAAACGGCATCAGCCTTAGCCTTGTCACCATAGTAGCGAATAATGGAGAACTCCTATTGCCAGTCAGCTCCAGTCCCAAATAGCATGCTAAGCTCCCCGCAACTTACCGTCTCAACCTGGCCGGGATCAATTTCCATGACACGGATGCGAGTATCAATGAGCTCCTTGCGCAGGGCATCGGTAAAAGCGCGCACGGCGGCCTTGGTAGCGCAGTAGATGCTGCCACCAGCATAAGGCTCCCGGCCAGCAATGCTGCCAATGTTTATGATATCACCGGCACCACCGTCTGGGCGAGCCTTGAAGATGGGCAGCACTGCCTGGGTCATGTTGATTAGGCCAGTGACATTGGTGTTGAACATGATATTCATGTCACCCTCATCGATCTCGGGCGCACGAGCAACTTTTTTGTTCCCCATTAGCTCTCATTTTTCCTATGCCACTACATACCCAGGGGTCAAGGCAATGAGTTTAGAGATTGATTTGGATGCTTACCCCCCTTAACCAATCCCCTACATTACCAGGTCAGCAAGTGCTTGTTCATGCGGCGAGGATTATGTAAAACGTACGCATTGTTTACCAAGATATCGATATCCCGGAACTCCTCAGGCAAGCGCTGGACAAAGCTCCGCACCTGGTCTGGATCACTAACATCGAGTTGGAAGGGCAAAACCTTAACACCATCGCCGACCTCTTCGCGGATCTTGGCGGCAATTTCGTGCAGACGGTCAACACGACGGGCTGTCAGGACTAGCTTGAGGTTTTTGGGCGCTGTGCGGGCGAACTCAAAGGCACAGCTGCGGCCGATGCCCGACGAGGCACCTGTGATGACAATGGTCTTGCCCTCCAGGCGCTTGGCGGCTGCAGAAGAGGCCATGGTTCTTGTAATGGCTGCGAAGCGATGGTGAAGCAGCACACGATGTTGCTGCTGTTGTTGAAGGCTACCGGAGGAAAGGAAAACCCGGGCTGTTTCAGTGACCTTGGATGCAAAGCGGACGAGCGAGAATGGGGGTCGGTCGATGTACATGGCAAGCGGAAAGATAAGTAGTAAAGCAGAAACCTAAAACCAGGTACCGCGACCGGAGCCGATGCAAAGGGGAACCTCGCACAAAAGCGACAACGGCAACCCCCGCGAATCCGGCGTTGACGCCATCTCGTGGCTGATCCACTCAGTTTTTGCGCTCTCTCTACTCTGCGACTTGCGGCGTGCGTTTCACTCGAGTACAAGCATAATGCCGCCCGTTGCCGTCCCGGTCCCGAGGAACCCCGCATCCGCCGGCGATAAACCCGATAACCCCGCAGTCCAGCAACACCACATCACTCAACATCGATCATCCACATCAACATGTAATTTTGTATCTATTCATGCCAGTTTGGTGCGCAGTTATTTATATCGTCTTAGTTCTTGATTTGCAAAACATATAACGTGTCTTGTAAGAGATGTGTCTATCCCGAATCAAGGTCATTACTTGCAGGCTGAATCCTGGATGTTTTCATCATGGCTTGATGCATCTCGTTAAACTCCTTATGCGGTCATACCTCCAAACCTGCTTGAGACTCCCTGCTGGTATTCTCGGTTTCCAAAATTGTCCCTCTCCTTTCTGCTTCCTCGCGGTACCGCTGCTCCATCATCTCCTCTAGCGATACCCGGTTTCGTCGATAAACCCCGAAGCTACAGATCAGTGCAGCCCCCAACACGGCACAGCACACAATCATGTCTTCCTTAAGAGCATCCGTGTACACACGCCGGATAACTGTCCACTGACCAGGAGTCAAAAGCGCTGGATTAGACGCCAGTTTCTCCAATACCTCGGGTGTCACCCCGCTCGCGGGACCTAGCGCCCGAAACTTGGCCCCTAGGATGGCCGCCGATGCTGCAATACCAAGACTACCGCCGAGAATGCGTACTTGGGCGACGATTCCCTGAGCGGACGCTGTTCGTGAAAGATAATGTTAGTCCCGTAAAGCTTTCTACCTGGCTGTTGTTGGAAAACTCGAACCTACCGTGTTCCCGAACCGGTGCTTCCGCTCCTGCCAACATAGTTGCTCCAGCAGCCGACAGTCCAAATCCGAAGCCCACAAACGCTAAAAAGCCTAAAACGCGTGGTTCTATCCCTTTATCACTTTCTGCCATGGTTTCGAGTGCACATCCGAGTATCATGAACAGACATGCTGCCACAAGGGTTTCCATGAACCTATTCTTCCCCCGCTTGGTGCTCCGGCCCATGTCCCTGCCATCACTAACGGACCCCTTTTCTTGATTGTTTCTGCTGTCTTTACTCTGTCCCCCTCCATTCACAGCTCCCGCAACGGTTGTTCCCACCGCGCTTGCCGCCAGCATAGGCAACAGCATCAGCCCAGCTTGAAGGGGACTTTTGCCGTACACAACCTGGAACCGTACTGGGAAAGCATAAATGCACAATATATAGGGGAAACCCGTGAGAAGAGAATGTAGAGCTGCAGCCGAGTAAGCGCGGTTTCGGAGAAGTGATGGGGGAAGAGCTGCTGCTGTAAAGAGTGCTGCTTTCTCTCCTGACTGTCGACGATAGAAGAAACGCGGGACGATAACGTATTGCCAAAGAAAAAGAAGGCCGAGCGAGAAGAAGCCAGTAATGAGTGGAGCAACAAAAGTGGCTGCCTTCCAAGGGTTGCTGCCGACGGTAGTATGCGAAGCATGCTGAAAAGGGAATACGATAAGGACGGCAGAGGCTATCCTGATGATATTATGAGTATGAAACTCATAACAAAGTACCAGTTAAGGGAGGATAAGAACGTACAGTAAGAATGCCCCGACGAAGTCCACTTCCTTCCATGCTCGACGTTGTAGCGCCGGGAGTTGGTGCTTGTTAGGCCAGGCAAAGAGGAAAACAAGGATAGAAACAGCGCTGATGGGACCGCTGAAATAGAGACACGGTAAATATGTAAATGTTCACATGGATTTGCAGCCTATGAGGCACTTACTTAATCCAAAATACCCATCTCCAAACTGAATAATCCGTCAAGATGCCACCGAGGACTGGCCCTAGAACCCCTGCCGACGCAATTACGACTCCAACAACAGCAGCAATGTACTTTTTCTTGTTATCTGGTGTTAGTTCGGGCATGATTATCATCGAGACACTGTAGAGCCCTATCATGACACCCGTTAACTCATTCGTTGCTCATTCAAATGGTCTTTCCGTCTCTAAAGGAATAACAGATGCTTACCAGCTCCTCCAACTCCCTGAATAGCCCTCAAGGCAATCAGCTCCTCCATATTGCTTGCAAAGCCACAAGCCACCGAAAACACAGCAAATATGACATAGGCAGCACCGAAGGCGACTCTCCTTCCCACAACATCGGACGCACGTGCGAAGAGCACTGCACAACTCAGATAGGTGAGGGCATAGGACAAAGCAACCCAGTTGAGCTTGGCATCGGCTGGATCAGTGCCAAAGTCTGCGGCAATGCTAACCAGGCTGGTTGCAACGATAGACGAATCCAGCATGGAGAGGAATAGGCCGAGGCAGATCCTGTGCGCATGATTAGTTGAGGATGAGGTGTCTTCTGTATGTTGAGGACTCGGCTCAGCTTACCCGACTGTGAGGAGAGTGTACTGCCATCGTGGAAGTGTTGGGGCACGGATATCAGTGGTATGGACTCCGTGGCCGCTTTTGGCCTCCATGCCGTGGTCTGGATACTGTTCCTGATCGATGGTTTTCATCGGTGATTGATGAGCTGGAGCGACCCTGGTTGACCAGACCTGTCGTCATGTCTAATACTTCAATCTTTCAGTGCCCAGTGCATTCGCCTCTCGTTAAATACCTCTGTTGTTTCCAGCAATCCTGATTCTGCTTTCACAAGAACTTGCCCGCTAGTGACTGTAAGATGATGAAAAGCGATTGCGACGACGCAGCCCAGCTGCCGATTCCAATACGATGAATAATCGTAAAATTCAAGTTTCCATTGACGAGCTTATGTCAGAGGTCAAGCTGAATGGGCGAGAGTGTAAATCCCTTAGGGGATGTAAGGCTCTCGGACTCGGATTCGCATTAGTTGAAACAAACCTGTCTGTAAATCGACAAGAACAAGGCCCAGAGCCTCGCAGAGGTTTGGAGCTGGATGGAGTCTGGCAAGTTGGGCCCCTGGGGGCCGTTCTCGGCGGACAAGACAATATCATACTAATCAAGAATCATAAGAGGATCAGAAATTCGGCAACAGCCACATCCTCTCGCTTGTTTTGTCTTCAGTTGGATGGATACCCAAGCCGGCGTTTGCTGTCACTGGCACCAGCCAGTTCACCTAAAAACGGGGATTGTTGGCGATTGTGTGCTGCAAGTCAGCCAGGAAACGCCTCAAGCTTTGCCTGCTCTCGCATCGTCGCACTCGTCAAGGAAATGGTAAGAGAATGCTATTGGTTGGTCTGGCCCAGGGATTCTGTTCCACACCGGACATTCGGACTGTGCAGAATCTGATGGGTGTTCTTATCATTGGACTGTCAAAGAACTTACACATAGTCAACCTTAGTCTCATGCGACCTCCTTGCGTTCTTGCCTCTCCTTTGCATAGATTCGGTTGAGGGAGAAAATCTGTACCTATGCAGTGATTGTCGAGGGATATCTCGTTGAGGATGCGCGCACAGTGCGAGTTGCTTTTGGGACTCTGCGTTCTGAATCACATTACTTTCCAGGTCAGGACGGGTGCCTATCCTTTGGGGTGAAAAAGCCTATTAGTAGGCTTGACCAATCAGAGCGTTCAGTTGTGCTGAGCCGTCTTGATCTTTGAGCTCATGCCATCTTTTGAGGCTTCACACCCCTTTATCACCCTCGCTGTCTTGTGAATATTTGCGAACATGTTGGATAGGACGATAGCTTCCAAGGGTCGGTGACAACAGATCCCTCTCCGCTAATGCCACAGGTGTGATGAGATGGTGAAACCTGCTATTGATTGAGATGAGAACGTGGCGATTGGTGATATTCTAGGAACCTCAATGACACTCGGCACATGATGCTGGCGGCAAAATTCTCACATGCAATCGGCATTGCTCTCGAAGATGCCGAATGTGGAGATGCTGTGGAGTGACTTGTCGGCACCCAGTACCGCCAGACGCCAAGAAGCGGTGACGGTCAAGAGGGCCGACCGTCGATGAGGGCTGGCAGAACGCCACCGCCCACCGTTCGCGACACGCCGCAGCGTTGTCGTGCTCTGGCAGCTCTGCATTTGGTTTTCGGAGAACGTAGTTCGTGCAAACTGGTTGATGCATCCTTTTCCCCTCTCCCACACACCAGTAGGCATTTCCCGATTAGTATACTTAGCTTTTAGCAAAATTTTATCGAGCTTGATTTACGAGCTCTTTCCCTTTTGAAGATGTTGTTTCTGACTGGTTAATGCGACCTTCGAGCTCCGTTTGCAATGTGTCTAGCTACGATATATCTAACTTTGAGGCTTAGGTTCCTAGTTCTTAGATCTCAAACCAGAATAACTCTAAGCTCCCGGCAGGGCATCCCAGTGCCGGAGTGACACCGGAAAGAGCCACCCACAGGCACTGATGACTTTGGATACCAAAGCTCTAGGGTTTCAGTTAGCTCCTTGTCCGAAAACCCCTTACACTCACACGAAAGCTTGCTTTTGTGAGGTATCAATTACTACCTTACCTTTTCTCCACACTTCGATGCTATCAAGTACGTGCAAGTACACTACAAGTACTGACCGATCTCCCTGACCAGACATGATTATCCCTAGGATCAAGAATGTTGGATGGCGTTGTGAATCGAAACTGAACTACCATAAACCGCGTGCTTATTCGAGAACCACAGACAGATATACTTGTACATCCCATTCAAAGGTAAACGGCCACTCGACGCGTCATCCTGAACAGGCAGGTCGTTGTCTGGCTTTGTCGTGAACCGGCGGTTGAGATGGGTCGGATCCCCGCATCTGGACAATTTTTCCCCAGCCTGGGCTGGGGTGCATCACTTCCCCGCACTACCCCAACATGGCGTGGTTTTTTCCCCACCAAATTACACAAGGTACCTGAAACATCTGCTGCGAAAACCCCTTGTCGGCAGGTGCTTGGCACCAGGCGCGCAACGGGCCGCAAATCCAGATTGCCAAGCATCCTCGATGCGAAGTCCCGAGATATTCTTCCAGCCAATGGCATCGTACCCGTTTCGGGATGCAGCTCCGCCAGAGGAAACCGTTGGGTGCCTGCCCTGCAAGGCGCTCCCAGCGGGCCATGGGTCATGGAGGGGTTCATGACTAGAGGTCCTGGTGTGAGCGTCTCACGCTGCACCCCAAGCGCTTGCCCAAACGCTACATAGATACCAACGTGGAAATGTGGCCCCTCAAGGAACGACCGACAATCGCCATTTTCCAGGACGAAAACTACACTACTTCGTCAGGAAGACAGAAAAATGACACGCAAAGGCAAGGGATACAAGAGCCCCAAAATGCATGCACTAACATACAATGCCAGTTCTACTTACAGGTACATACTTGTACTGTGTACACCCGAGCACGCATTCACATATGGCAGCAGCGCAACGGTCAGAGTGTGCTTCTTCTTTTGTCAATGGACATCTCCAGCCACACCTGTAAGTGTTATCATCCTAAATTGGCAAGCCGGTGTCTACTTTGTATGTACCCGATATTCCGTCATCACTTCACAATGAATTTGACGACCACCGATAAGTGCAGGCTGGCGGGATGTGGATGCGATTGAATATCGCCATGGTAGAAAGACCATAGGAGTAAAAAATGCCGATCTCTTACTGTCAAGCTCTGTCTTGGCTTTGAGGTAACCAGGGCTTGTTTAACGAGATGCCGGTGCAGACGGCAACCGTCAACCGCATGTTCTCTCGAGCTATCCGAGTTCTTCTCGGCGCTTTGGCGGACCGGCCCTGAGATCCTGTCTTATGAGGTGATGAACCGTATATCTGGGCTTTCTAGGCGTGCCTTTGTCACATCGTCCGCTGTAACAATGGCAAAAAGGAAGTTTCGTTCCCGTTTTCCTGGATTCCCTAGGAATACCTCGGAGCCAGGGGGGTGAGGACGTAGTGTTGGCCGATTCAAAAGTCCTCCTCACAGGCTCACCTTCACGCTCACTGGCACAGGCACAAGCAAGAACGGCAAGATATGCCTCTTGTGAGCTCATGGGAGAATGCTGACGCCCCGCTTATGGAGGGAGAGGCATTTTGGAGGGATGGCCGGCTTCAACGTGCCGAAGTCTGTACACCTTATTGGTGTGATGTGTGCCGTCACTCCATCGAACCCTTCGCGAACTTTTCCATCAATATCCGGAGTCGTACAGATGCAGATGCGGCCCCAAGCCGTTGTTCGAGTAAGCCACCGGATGTAACAATGCGGGGAAGTGGTCACCCAGGGGCGCAGTGATACACCTGTTTTTGACTGTGTCTTGACCAACTCGCTCTCCCTCTTGCAACCACAAAGATCAGGGCTAGCCAGTTACCTGTAACGATTATAACCATGGTATCACTCGGTGACAATTTTGGGTGGGTAGTAGTCGCGGAAGCCCTTGAAAAATTTTCAACCACTCCATGTTCTGCATTTACTTGGGATGCAACTTGGTTCACATTCTCAGAGATTTTAGGAAAATCTTGTATTGCTAAAAAAATATGGACAGAGAAGAGAATTCACAATATATACCAAACACTGCGCGTTATCCCAATCTTACTTCTTTTCCATGCCCAAGCACAATCCACCCGATATTTTTCCAATTTGCCAGCCCATTTTCCCGTAACATAGACAGATGTGTGATGATAGGCATGTGTGAACATGATTTCCCTTCCGTCCTCATCTCTGCTGGGGTATGATCATCAAAGCGAACGTTTGGTGGTATCTCCGTTATCTCAAGCACATCAAAGACCATAGTCATGACAAAACATGAACCGTAACACCATAGCAGCCAACCAGTCACCATCCAATGACCTCCCAAAGGTTCTACCCCGGATCCCAACAAACACGTATAAGAAAACAAAAAGTGGCTCAAAAGGATAAAACAAAACGAGAAGGGGATCATAAAAAGGTAATTGCAAAACAGGTGATCGAAGAAAGTGAAAAAGAACAAAATCTTTACTGAACATATGCTAGGCCCTCAAGACCATGAGGCTGCCCAGCATGATGCGCCGTGATGTAGTCGTGGACTGTCAGCGCATCCGGGTGCGGTGCGCCAGTTACAGCGGGGTGATGCTGTGCGTGGTGGGAGGGAGGGGGAGGATATGTCACACTAGGGACGGGGTACTCAGTCGGACTGACCGCAGCCGTGGCGTTAACATCAAGCACAGGGCTGCCGAGCGAGGTAGCCCCTGGCGGAGCCGCCCAGTACATGCCGTCCAAATCGCCCCAAAGGCCTTGCTGGTCAAGCATGTTCATCATGCCCAGGCCGTCAACCGGCTCCAGGCCGATGGGGCTCATGTGCATGCCAGCAGCTTCAGCCGCGGTGGGCGAAGACATGAGCATGGCATCAGAGGTGAGGATGTGAAGCGGCCCTGGGGCGGCTGTTGTCGTTGGGGGAGTGTCTGCAACGGAGCTGGGACGTTGCTGGGCAACAATCTGGCGCGCGGCATCGTACATGCGCCAGACAACCTCACGTGAACGACGAGCAGTCAGTGACCACTCCTCCATAACCTCAAGAAGGTCGATGACAGCCTCGATCTGCTTGAGCCACTCGGGCACACGAGGGGCGCCCCACTGCCAGAAGACTGAGACTAGAGGAACCATGGCGGCCTGGTACAGGAACCAAGCAGCGTTCCAGCCGCTCATCTGGTTGCGGGTCCATTCGCGCGCAATGTCCTCAATCGTCTGGGCAGCAAGCTCACGGCAGGTCTCGATGGCGGCCAAGTCAGCATCGCTGGCCTGGGTGTGTGGGTTAATGCCGGACGAAGCGAGGGAGAGGAGGACAGGGCGGTGAAGGAGCATGCGGAGGTTCTGGTAGCGCCATTTCATGATGCAACGAGCCAGGTAGAGAGGCTCAGCACACGGGTCAGTTGTGCGCAGCAGCCATGGCAGCGAGTTGTACCAGCCGACAAGTTGATTGTCGAGATTGCAGCGATCCTCAGCGCGCAACAACGGGCTGACGGCGAGCATATCCTGAATCTGGGTAGCAATCTTGCAGAACTTGATGTTCTCGATGAGAGGGAGGATTCCAGCGTGCTGGGATGAATCTCGCGCGGCATTGATGCCGAACTCAGGAGGACGAATGTTGATGGCCGGGCCGAAGCGACCAAACGAGGGCCTACCCATCGTCGTAGTGGCCCAAGTATCCAGGCAGAACAGAGCCCACCAAGTGCGCCGGCGCGTCTCGGCTATAACAATGTCATTCGTGCTCTGCGCCAGACTCTCACGGTGTAAGCCGAGAGCGCTGGCCATGCGGATCGCAGCACCCAGCACGGCATTTGCCATGTTAGGTCTGTTGATGTAGTGGAGGTAGTAGCCGCCAATGAGGGCCAGCGCCTGCACCGTCTCGATGTGGCTGCTTCCGAGGGCATCCATGGGCAGGTATTCCATGGCTCGGTTGTAGTAGTTGATGTGGCTATAGTCGTCAGACTTCGAAGCGACAATGCTGCCCATTGCGAAAACCATGTTAAGCAACGCAAGCCACGGCGCATCGGTCCTCTGTCCTTCCAGGTAGTCAGCGCGGAAGCTGCTCTCGTCGAGCATGGGAATGAAGACGTGGATGCGCTTGAAGTAGGCATCGATGAGAGTCTGGCCCTTCCAGGACCACGGAATTCTCTGAGGCTCCTTTGGAATCGCTGATTTCCTGATGGCAGGAAAGTTGTGAGGAACGTCGACTCCGCTCAGAGGAGCTGCCAGAGCATTTCTCAAGGTCGGCTGGACCTTAAGCATGACCATGAGAGCAGCCTTAATCGATGACGCCCCAAGGTACGACTGCGGGCGATCCACAGAGAGAGATAAAGCGTTAATATCATCAGCTTCGGCCGGGATCGGATCCCGTCCCCTCCGCTCCTCATCCCATTCGGCGTCCCGAGCAGGCAGCTGCTCCAGGAGGCTCTCGGTCTTGATCATCATAGGCGAATCGACGTTAGAGATAGGCGATGTGTTGAGCGGTGGCGACGGAAGACCGGCCACATTGGTATCGACAAGAGGACGGTCAAGAAGCTCGAGGAGTTGCTGCCTGGACATGGGTAGCAGAGTCTGCACATCGTGATTAGGGAACAGACGCTTCAAAATAGATCGGCATTCTTCCAGGGATTGGGAAAGAGCTTCGAGTGTCTTGCGCGAGGGAATAACCCGCTGGCGGTGCTTATCGTAGAAACACCTCTTGGGAGCGCGGCTCGAGAGGCATTGGCCACAAGGCTGCTGGCCATCGCAGCGACTGAGACCGGAACTCGAGTTAGGCTATTCTCCTGGACCATCTGAATCATGTTTGTTCGTGGCTTACTCACATCTTACGCCGCTTGCACTCCGCACAGGCATGAGGGGTCGTTATCCTCTTGGTAGTCGTCGTCCCATTGCTCTTATTGCTGTCTTGCGAGTCTGATGAGGGCTTCTTAGGGGTAACTCCCTGAAAAGTGTGAAACATGCCGCCCTGGGTGGGCACTGGGAGTGATGGTGCCATTGCTTCTGGAAGATTGGGAGGTATCGATTTGTCCAAGGAGTGTCGTGTCCAAGGCAGTGGACCGGGTTTGTGAGGAGTTCGATCTCGCCAAAACGGGAAAGCAAACTATATAGGATGTAAGGTGGGTGTAGACGTTGCCTCTGGTTGGATCGCCCAGGTAGGTTCTCAGAAAGAAAAGTGAAGATGTAAGAAGATCTTCGCAGAGCTGCTGTTGCGCAAGTGGAAGGGGTATCAATGAGGATAGACCAAGAAAAAGGGTGTTGAACCACTTGTTAGCAGCCGCGAGAATAAAGATAGAACGGAAGCGGCGTCGGCAACGACGGGGAGAAGAGAAGGTATGGGGCGCGAATGCAGACTTTATATATTTACATTGACGAGTATGCACCCCGAGATGGAGAGGATGGGGACTCCGCACGAACCAAGCGTTGACGATGTGGGGAGGGGCGAGATTGGCATGGAGCAGACGGGATCGGCTGTCGAGTCCGTCATGGCGTGGTGTGGAGAAGGCCCTGGCCTAGGTACCTAGCCTCCCCGGCAGACGTTGATGAACTGGGGTTGGGTTGCGTGCGGTATGTGCGGGTCTTCCTGCCGCAGGTACCTTTCTCTGTACCTCTGTATCGTAGCATTCAACGTCGCACGGCTACAGCCCAGGGTACCTGCCTGACTACGGACTGCGGTACCCGACTCGGATGGACGACCTAGGATTATGTAGGGAGTTGTCAGGGCAGGGAACTCCGGCGCTTGCGCAGTATCTGGCCATTTGGCGGTGCCCAAGGACAGGCCAAGTAGGCCGAGCAATCCGTGTATAGTGTATAGCTTGGAGGCTAATTGTTGAGGATCGAGTGCGTCTGCTAAGCTGCCTTGCCCAAGAAACGCCGAACTACCAGCTGGTGAGCTTAGTGACCTGGGCAAAGGGCGATCGTCAATGCCGCGCTCGTGTCTGCCATAAACGCCTGACCACGATCTCATCATCCCATGAGTATGATGCACTGGCGGGAAGGCGTTGAAAAGCCATAAACAGGCAAGGAACAGTGGCTCCTCCTTTGCACAGGCCAGGCACATCACAAAATTAGGCATGGCCGAGCCGCCTGCACCTGAACAGACATATTAATATCAAGCCCAAGCTTAGCAACATATAGGCTATGGCAGTTCCTGAAGCGGAGAAGCGCGTCTCGGTTTGGGAAACGAAGGACTACAAGTGCATATGCAATTGCCCTGCATCAGGTCCCAACAGATCGAGCAAGCCATGCTTGCGCGTCCTGTGGCCTCTGCCTTGTTTCAGCGCCGGGGTGCGTCAGAGATGGAAGGGGGGGGTCGCCTGGCGATGGATAATGAAGGGTGTGTTTTCTGCCCATGAAAGGGTGTTGTGTTGAAGAGTGGTACGCTAATGGCATGGTATTCCATCTCGCAGTGCCCCAGTCAATGCGATATAATCCATAGGTAAACAGCTCTCTGCACGTCACTGGCACCGTTTACCACAACACCCAACCATGATGTATCACTCTCGGCGCCACACGTGGAGCTAGCATCCACCACCAAGAGTCACCATCGCACAACCGGTGCGATCGAGTAGATGCTCTGGTACTTGCTAAAGTGAGCCCAGACTCTAGAGTGCTTAGAGAAGGGCTGTATCCTTTTTGGTGATGTTGCAGTCAAACATCGGGCCAGCTGCCGAGACGTGGTGCGCAACGCCTGTCAAGAGGCGATCGAGAGTCATGATGCTTGAGCTTCCTAGCTTCCCAGAACAACCGCTCCTTCACCGCAAGCTTCATTCCTTACCGACCCTCTCATGTCGCTTCTGGTGTCGGCCGGCGTACATATTGACCCTGCGGTCAAAAGATGTTTGCCCCCTCTTCCTGAGAATTGTCGCGCCCTCATAGCGAGATGAGAGGGCGTGTGATGCCGGGACGGTCTCCACGCGCCCGCATCGCGCTGCATCGCGCCACAAAGCTTCTCAAGTCTGTCGCTTAGAGGTCAGCGGCGACGCCCAGGGGCGGGAGAGGGCGGCAAACTTGGAGATTAGTGGAGGGATTTTGAAAAAGTGTGGAGCTTTTGGAGTACTGGAAAGGGGGGCCGTCGGCCCCAAAGCCTTGCTTTGAGACCCACTTGGCTGTGAAATTGTGGGGCTACAGGCGTGATCTGATTGGCGTTTCGGCCCTATCCAACGGTGAACGCCAGGATCTCTTGTCCGATCAGACAGCCCCACATCGCTATGGACCCACTCAGCACAGAAACTGGGCGGACAGGCTGGGCTGATGAGGCTAACTGTAAAAGTTACACACTGCCGTATGTAATTACAATCTTGAATGTGCCGTTGTCGAGGCTCAAGCCGAGTGCTTCCAAAGACTTCGATCTGCGGGTACACTATGTCTATTAAATAACACTGGAATAGTGGATGACATGCCTTCTATCTCAAGCAGTTTTGTTGCATGACATCTCCTATGACTATGTGAATACGGGTTCTAAAGCTTACACAACAAGTGTATGGACTACTGCAGAAATCAGGTCGAACCTAAACCTCGCTGCATATATTTTTGACTTCATTTCTAAACTCTACATAGCCTAACCAAAATACTTATCCGCTCTTTGCTTTTCACACTTTTGACAGGGTCTGTGTGTACGTAGTTCGTCCGATCACTGGCCGCCTTAACATCTTCCATTAAGAGCTGGTAACTGTATTGGTGCTGGTGGCGAACTCAACAATTGGCGAAAGATATTGCACATGACTTTGCGGCAGTAACCTGAACGGCTATGATACCAGAATTGGAAGCCGAGATAATCTCCACAATGTTGATCCTAGCGACTTCTCAGTTCGCTACAGTCAACTATCGGCGAAATCCGCATGGCAGCCATCGACATTACGTCGCTTAAAGCTTGCACAAATGGATGGGTCTTGTGCCGGGCACTCTGCATAGACGCCCATCTACACTACCTACAATTGCTAAGCCATGAAGCCCTGAGCACACATGCCACCTGCCTAGCGTTCGCTCTGCCCCGTGCCATTATGCATCGTGTTCCACGGCCACTATTTGCGTCCATGTGCCTTTCAGAGTTGCCGAATACTGAACTGTTTGCACCAACAAACCCCCAATGATTCAGCAGAATATTGTCTGCAGATCTTTTGGAATTATGTGTTCCCCCCTCGGAACTCTGCATGGGAGTGTAGGGAAACAATACAATGATTGGTAATGTATATGTCCGTAATTACTGGTTGCGACATGGCTTAGCAGCCGGAATCGACGGCATCGGCAGCGCAAGCGAAATCCCGAAATGACCAGGACCCTTGTCCGTGAGGTAACGGTGCTGAGAGGAAAGTCACCAGTTTTGCATCCAGGCCAAGCGGTCAGTCAGGCCAGGGTCAGGGAACTGGGGTCCTCAACGTCTGTGCTACTGTCAGAGGTTCTTCTAGAAAAATTAGTTGCTGAAATGGTCTGGCTATGGGCACGCCCCTTGGGCTGCGAGTGCGGCACAACCGCCATGCTAGTATACATATCTAGTGCAAGTTATGGACAGGGCGTGAAGTGCTTTGCTTGATGGGCACGATGTCTTTTTGTGGCCCACTGGTGTGTGCACCGGAGATAACCGTTGCTTCAAGGTCTTCTTTTGCATGATCAGAGCACTATAACCCTGACAGAATAGATACCCTTCGGGATATCGGTCGGCTTTCCCCCTCCAGGGAACTTCAACTGTCATTAACCAGCTTGTATGTTTCTAGGCACAAAGGGGAGTGGGGACACACAGCCAGCCCGACAGGCACAGCCGATCACATTCGATGAAAAGGCAAAAAAAACGCCATGTGCTTATTCATGCGAAGGACCTCTCGCAAGTCCTGCTGTCTCCAGATTATGCCGTCATCGTGCACGCCGACCAGCACTGCCTGGGGATGTCAAGCAAGCCAAAAACAGACAGCCGCAGATGTGGCGTCTCGCAAGATCCCTGCATGCCCCTCGTGGATGGCTTCTGCACAAGCTTCGATCGAAGAGTGTTCCTGACATCTCGCTGCTGTTGCATTCGATTTCCCCCACATTTAAAACTGACCAATGGAAATTGCAGATTCGGCTGGAATCACGGCAAGCGACCCTAGCGTCGATTCGGTTGCGGTTCCCCTTCGTCCCGAACTGGCCTCAACAGTAGTCGTTCTGTTCACCCATCGGCATTTTCAGCTGCCTGCCAGTTGTCACCCATCAACTTGCCAGGCTTACAATGTGAAGCATCAGTCCTTAGGTGCCAGTGTCAAGGATATTCCGGGTCTTGGCCCGCTCTATTCCTGGCGTCGTCGTCATGGACGGGCCGGCAAGTCGACGAAAGGGTGGCATTTCAGGGTTACAGCCGTCGGATTTCACACGCGTATCCCACTAGCTTGAACTTTGGACAACGGCTCACACTGTTTGGCAAGCACTCTGCCGGACCGGTCTGCTCTTTGAGCGCCAGGATTCCTGGGGAAGTCTGGGGAAATCTGGGGAAACGAAGGGTAAGCAACTATCGCGGAATTTCACAGAGCATGTTTCCAAGGCATGGACGAAGCCATAGCACCCGCTCCGTAGCTCAGCATACTGTGGGAGAGGACCTCAAAGTTTCAGATATGCAAGGTCCCAACAGCCCTAACCTTTTGTATAGAATGGGGCTGTTCCGGAAACCCTTGTCGGGCCAAAGTAATAATGTTTGACATCCTGACATTGCCTGCCCCGCTATGGCAAGCTCGTCTTGGGGACCTGCCCGCGTTGTGGCTTGAAGCTTACAACCTTGCTGCCCCCGCAGCACAGAGCCTCAGCACAGTGAACCTTCCCATCCGTTTGGGACATAAAATAGGGAGCTATCAAACCCTCATATGCTGACAAACTGACAGCTTTCATCAGGTGTCCATACCTCCAACATTGTTTCACGAGCGGCATTCACTTGAACTCTTAATGCTCACTAGAAAGAACACTTCGAAGTCCGTTGAGTCAGCCAGCATATCACTGTTTTAAGTTTTCTTACCACCTGGTGCTAGCAACGAACAGTAGTCTATGCTTTTTCATTTTAGGTGCCATAGGTAATCCGATTAACCAGTCTCGCCTATCAGCCAATAGCCTACTTGTTTCATCCTTCATTTCGTCCTGGTCTTACATAGCCCGTCGGTTCAGGCCTGTTTGCTTCCTGATGAGCTCGCCAACTTATCCTTTCTATGTGGAACTGGCAGCTGAGTTTCGCTAGAGAACGGTGATCTGCAACCAAAATGATGCGGTACTTGTGCCTTCGAAAACCATGTCTTATGCGTTGCCAAGCGCTATCACTGTTGTTGCGAATTAATGGAGGATCACAAAGGCTGGGCCAAGCTGTTGCTGACGCTTCATGCAGTCGAAAGGAATATCTAGTGCAAGACAACCCACCTGACCACCACGAAACAGCTTGTGATTAATACCACACACATATCCACAAATGCTATGCAGTGAAGGGTCTTGTCGGGCATCGCACACCTTGAATCTGGTTCTAGGGAAAGGCAGTAGCAAACCGAGCCCCTACATTGAAAAGGAAAATCTATGACAGCTCATACTTGCATCTTGCGGACCGTAAGACTGGAACTGCAGGGATCGTGCAACCGGAAGTACTTCTGTGAAATTCCTATAGTCTTGGACATTTTAGGTAAACTAACGGACCATGAACATAGGCACCTATCAATTACCCGATATCATACATCCACATGCCGATCAGAATCTTTATTGTCAGCGTTCATAATCTTAATCCTTCAACACATCCCGTGTCATCCATTTGGCAACAAAAAACGGATCGCTTGAAGATCCGAAACACACCTTCCAGCAAACTGGCAACATGATAGGCTTCAAGCCTTACATCACAATCCCACTTAATACGCGCAATTTTTAACTTTATCATGTCTCATATAGCTGCTTGAGAAAGTGGAAATTTCAGATCTAAGCTAAACTCTTTCATCATGGCGACATACCTAAGTACCTCCTCCCCGCATGGGTTACTGCCACGTTCAGCCTACCTAGCGGCATACTTCACCGGGATTCCGAACGAAACGCTGGAAATGACATCGCCATTCTCCGACAGACCAAGGGTCGTACGTTCCTCCATCATCTTCAGCTCTGTCTCTGCAAATCAGTCTCCTTCCCTCCCTTCTGTTTCAAGGTTTGATCTCAGCTTTGGATTGCCCGGCCTTATAAGTGAACCTAACTATCCAGCTACATTGGTAGGTAGTTGCCATGAGGTGATTTAGTTCCCATTGAAGCTTAGAGTACGCATACTATGTCAAATCAAGATGTTCGATATCTGATATGGTGGTACGAAGGCCAATGCGCGGTCGACACAGAACCTTTCAGCAGCTTCTTCCTTGCCATATCGCACCAGCCACACGTTCACTCATTAAACGGTAAAACGTGATGTTTCTGCAACATACATCTGTTTACATCTTCCTACATCCATACGGGTGGTAGGTGTAGATGAGAATTCTGTATAACCTACGCGCCAATTTCTGTTTGAAGAGCCTTTCCTCTGCCAAAGTTACAGCTACGTCGCAGCAACCAGCTAGCCAGATCAGTAGCAGAATCTCAATGATATCACGGTAGTCCACATAGCTACAGCATGGCTGTGGTGAGCCGACCAAGACTCTAAAATTTTTGATAAACCGTGGTTCAACTGAATGTGAATGGAAGAAAATGGTAAGAAAGCCAGGAGCAACCCAACCAAGACAGGTAAATGCAACGTTGGAGCACTCGCAGAAGCGGCTCGCAATGGCACCCTACACTACCTTGAAGGGAAAGAAGCCCAGTACATGGCTAAGTAGCTTGCAAAATTGCGACGTAAATAAGACCGATAAGGCCGCTCTCTAGAAGCCCGTTGCTTGAGGTAGGTACGTACACAAGTCAATTCTAACGATAGAATGCTAAGGTGAATACTCGGAGATCGGCATGTTGATATCACCTTATCGGGGCTCACCCACTTTCTGTTCCCTAGCCCAGTTGCATTCCCTCATCCATGTGCTTTGATGATTGGATAGTTGGCATAAAAAACTTTTGGAGATAAAAAAATCTTCATCCTCACCGCCTCAACTCCCCCTACCCAGACCCATACCAATGCGAAGAGCGTGACATCGAAGTCGAGCCGAACGGGAGCTACCATGGGAAGACAGGGGATCCCCCATGGGGGAGAATGGTGACGTGAATAGGCGAAACTTGCTTCGACGGCTGTGACTTGCCTGCCTAGCCAACAGGGTGGTAGAAACAAAAGTATGGAGTGTGACTGCATCAGCAAGATGTGACTGGGAAAGAAAACACCATACTTGTTCACCTGTGCATGAGCCTGTCAACATCTTTCAACTCCCCCCTTTCCTCTCCTGACCCCGGGTGATCCCGATGCAGTCCAGTCAGATTCAAAGGAGCTTGCAAGTAGAGACTGGGTGTCGAATCCGCTTGCTCGAGTTGCTTACCGAAGAGCTCCTTAACTCATAAATGTTCCTGTTCCACGGATTATGGCAGACCTGGCTTGTTTGATCTAATGGTTCTCTCTTGGAGACAATGGCATCTAGTGAGAAATTGAGAGGTTCTTATCGGCAGATTTTTGTCCACTTGTCTTAACCAATGAATGCGGCTGTGATATCGGCAGGACTCGCGACCCAACCAAAAAGCTCCTTCGTAATTTTCCACCTCCAAAAGGGAATTTCGCTAGAGACAGCAAGGAGAATTACCTCGGTCAGAGACATACATCGAGCCGCCTAAACAGCCACCCCAAGGCCAGGATATAGGAGGATTGCCAAGATCCTATGTGATCCATTTCCCTTCCCTTATGTAGATCGCATTCGTTACCTACCGTGCGCTCTCCGAATTCAGTCCTAACATACGCGCACTTTCTTCTTTATTCCAGGAGTTCCTTCTCCTTCTACCGTGCACTCCAACCTCCCTCTCCTCCTTTCGTTGCCCAATTCCGTGGCTGCTCCTCACAGCTGCAGAACTTGGCAGCGGCTGCCCACGCCATCGAAGATGCACGTATTATCGATCGGAACGTACTGTTTGGTGACAATTTTGATGGTCTCCTGTGCCACCATACCACCAGTCAAGGCTGAGATGTTATGAAGTTCACCCCCGGCGGCACGAGCTACCTCCTGGGCGGCTTTGATCACCTGTTCTCTCTTCTCTGAGCCTGGAACCAGTGCAGCAATGCCTTCCAGAATCTCCTCCGCACTTATAGGCGAGGTTGCATGAGAAGTGGCACGCAACGCGAGGTAGATGGGCAGGTGGGAGAGAGGAGCGCCTGTTAGCGAAGTGTTTTCGTCGTTGGCGAACTCTTGGGCTATGTTTATTATGTAGTGGCAAAAATGACACTGGTTAGCTTCATCCGATCAAGCTTCAACTCAATCTGCTGAAATAACACCCATTACACTCTGCTTCCCCACCACGAGCAGGATAATGGGAGCAAAGAGTCCCTCGGGCGGAAACGCAAAGGTAACAGGGAATGTCGCGGCTTACCTGCTGTTAATCTAAGGCGCTCTAGCTTGCCGTCTTGTTCATTACTCCCTCCTGTTGCATTGATAAGTCTGACGAAGGCTGCGTTCTTGCAGAAGAGTTCTACTTCGGCCGGATCAATATCTTGACCACCCGGCATCGCACGCACAGTTTCCAGGACCTCAGCAGCATCCTTGCGTGCCTTTTCCTTGTAGAGATTCTGGAGCTGAACATAGACCTTGGACTGGGCCTTCATGTCTGGCAGCTTGCCCGGGAGAGGAAGACATTGGTGCTTCTCAAAGAAAGCCTTAACAGCATCTGCAATAATCCAGAAGCCGGATCTTTGCTCAACCTGGTTCTCACAGGTCAGTGTGGATATCAGCTCTCAGCCATGTGGAGAATGACCTACTGGATCAGCATGCTTGTATTCGAAGACCTGCTTCAACCCAGATGGTAATGAGGGAACAACTAGGGTTTTGAGAACGGCTGCCGCCGCCTCATCAAAGTTTTCTTCTCCTCCTTCAGGGTTGTTTGTTCGCGCAGCACGCTGCACAATGCTACGGAACTCCGTTTTCTCTTTGTATGTTGTAGGATACCTCCCGTCGTGGGTTTCCTTCCACTGCTCTAGATAGTGGAGCAGAATCGCCACATACGGTATATGACCATGCTCAAAATCGTCCTGGTTATCAATATCCCTTGTGAGTTCTTGGGCGAAGGCAACTAGCTCTGGCCAAGGTTTTAAGAGGCGGAGATCGGTTGTTGCGGTCTCATCTGGATGTGTTTCCACAATCGGGAAAGCCCCGGGAAGATTGATCTGGAAGTAAGAATAGAAGCCTGCTGAGTGAATTGCCACCAGCGGAGTTTTATGCTTTTGAGCATAAGCCTCTAGAACAGCGAGGTCCTCCTTGCGAATAGGGTGTGTATACATAATCACGGTATATACGGTGTCGTCGGTAAGAAGAGCCTCCAAGGTCTTGATATCCTACACTCGGGATATAAGCAATTGGCCTCGACTCTGTGCCGAGACGTATTCTGGCAATCCTACCTCATTTGGGTACCAACTGCCCTTGACCTCGGGATTTAGTTCTGTGAGAAGTTCGGTCAAACCACGCGACCGACGCTGGCCAAGATAGCTCTCATCCAGGAAGAAGTTCACACCGAGGTCAGCCTCTGTCACCTCCGCCTCATCATAAATGGCAAAACGGCCAATTCCTCGAGTAGAAATCAGTATGTGCTCCCTGTGACAATGTCGAAAAAGAAGAGCGAAGGGTACCTGGTAGAACGAGGTTTTTCAAAGTCTCGGCCCCGACCGCGCCTGCACCTGAGTTGACCAGCAAGATGTTGGCTGATTCAAGGGCTGACTGACCGCTGGCAGCCCAAAGTCGTAGCTGACGATCGTATTTGCGTTCCTTTTCCGATGGCCGGTGAAGAATAGGGGGAGTCTGGCTCATGATAATTTCCGTCATCCTGGTCGGCAGCTCAGACTCAGAGCAGGCGAGGATCACGGGAGGATAGGGAAAGGGTGTGTCGAGACTTGTCAGGCGAGATATTGCAGTTGTGTCTCATCAATCTGGAGGGCACAACGGTAGTGTCAGTCGCGAAAAGACCCTGAAGCTCAAGGTAACCGGTAGCTCACGGCTCAGAGCTCAGGCAAGATCGCTAGATGTTTGGTTGCTCAGGTAGGAGGATGCCTGTCCAACCATGCATCCAGCCACATCGAGGGGTGGTGGGGCCACGGTTTGGGGAGCAGTCCGACACCTCGTGCTAGGCCCACTTGCAAGTTTTATGGCTGTGCTTCTGTGGCTGATGAGGGCCTACAACAACGTCAGCATTCAGCTGACAATGGGTCAAAAGCTGGCTTTGGTTGCTTGCTTCCATGCCAGTCAAACAAAACAATCTTGACAAACATAAGGAGACTCAGATAAGATTGCAGTATCAAATATCATGCTGTATTTATTCGAAAATTCGCTGTAAACTGGCATTAAACCATCAGCGTTCATATATAGATTCGCGTCCTTGGCTTGAATCCTGCGTGCCCTGCTCCTTCCCTTGGTCTTATGGAAATGTTGGCTACTATCCTGTTCAGGAAAGAGCAAATCTATTCCAATGTCAATATATTGGCTTTCATCGAAAATTGCATGGTTGTGTTCTGAGAATGTTCATAGCTTACTGCCAGGAAACGCCGGTGCCTGTCTGCATGACCAGGACAATTTTGATCCCAATTTCAGTCTTTCAGTTGACTAAGGATGTCCAAGTCATTGTTAATTTAGTTTTCCCAGACTCTGCGACTGACTTGAAATGAGAGCACAATGGAATACAGTCTAAACTGCAATGTCCCAGACTGCGGTTCTCAACTTACAACCAGAGCTGTGGTGCTAATATGCAGGTAAGGCTCTTCAGATTTCAGCAGGCGTCGAAAATACACAAGCACACTAAGCATCATTTCCACAGCCATATCATCTGCCTATCATGCTCAAATCGTTATGGATTTGCTAGAGGAGCACCTTATACATGCCCTGTTTGCAGGACATCTTTGAGCTCCACAGAGGTAATAGAGCAAGACCTTCAACCCTCGGAAGGATGGAAGTCTGTGGCCCTATGTGGCCTCAATCCAATGGTTGTCATGGAATGTGCAGGTCGCGCTCTCAGTTTCTGGTCTTATCAGATGACAAATCAAATGTCTGTACAATCCCATGCAGGTTTGTTAGACATTGGCTTACTCATGGAAGCTCATCCCACATCCAAAAAAAAGAAAATTGAAGGAATACTGCGGCGAACTTCAGGGCGAGATAGAAAATATATGGAATCAAGCAAATCAGAGAATCAGCTCCCTTACCACGAAGTTACGAGGTCAGTTTATTCCTTTTTCCTCGATTGCGCCCTGGAGCTAACCCTCCAATAGACATGGAACGAGAAGAGCGTGAACTCAAACAAACATGCGAAGAACTTCGAAAAACCCTGGAAACAAGAACACGAGAACTCGAACAATCACAAGAGCTCTATACAAAATTGAAGCATAGAGTACTGCGAGGTGACCAGCAACAGCCGCAGCAACAGCAGCCTATCCCCCCAACCGCACCAAGTTCCTCCACCCCGTTTCAAACAAGCAACTCTCCTGGCCTTGGACAGGGTCATGCCCAAGTATCGCTTTCTCCTCCATTGTTCTCAGGTGGAATTCATGCTACATCCAATGGCTTCCCTACAAGTCCAAGAAACACTAGGCCAGAACCAAGCTCAACGGCTTTGTTGGGACGGAATAAGTCGGCATTGCCTCAACGTAAGTATTGTCTTGAAAACAACATCCTCATCTCGAAATTATGCCGGACTGTATTAACTGACCAGGCCGGAAGATTAGAGGCTCCAAGCAACCCATCACATCATTTATCTATGAGATCCGCCAGTGCATTTGCATTTGCTTCAACTCCTCAAACTGGGATTGGCACAGCATCTGTTCCAGGTTCAGGGAGAAACCGAGAGACACCGTCTCACCCCGAAACTCAACTAGTAGATGGCACAGATGGCTATTCAACTGCAAAAACAGAGATATTCAGCCGTCGGACAATGATACATGGACCAACTAGCTTGGCTCTGGCGAGACCCAGTTCCGACAACCAGTCAGGTGTGTGATTACAACTGCAATGGATGCTGTTTTGAGCATGACGAGATTAACATCTGACAGTATTTCAAACTACAGTGCGGACTACGCATCTAACTGCAGGAAGTCATGTACTTCAAAATCAACACCTGGATCTCCCATGCTCTTTTTTCCGGCGTGCTTGATTCTGCCTATCTTAGACTCGCACAGGTCTGCTTGTGAGACCAGACCGCAACGGCTTTGTAAAATCGCGAGTGGATCACTCGTCTACACTTTGTCAGATCCTATGTAAGGGTCATGTGAAGCCCAAACAGCATCCTCACTGATGCTTGCAAAGGACAACCGTCAGTACAAACGGCCCATCGCTGCTCAATACGAGCTGTAATTCTAACCGAATCCTCAACTTGCAGGCACACATATTGGGATACAGTAAATAGGTAGTTAAGATTTCCTGCTATTGCTTATCTGTTGCTATCAACGCTGTTCAGTACACACCTTCAACCGCCAAGGCTCCTATCTGCTCACTCCATCATCACCATCAACTTCGATACAGACATTGCAACCCTCTAGATTATCTACAACCTTCCAACAGAGTCTCTTATTCCCTCCCTGAAGACACGAGTATCCACCTCGACCACATATTTACTGGGGAAGACGCCTGCCGATCTTCAGTGTTCTCTTGCGTGCTTGTTCTCCAGAAACGAGCTGCACCGGTACAACACCACCAAACGGGCCTGCTCGTGCCGGATTTTGGCACCGCACCAGACAAAGATTATCCTGCCCGGCGGCACTGCCCGTGCAAGTTTGAGTCGTAGGGATCGAAACCGTCAATGGAAAGTCGGTCATGCGGCCATCCTGTTGTCCAGTCAGACAGCTGCAAGACTTGAGCGTCTAACCTGGTGATACAAACTTACTCTATTGTTGCCCCTTCTGCCCGGAACATTCTGTGTTACAGTTAACGGCTCCCAGGTGGTTGCAGTGCCGTCGGAGTTGATCATGCATTGGTACGGGCCACCGCCATCACCATTGACCTGATGCAGCGTCATCCTCAGCTCTCCGCCAGGGGTGACCTGAGGGAGTGTGCCGCCGTTTTGGGCCAGAATGGCTTGGGTGCCAGATTCAAGCTGGTTGTCACCGCCCTGAAGGGTTTCGCCTAGGGTCGCAGCTGATGAACCACGGAAGCGAGTTGTATCGCGCTGGAATGGGTTGCGTCTAGTGCCGTCACGAGGTGTGGTTGGGTCGATTCCCAAAGCTGAACCGCGGCCTCCAGCATCTCCAACAGCTGCAATGATTGCACCGTGGGCATTGACAAACGTTGTGGTTGTCGAGCTCAGAAAGAGGAGAAAAGCAGAAAGCAGGGTGCGGACAGTTGCCATCTTGACGGGATTGGATGCCAGATCCAGGTAGAGAATGCTACAAGAACTAGAGTCCTGCTCAACAGGAGGTCAAGAAGAAAGAAAGAGAAGAAGATGTGTGGGTTGTAAGAGTAATCGATTGATGCTGTCGCTGATGATGGAAACAACTTGTTAAGGGTCACCGTCAAGGCCTTTTATAATCGTGTCCATATCTATTCTCGTGACACCCACGGCTCTCTTTCTTCATACTCAACAGCTTAGTTTCCGACCTGCATTGCTCGCTCGCTTTCCCGCTCTGACTTCATCTCAACTTTACAAACGATGATGGAACAAGGTGAGGCATGCCGGAAGTCCAAAGTCCCACAACCTACGCCCCCTCTGGAAAAGACTTCGCTATTTTGGGCTCTGTGATCAAGGGAGTGAGTAAGAGTGCAGAGTCGATCAAGAAGTGTTTAGACTGTTCTCACAAACACAGCCACAGTAGATGTTCCTCTGGTCACAAACAATTCGAGCTAATGCCGGTAATCGATTTCCCGTCCGTTAGTTTTGTGCTTTGGTCACAAGCCCTGCATTTTCCCAAGAAAATGTTTGATCTCCAAAAGGTAGGGGATTAATGGAGATCGTTGATTTGCGCGGATTTGCACATGCACGTCTATGCGTTTGTGATAGTTCGAAGTGCTGAAACAATGTTTCATCTGATCTGTTTCTTGGCAAGGACACAGCCTCAAAGTCTCTGGATCAAGTGATGTCCAAATGAAGATGTAAGGAATAAATGAGAAGGTCGTTTGCTCCGTTAACAATGATTTGGAATTATTGAGATTGGAAGCGTTTCTGTGTTCTTGGCAACTGTCATACCCCTTTTTAGAAGTATTAAGCTATGTCTTCGACGGTGGATTTAGTTGTGCTTCAGAAACATTAGTTAGGTAAACAGTACAATTCATGCACACAACGACAAAATAAGAAAAGACAAAATACAGCTTCCCTGAACTGTACTGCTGTCATAGCATTTCAAACAAGCAATAGTGGCATCGTTCTTGAGGAAGTATTGGGTGTGCATCTTTGGATTGACGAGATCTTTGACTCTCGAATGGTTTCCAAGCCAGTCATGTCGATATTAGGTAAACTGGAATCAAGGAATAAATGTTGGTAAAGTCAAATAAGTACTACCTACCACTATAAACTAGACACTCATTTACCTTTCCGCCCATGGTTTATCCTCCAGGCTAAGCGTTTCAACCCTAAAATTAGATCCAACTCCCAGTCATCCCGCAAGTTCAGAGACCTTTCCCTTTGCGGCAGAGCTGGCAAAGAGACCCCTGCTTCAGAGGAAAAGACTCAGAAGGCCTTGAACCCTGATGAGCTCCTTCAAGCCGACTCATGGTACAAGATTAGTCCACATTGACAAGGCATCTCCCAGTCTCATTCGAGTTTTCCGTCACAAAGATGCTAGCATTCATCTCTATTCGCGTCGCTATACCGCGGCCCATCTTGCTTATCTACACTTCGTTAATAACAACAGCAGCAACAGCAACAGCAATATCTATGGACAGCGTGGTATCTCGTATCATGTTCATGCCATGTTCTCACCAGAACCGAAGCACTGGAATGGGCAGGAAATGCCGAAGTCATGAATCATGAAGCACATCAATCCATCCCAGACATGCTCTACTTACTCTATCCGCCCTCGTTCTCTTAAACAATCTCTACGCCTTCTGCGAAGAACGTGTCATGTTTCAGGGTGACAAACCAAAAAGACACCTAAAACGCCGTAGGGAATTTATCCCTGACAGGCGTTGTGGGTCCCTGCCGTTGCGACATGCTATAGGGTGCCTGTGCAGAAAAACAAGAATGTCGGGTCAGCACACAGCAACTTCCAACTCCTCGACATTTGGAGGAGATGAGAGCGAGGCACTCACCAGAACCTCCTTCGCGCTGCACACTCGCCAAGCAAGCTTCCGCACGTTGCCATCGGCCGGTACCACAGCGGGAGCGAACTCAATACCAAACATGTGGTGAATGGCATACACAACGCGCCTGGCATATTTGCTATCCCGCTCAACGTGGGCGCCAAATGGCTCGTCCACAGTAGCTGGGGCAATGTCGGGGTCGCGGTCGAGACAGTTCTGGACGACAGGAAGGAGAGCCTTCCCGATATCGTCGATGCCCATCTCTCTGCCAAGATTCTCATCGTCAATTTTGGCAATGCGCACCTCGAACGGCTCTGAGATGGACATGACGTTATGGCCGCCGCCATGGTGGTAGCGGAATTCAAAAACACCCTGTGTCCACCACAGCTTGTCTCCCTCGAAGACCATCTCGCCCTCGACCAGTTCAACGCCGTCGCTGCTGGTAGCGAGGGGCTTGTCGTACGAAATGATACCCTGGTCGGTAGTTGTGTCATATTCACCAGCACAACAAGGCACCCAACGGCCGAGAGACGGAACTTCGGTGACTTCGCGTGACCGGTTGTCTGTGACCATGTAGAGACCGACCCAGTCCTTCTTGCTGTGGTTGGCAGGGGCAGTCCACTTAACTCGAATCGGAGCACCATATTCAAAGACCATGGTCTTGACATCCTTGGGTACGCGCGCATTGGCACTTTCCTTGCCGCTGGCTTTCTCATCGGAGCCGACCAGAGGAGTGCCCTCAAGAGTGATACGATAATGCTTGGGGTCGTAACCAGCGAGGTCGGGCGCTATCCGACTGAGAGTGAGGCGAGCGGGATACTTGTTGAACAGGGCGGTAGTGTCCCGAACAATCGTAGAGGACCCGGCGGCGAGCTTAGAACGAGCCACTTCCACAAATTCATCAACGAAGTGCTTGGTCTCATCCAGAACCTTGTCAACACTCTGTCCGAGTTCCTTGACAGGCTGCGGGAGACTACGCTTGATGAACTTAGTCAGACCAGCCTCTTTGCGCAGCTTCTCGCCGTAGATCTTCTGCATGTGGGGCTTTTCAACATAATCGATGAAAGCGAGTGTCAGGATGTGACCAATCAATGCAAGCATGAAGATGGCCCGACTCCAGGTGATGAGGGCCAGCCCCCACAGCCCGGCAGTGCCCATGACGCGCTCCGGGTTATTGAGGAACCGGTAAATGGAAGTGTAAGTAAGCTTGCCGGTGCTCTCGAAGAAGAAGTCACCGTAGAACCAACCAAACTCGCCCAGCGATTCGTAAATGCTTGTGGCGGTCCAGATGTGGAGCGCGATCAAGCTAAGGCCGACCACATGCTTCAAGAGAACCCAGCCATAGCTCCAGTCCTCTGGATAGGTGTACAACTTCCAGCAAGCCGCAAGGAACGAAGCATGGCACATGGTCGTACTGATGTGGTACATGCCCTTCCACTGCCGCCATGCTTCCCCAGCAGTTTCACCGAACTTGACAAAGTGCCTGGTAAACATTTTCTCCTTAGACTGCTTGGTTAGGATGACACCGAGACCGATCGAGAACCACAGACGCCAGAACAACGCATTCAAGATGAAGACAGCCCGCCAGGTGGCGGTGGAAGGAGTAAAAAGAGTCAGAGCACCGAAATACGTGACGATAAGCACAGTCGAGTAATCCGTGGTGCGGAAGAAGTCGAAATTCTTCAGGCCTAGAAGGTTGTGCACCGGCGGAGGTGGGGCTTCCGGCTGTACAAGTGGTCTCTTGACTTCAGAGGTGCTGTCGCCGTTGTTGCTTCCTTCTGATTCAGTCCTCCTGCGGGGTGGAGGAGGGTTGTACGTTTTCTCAATATGCGGGTTCTCGACGAGGGCAAGGAAAGCAAATTGAGCAGCGTGTGCGAGAATCGAGATAAACAGAACGTCATAACTGGCCGCCATCATGGAAATGCCATAGTAACCCGCATAGCCGATAGAATACATCGGATGAGGTGCCATCTCGAACACACCATCAAAGGTGAGCTCCTGCTCGATCAGATAAAAGAAATCTTGACGGAGTTGTCAGCCGTGGTGTTGCATTTTTGACCAGGCAAGATCTTCAACTTACCGCCCCAGTACCAGGCATAGTCCTTCACAACTCTGTGGGCATCAAGTTTGACCCACAAATTGAAGGCGATCAAGAGCAGGCCAACGGTCCAGCGGATGAAAGCGATACCAAAGCCCTCGCCAGCAGGCTTACTGGCGCATACGATGGCGAACAGGCAGTACGAGAAGAAGTCGCACATGAGGATGAGATCAACGAGGCGACGGAAACAGAGCCAGGTATTGTACTCAATAGGAGCTTGGCTCATCTTGTAGTCCTTGGGGATCTTGGCTTCGAGTTCATGCTGGAGCAGGTGGTAGAGCCATGGTCGAGGGTTCTTCCCGGTCTCCGGGTCCTCGAACAGCTTCCACCTCTTTGCCCAGGTCACCAGGAGTTTGTACTTAGACTGGACGGTCAAGAGATAGCCAATACCAACATTATACGAGGCTCTCCAAAACAAGAAGAGAGCAGCGAAGACAGGCCGCTTGAGGCTCCATGGCAGCGCATACGCAAGCCAGCAGTGAAAGACAAGAGTTGCCAGCACAATGACATCAGAGAAATTCTTGGGTTCGCGAGGATCGAGAAGCTGCGAGACCATGTCATGGGTCTCGGGGACGACGAAGACTGCATGTGTATGGAAGTAACCAGGTCAGCAGATTGGGCCATTGCTTTTCTTGCACCTGAGCTTATTCTTCCCCAGATGTAAGAACTCCAAGAAGGGTAACATACCCGTGCCGTCGGGAGTGCGGCCGTACGTCCTCTTCCGGCCAGGAGCGTCCCGATCGGGCTTCTTCTCATTAGGCGCGGCCCCGTTGACGGGCCCGTCGGACTCGGGCGCCACGACATAGTTCCGCGAGTCAGCCGGGGCATTCCCGCGCTGTCGCAGGGTTTCGGGCACTGCGGCCCCGGTTGCTGCAGCTGACATTGTCGTGAATTACCGGTATTCGGTGTTGAAGACCGATTTTAGCAGAAATAAGCGTTGAGCTTTGTTGGCATTACCTGAGCGGTAATGTTTGGTTGTCGTGTCTTGGTCGCGACAAGTGTCACAAGGAGGGGGAGGGGGGTCTGGGGAGGAGAAACAAAAAGATGTGCTGCGATGCAATGTGAGTGGGGGCGTGAAGTGCAAATTACGACGGTGACAACGAAACGAAACGAGCAGAGGGGAAGACGGCAGAGAACAGCCACGAAACACGCTGACTTGGATCAAAGGGAGCACTTTTGATGCCAGACTCTCGTGACTCTACCCCAAAAACCAAATGCCTCCCTGCTGCTGTTAACAGGCACGTACCGCCAAGACGACTTAAAACTCTCCCGAGCTGTTCTGCTGTGGATATACACAACGGAGGAGGAGGAAGGGAGTTAGAGCTCCTGCGTTCCAGCGCGTTGATAGACGGGCAAAAAGGCAGCCTGCGAGCGCAAAGATAGCAGATTGCTGGCGAGCCCGAAAAGCTGGAAGTTCGGCGAAGTCAGGACACGAGACGTCTCGGCACTTGTTGGGTGTTGCAACAGTGTTGGGATGGGTGATGGCTAAGCGCGGCCAGGGTATCCCCATTTTTTTTCAGGCCTCACATGCTTGGGACTCGGGTCGAAGTGGAGGGTTGGTGGGTTCTTGGTTGCTCCTCTCCCACGGGGCTCCACGATTTTTGTGTGGGGTTGAGCTAAGTAGAAGTTGTGGACAGCGTGGGCACTGGACAGTGGAGAGCTCAGCGAATAACACAGTCAACCCGCGGTCCGTTCTCGATGGCTTCATTGCAAGTTATGATGCTCTTGTCCCTCTCGACTGGTCTGTGTTTGAAGCAGAGGCATGGGCGAAGAAAGCCATTCATAATGTACCTAGCTAGTCGCGTAGGTCGGTTGGGCCCCGGTTCTCTCTACATGGGGGCCTTAAGTATCGCTGCGTGGACTTGTCGTGGGGGCTTGAGACGCTTGGCCGCCTGGAGGATAGGCAAGGTCTTTCTCCGTTGCTTAAAACGAAGTTTTGGTTCGGAAAGAGAAGACACTTACACTGGAGCGTCATCTACCCATTTCTAGAAAACTTCAGATGTTACAAAAGCAGGTACATCTGCACGTGTCATCGGCGATGCCGTTCTGGAGATTCTCCTGATTGCACCGTCAGAAGCCATCGAGCCCTCGACCTGCATGTGGTCCCTGGACTGGATCCTGCTGACGTCTCATTCGATTTGATGAGATTCATGCGACGACTGGCAGGGTCCACTAGACAACTGACAGCGGCTGTTAAACAGCCGGCAGACTTCTTAAAACAGAACTTACACGGAACACCACAACACCTTACCAGCCATCGCATGAACATGTTGGGAGACGGCAAGATATCGGCTTGGTCACCTAGCTGCAGCGGGAGAGTTTTTCTTTGCTCTGGTGTGGTAGCGTCATCAAGTGCCGTGAGAGGGAAAGGGGGATGAAGTGCATGTTACGATGATATCTAGAAGACCATGATCCCATATATCGCTGATCAGTGATCTCTACTCTTCCTCTCCCCTCACTTACCCTCCACTCACTCATTATCTTCACATTGAGGCTCAAGATCTAGGTAGATCTGACCTATCTAGATCTTTTTGACCGTCCGCTCATTCGTATACGTACATACCTGCTAACTAATTGAATCAACACTGGCATAATATTTGACCCCTCGGCATAGAGTCCATCCTTTTTGAGTCACAGCCCACTACTCAACAAGTCATGTTCAATATGGCCCGCAACAAGAACCACCGTGGCGTCGACGCCACCATCACTGCCGTTCCTTCTTCCTCCCCCAACGGTACTACCACAACCACAACCGCTAGTACAAGCAAACCCCTACCCAACTCCCCACCTGTGCCCCCAGTCCCCGAAGTCGAGGTCGAACCCAAGCGCCCGGGCACCTCCGGCACGGAGGCTGCCCTTACTCTCTCTCGGCGTACGGCCTCGGAGCGCCTGCGCCAGGCGCAACGGGCCGAGCGCACATACAAGGCAAAGAAGCGGGCGGCCATGGCCCGCGCTAACCGCGCCGAGGCCGCCGCTCACTTGCGACAGGCGATGCAGCACTTCAAGCTGGGCGTGAAGCTTGCTTTAGCAGCCGTTAAGGGTGTCCCGTACATTCTGAGGGAGAAGCGTGAGGTTGCGAAGAGGAGGCGCGAGGAGAAAGAGCGGAAGAAGGTCGAAGAGAAGAGAAGGAAGCTGGATGAAAAACTGGCTGCTGCCGAGGCAGCCCTTGCAGAGTCCAAGTCTAGGAAGGAGAAGGTCCAAGAAGAGGGCACTGAAGGAAAAGAGGAGGATGCTTACTAAAGGGACAGCATGATGGAGAGGGAAAAAAAAGGGGGGGGGTGGGGAGCATGGAGAGTTGATGATGGCTGTGCCCAAAGTCTAAATGGCCCGGAGGGCGTACACCTTCGATCCGAGCTTCCTGCTCGTACACACAATCTTTCCGATTCCAAGTTCCTCGTTACAAGACTGTCCTTTCATATGTCTCTTTCTCGATGTCTCCAGACCTGCTTACCCTCTGGCATAACTTGGGAGCTTGACGCCCCAGTTTTAGCGGGCCTGCAGCCTGCTGCTGTTACACTCTTTTCCTTTTCCTTACTCTTCTAAATTTGTTATTCCTCGAGAGTTCTCTAATATCCCCTTGTTACTGATGATGGCTTGACGAAGCATGAATATGATGGCATAATAGAGGCATCAGGGGAACCGGTCAGGGCATTTCTTTTTGATGGAATGGCAATTGTTTGTGAGGGAGAAGAGGTGCTCGGGCTGTTTTATTGATACCCCTGAGCTTCTGTTTGTTCTTGCTTCTGTCAAACTTGTTATAAAAGAGAGTCGCAAGGCGGTGGAGGGCATTCCAGATTGCGTTATCCAACCCGTGGATATGGAAGCAGTTCGATAGGGAAGACGGCTGTAATCCAAATCAAGATCACCGAACTGAAGAATAGGCAAAAACACAGCAGTGTCATTCTTCATCGCACGATGTCCTTCTCTTGACCAAAGCAGGACCCTATGTTCCTATATGTCACCCTAGCGGTCACCCCTGCAGGAAGATGCCACCTCTAGAGATTCCGTGCTGCCCAATACTCAGATTACAGTTCAGACCCGTGATGACCAACCCAACCTAGACCGCAAAACGAGCCACTTTTAAATTCCCAAGTTGACTGTACTGCGCCGCTTCGATTTTCACCGCCCCCATCACCTCCAGCCAGCACCCATCGAGTCGCCCACGACCTCTTACTGAGCCTTCTTGGCAAACTCTACCCTGAGGATCAAATGCTTGAAACCAAAGCCGTCCATCTTCTGGCATGCCCGCACGGCGTCGGCGCGATCCGCAAAGCTGATGAAGGCGAAGCCCTTGGCCAGACCAGTCTCGCGGTCCTTGGCCAAGAACACACGAGTGACACGGCCGAAGCGCTCGAACATCTCGCGCAGCTCCGATTCTTCCGCAAGCTCCGAGACCTGTTATTTTGGTTTGTAAGTCATTGCTCTTGTAGCGAGATGTTTTCCGGATTCGTAGTGAGGGGGCATAACTCACGTTTGTGACTCTGAGGGTCGCCATGTCGTCCCGCTCGCCATACTTGCCACCCAACCGATCGCCCTCGGGTCTCGCACCAGCACGCAGGGCAGGGGGAATGTATGATCCCTTTTTGCCGGGACCGGCCGCACCGGGAGCCTCGTCACCCAGACCAGCAGCGACATCGGCAGGGGCAGTCTCGCCGATGGGCGCCATCGTGTCTTTGTACGGGCAGCGGGCAGTAAAGTGCTCGCCGTTGCAGATACGGCACTTGACTTTTTTGTCCTTGAGCTTGTCCTTCATAGCCTGAGCGTTGGGGTCCTTGCTCTCGTCTTTGGCCTCCTTCTTCCAGTTGACCGAGGGGCGGAAGATGATGTTCTCGCCGACGGAGGTGGTATCGGAGGCTGGGCCCGGGGGGTCCTTAGCCGAGGCGCCGAACTTCGCCCATGTCTTGCGCTCCGCCACCAGCGGGCTCACCACCTCGCGATGGGTGATGTACCGGATGCGCCGCGTCGTTTTGACCTTCTGGCCGTTCTCATTGTAGCGGTACTCAATGATGGTCGTGCTGCCGTCTTTGTTCTGGATCTTCTGGGGCGGCGGCAGGTCGTTGGTCGTCTCCTCAATGTCCTCGTCATCCGCCCAGTCGTGCCTGTATGGTAAAATGGTGTGGTCAGCGGGGAACAGCCCTTGCGTGCGCGGTGACCTGAAGGGATAATCTGCGATGGTACACTAACTTTGTGCGGGCCGCCATGTTTGCGATCTGTGAAGTTTGGAAATGCTGGGAACTGTCCGGGTTAGGCTCGATGCAGGCCTTATTCCTGTCAGCAGAAGACGATTGATCTTTGTGTCGCAGGTGGTGGGCGTTTTGGTGGGGTTTGCGAGGGAGAATCAAGTGTTGGAGGCTGAAGCCGAATTTTTTGGGTGATATTCAGGTGTGGGGCAAAAATTGAGCGGCCACGACGCAATTCGCCCCCCTTCCCCTCCAAACCTCTCTCTGGGAGTGATGTCGCACGAGCTCGGAAAGCTTTCTGCTTGACTAAGAACTGGGAGCCTACGGGCAGTTTCTTGCTCAGTTGTCAATCTCAGGTAAAACGGAAAGTCTGACTGCTCTGCACACCTGGGGGCGAGCCCTAAAGGGCCGGTTGCTGTGTAAGGTACATGTCCACTAAACTTGTCACAAGAGTAACATCCGTTCCACCCAATACGGAGGCCGTACGCTCACATTACAAGTACAGACGGGAGCTTCCATACCAAGACAAAGCCGGGCATCTCCTGCCATTGCCTGAGCTCACAGCTAGGGTACTCCCAAGTGAGTAGGTTGTCCTTCATACGAACGGATTAACCAAAGCCTTCGACAGCGTAAAGCCTACATTTACTTGTTCACGAAAACCGAGAAAAAAAAAGTCGGGAATGGTAGTTCAGCTGCTGGAGGACTTGGCTCTGTTTACGAATCACATCTATCAAACTATAGCAGATATCATCGAGCTAGGAAAACTTTCTCAGTAATCAGACAGGCTTCATATATGATATTCGTGATGCGGGTATATCTAGATATAATCATTAGACGTAGTTGTTGCTAATGTCACGCTCGCTTTGCTTTCCAAACTGCAACCCAAACTCCTATCAACAAACTAATCAAAAACCAAAGCGTCTTCCCGAGCGCCATTGTGAGGAATTGAGCAAACCGTCGGATCATTACAATATCATACCTCGCTCAGCCTGACTACATCCGAGCTGCAGATATGTCAGACTGGGTGGGCGAAACAAGAGGGTAATCGCAACTTCGGGTACTGGTTGAAGAGAAGGTCCACCATGTCAAATGAACCCTGGTGGAGGGCTGTTAAGGTCCGTCCTCAATGGCAGTTTCTGCGGAATCGGGGGCAACGCCCTGTTCGGCGGCGGAGCTTTTGGCGGAGGAACGGCGTATGCTGATGCTGGCGGCTGAGGGGGTGGCGGAGGAGAGAACGCCCGACGCTGCTTGAGAGGAGGTGATGCCACCGGGGGAAGAGGAAGAGCGCGGTTGGGCGGTGGAGCCGGAGGAGGACCCTCGACAAGTTGAGACATACTCTGTGGTTTGGTCACAATTGGCTGTTGCTGGTAATGAGCATTTGCTCGGAGTTGCTGTGATCTTGGCATGGGCTTCAGAGACGGAGTACGAGGGCGTTGCGAGGTGTCGCTTGGAGGACATGGCCCGATAGTATCGCGCGGAGAGGTGAAGCTGAGCCTCCGGGACCGCATGCTTTGCATCGGTGCTCTACTGTCTGTCTCGCGAATGCCTCCGTATGTGCCCAAAGAAGTATGGCAGCGAGGAATTTCATGCAGCTCCAGAAACGGCCAACGGACGTTATGCTCTGTAATGGTGTTGTTGAATGGTTGGCCGTTTGGTATCAGATCAGTATCTTCCGAAAGCCCCACAGCATCCGTTTGTGGTAGCTCATCCGAGTCTTCCTGCTGAAGCGACGCAGATGGAATCGACAACGTGTTAGGCGTGTCTGAGGGAGGGCTTTCCGTCTTCTCTGACTCCATCTGACCCCCGATTGACGGCGATACCCCAGGCGAGGGTTGGTCAATGACAAGAGAGAGAGGACGCGGATTGATCGCTATGGCCGACGGAGGAGGTCTCCTGGCGCTTACACGAGGGGGTGACAGAGGACTCGAGGGGTTCGACGGACCGTTTTGAGGTCCCTTTCCAAGAGAATGTCTTTTGTTGAGTCCATGTGGCATGCTGAAGTTGGGCACCGTATGCTGCGAGGGAGCGTCGGAGGGGCTAGGATTAAGCAGGCCAGCGAGAGGACCTGTGGGCTGGGAAGCGGCGATGCGCATCTCTACCACATGGTTGATCGCTTGCAATGACTGTCGTCTGTTGACGATAGCCATGGCGTTGGGCCGTGGCCTTGGTTTCTGTTCCTCGAGTGGGGGCAGCTCAGAAGCCGGAGGATCTAAATCGAGGAATGAGTCGCGAATAGGGGAGCACGCGGGTGACGAGCCGGTAGAGGTCAGCATTGTTCGCTGACCAGATGACATGTAAGATAGGCGGTTCGTGCTATCTCTCAGAGAGTCAAGCTGTCTCCCGTCATGCGAGATGAAGCTTAGGGTCGATGTGTCATCGCGAGACTGGTCACGCGCCGGATCGTCGTGATGTTCATGGTGGGAATCCAAATTCACTGTTCCAGTCCGACTCCAACGCTTTTCAGGAGAGAGGACTCGAGAGAAGCGATCGGGATCCTTCACCACCAATGTCCTTTGGCTCGCCTGGTTCTTCAGTCGCGGATCCTCGTCATCGTGCTTTGGCTTGCCTGTTTCTGACAAGATCTTTCTACCACCCAGATTTTCAATTGTCCGCCGGAGTGTTGTCAACCAGCTCTCCATGTCCTCAGCACTCTCGCAAACCATCAACATAGTTGACGAGTACTTCTTCTCCGAGCCACGGAAGGGAAATCGAGAACGGAGAGATGAGTGCGACGTAGGAACACGCTCTGGCTCCACCACCGACGACACTTGAATAACCCAATGACGGCCCGGAATAACATCGCTAGCAAAAGCTGCCGACTCCTTTCCCAGTTGCAGGACCTTTTCGGGTAGCCGGTCGAAGGCACCCTCACCCGAGTACTGGAGAAGGTAGCCTGATGTGACCAAAACATATTCTTTGGTCGTCCATTCGAACTTGCTCGTCGATCCAGAAAGGTTCCTTCGATGCTTGCGTCGTGGCTTGTCGGTTTTCTCGCTGCCAGCTGATTCCCCGGGTATGTCAGAGGTACCGGGGCTAAGAACACCCACCAGTGAGCCATTGCTCTTGTGATTATACAACCGGAGCACAGTCTCAGCAGAGGCGGTACAGGCGGGAAGACGAGCCGACTTGATGGCCTGCGGATAAGCCTGGAACAGCGGTGGAGGGTTCCATGCGGCCAGCCCATCGGTGGTCGACTGGGTACGGACGGCACTAGCGGATTTCTTGTGTCTGAGGTTCTGGCCAGGCAGTGGTGATTTCGGAACAGTTGGCAGCGAAAGTTCGGAGCGATGTCCCTGGGCATGATGCGAAGAATATGGCCAGCTGAGTTCAGCCAGAGAAGCTCGCAGACCGCTTGACTTTTGAGAGGGATCCCGCACATCGAGTCCACCCCTTCCTCTCGCAAAGAGACTCCTGAGCCCTAGCCGCGACTCCCTCTTATGAGCCTTTTCCCCGACATCCAGTTTCAGTGGCACTTTCTCTGCGTCACCCATGTCCGAACGCGGATCGGGAGGACGGGCCCTTCTTGAATAATGCGAGCTCTGGCTCTGGCTAGACTCCGGTTGTGAACTCCCGGCAGAGACCGGTCCTAAGAACGGAGCCGGGGGTTGTGGGTCAGGCATGACGTCTGCTCCCTTCAATTAGGATCAAAACGATGCTGCTGTCCTCGAAAAAGTTTCGACAAATATATTTCCTGGATACCGTGTGAATTGACCGTTGGTGAGACAAGATGTTTAGCTTCAGAGTGCTCAGGCTGAGCGGGTGTTGTGAATAATACAGTGAATTGGTAGTGGAATAGCTGAAAAAGGACAAGAACGCCGCAACGCAACTGACGATAACCCAGTGGTGCTGCAATTTGATCGAGCCAAAAAGTTACGGAAGAAAAAATAGTGTTGATGACCTAGCAAGGAAAAAAAAAGGAGTGGAAACGCAGCACGCGTGAACCGGGTTGGTGAAGAAACAAAACCATGCAGGTGATTCAGGCGGTGCAGGCGCGTCCCGGCTCCGGCTGCAGCGGAATACGGGACCCTCGGGTGGTCGAGAAGGGTGCAATGAGAGAGATCGAGGGGCCGGAGGAATATAATGATGGTTTGCCGAATATATGTCAGAGCTCAGCTCTCATTGCCCAGCTCTGGGCGCCCTGCTGCCCTGCTTGCAGGTTTGTTAGCGAAAAGAAGGAAAGCCGAAGGAAACGTTGAGCGCTGGGATCGTGAATGAGCGACGAGCGGCGAGTAACGAGCGACGAGCAACGAGCGACGCGATGCTACAAGCAGAAAACGAGTGACTGGCCGAACCGAATCCAGGTGATTGATGGATTGGTAGGGCGGGTAGCACGGCACCGCGTCACAGGAGGACTCGGAGACTCTCCAGTGGAGAGAAAGACTGGATAACGAAAATCCGGGGAAAAGATGCTGGTTTAATCATCTGTCTCTATATAAAAAAATGACAGCCATGCAGGAATGCGCTAAAAAACCACACAGACGGATCCATGGATGCCAAGCAATCATGAGCGTCACAGGGCTGGACCAACCAGCTTCCGCAGCTCCCCTCCCGCGTGCAGCCTGGTCCTCCCGAGCTCGATAGGCTACTCCGACGCTTCTGCGCCCTCCATGAGACGACCTTGCTCGCTTGGCGATCTATGAGGATTATGCATGTTTACTGTCGAACGCGACAGATCTCATATCTCCTTGGCTCAACATTCCTAGTTCCCTAGCAGCATACAGATTATTGTTCGTCCGGATAACTTAAATGCAACGTGCCAGCGATTGTTGTGTTCGGCTCCGTGCTTGGTACCCCAAGCAAAACTGGGTAAAGACCATCTGGGAAAATGTGGTGTAAGAAGCAAGCAAAGTGTTGAGTTGCATCGTGTCCCACACGAACAGGGATCCAAGGCTGGTCCCGGGACAGTGCCGGCCCTTGTTGTGTGGTGGTATCGTTCAGGGGTCTTCACTTCTGAATGACATGCCCGACAAAGTTTGGGCAGCTGAGCTTCAGCAGCTGTCTTCGCGGCGCTTGTAGGTATGGGTCACACCATTTTCATAGAGTATCTTGAGTTTGCGCTTTTGACAGGACGAGCGTCTGGCATTAGTCGCACGTACCTACAGACTAGGGAGGCAGGGCTTCAAAGAGACGGCCAAGCACTGCATATTATCTTCATGGTTAGCAGAGAATCAGCAGCCGCAACTGGGCTGTTGAGCATGAAATCGGAGTGAACACGGGCAAAATTCTGATAAGACCTCGGCGCGGCTCACTTTCTCGCCCACCCACGCCCGCGAAGGGCATGTCTTCTCCCACATTTTCGGCTCTCCAACCGTGAACGGATCTTTTGGGTTGACTTTCGACGCGAGCAGGGTTCCGATCATGGAGATCCGAAACGAAAACAACGTCGACTTTTCGGCCTTCAATGATTACCGCCTCGTTTCTTTCAAGCCTGTCATGTACTGCGGCTACTCGTTTCGTGGGCTGAGCCACGACAATGCTTATATTTGGCCTGATCGTTCTGCAGATCGAGATGCTTACTCCGATCGGAACTGTATGAGCTGCTATCAGGATTGCGTCCGGCTTGTCGTATTTGGCTCTGTGGAATTCCAACCGCATCCCGATGGGGTCTCACCCTCTTTTGTAACTCTTCCCACGTCATGCAGCTATTGGGTCTGCTTGGGCCTGAAGATGTGAACTTTCGCTATCCTCGGTCAGTATCATCATCAAAGTACAGATTAGATTTCTATGATGCTGCCGCTCTGGTCGATGATCAGGCCAGTGTAGCCCAGCTGTCCTCCAGCCTCGTTGTTAACATGCAAAGACAAAACGGCGGCCCGCTTCCGTGAGTTACCTTACACTAACAGGGACTGGTGGGTCCACAAGATGACAGCTCACAAAGCTGTCTTGTCAACTCAGTTTTGTGAGTGGACCAATTTTTAGAATCTCTTGTCTTCGATTTTTTTCGATGGCTGTAGAAAAGTAGAAAACAGCGGAGAAAACCTCGAGGGCCGACAGATCATCTAACAAAGATCGTCGGTGTTACCGGGAAGCTGCAGAGAATCGACGCACGTCATCAGCCAATGGATTGCATATCGCAAGAGAATCTGCAGCGGGGCGTTCAGGCGCAAAGCAAACAATTGGTTACCATGCGAGGAAGAAGGGATCAAGATGGACTGGTAGGTACTAATACGGTAGGCTAGAGGAGAGAGACAACTGTGAAGCTCGACCTGCGGGAGACGATATCCAAACTTCTTTCGCCGCCCGCGCCGTCGTCGAATTGGGGCGGTTTTGATGGCCTGTTCCTGCATTAGCGTCTGATGCGTTGTCACCCTTTCCTTTTCTTGATCCTTGAAAATGACATAAGCTGAAAAATCAACAGCAAGGGAAGACTTCACAAGAGAAAGGAGCCGAGCTTAGGAATATCAGAAGATTATAGCATCGTATTGATCTTTTCTGGTTAAAAAACCAAACATACATTTTTCAAAAATGATCCACAGTTGTACTTAGCGTATGAATTCACATCATCGCTCAGGTCGTTCCCCAGTCCGCCGGCGACCCGACAGCCAGGAGGCAGCGGGTCTTGGGATGCGGAGCACCCCACATGGGCCGGACAGGGTTCCTCGAAGAAGGCCAGGAGGATCGGTAAGATCCGGGACTCGACATCATGAGAGGAACAGGATCCTACGTACACTACATACCTAGGTAAGTACACATACCAGAATATTTGTCGGTAACCGAGTTCCATAGAATCCTGAACCACGGGTGTTAGTGTTCTATTATTAGCGAGGATTAATGCCTACCCACGAGTCACCATCCAAGACAAGGTTGTGATAGGCATCCGTGAACGGGGCATGGAATTGATAAGGTAGGTACAATACCTACCTTCCATATGGGTCTCATCTGGGACTCTAGTTCAAATGCATCAAGACGATACCCAGTGAAAACGTATACTTTTTTTTATGGATTGAAAGAAACCTATGCCGCTAGACGCCGCTTTTCTTCCCACCTAGAATAATGTGCTATTAATATGAGCTAGGCAAGCGAAGAAAGATGAAGAAGCAGATGCCTCACGACGGAAGTTGATCACCACCCCCCACAGAGACCCATTACCTAAGTTCATGGGGGCCATTGCAAACCCAGGGCAGGCCCCAAACAGATCACCAAAGCCTGAGGAAAGGGAATTGAACCAATACCTTCAATGTCTCCTAGTAGGAAACGTTTGCACACTCTGAGGAAGAAGCCAGCACTATGGAGTTAGGGTATACCATACCATAGTCGTGTTTACGACCATATGCCATTTTCCGAGATGCTGACGTGCTGTTAAGATAAGCTGAGATTGACTACCTCTAAGCTCCATTTTCGGTCGCCGGCTTAGACGAAGGCACATTTTCATCCAAAGCTGAAATAGCCTGGTTGAGATGTGACGCGGAGCCTGGCTCATGAGTGATGGAGGAGGCATGCGCGCCTTGCGCTTCAGCCAGTTGCCGTTCTGTTTGTGGACTAAGTTAGCATCTGCGTTATTTACCTGACAGTCGACAAAGCAAACAAAGGGACTTACCCAATTCGCGAATGCGATGTTTCAGCATCTGATTTTCTCTGGTAAGTGACTGGTTCTCGGCCTGGTAGAACGCGATGCTCTCATCCCGGGACGGACCGAGGCTCAGCGGTTCAGTGTTGTCAGCACTGATGGATATCGAGCGCAAACGAGGTGAAGCATGGCGGCTGGGCGTCCTAGACCTGTTGGTACGACTGACGTCGTACGAACCGCGACTGTATGGGAACGGGGTACTGGCTGGTGACCGCGACAAAGATCTAGAGCTGGCGCGTACATGACTATGTGGCTGCGCAGAAGAGAATGGAATGGAACCCGGAGCCGGACGCTCCAATGATGACAGGTCCTCGCCGGGATGCTCCCTTTCTTGCTGTAGCCGGTAGAGCTGCTCCTGCAGCCGGCGGATTTCGCCAAGAAGTCGGTTGACCTGACGTTCTTGTTCGTTTTCCAGTTCTTGGTGCAGTTCGCCGAGGCTGGGGGTTCGGCTGTGGTGGCTGCGACCGCTGTTGGGTCTCATGGGTCCTAGTCGGGGTGAAGGAGAAATAATTCCTGAACTGCTGTGGCTTTCCGAAGCCATCTCACCAGGGGCAGGTATCGAAGGGTCGGCAATCTTAAGACTCATTAGGACTTGGCTGCGGCGCCGCTCTGGACTCAAACTTTCGCGGGAGCGATGCCCAAACGGGACGCCTGGAGAAGCTGGAGCCGAGGACAATTGTAAGCAAAGGCCGAGAATCAAAGTAATGCCAAAGAGAAAGGGATGACATACTTTGAGAGGGCGACTCGAGGTGCAGGCCGGCATTCAGGGTCGCCGCCGCTTGAAGGGAGATAGAGGCACGGCGTGCAGAAGAAGGCGAGGGCACATGTGAATGCGAATCCTCCCCGGGAAGTTTGGAGGGAGCCTGAACTGTCTGGACGGACATGGTTGTTTGTTGCGGAAATCTGGTAGGATTTTTGGTAGGTTCGGAACTGTTGGAAGTCTGGAAATGGGCAACTACGATTCTGAGTGCGGCCTACTAAGTTGCCAACCAGATGCCAGCAGACCTTCCAGGTTATCAAATACGGGGGGCAGGCAGCAACACAGTGCCGGAATCGGCAAGCAGCCAACAACCTTTGAAGTCACCGTGAATGTGGCTGATATTTGGGAGCGCAAGGTGTGGTTGACAGCTGACCATGTGACGGCTCTGACGGATGCCCAGCCCCCGTGCCCTCGGCCATCAAAACAACGATCCACCGAGAGGCTACGGGACAAATCCAAGCGACGGGAGAGTCTGCAGGCGTCCAGAAACGCTCCCATACTGCAAGCGACCGCTGATCGGATGGTGGTCTACCGGCGGTCTGACGCCGCAATGTAAAGTGTAATGCTTTGCTTCGGCTCTTGAACGCCTTTGGTTGTCTACCAGCACCATCCTGAAGAATCTGGAACGGCTCATGACACAAAGTGTCACTGGCATCTCATGAAAGGTGTGACAGTGGGGTGGAGAGTGGGTTATCTGCCCCTCATTGCGTTCCCCATCCCAGGGCTTGGCATCTATGGTCCGATATTTTTGATAGTAGGTGCCATCGCCAACGCTTCGTCTTCAAAGCAAGAAGTTTTAAAAGCCAGGAACTTGAAACGATAGCAGGTATATCAAGAAACGGCCAGAGTGTCTCGTGTATCAGTACTAGTCAGACAGATCCTGATCACTTGAAGCGTGGCCCTCTCTAAGGCCATCACCTGCATCCTCGCACGACGAGGGGTTGTCCCGTTGGCCATTCCGGGCCGTTACTAACTGTAGCAAGTGAGAGATCGAAATAAATGTTAACGAGAATTGGCATGCCAATCGGAGCAACTGCTTCCTCACCGCTCTCAGCAGCAGCAATAGTCAGCGTTATGTGTCTGGAGACTGGCATCCCGAGCCGTCGTTATGCGCAGTTGTTGGGGGCGCGTCCCGTCGAATGCGGGTGCGGCCGGGCCGCTGTCGGCACCGCACGCCACACTCGCGTGAATTGGAACCCTCCACAGGCACCGGAACCAGCGAGACGGGCTGTCCGCTGAGACCGGAAGGTCCACCACAACTCTTGGATGCACTGGCCGTGACGAGATCAGCAACCAGCCACCTGGGAAGAGGATTAAGCCTGACAAAGCTCCTTTTTTGCCTTCCTTACGGGTTCTCTCGGCTTGCTTCTCGAGGCCCACCTTGACCCCGGCTGGGCCTGCAGTGCCTCTGGCAATACGGAGTTACGCATTGTTTTGCGCAGAAAACCGGTCATTTACATCCAGCTTCGGGTCCAACGGGGCCGTAAAACAAATGTATACCTCCTTTTGCCTGGCTATAACCTCCGAGAAGGTTATACGATCCATCATCCAGAGTCGGCCTCTCCCCGGTTTTCGTTCACGCCCCCATACCCTTCTCTCGTCTCTATCTACACATCACCAGCAATCCCATTCCCGCCGCCTCTCCTCCCACACTGTTTCAGTCTCGCAACTACGTGCTGATCATGATTTCACCCACGCCGTGATAGGCGGGGGCGTTGTTGGCCTTGCCATAGCTCAGGAACTTGCCCGGCGTAGCAGCCGGCCAGGTTCAACTCTGCTTCTAGAGCAGCACACAGCCGTCGGCACCGAGACTTCCTCGCGCAATTCCGAGGTCATCCACGCGGGAATCTATTACGGGGCCACCTCGCTCAAAACAGAACTCTGTATCAGTGGCAAGCAGTTGCTTTATTCGCTGTGCGAGAAAGAAGGGATTCCACACCGTCGTACGGGTAAGTGGATCGTCGCGCAGACTGACGCTCAGCGCGAGGCGCTGCAGCGGGTATATGACTTCTGCACTCAAGAAATCCATGTGCCCATGCGATGGGTTGGCGCCGAGGAGGCAGCAAGGCGTGAGCCGGCTGTGAGAGCCGAGAAAGGGGTGCTGGAGAGTCCAACGACAGGAATCATCGACAGCCATTCGCTGATGATGTGCCTGCTGGGAAAGTTTGAAGACGCCGGCGGGACACTGGCACTTGGGAGCCGTGTAGAGGCCATTACGCCCCTGGGAGGAGACGGAAGTCAGGGTTGGAAGTTGACCGTGCGGGACACTACTGGCAGCGGAGAGCTCTCGACGATCACGGCTGATACGCTTATCAATGCCGCTGGATTAGGGGCTGTGGCAGTTCATAACATGATTGTGCCGCCGGACAGGAGGAGAAAAATGTTTTACGCCAAAGGCAACTACTTTTCCTACGGAGGGTCAAGCCCGAAGGTCAGCACACTAATCTACCCTGCTCCGGAGCCTGGACATGCCGGACTCGGGACACATCTGACTCTCGACATCGGTGGGCGCATAAAATTTGGCCCAGATGTTGAGTGGGTTGATTCACCCGAGGATTTGTCCGTCAATGAGTCCCGGTTGAGTGAGACTATTCGAGAGGTTAAGAAATATCTGCCCGCCCTGGACGAGACATTGTTGAGACCTGACTACGCAGGGATACGGCCGAAGTTGGGGAGGCAAGGAGCAGTTGTCTCTGGTAAAGGTTTTATTGATTTTGTGATTCAGCGAGAGGAAGGATATCATGGATGGATCAACCTGCTTGGAATCGAAAGCCCTGGACTCACTAGTTCCCTGGCAATTGCGGAAAAGGTCAGGAAACTCTTGTATCAATGAGAATTCTTCAATTAGCCATAAGATGTGTTTGTGGCCGCGATATTTGCAAGCTATGGTCGGTACGAACCCAAAGCCATATAACCAGCTGGTTTGGATTCACAAACTGTGGTCCACACAAGTGCCTGATGTGCTCTCGGAGTTCGACCTTTTGTCTCGAGCCGTTATAGTACTAATAATAACTGGCAGAAAATGAAACCTGTAATAAAGTTCCACACAATCTTGGTGGTATTCCATTTCACTTGTCGACCACAGGCAGGAATAAAAAGCCCCCCTTCAACGAAATCAGCAACCAACGCCTGGACGCCTTTCCTATGCTGCATCTTGGATCCGCTCCCAGATCATCAACCTCAAGCCAGCCTGATATCGGGACTAAGCTTCCGGCCAAATAGGTTCACGCGAAACTCGAAAATGCCATTTTCGGCGCCGACAAACCTGTGTGGATTGTCAGTCAGGCGTCAGTAGGATATGCGAAAAATTTGCAGACAAAACCTACAAGGTGTCTCCGTTTTCACTCCATGATAAGCCAGCAGTGTCATAAGGGCCAGGCCGGACGTGGGACGTAATGTTGTAGGTGTTCAACAGGCGACGGGTTGGGTCCTCCCAGTCGCGCATGATGTAAGCAGCCCTGTAGAATTGCGCGAGCAGGTTAGCGAAGGCTCTGAAGTCCAAGCCCGTAGGCGAAATCAAATTATTGGTGTTAGTGGGAGGTGGAGATTGAAAGCCACTCCCTTCGGTGGGAGGGGGGTCGTACAGAGCAGCCTCAACGTCCCAACCGCCCGCAGACGCGGGGTTTGACGCGCTTGCCATCAGGCGCGTGAGCAGCGAGCGGCCGGTCCCAGACCCCGTGGCCCCAAGCGTGGCAGTAGATGTGGCTCCTGTAAAGGGGTTGGTTGCATACCGGCGTCTCTCAGCCGCATTCTCATCTCGGGCCCGCAGGCGCTCCTGAGCCTCCCGCTCTCTCAGCTCGCGAAGATTATCAATGATTTCGTTGATTGTCCGAGTCCCCGTTGACCGATCTTCATCCATCGGTCGCATCACCCAGGGTCCTCGTCTTCTGCCTGATCCATTCCCTCCGCTTCCACCACCACCACTACTACTTCCTCCCCCTCCTCCACTGTTCCCACTAACGCTGCTACTATCTATGCTCGCTCTGTTTGTGATTGTACTATGATCTTGGCGGCGGCGTGCATCTTGGAAAGCTTCCAAAATAACTGTGTCCTCTAGGCTGAGTGGGCTATGGAGACGTGCTGTGGTGTCATGGGAGGCAGACGAGCGATTCTGCTGGCTTTCTGAGCCGTGTTCTGCCGTTGAGGTCTCACCCCTTTCGCCACGCTCAGCCCGCTCTAAGAGGCGAGGGTCGATGGTGCTTTTGTCAGTGACTGGCAACTGTTCAAAATCACTAGGCTTGTCAAGGTATAATATTTGCCGGGAGTCAAAGCCAGTACGGATGTCAGCTATACCGACTCGACCGCGGTCTTCGGTCCAGGCAAGAAGATCACTGGGACCAGGTGAAAATGCCATATCCCTCACCGCTCCGTGCTGAGCATTGGGTCGGGATGTGGTAAAGTATGTTAATAATGGATCCACGTCGGGCACCTGGGTCAGAGCGTCCACATTGAAGATGGAAATGGTCCCATACTGCGTCCCCACGGCAAGATACTTGCCTGTACTTGAAAAGCAGGCAGCAAAGCTTCCCCTGCCTGAAAGTCAGCAACGCCTAAAACCAACATGAGCGCGAGGATGGCACGACAAACCTATTGTCGGATCGGTCATCTTTGCTCTGGCTTTTAAGCTGGATCTTTCCGACAGAGCACCATTCCCATGCTTGTTGCTGCGCAAGCCCAAAAGATCGGCCACCTTCAGGTCGCTTTCTTCTTCTTTCATGTATATATAGATACGGGTCATCGCTGATGGCGATCAAAATACGACCATCAGGAGATATTACTCCTCGGTTCATGAAATCGGGGTATGTAATCTTGTCCAAAGCTTCTTGGTCTCTCAAGCTCACAACCATCACGGTGCTGTCGTTGTTGGCAAGAACTGCAACCTCCTGGTCATAGGCCCCTTCGAAGCGGTCAATGTCCTTTGGTGGGAACCAGAGGGTGATGCAGTTCACCCGATCCTTGCCAAAGACTGTGTGCCTGGCCAGGGGACTCTTTTCTGATCTGGACTGTAGCAGAGACGACGTTGCAGGCTCGCCGACATCCATCGATAGGTCGGATCTGCTGCTACTGCTATCTGAGATGTCGCCATCGCCGACCCGGAAAGAGGCAAAATTGCCACCTTCGCCTCCACAACACACCCATCCATTGCGCGCAACCAGGCATCTGGGCATGAAGCTTAAGCGCTTCACAGTTTCGGTCTCTCGCGTCTTTGTATTCAGACGTTGAACATGGATGTTGCCCTGTTCGCTAACAGGGAAGTAGATGACATTCTGCGAATCGATTCCTATCAGGGATCGCAGCTGCCAGTGCCTACAACAACCCTGTGTTAAGCACCGAGCGCAAAAACCGACAGAATTATGTCGAGCTGCACGAAGAGGGGGATCGAGACATACTGCCATCGAACACCAGTGCGGAAATGCCGCCGAGGCTTTGCCAAAATCAAGCTCTCTGTCGGCGTGTAACTGTGCGCGACACTCTGGTTAGCATCTGGAAGTACCGGCAGGTTTGGAGAGCTTAAAGCGGGTCACGGGGCCAACATACAGATCATTGGAGACGGCCATGGTCTCGATGTCTTGGCGGAGTTTCTAGCTTGATGTGACCATCCAGATGTTGTCGTTGACGGCGATGTGACTAACAGTTGATACTTTGGCGTTGGAATATCGTAAACTAGGGAAGCTTGGCGAATGGCTGATATGCACGCTCAACCAGAGATGAAGCGTATGTTGTGCAGAAGAGTGACTGTTATCAAGCGTCGGTTGGCAGTAGAAGTGCACCGTCAGAACATCGTCGCGCTCGTCATCAACGAGAAGGTGGAGTATGAGCTCAAAGCTAGGTTTGCCGCGTACTGTCAGTGCACCCTCTCAATCAGCCATCGAGGTTCCGTGATTTGGATTTACCTCTGAGACCTAACAGGGTGAGCCAATGTTCCCTTTTTCGCCACAAAGAAGCGCGGGTGACAGCCCCACTTATTTATTCTCAACGGTCGTCAAGTGCTGTTTTTCATATGCTTGATGTGCTTTGGATTCCAGGTTCTGCTTACAGATTATACCGTTATATGGGGCTTCTACTTGCAACTTCGGTAGTATGAATCCTACACTGATGGGCTCCTCAACGGCAAGCTTTCCATCACATCAATAAGAACTGGTGTCAGTCATGCCCAGGCTGGATGCAAGGAGCTAGGGAAGCAGGTAGAGAGCTAACAGCTCCCAGACGCACAAAGCCAATCACTAATGAAATGATGCAAGCCGCGTGGTTGCCTTCACACGTGACGTTTGTTCTGGTACTTACTTCCGTCCCTGTTCTGCTGTTGGTTGTTGAACCAATGTCCTAGCCATTCAATTAATGACCGCTGCGATATTGATACCTGTTGGAGTTCTGGAGGCTGTTGTCGCTCCTCCACTGACCCGACACCGAGGACTTTTGAAAGCGCGCTTCTCCGACTTCACCGTTTCTTGACAAATACCTTGGCCTCTTGAGGTGTGGATTTTCCCGCCTAAGTCACGTGGAGACCCAGGAAAGTCCCGGCTTTTGCCTTTCCAGCACAGGGATCCGTGCACATGGACCCACTTGCTCGCCAACCACTGGCTGCACGCGAAATTTCGAACGTCTTCGATGCTGGACTACGAATTTTTTTTTCAAGCGTGCTACAAAAGATTTTTGCCATTCCTCCTCCCCTCTGCAAACCTCTCAAAACTCCATCCATCATCCTATTCTTCCATCCTCGCATCCTCACCCTCCTCCGCCATCTTTCTTTCTTTGCGATACCCCTCCCTGGCTCGAGACAGGGTGTTCTCTTTCTTTAATCAGACCCTTCAATCAAAATGATGGCGACACGCCTTTCCCGTGCTGTATGTGTTTTACCCCTCACTCGGCCTGGCTCATCGAGTGGGTGCAGTACTGACCTCTGCTTTAGCTTCCCAGGGCAACCTCAGTGGCTGCCCGCTCGGCAGTCCTCCGGAGGGCTCCTGCCTTTGCGCGCTTCGAGTCCACGGATGAGAAGGTCAAGGGCACTGTGATTGGTATCGATCTTGGTAAGTAGCCTCCTTGCAACGACGTCATCCCTCACTTGGTTCTACTCGCAATTACTCATGCGAACTGATCAGGTACCACCAACTCGGCTGTCGCTGTCATGGAGGGCAAGATTCCTAGGATCATTGAGAACGCTGAGGGTGCCCGGACAACACCCTCTGTTGTCGCTTTTGCCGAGGACGGTGAGCGGCTCGTTGGTGTTGCTGCTAAGCGCCAGGCTGTTGTCAACCCAGAGAATACCCTTTTCGCCACCAAGCGGTTAATCGGTCGCAAATTCACCGATCCCGAGGTGCAGCGTGACATTAAGGAGGTGCCGTACAAGATTGTTCAGCACACCAACGGCGATGCTTGGGTCGAGGCTCGTGGCCAGAAGTACTCTCCTTCCCAGATTGGTGGCTTTATCCTTCAGAAGATGAAGGAGACCGCCGAGGCTTATCTTGGCAAGCCTGTCAAGAACGCCGTCGTCACTGTCCCGGCCTACTTCAATGACTCTCAGCGCCAGGCCACCAAGGATGCTGGTCAGATTGCTGGTCTGAACGTCCTACGTGTCGTCAATGAGCCTACTGCTGCCGCCCTTGCCTACGGTTTGGAGAAGGAGACCGACAAGGTTGTCGCTGTTTATGACCTTGGTGGTGGTACTTTTGATATCTCTGTCCTCGAGATTCAGAACGGTGTCTTCGAGGTCAAGTCGACCAACGGTGATACCCACCTCGGTGGTGAGGATTTTGATATCCACCTCGTCCGTCACCTCGTCGGCCAGTTCAAGAAGGAGACTGGCATTGATCTCACCAACGACCGCATGGCCATCCAACGTATTCGTGAGGCTGCCGAGAAGGCCAAGATTGAGCTGTCGTCGTCTCTGCAGACTGACATCAACCTCCCCTTCATCACTGCTGATGCTTCTGGCCCCAAGCACATTAACACCAAGATCACCCGTGCTCAGCTCGAGGCCATGGTCGATCCCCTTATCAAGAAGACCGTTGAGCCCGTCCGCAAGGCTCTGAAGGATGCCAACCTACAGGCCAAGGACATCCAGGAGGTCATCCTGGTCGGTGGTATGACCCGTATGCCCAAGGTTGCTGAGTCCGTTCGTGAGATTTTCGGCCGCGAGCCTGCCAAGGCCGTCAACCCCGACGAGGCCGTTGCCATTGGTGCTGCTGTTCAGGGTGCTGTCCTGTCTGGTGAGGTCAAGGATCTGCTCCTTCTTGATGTTACTCCTCTCTCGCTCGGTATTGAGACACTCGGTGGTGTCTTTACCCGTCTGATCAACCGCAATACCACCATCCCGACCAAGAAGTCCCAAGTCTTCTCGACTGCTGCCGACTTCCAGACTGCTGTCGAGATCAAAGTCTACCAGGGTGAGCGTGAGCTTGTCAAGGATAACAAGCTCCTTGGCAACTTCCAGCTCGTCGGTATCCCGCCGGCGCACCGCGGTGTTCCTCAGATCGAGGTTACCTTCGACATTGATGCCGATTCCATTGTCCACGTCCATGCCAAGGACAAGTCCACTGGCAAAGACCAGTCCATCACCATCGCCTCTGGCTCTGGTCTGACTGAGGAGGAGATCCAACGCATGGTCGCTGATTCCGAGAAGTATGCCGAGCAGGATAAGCAGCGCAAGGCCGTCATTGAGGCTTCCAACCGCGCCGACAGTGTTGTCCTGGACACTGAGAAGGCCCTCAACGACTATGCAGACAAGCTTGACAAGACCGAGGCCGACCAGATCCGCCAGAAGATCACTGCTCTCCGCGAGTACCTCGCCAAGGTTCAGTCCGGTGAGGTCACAGCCACTGCTGAGGAGATCAAGGAGAAGACCGACGAGCTCCAGGTGGCCAGCCTTAACCTCTTCGACAAGATGCACAAGGCTCGCTCCGACTCTGGTGAGGCCAATCAGAGCGCCGAGGGTGAGAAGAAGGAGTGAAAGAGAGCTCAGGAGAGCTGCATTCATTGACCCCTATACCCCTCACATTTACTTTCTCTTATGTGTCTGACTAAGTTCTGGAGTGGGTCTCCAGTGTATTCTTGTGTATCATATACTCTGTGTTTAGGAGGCTCTTGGGGCTTGTCCAGTGTTTATTACTGCAGACGGCGGAAGGCGTTCTGAGCATGAAAACTACTTTCACGACTTCGATGATAGGATGGGCAGGATTGGGATGGGGGCTGGATAGAGTCATGTGTATATGTCTTAGTGTTGTACACGACCAAAAAATCAATATAATTTGAATCCCCTCTCAACTACGGGTACCTGCCATCCATTGGATGCATGTGCAACGGTGATCGAAGTGAGCAGATCTATCAACTCCATCCCAGCAACCAACAGAAGGGTTGCCAGAAAACAACTGTTGATAGGTAGTGTATCAAAGCTATCACGGAGGCTTCAAACCTCATCATCCAGTCTTCACATCTTACGAGAGCAACGTGTTGGACATTACTTGCCAAAATCAGTTACCCCAGAGTGTGACCCATAGATTCTATCACCTTCCCATCTACGAGAAAGCATAATTACATCAACGTAGTTTCGCTTTCCCACCATCTTAACCGGTTAATCGGCACAACCTATTAGCCCTCTCACCTTCCAAAGCTGAACCAACCCCGTTTTTGCGGCTTTGGAGCAGGTTCAGGCTCAGACGCTGCCGCTTTCTGTTGATCAGCTTCCGTGGAAACCTGCTTCTTCTCTGCCTGCTGTCCTGCCCGGCTCTTATCGGGATATTCAATATAATTCCACGCCACATCCAGGAATAACGGCTTGACAGGGAAGGTCTCAAGACGAGGAGGGTAGGAGACGATGTTGGACAAGTCCACATCCCCTGTGGAGGGATACTCGGATAGCCGAGCGGACAGGGGTTGCTGGCTGGTTGTTGAGGGCTCATACGGCGGGGTGGGGAGCTTGCTGAAGATTTCGACCAGTGCACGGGCGCGGTGCAACTCACCAGACATGGTGTCGTGAAGGAATGAAAGGTCCTGCTTTGTGATGGCAATGTTGCGCGGGGAGAAACCATCGGTCTCATCAGGGGCCTGCTGGTTGAGGACGGGGAGGACGGCGTGGCACAGACTGTAGCCGTGTTTAATAAGCGCGAGAGCATTGACAGCGTTACCAGCGATAGCATGGGATCGAGAAATAGCAAGTGACCTGGGTAAAGGTGTAAGCGATCCTTTTTCCAGCACAGTAACTGGGGTATATGAAAGACATACTTGAGGGCAGTGAAATATTTGGAGGTGGCATCTAGCCGCGCCGAGAGTTCCTCGTCGTTTGCAATGCCAGGAAGCTCCTTGATAGATTCAACATTCTGCAATATGCCGTCGTAGAGCACGACTTTCTCCTTCAATCTGGCAATCTGTCGACCAGGAGTCTCATATTTGCGTCTCTCTGTTGAAGATGCATCTGTCTGCCCTTTCTTTTGCTTGGAACCTGCGCCAAGATCCAGCTTGGCGCCATCTCGCTCACCAGCAAGCACTCTATTGCGTCCTATCCGCCAGCTGATCATTTCATAGTTGACGGCAGTCCGAGTAATTTGCAAGCTCTGCATTCGTGGATCACTTGGCGCAACTCCCTCAGCTTTAAGCTCGTCTATAGCTTGCTTGGTAGCATCGACTGCATCCTGACTGGCTATTAGGATATCGTCGTATGCGGCAGCCATCTCCTTGGGGCGCAGTGAACTTGATGAAGCAAGTTTCTGAGCCAACTGCTCCTTCACTGTGTCCACGGCACCCCAAGCAGCTGATATGACCGCATCCTCGATTTTTACTTGCCTGCCCCGCCAAGTTAATGTAGTCGGAGCACCCTCGGCAGCCTTCCTCTCCTTGATGTCTCCCTGTTCCAAGATAGCTGGATTTAAAGTCTTGATGCTGTCTACAAGCTCGGCGTCGCTCTGTTCGAATGCTCTGTGTGCGATGGTAGCGATCGGGAGAGTCCGCGGGATCTTGGCTTGGTAGGCGGCAAAGCGCATCGAAGGGTCGATTGTGTCAGACAGCAACTCTTTGAAGATATCGCCCTTGGATGAAGTTGCTAGTGCGGTGTAGATAATGCGGCAAATAGCATAGCTCTTGAGACAGGCCCCCCAGTTCTGCTTTTCAAACAAGGCAGCGCCTCTCAGTAGGGCAGCATAAGCCCGGGCATCGAGAATATCAGTCGGAGAAGCGCCGCTGGCACCGTCAGAAAGTGCCTGCGCCAGTTTCTCGGCGATTCGAGCACCCTTTTCTAATCTCGAAACGATGTGCGACCGGGTCCTTCCCGTCATACCCTTGGTATTCGCAGAGTGGGCAGCTTTCATAGCCATGGCATGCGCCCAGGCTCTTTCGGCGGTCAACAGCTGGAGACGGACATATCTAAGGATTTTTAGCAAATTGAACTGCTAAGATGCGTGATGACAGAAGGAAGTATGGCCATACTCGGTATTCTCGGCGATCTGTTCGGGTGTGATTGCGGTCTTGGGATGGAACTTCCCACGGTTCTTGGTCGCAATGTTAAGCTTCTTTCGACAGTTTAGCAGTTTGCCCGACAGCTGGGTGCGGTACGTGGCATAGTCGCCATATAGCAGCGCCTTCTCCCTAGACGTGACCACAAACTTGGTGATATCCATTGTGGCGCGTGAGGTCGAGCTGGTGAGGGAGGTAAGAGGTTGTTGACGTTTGGCAGTTTAGGAAGCCTTGGTATTTCCCAACATCTCAAACCCCCTTGGTGTGGGGCATGGGTCGAAGCGGGCTTGAGCGGGCACTGCCCCGCCACAGTCGCAAAAAGTTAGAGGGTTAGGGTTTCTATCTCAGCACTGCTGTAGGATGTTATGCAGAGCGTCTCCCATGAGACTAGAATCAGAGCCATTAACAGGAACCAATTGGGCGCTAGGATATCCGTCGACTGCGGTCAAGGGCCGTTGTGCTGATTTGCCCGCCAGGGGATTGATGTCACCCTTAAACCGTATTATACTGATATAGAATCCAGTGGCAAGAAGCAAACGGCCAATATCTACGAATCCATACACCATTGGTATGTAATCCCTACGATGTTTACTGATCACGGGAGAGAGGACCAGCCCAGAACACATCAAGCGATCTGCAGTCTAAACACGGGCAGCAAACACTAGTACTCCATTTCACGGTCTATATGATGATCGCGGACCTGAGGTGTGAAATATCTGATTGCTCAACGCGTCGAGACTCATTGTTGTTTTTGTGGTCCATGGAGATAACATACCGTAAGGTATCGTCCGCAAATGATTGGTAAAATTACAGGTGAATGTGCATGGCGGGGAAACTCTGCCCAGGTGGTGCCACCCGAACGGCAGCTCGGCCTAAGCTCCACCGGCAACCACCGACTTGGACCCAAAATTTCGTGTCAGCGCTTCCGAGCGAAGGCAAGAACGAGCTCCCACGTCATGCCGCTTCACTAAGCCATTCTACTCGTTCATCTGCCAAAATCGGTCCTACCACGACTCCAGGGCAACTTCTTCGTCAATTGGAAGGGTTATCACACCTTCTGGGCGGTTCTAAGTCTTGCGAGGCACTCCCTACGGTCTTGGGCGCCCACGCGCCTGGTTGTCTCGTCTGCTTAGTCTCCTCCCTCCCTCTCGGTCCCCCTCCCCTCACAGCCGTCCGAGTCTTCAAGCCTACCGCCAGCCCCAGATTGTCCCGGCATACAATGCGCAGATTCGTTGATCGCTCCCCCAACTTGTTCCGTGATTAATTCCTTGAGTAGCCTGCTCGCTGTAGCCTGTTTGCTCGCCAGCAATGCTTGAGAGGACCGCGGCAACCATCGAGCCGTGCAGCCTCCAGCGAGTTCTCCCCACGAGCAGGACTTGTTTGAGAAGCCGCCGCAAACTGCATACAGCTTTCTGGCACCATGGCGCTGCCGACCTCGAGGTCTTCGATGCCTGCCCGGTCCTCTTGCGCCAGTCCCCGGCCGAGCCAAAGACGTACACTGTCGCTATTCCTCCTGAGCAAGGCAAACGCTTCGATGCAATGACAACAAGCTCTGCGTTTCTGCTTGATTTTCTCTATCCCAGGGGAACAGCCGCTTTTTTACGCAGGCCGTATCCTGTACTCCCTGGGCGCATAGACCCCAGTTCAAGCAATCGCCGAGCCACCATGCGCTCCTTTACCTCCGCCCCTGGTCAGACGGAAAACTCCCCGGATGGCCAGGGCCAAATGACTACGGACGGTCAGCAAAGTACGCAGGAAAAGGAGCAAGAGACAGCAGGAGACGGAGCAGAAGCTCAAGCAGCCGTAGAGTCGAGGACAGAGGATGACCTTGAGCAACTGTTTCAAGTGGGTTCCGACAAGGCTGCAGAGGATATTACAGAGCCGACTCCTCACACTCAAGAACCCAACTCTTATGTGAGCCCTGAGCTTTTACAAAAGCAGTTGATGCAACTGCAGCACGTTGCAAAATCCGAGCGAGAAGCAGCTTACGAGCAACTCTATCAGACATATATGCGGCTTGACCCAAACATACAGCCCCAATTCACGACTGAGGTCCTGTTGGCGATTTCAGAGTCAATACGTCCGCTTGACGCAGAAAGAATCTGTCAGCTCTTTCAGACTTGCCAAGTCAGTCAGTGGACCGAAGAACTAGTCCGCGCTGCTGTCAAGTCCCAGCTGCTTCTTCACAAGGCGGCAGATGCTGTATCGATCTACAAGACGGCGCTAGAGGAGCGCGGTTTTGGCGGTGCCCTCGATTATATTGCCACGTATGGCTTGGAACTCTCAATGTGGGACATGATCCTGGAAGCGTGGGAGCTCTACTCGGCTGTTCAACACAAGATGTTGCATCCCTCGCTGCAGGGATCTGAGTCAGGTTCTGTAAAGCAGTCGGTTGAGCAGGATGCCCGGCTTTCGGAACAGAAAGATCAACTAAACGACGTTCGTGTCGTGCCTAGGCCGGACACTTTAGAAGATGGGGTCAGGAGTGAATTCCCATCCCCAGATGCGTCCGCTGCCAATCAGGATGTAGCTTCGGCTGTTGAAAGTCCATCGCCCGAGACTAGCACGGTTCAAGATGTTGTCACTGCTGTTCAGCGCAGCAATAATCAACCATTTATTTCGACCGTTGGTTACGCCACTCTGGCCACCATCTCCGATTTCGAGATTAAAGTCAGGAAGATGTATCAGTATTTCGAGCGTAACCCTTCCACCTTGCACCAACGGACAGCCATGCTTGACTCATTTCTCGGGCACGTTCTCAGATACTCGATGGATCTTTTTGGTCCATCCGATGCTGTCTTCATGCTCGGTCGTGCCAAATACCCGGAGCTCTATGAGCTCTACATCATCCGCAGTGCTGAACAAGAGCGCAGGAGGTTAGCTAGTGATCTATACAGGAAGTATCGCCAACTGCCACAAACGCGCGTGTCCGACGCTGTCTTACGAGTCATGATTGACATATTCAACCCCCATGATGTGCGGGGAATGGAACTAATACTGGAGGATTGGTACCGCTTCTACGGCCAGCCCGAAGAGAAGGCATACCACAAGCTCATGGCCTTCTATGCCGGACGTGGTGATGCGACAACTGTCACTCGCTTGGCTGAAGAATATGGTAGACATTATCACTGCGAAATCGAAAAGGAACCGAAAATTGTCACCAACATCATGCATGCTCATGCTGTCAGGGGTGATGTCGAGGCAACCCGTCAGGTCATGGAGGAAAACACGAAAAAGTCAGGCCTGGAACCAGATATTATGCAGTGGAATGTCTTGTTGAATGCCTACACAAAGGCTGGAGATTACGGTGGTGCCATCGAGCTCTTTGCGCAGATCTGCGAGGAGCACGAGCCGGATGATTACACTTTCGGTACACTAATGAAAATGGCAGGATTCCGTGGCGACCTTCAGTTCACTCTTGAGCTTTTCCAAATGGCTAGGGAAAGGAACATTCAGCCAACCGTCGCCATGATGGCGTCGCTGATTGAAGCCTACTGCCAGAATGACCGGTATTCCGAGGCCGAGCAGCTTTGCATCTCTCTTACCAGACGCCGAGAGATCTCGGGCGATTACACATACTTGTGGAATGCACTGCTTCAGCACAATGCCAAGCGACGGGATCTGGCGGCTGTCAACCGCGTACTCGAGAATATGTCTTCGGAGGGCATTGCATACAACCATGAAACGTACAATCAGCTCCTGTTAGCACTTCTTTACTGCCGTCAGTCACATCACGCCATGCACTTGCTGAGAGCTGCCCAGCGCGAAGGTGCTTTTGAGCCTACGGCCGATCACTTCATCCTCCTGATGTCTGCTTTTATCAACAGCGGAGAGCCGCATCTTGCTCTCAAGACAAACGAGCTGATGGCCAGCATGAATTATCCAGAATCTGCCTTCCGTTTGACAAAGGTTATCGACGCTTTGGGAAGGTGGCAAGAGCTTCCCAAGCACCAGCAGCGTGGTGCTGATGGCCAAGCAATTCTCAAAAAGATCCTTCGTGAGTTTTACAAGGCCATGGAGCGCGAAGACAAGGGAGCTAGCGACACCGTTCGGTCTACCATTGGACTCTACTCCAAAGTGCTTTTCATCTTGACGCAAATGAGAGAGTTTGCCACCGTTCAGCAGATCATCCAGCTTCACAACACTCGCTACCCAGGCCGCTCAACTCCCGAAACACTTCCGCTGCGGTTACTTCACAACATCATGCTCGCAGACTTTTACGAAAAGAAGTATGACCGCGTCAAAGAGACCTGGGAGCTGGTCTTCAGGCGGGCTATCAAACGTTACAGTCCTGCTGCAACGCTCCGGAAGCCGAAAGAGGAGCAGGAGTCGAACCCAGAACCAGTTATCTATGCACAGCGCTTTCGACTCTGCGACCCCCTAAAGACTATGCAGCGTCTCTATCTTGAACTGGGAGACGCTGAGGGCTTGCTCAAACTCATCTCACGAGTGCGTGCGGCTGGCTTCGATCTTGACAGCAAGAATTGGAACTACCACGTCCAGGTATTGGCGCGTCTGAAACGTTGGCGCGAAGCTTTTACGGTCTGCGAAAAGGTACTCATGCCCAACTGGACCGGTTGGCAAATGGTTCGCGTATTTGAGCATGCCAAGGCCCAACTGCCACTCGACCTGCGCCGTATGGGCCGTAACCCATATCGGCCGCGCCCAATCACTCACACACTGCTGATCCTGGCTAAGGAATACATGGATTTGGAACGGATGATGCTGTGGTCTCGACAAGCAGCTCGTGAGTTCGAGCACATTAACCACGCCTGCCCCAAGACGGTGCAGGCAGTGACCAGTATGGTGCGCACAGGCTCCGAGCTTGAAGAAAAGATCTTCAGCAGCCCTGGCTGGACACCTCCTGAGCAACTCGGGGAGTGGGACGAAGGGAAGGAAGAGACATGGGAGGAGTTGAAGGCGAGGGAGACAGCTGAAGAAAAGCGGGCTAACAGGCTTGCGCAAAAGATGAAGAGGCCAGGGTCACTCAACGGGCCAAAAGCCGAGAGAAAACGAGGTAAGAAACACGAGGGAGCTCAGAAGCTCAGTGATGCCTGGACCGAGGATGGGTTCTTAAACGTGGAGGGCAGTGTTCTGGAGAAGAACGAGATGTTGGATGAAGAAGGCATTGTTGCTGCCATCAAGGAAAAGGATGGCTCTGGATTTTGGAAGCCAACAGATCATATTGTATGATAAGCGCCCGGAGAGGGGTTGCTTGCGGTTGACACAGATGTTGTGCGTACGCATTGTAAAGTATGTTGTACTGTTTGATGTCATATTCTGATATAAATACTGGATAGATGCATACACTGAGGGGACAAGGAGACACGGTTAGAGGGCATGAGCCACGTTCATAGAGGTTCAAGAAAAGTTGGTTATTTCCGCTTCATGCATGCAACTAGGTGTCGTACTATATTTGTTTCTCAGTTTAGGGATGTCTAGGAAAGCATCATGAGTCATCATCACCCAGCCATCATTAAGGAACTTCTTTCTTCCCTTTTGGACAGGAATGAAATTCATGGGAATAGCTTGTGCGATAGGCTAGCGAGAAGAGTCATCAGAGCTCACTATGAGAACGGATATCCTTGCTGGGAATGCTTAACAACAGAAGACAGTTGCAAAGCATTGGTTCAACTCATCTCGAATGGGATATCATTGAGAGCTCTAAACCTCCTCACAGCTGTAGGAATGACGGCGTCACAAAGCATGCAACGGCTTAGTGCATATGTTACAAGCGCTTGTCAAGTACGGATATGTTACGTAACATTTCATGCTCCGTTTCACTTCATCAGGCCCCAGTCACTGCCCCCCTGCTTCTGCGGTCGCATGCGGCTTTCCTGGGACGCGATTTGACGTGACACCGCGCAACCATCCCAGCTTAAATTTACTACTTGGCGACCGAGCCTAGCGACGACTTCGATGAGCAGCGGCAGCACAAAGAACTACGGATATATCAAATACGAAAACAAGCCCAAAGTACCACCACATATTTGCCCACAGCTCAGCTTTTGGCAATCGTGTTTCATGGAAGCTCCCATTTTGCGGACGACATAATTCAAAATGCTTTTCCCCGAAGAGCACGCTCCTCATCTGAAAAATTGGATCGTCAAGCGGCTCGAGAACACGTACGAATTCCTGCCTCCTTTTACGTCCGACCACGGGCATTGAGTTTCAGTTTCGAATTCACTGACACTCTTCTACACGATTGCAGATCTGACGCTGACTCTGATGTGCTGGCCGATTATGTGCTCGCCCTCCTCCGGCACGATGGCGATGTGAATGATGTGCGCAAGCTCTGTGAGACCGAGATTCCAGACTTTCTAAAGGAAGGTTGGTTACTATGCTAAACTGAGCCCGTCAAGCCACCGTCAAGCCAGCCCCTCAAGCTGACAATCCTTACCAGACCCCGCTGCCTTCGTCAACGATGTGTTCGAGGCCATTTCATACCGTTCCTACCTCCCCGGTGCCCCTCCCCCTCCTTCGAAGTCTGTGCCCGCGCCAGCTCCTCCGCCTGCTTCCCAGCCGCCTGATGCCCTCTACTACGATGATACTCCCATGCCGAGCGCACCGACCTACCAACCTGCCCCTATCCACACCGGGTCAAGAAAGCGTGCTTACAACGACTGGGACGACCCCAACAACCAACCTGGGAGAGATGGGAGTGAATTTGTGTCGAGGAGCTTTAAATATCAGAAAAGAGGAGGTGCATATGGTGGCCGAGGAGGCAGGTCGGACGACTCAAACGGCTATAGGGTGCCCAATCCATCGAACATGCCCACCTTTCCTCCGCCGGGACAACCCCCCCTTCAAAGTACCCCTCCTGCGCCCTCAAGTGTCGGGTATTTCGATACTAGCGGGGCAATGAACTCGATGTTTGGAATGAACCTTGGTGTCGCAAACTCAATGACGGGCTTTATGCCGGGAAGCTGGGGCCAGCAGCAACCTCATAAGAAAAGGGCCAAGTGCCGTGACTGGGAACGCAAAGGGTATTGCCAGCGCGGTGCCAACTGCATGTTTGAGCACAGCAACGACCCGGTGTATCCCACACCTATGTTCGGTTCCATCCCACCCGCGCCACAACCAGCTGCCGTCGAAGGTATGTGTTAAGACATCTCTTACTATGAGAGGAGCGTAACTGATCCTGGGTTATTCCAGAGTACGATCCCAAGAACGCACTTATGTCTGGATTCTCGAATGGCTTCCACTCGCTCTTGGGTCGTCAAACACAAGGCTTGGACTCCGATCATCCGAAATATAAGGCTGGAAAGAACCAGAACCGACAGAAACGGGGCGACAAGGCCCCGTTTTCAGCTGATGGTCCTGTCTTTGACAGGACAAAGTCTACTATCGTTGTAGAGAATATCCCGGAGGAGAACTTCACCGAGGACCAAGTTAGGAGCTTTTTCTCACAGTTTGGCAAGGTGCTGGAGATATCCATGCAACCATACAAGCGCTTGGCCATCATCAAGTATGACAGTTGGAGCTCAGCCAATGCCGCCTACCAGTCTCCGAAGGTCATTTTTGATAATCGTTTCGTCAAGGTTTTCTGGTACAAGGACGACGACTCTACCTTGCCGCCATCAATGTCCCTCCCTGGAAGCGCTCCCGTCAACAGATCCCACAGCACTAATGGTGCTTCGTCTGTCGGATCTCAGGCTCCTATGGGCCAGTCTCCGGTTGATCTTGAGGAGTTCGCACGGAAGCAGGAAGAGAAGCAGAAGGCGTTCGAGGAGAAGCAGCGGAAGCGGGCAGAGCTTGACCGTCAAAAAGAAGAGCTTGAAAGACGACAACGAGAGCTCCTCGAAGAAAAGGCGAAGTTAGAAGCTAAGCTTTCGCGGCGGGACAGCGTCAGGTCGAGTCAAGCTGGAGAGAGCGTCAATGGAGATGATTCCAAGTCCTCATCAAAGCCCACAAGCCAAACAGAAGCGCTGCGTGCACAGCTGGCTGCTCTCGAGGCCGAAGCCAGGCAGATGGGTCTTGATCCAGACTCGATTGTTGAAAGCCCTGCCTCCTGGCCTGCCGCTAGAGGCGGGTATGGTTCTTATGGCCGCGGCAGGGGTAGAGGCCCTTGGCGTGGTTACTCTTACTCCCCTCGCGGAGCTTCCAGGGGATTATTCCGGGGTCGTGTTAACCTTCATGCTGCCTATGCTGCATACTCGATTGATAACCGGCCTAAGAAAGTGGTTCTCACTGGTGTAGATTTCACTGCGTCCGATAAGGATGAGACTTTGAGGCAGTACCTTTTCGTATGTCTCCCTTAAGTGTCCAGGGATTCTATGTTTCCAGTGGATGTTAAGCAAGTACTGACACGTAGAACAGGGCATCGGCGAGTTTACCGACATCCAGACTACCCCGACCTCAGCTGAGATCACCTTCAAAGACCGCAAGACCGCCGAGAAATTCTTTAACAGTGTTCTTTTCAACGGCAAAGAGATCCCCGGCATCGAAACCCCCGTCGAGCTGGCCTGGGGCACCAACAACGGCTCTACGGGTTCCGTGCCTACTACTCCAGGCAACACTGCTGCCAATCTAACCACACCCACAGCGACATCCGCTGGCGGCCTTGCCAATCACGCCTCTTCCTCTTCAGCCGGCGTGTCGAACATGACAAGCGGCGTAGGCGTAAAGAACACGACCCAAGCTGCTGATGTAAGCGACAATATGAGCGCTGAGCCTGCGACTACTGCTGCTACCACCGCTGGCAGTGTCAGCGGGGGAGAGGGTGAAGACGCAGGAGCAAGTAGCAGCGATAAGGACGTGCACATCCTGCTCGATAGGCCACCGACCGACCGCATGCACGACAGGGAGCGTGACCAGAACGAGATGGATTATGAAGTAGCGGATGAGAATCAATGGGGGTACTGAGCTGAGTGAGTGTGGTATGAAGTTAGGGAAGGTATGGAAACACCTATGCGATTTCATTTGGTGGTAAATGAGGTAAGCAATGGGAATGGCCGAGAGGGCTGTGAGGTTTCGATTCTTTCCCTGAGATGCAGGTGCAATGTGGTGAGGCGGAATCGACACAACATGGTACGGATATGGGAAACAAAATAACTGGGCGGCTAAACGCAGTAACTCGCTCGCATGGCTACTGTGTAGATATTGGCGTATGACATTGGCAAAATGTAAATACTCTGAGCGGCGGGGTCTGGGCGGTTAAGCTCATAAATAATATAAGGGGCATTGCAACCCACTTTAATGAACTGATGTATATTTGTCTAAAAGTTTCTGCCCACACTCGTCATGCATGTACATCAAAAGCTCCACGAGAGACAAGTACCCAACTAGCAAACCTGATCAGTGGGTTATTAGTAAGAAGAGGGGGTTTCTTTGGGTATCCTAAGACAGGCCCTGTCGTTGACTATGTGTTACGGTTGTATGCAATACAATACGGAACTTCACGGACAGTAGGGATTGTGTACACTTCAGTTAGTCAACCATCGCTATTGAAAGCCGATTCCCCTCTCCTGAAATAGAGGAGAGTCCAGTAGCTACCTAGACGAAGCAAGGCTGAGTACAGAATGAAGTTTTGAATACACATATCAACACATTTCCCCTGGGGTATCGTTGAGATATCTCGGCCGGCTGCCACCGCCCAGACCAGTAAATGACGCCAAACGGGCTCTCTCGACTCCCCCATCCCCCCCTTTCCACACATTACTTAAAAAATGCCAAGCCTCTTTCTCTAATCCTATAGATTTTCTTTTTTTTTAAAAAAAAAAGCCCAGCCCAAGTCTTCTTTTTTGGTTGTCCGAGTTTACCCGCGCCTAAAGATGTTGAATGTCTCGCCCATGATGATGAGTGAATGCCTTCATCCGTCCATCCATCCATCCATCCATGTAAATCCAACCCAGCCCTCCCTGTGTGTCCTCTCCCGCCCGCCGTTTCCCGTTTTTTGTTGAAAAAACCCTTGACCGAACCTCGCCCATTTTGTTGAAAGGGAAATGTTTATGCTCCAATTCATACAGATTTTGGACCCCCATTTTCAATGCTCGTCTTCTTTTCCTTCACTCCCTGAATTGCTTCATGAAGACCAAAAAACGCCCTTCCATATGCATACTGGCAAATGTTGAAACCAAAAACAGCGCTCAAAATCCTCACGTTTGCGTCATGACGAAGAAGCCATGTCATCGTACCCGAGGTCCGGTCCCCGTTGTGCTCCAGGCAGCGTGGATGGATAGATGGACAAATTAAATGTAGCGTTTGAAATTGCAAGTTGGGAGGTTGAAATCCGATCTGGCCATGCAAAAGTGTTGAAGTCGTTGAAATGTCCCACGTGAAACAGACCACATCGTCCTTTCTCCAGGATGAACGATGTCGTTCACGTAAGGCTTGATAATCAAACTTTAAACTGAGGTCTCCGAAGCCTTAACGCCATTGGAGACTCCATTGGTCCCGTTAGCCTGAGTCTCTGGGACTTTGTCAAGATCAGTGACCTCGAGGCCCTTCAGGATCTCGAATAAAGTATTGCCCTGATGGAAGTCGTTGTTCACTAGCAAAGTGTCAGTATGGAATTTCAGATATTCAAGAAAAAAGCCGAATGTCTGCTTACCGATATTAACCAGCCACCACGTGTTCATCATTTCCTCCAAGAGCACGCGGCTGGGGCTACCGGCATCATAGCAGCGGGCCCATTCCATACCCAAATGGTACGCCTCGTCTTTCCATGCAAGGAAGCTTATCCTCTCAACAATGGTAGGCTGGACGATCTCCTTTCCGGGGAAAACTCCCCAGGTAACGGCATTGGGTCCATCAGACTGGGCGTTCGTTTCGAGATTTCCTGACTTTGTCACTGCGTGATAAGTGAGATCGGGGTGGCTCTCTATGCGACGCTTGATCTCTGGATAGAGCTCAGGAGAGACAAAGAACTCCAGGTAGGCCTTCTGGTAGACGTAACCGTTCGAAGGGCCCCATCCATGAACAGGGTGGTTCGACTTTGCACCGTTAACGGCCGGCTGTGAGTTAACAGTGATCAGACCTCTCCGGTTCAGGTCAATCAACTCGTCCTTGATGAGGTCGGCCTCATCGGCCACTGGCGCCTCGCTCCAAGGAAGGTAGTCAATTTCCTTTCTGAGGTACCGGATGAAGAGGTTGGCAATGTCCCTGATGCACTTCGGCTCGCCCCACCTCTCACGATTCTGCTCATTGCTGCCGGTCAAACCGACACCGTAGGCGTCCAACTCACCAAAAGCCGGGGACCTTGAATCACCCCAGCGACCGTTAGGGAACTCATCCCAGTCCTGAGTGCGGGCCACGTATGACTTGTTACGATTACGCCAGAAGATAGGCCGGACATCCTCCCCGCGACGACCGAAGCCCAGAGACTGCTTCCAAGGCAAAGCATGCTTCAGCGGCCTGTCAGGAGAAGGCAGCCAATTTAACTCCTCCAAAACCATACGGGTTGCCTGGGCGAGGTTCATGGTGTAGAAATGTAGATGACGAATGCCGGCATCCAGAATTTTGCGGCACATGTCGGCAACAAGGGTTTTCCCGATCTCACGGACGGCTACATCGTCGTTCTTGACTGGCTCGAGCTTCGCCATCCACTCCTCGGGAATCTTGCACTTCATGTGGTTCGCACGGCGCAGGAAGCTGGCGTAGGTCGCAATAGGCATGATGCCCGGCACGATGGGGACGCTGATGCCGCGTTCCCTGACCTTCTTCACCCAGCGCAGGAAGTTGTCGACATCGTAAAACATCTGGGTGACAATGAAGCCAGCGCCCATATCTACCTTCTCCTTCAAGTGGTCAAGCAGAAGATCCTCATCCTTGTTGTCATCACAGCCTTCGGGATAGCCTGCAACACCAATATCGAAGTGATCGCCGTACTCCTTGCGGATATGGGCGACGAGATCTTTGGCGTAACGGAAGCCATCCTTGGCAGCCTCCCACTTCTCTTTGTCGCGCGGCGGGTCACCTCGAAGGGCGAGAATGTTGGTGCATCCGGCTTTGTAGGCTTTCCGCAGGGCATCGTTGATCCTCTCAACGCCCATATCTGTGCAGGTCAGGTGCATGCATGTCTCGAGGCCCAGATAAGCCTGTGCTTGCACCACCATTTCACATGTTAGTTCGGCCACGCGGCCACCAGCACCCCAGGTGATGTCGATGAATTTCGGGCCGTAGTTGTACATGCGCTCCATACGATCGTAGAGGTTTTGGACGCCCTGAGCGGTCTTGGGCGGGAAGTATTCAAACGAGAAGGACGGCTCGCCTGTCCTCTCGGCTTCCGCCAGCATGTCTCGGATATGCATGGTGCCTGGAGTTGTCTAGGACCGGTTTGGAAGGAGACTGGTGAGGCTGAAGCGGAGAAGAGATCTGGCGCGTTAGCCTGCTGCCCTTGAAGACACTTGCTGTCAAGAAGTGTGACGCCACTCATATGCTGCGAGATAAAAGGGCAACCATGACCATCTTCAATGGGATGGTGACAATGGTGAGGGGCCAAGTGGACAAGCTAGGGACAAGGTCAAGACAGGGAGAAAAAACCAAAACAGGACAAAACGGGATAGCCTACTAACAAGACTTGAACTTCAGTGGAAGTGGCAGACAATCTTGAGCTCGGAATGACAGAATCAGACACCTTGCCCAGCGGGGCAGTGAATGGTGAATGAATGGAAGGTAAGGTACCTGAAGTACGACCAGAACAACCAGAACGCCAGCCCCTCCTACGCAGTTGCAACGCTTCTCTTCTCTGGGATTCGACCCCGGCGCCTGGCGACCTGAACAGGAGCCCTCAAACTCTGACCGCGACGCGACCGAGACGTAGGACCTGGGAGAAGGTAAAGCGAGTCGGAGAACGACGACAAAAGTGAGAACTGGGGCAAGGAGAGCGGGAGAAGAGAGTCGAATGGCACAAGCAGCCTCTCTCCCCCAGGGCACCTTGCATAGTTTTACGGACACAGTGCGCGGGGTGGATGCAAGGAGGTGAGCGATGGAGATTTTCGCCGTATGCGGCGCGCTCGTCATTGGCTGATCAAGGAGGGGACCCGCATTCCCGACGGGCCCCACCATATTTGTCCCACTGTCCCACTTTTTTCTTCTCCAATCTCCAGCGGGCTTGCCCGCCGATCTGTGATTTTGCTGTCTGGCTGGTCGGGGATTGGGGTTGAGAGTTGAAGATGGAGATGGAGGAGTCCCAGGCAACCTGCGCTGAAGAGGTACAACCGTGACTCCTCAGGTTACACGTAGTGTAGATACAACGCGACATATGGACGGCTCCCTGTACATAGTAGCTAAGGTGCTGTAGCAAATGTTGCCCTAACTGCGGCCTGCAACCAACCGACATGCTCGTGGCCTGACGACGTGTTTACACAACTAAGGCGGGGGCGCAGATTTGACGACTTCCAATCTCCCTGTTCTTGAAGATGCACAGCGCCAGCACAGCGTCCTCGTCCTCATCCTCGTCTGTCAGCAACTGGCGGTCAACGTCAAGCCACAGCCTTCATACGTACCTCCTATGCAGACTTACGGATCCGTACCGTATACACCGTCTTTGCTCTCATACTCATCCCATGCACTGGCTACGCTGCTCACCCACACGACCTACGGATCTCAGAGTTTGTTGTCCCGACCTTCCCAACCTCCACAGCCTGCAAAGCACCCGGGGCCCGGGCAGCGTGGGATTGTGTGGGAGCACAGCAGCATGGCACGTAGGTACATACAGCCGTACAACCGCACAATCATACCTACCTTGGGGAGGAGAGTCCACTCTGGAGCCTGGGTACTGTAGGTGGTCTGCGGCAAGCGTGGGACATGGGAAGGTCGAATGACGGATGCTGCCCTCCATAACCGATATTTGTACGGAATTGTCCATCTGCGTCATATTGCACTCTTGCCATCACTGAGCGCAGTCGAAGTTGTATCTTGCTGCCTGCCTACCAATGGATTATGCAGTGGATCACTCACCCGCCCTTTTGGTTATCCACATGGAGAATCGGATGCTTCTCGAAAGCTTGTGAAGGTTCCAAGTACGTACCTAACCGGGTTTTGCGCCGTCCTTTCCATTGCATCGGCGCCGATCGCCTTGTCCGGTTCGGTGTCCTTTGAGCCGTCCGCACCCCCACATTGTTGCAGATGCCCCACTCTTTCCGCCGGTGGTCGGCCATAACCGGATGTTTTCGGGGCAATTACGCTGCGATCGGCTTTGTTCAATCTTCGCGTTTGCTTTTGAAATATAACATTGCTTGTCCACTATCGAGCTGCTGACACAGTCATGATTTAATAAAAAGAAATAGGTCCAAGGCAATCTCGTATTGGGGTTTGTTTATCCGAACTTGTACGTTGTAGCTAGACAATTGGAACCAGATTCTGTGACCTGCTTGTCAGTTGCAAGCCCCAGCCCTGTCGACACACTCCCGCGGATCAGCAATCAACGCATACATTCAGGAAAGGAATCAAATAAAAAAGATGAAAATCAATAACACAACCGGGCTCACTTCAGTATGCCAAGTACAGCACAAAACATGAGGCAAAATGGACGAGCTGGGAATCGAACCCAGTACCTCTCGCATAGCCCGGAACACTTGACGGGGTTCTAACCATGCTAAGCGAGCGCTCTACCAAATGAGCTACACGCCCTTGCAAGGTGGGCGGCGAAATGGAGGGTATGTGAACCAACTGCGCTAGAGCCATAGTTGGCTCTGAACATTATTGATTGGAGAGATCAGAAGATATCATGGCACATTGTCCTCTGAGGCACAATAGTCACTGCCTAATCGGAGAGAAACATGCAGGCTTTGCTTCGTCCATAGCGTTCCGAGCACCCTTCTATAAGGCAGGGCCACGACCCGTCCGGACCCCAGCTTCTAGCTTTCCGGCATAAGGCCCTTAACTACTTTCGATATCCTGGCCTAGATATGCACCTAGTTAACTATATGTCGATGCAAGGGCTGGGAACACGAACATGGTAGGTAGTAAGAAATTGTCGGAATCAAAGCCACAATGAAGGGTTTGACAGGAACAGGTCTGTACTTGAATTCCATATTACTCACTCATTTATTATAATTGCTATATCTTATTATGAACTGATTAACTGCCCATCAGACAAGCAGAACCGACAAGTTTGCCATAACGAGAAGTTAGTGGCTACATCTTAAACTTGTGGTAATGAGTTTCTGTCAAAGAGAGCTGCAATACGGCATGTCCATTCTTGACCTTGAAGCGGATCAAACATATAATCATCATTCTACCCTCCATTTCTCTTCAAGAAAACCAAGGGTTGATCTTAACTTCAATCTCATTGCAATTAGAGGGCACCTTATACGAGTTCGAAATCATATAAACGTAGTCATTGCATTGCATCATGCGCTTCCATCCAAGACTAGGCACATTGCACGACAGGGCGCCCGTCGAAGCGTCAGCACGGCAGGAAACAGCACGATAGCCCTTCTTGGACGCGCTCGAATCAGATGCCCAGCAGAGTTGGCGGATGCTGTTGCCGGAGTCCACCCACAGCTTGCTTTCACTGGAGCCCAATAAGCGTGGCTGTGTGCTCTCATCAGTTGAAACAATGAGCTTCCTGGATGATGCCAACTCGGCGGACTTCGTGAGGCGCCAAGTGAGGATATTAAGGGAGTAGTCCAGCTGAACGTATTTGCCCTTCAGCGACTTCGGTGAGGCCAGCAGTCTGAGTAGGGCTGGCCGAGTAAATGGTCGACCACACGGTAGTCGTCGTTGTGGTAGGAGTGTCTGCATAGACATCAATGGACAATGTTGTTGTCATCGGCTGGATAATTGTAGTGGTGACGAACACAGTGACAGCGGAAGTCGAAGTTGCGGTAGCGGTTGTATAGACAGTCTCATAGACTGTAGAAGTCGATGTAAAGGTAGGGGCAGTGACCCAGGAGGTGCTTTCAACGGCGTTGATGCACGAACATGCAGAATAATACTCAGGGGAATCTGTCAAAGCGACTGTGGTCGCAGGTACCTTGGATGAGGATTCGAAAGCATTTGACAACGGAAAGGACTCAGTAAAAGTCTTTGGGACGTCGGACGAGAAAGAAAACTCGGTAGGATAGGAAGAAGAATACTCAGTCGAATAGGAGGAAGACCTGGTTGAATCAGAGAAAGAAGCTGACGCAGTCCAGTATGCAACGGTTCCGATCGGAGGAGACGAGGTTGTAGAAGTCGAATTGATCCAGTATAGCGTATTTCGAGCGATGGAAGTTGAGAGGGAGTTGGACGCCGAAGGGGACCACTGGGTGGACGTGCCAGCGGGATGCGTCAAGAAGGTTGAGTTGGTCCAGTACGGCGATTCTTGAGTGACATAGGTTGGGATGGAGCTGGTAGCAGAAGTGGCCCAATGTGAGAACGTGCCAGTGGGATATGTCGAGGAGGTTGAATTAGTCCAGTACGGCACGTTTTGAGTGGCATAAGTTGGTATGGAGCTGGCAGCAGAATTGGTCCAGTGAGAGAGCGTGCCAGTGGGATACGTCGAGGAGGTCGAGTTGGTCCAATAAGGAGCCGTTCCAGCGTGAGACACTGAGATGGACGACGAAGTGAGGTTAATCAAGCTGGGGGAACTACCGGCTGAAGCTGTGAACGGAGAGGAAGCAGTTGGCGTTGGTCTAAGGCAACCCCGCCGTCTTTTCCTCTTCAGCCTCTGCTCAGGCACAGTCTCACCTCTCTTCACAACAGCACCGCCGTTCCATGGCACCGTGGTGACATATGAATGTGGAGCTGTGGAGGTGACTGTAGCTGTATAAACCGTCAGGGTTTGAAGCAGAGTTTCATAAGAAGTGGACGTTTCCGCCACGGTTGTCTCGGTCGTCGTAAGCTCAACAACGATAGTCGTGTCCGAGACGGTAGTAGTGATTGTTTCGAAGACAACGTTGACCTCCGGCGTCTCCGTGGAAACAACAGGAAAGCCGTACAAAGACGTGCAAGAGGCATATTGTTCAGCGGGATCATTGTTGACCCAACCCACCACATGGCTGAGGAAGGGGTCTATTGTACAGGAGGGATTGTAAGAGTTAAAGGTTGAGAGTTCGAGCATCTTCTTCGAGTATCGTCAGTAGCAAAGGAATGACTCAGGTGAGGAACAGCGAGCGACCGTGGCAATCAACGACAGGAGCAGTCTCAACGAGCGAAGGTGGTGAGTCTGAAAGAGACAGAGCCCCTTATCTAGGTGCTGAAAAGAACTTGGACATCTGGACAATGCAGCCAGGATCTCATATTCAAAGCTCGGGTTGGGTCAAGACACAGGGAGTTTGCAGCTGGGGTCTCACCCCGGTATCTGCGAGTACGATGATCGACGCCAAGCCAAAGAGGATCCCTTGCTTTGGGCAATTTGAATCCCCTAAGGGAGCCTGAATATACGATACTCTCTTAATGTGTTCGTTAGCCACAATACTTCTGGACCAAGGTTTGCCCAACGACTTCGCGACTCAACCACCAAGCAGCCGTTTTCAGCACAAAAAAGTGGTATCAATGGATAGATAATTCATTGCTTGATCATGCCAACTAGTTTTTGACCCAAATTCGGTGATCTTGTGCAAGAAAACTGTGGCTTATAGTATAAGGCTGACCAGAACCCCTGTCCAAGTTTCGCAGTAACAATTAAACAAGCGGTCAACTGTAGGCTGCTCCTGGGTCTAACAGGGCCCTTGGAGCCTGCCCGCCACCATTGGATTTTTGGGCAGTGGTTAAGACGACATCTCACCAACACCTCCCTCAGCCTTCCTCCCTGAAAACTTTCCACGTCAATCATCAATTCAATTGGTTTTCAAAAGAAAAATGCGGCGGACATGCCGCTATATTGAATTACAATGTCCCCTTCGATGCTCCGAAGCGTATTCTTCCCTTGCATCACTCTATGCATTGCGTTGAATCGCCGCCAGAGTATCCAGACCTTGCTAGTGGCTGCCCAGTTATTACCACTACAGGATCTTAACACAAATACTGTGATGTGCAGGGTACATTTTTAGAAACCACCGTCAAACAAGGACTTGGCAGCCCATTACACCTCAAAATCTCAGAGCGTAAACATCATCGGACGCCATACGATTTAACTTTCCCTTCTCCGTATTTGAGCCCTGATCTATTCTCTTTTTTTTCCCGAATTTCACAAATTCAAATGTGTTGACGTTTCTTTCATCTCTGATGTAACATACGCGGGTTCCTGAACCGGGGAAAACACTTTGGCACCGCACTACAATACTTGGACAGTACATACCCCTGTACTCCAGGGAGTTCTCGACACGAGCAAACCGTAATATCGTCAACAGCCGTTCTTGGCTCAGGAGTGTGTAAGGTCCAGGCAACATCTACCTCTTAACCACTTATGCCCTGATGACTTAAATGAGAATAAAGTCAGTAATATCAATGTGGCAAGTATTGCTGTCAGGAAGCATGCAATGCATCCCAGAACTTCCAGGGTCTCTCCAAATAATGTGAAGGTGCGTCCGGTAGGTAAAGGCTGATAGATACGGAGGTACGCATCTAGAATAATGGTGTGAGGGGTTTATCCCATGGAACGTCATGGCATTCCATGAGACAGAGAATGGCTGTTCCTCGTCAACAAGGTCGGAAGTAATGAAAACTTCCATGCGTTCCAGGATCTTTAAGGTTCAACGCCCTCAGCGCCTTGGGGTAACGGAATCAATAATAGATACCGTGATCACTACTTGTTAACTTTAGTCTTTCTATCCAACATTCAACTCTCTTGCGTTATTTGCCAACCAATCTGCCACTGTCGCCAGACACCCACACACCATACCTGCTCTACTTTATGCGCGGAACACTTCTAATTCCCCTCTCCCGACGACCTTGAGTGGCTTAAACCACTCTTACCTACAATTTTCTCGGTCCAGCTCCATATCACTGGGCTTGAGCTTTTCTGTTCCACTCCGGTAGCTTGAGGAGAGTTTGTAAGGCCAGAGATTTCGCCATTGTCTTTTCCTTTTGCCTTTGTTGCACTGTCTGCACCGAGAGAGGTATCAGCACCCAATTCCTTCTTTGCGTGTCCTGTGCTGCTCCTCCTGCTCCTGTCATCATCAGAATCTTCGCCACTATCCAACCAATCCCGATCGCTCCACGTGACTGAGTCAAACTTATCGCTCAGTTCTGTCCGGGGAGTAACCAAAGGGGTTAACAGGGACGACGATGATGCAGGAGGCTCAGACATGCCCAACCCCGACACAATCTCATGGGCATGTCCATCACAATAGTGTTGTGCCTGGCCCGTCAGCACGACACCTGGCGGCTTTTGGTGAGGCTCCTTTTCACTAGGTCTTTTTGCGACCTCATCTCTATTCCCTTGAATGCTGTCCCTGACCACACCAACTCCGGCACCAATTCCAGCCAGTTCGACATCCTTTGTTTCTCCGCTCTTCTTCAGCCCTGCTGGCTCTTCAGGAGCCCTGGCTCTGTCCACGCTCCCAGGCAAGTCATCGTCCCTTGTTCTTGCGATTTCCGCATCGCTGAAATGCGCTTGCACCAGATGTTGTATGACCGGCCATCCAAATGCGTTGACAAACATACGACGGACAAAGATGTTGTTGTGGGCGTCGGGTTCCAGCTTGACGAGGACCTTGCGCCAGGACATGCCACGGTGGTAAGCTCGGGCTATCTTTTCTTCAACGCGCATCTGGGAACGATCAACTTCTTGGTCCTCGTCATTCATGGCGGCCCCATCTTCAGGCGAGTTTGGAACGGTGGTAACATCGGCTGTATCGGGGTTGGAAGAGAGGGTCGTGTGGACGGTTGAACCGTCCCCAGCGGTAGAAGCTCGACTTCGCTGAGAAGGGGAGGAAGGGTTGTTCGATGTTGAGGTAGGCGAGGAAGCACACGTGGATTTGCTTGATGATTTTTGAGAGGTAGAAACACCAGATCGTAGACGTAATGTCAACTGGCTCGTCGTGGAAAGATGCGCTTTGGTTGGTGGTGGAGGAATATCCGACGGATGGTAGACGCGATCGTGGAAGATGGTGCGGGGACGCTTGGCCGGATCAATAAGGAACTCAACTGAGGGTAGTTTTGGGTTGAGCAAGTCACCGGCCGACTCGAATATGGTCGTTTTAGGGGGAGCCGACACGGGCTCGGTCCATTGAGCAGCCTGAGTTCCAGCAGTGCGCTTCGATGCCGATGGGGAGCCAAATAGAGATTGGTCGCTGGACATGTTGCCCTGCTTCACAATTTGACCCCGTTGGTAGATTTTACTCACTTTATAAGATGATGCTTGTGCCGGCTTTGGGGAGTCGCCACGGAGGAAATTCAACAACCCAGCTAAGGGGCTGGTAAGGCTTGCTGTTGAGGAAGATCCGGGATAGGAATCACTCGCTGCCCTGAAGCTCTGCTTATCATCTTCCAGCGTGGCATTACTAGGGGGCTGAGGAACTGCGTGAAGATCTTCAATTTTTGCCTGGGCGTTCTTGTCCATATCGTTTCCATCACCGTTTTCTTCTTCGTCTGGTGGCCTCCACGGCGCAAGCCTCGGTGTTGTTACAGTTGCTCCTGTAAGCTCAGCCCATCCAAAGCCCACAACGGTCTCGACAAGTCCAGCTTCTCGGCGAGCCTTCTCTACACGGCCGAGTCCCTGCCAGTCCAGGAAAAGCAGGCAGCTGGTACGGAGAGGCACAATGCCGTCGTTGACAACATTTGAGTACACTGTTCGGTTACGGAACTTCTTAAGTGCCTTATGAGCTGGACCGGTAGGTAAAATTCGAAGAAGAGGTTTGGATTCAGGTTGTGGCTCTCCATACATGCGCTTGTGTGCATGTTCGCCCAAACTGCTCACAATAGCCCCCCATCCATTGCGTGCAATAGTTGGCGCCCTCCAAGTGAGTCCCAGGTCCTGACCTGTTCGACCAACCAGGCCAAAATCCAAAGCAAACTTCACATAGAGAGGGTTTTCGTGATTAAGACCCAAAAAGGGCGAGGCTAAGGCAATGAAGTTGACAGGCTGGATGAGATCAAAGAACTTCGGTGAGTGTTTTTGGATGTATGCGATGGCGTACGTCTGCACGAGGCCTCCGAGGGAATGCCCTATGAAGCTGATTTTGGTGAACTTGTACGTCCTGTTGGTCCCGTAAGAATGAGATCGGAAAGAAGAGCCTTGCTTGTGGCCATCTTCCCCGGCTTTCTTAAAAGCGCTCGTTTTAAGAGTGTGGACAATAGCCTCAGACGCATCTTTCGGGGTGACCAAGCATGGCTGATCAGGATACGTCATTGCCAACAAATACTTTGCCAGTCGCTTGCCCAAGTACTTGATGCCTTTCTCAGTTCTTGTGGCATTGCCCGAGTACCCACGGACTATGACTTCCTCGTCATCAGAGTCACTCTCATCAACTTCTCCCATGTTCGACTCCCTGCCCCCGTCATTAACACGAGCGTCAAGGGTGTGACTGCTGCCATCAGCAGCTCGCTCTGGGGCTTCAATCTGGGAAGAGTCGCGTCTCCTTACAACCCTTTCCCTGGCTCTCCGTGCTTTGGCGTCGATCTTTGCTTGCTTGACTGCTGCATCGATGCTTTCTTTGAGAAACAGCATATCGCTGCCGAGATTGCTGTGTAGTCCATGGGTGAGGACGACTAGATGAACCTTTTTGGGCTTGTGTTTCCGGTGCTGTTGGTTCGCGTGTGGCCGGTTGTTATCTGTAGCTGCCTCAGTAGGAGGCTCAACGAGATCGTCACTCCTAGCGCGAAGCCAGCCCACGTCGTCCCAGCCAGGCAGTTGGGGGGTATTCCACAAGGCAGCAGTATCCTCAACCTTGAGATGAATTGCTTTGGAGAAGACTCCTTTCTGTAAGCCTGAAGGGTCCTTTTGGGACTCCGCGCCCCGTTGAAAGTCGCTGACTCGCCCCGGTTCCGGGACATGGGTCTGACCTCCAATAACGGAAACTACGGAGCCGATGTTGAGGGACTTCTCATCCCGGGCCAGCAATATTTCGTAGTGCACTGCGGCCGAGGTGGAAAACAAGACCTGAGAGCTGACTTCGATGATCCAGGACGCGCTTTCGCCCTCCCGGTTCGGGCGTCCACCAAAATAGCCGTGCTGACTGCTCCCCTCACCGGCAGTTTGGCGGATGTTGTCGGGCACTACCAGGTGGCAGTTCCAGACGGATCCTGCCTTGAGCATTGGCTCAAATTCTGGTACGCCATAGCGACGGGGATTCTCGAACTTCTCGAAAGGCTTGAAATGTGCCGGGTATGCAGCGACCGAAAGGGTGTAGGGGCCGTGGACAAAGGCGGCGCGTAAAGGAGTGGAGCATGTGTTCTTGATGCGTAGGTACAGAAACTCAGGGGAGGGAAGAATGTGGTCCGCCGAAGGCTTATATGTCACAGTGTAACGCACTACCTCTCCGATCTTGACACTGCCGACTTGGTGGAGGAGCAGCATCGTGAATTCGGGATCGCTTCATGTACTGTGGCGCCACGCATGGGTCAAGAGTCTTGTGTTATGCTCATCGAGGGGGGGTCTCGCGATCGATGGCGATGCGCCGGGCAACGTAGATGTAAGGGCACTGCAGGGGGTGATCTGTATGTAGTCGGATGCGGATTCAAGACAAGCGCATCAGTGCCTGATTTCGCCCAGTGTCAAAATTCTAACGCTAGGTGCTGCGCGCCAGATGCTGCAGTGCAACCTCGAGGATAAGAAGCGGCAATAAATAATACGTTAGAGAAGTACGGAGCAGGTAAACGCTGGTACGGGAAATGCTGGTCGGTTCAAGGCTGGCAGCTTTGAGGCGCGACGAATGCTTTTATGGTCTGTGTAGTGATCGGCTGAGAATCACAAGGCCCAAATAGCAGGAGTTAGCCAAGTCACAGTATGAAGATTAAACGGGATGAACGAGTGATGCAGTGATTCCGGCGATGAGCCAAAGCCCGCAGACGGATCCCAAGGATCAGCCTTGTGGTTTGATGATGGACTTGGACGCACCCGGCAGTTGGAACCTAAAGCATGGAACCTAACAGCGCCAAGCCAAAGGGGAAGCTTGATTTAGATTAGCGGCTCTTGACAGAATGCCCATCCAACAATCCTGTTTTGACAGTGTGCTGTAAGATACATTTTGTATTTACAGGTACCGTTTTAATACCGTACCAAAGGTGTATCGATCTCTGATTAAGACGGGAAAGGGCACGATGTCGATGCTGAAGGTGAATCAGTCACATAATCCTGTATGTACAGCAACGATTGCCTAGGCTAGTCCACGAAGGAAAGCCTTAGCACGGAAGGCTTGCCGTGTCACACAGACCTGAGAAAACTTCATGTGACAGGTGCTGACTGTGCATGGATCGACTTGTCATAACCAGACTGTTGTCAGCACGTGACACAGTTGTCTGAAGACCCACCTTTTTAGTCCGCCTACAGTGATGACAGCATCCATTCGCTGACCGCCAACTTTTTTAGACCGGCAGTATTTTCGCATCATCGAGACCCCTCCCCAGCGCCGACCATAACCATCACAACTGAGTCGTCGATGAGGCAGCTGCCAATCAACTGGTAACAATGGGGAGACGGCCAAATGCCCTGATATTGCAATACTTCGAGCGCGGTCCGAAGCTACAGGACCAGAGCAATCGCTATCCCCACACTTGCAAAGCGTGAGCCACCGCTCTTTTTCGCCTGCCTTTCCACCCACCGCCTCTTTGGAGGTGACAACACCGACGAGTTACTGATTCCCAGTCTCACCTTTCCTGTTGTCGCAGATGCGGAGAGCATTTCCCTCGTGGACGTCTTGATAGTCTGACCAACCATTTGACCAAAAAATGCCCGGCCATCAGCGAGGCCGAGAGGGTGAATGCCCTGCTGACTATGTCCGGCATGAGCCATGCCTCGCAGCGCTTCCAGCAGCAGACCCAGGCCCAGGCCCAGGCCCAGGCCCAGGCTCAGGCTCAGGCTCAGGCGCAAGTCCAGGCTCGCGTCCAAGCCAATGGCTCGGCGATGGATCTTCCCATGATGCAGCGCGACTGGACTGCCCTGGGAGTGCTCGCTGAAGTCTCCCGACAGATCGACCTCAACGAGAAGAACGATGATCGCGGCCAACCAAATGGCGCCGTTCCCCAGACATCTACACCATCCGCCTCACAGCCTGGTGTGGGATTCGATCTCCACGAGCAGTTTACTGTGGACAACCCTTCTGTGAGCCACGAAAATGGTTCTGCTAAGGCGGCCAAGGGCAAGTTGGCGTCTTTTCTGGATTAAGGAGTTCCAAGGTGACATTTGGCTGACTGTCAGACGTGTAGTTGAGTCTACTTCGACCGAAGCTACGGAGCAAGGCCTTACTCCGGAAGAGCGGCTTCAGGAAATTCTGCGCGCCGATAATGATGCGAACACCGAGTCCGCAAATATCACTATGGCAGCCGCCGCGACCGCGCGGTTACATCCGTCTTATCTTGATCCAGAGATACTGGGTGAACAAGCTGCTGCCGCTGCCGAAGCTGCTACTGCCACTGCTAATGCAGCCGCTGCAGCTGCAGCTGCCGCGGCGGCAGCTGCCAGTAACAACAGTCTGCCAGTTGCAGACATGACCGGGGCACCCGCTGGCCCTGCCCCTGGCGTGGAAGAGCTCCAAACCACCCCAGGGGCTCCCGCCGTCCCTAGCCCAGGGGCTCCGCAGACATGGGGAGAACTGGCATATGCGACGGATTCTTTCCAGGCAACCATCACGAACAACAGTGCTATGCATCCGGCGGCCCCAGCTGGCAAGGGAATGTTCCGCGTTGAAGGCACTGCGAAGGCGCGTCATTCGCGGGCACGATTTAATGCCATCCGGAGGAAAGAGGTCCAGGAAGTTCGCAAGATTGGCGCTTGCATCCGGTGCCGCGTACTGCGCAAGACATGTTCTCAAGGGTCTCCCTGTGAGACTTGTAAGAAGGTGCTGTCTCCGCGGGTGTGGCGTACGGGCTGTGTTCGGACCAAATTTTCGGAGCAGCTAGACCTGTATTCGGCAGGCGTCCAGATTGTTCTTGCCCAGGCCAGGGTCAATAGCCTAAAGCAGGCTATGAGCCTAGGGAATCACGGTGTCCTCATTGAGGCCTGTCATTTTCCCGAATGCTCCCCCCGCCTGCAGCTGCAAGTTCTTCAGCGCGATCCCGGCAGGGATGCCGAGGGGAAGCTGATCGATGCCTCTATGGCAGACGAAAAGCCTACCAACTACCCCATCGTCATGCTGGACAACGAGAATCAAGATGTGCCCGCCAGAGTCGAGGCTTACATGCGCGAGATCCTGTCCGAGCTGATTGTGCGGGAACCGTCACACTTTGTCCGTGTCACCCTTCAAACCGCAGTTGATATTGCCAGTAAGACCAATGATGAGCTGCTCAAGAAGTCTCTTGAATTGTGGGGTTTGGTTGAGATTTTGGACCGGGAGCGTCAGTGGACTATCAATGCCAAAACCTGGGCTGAGGATACACCGGCGAAGACCATCAAGGAGGATACCGATAAGAATCTTTTCGACACCATTTGCCTTCAGCTTGCTGCGGCGGCCGAGAGGAAGGCTGCCGCCACGAGCAAAATCCTGCTCACTGGTATGCAACGTGTGCTGCAGGACAGCAAGGTGAAAATCGATTTCAACATGTACTTTGCTGTTCTTATCCTGCTCAACTGTGTCGAGAAGTCTAGCTGGGCCTTTAAAGCCTGGGAGCAGGAGAACTTGCGTGACCTCTGGCCGCTGGAGAAAGAGCCTGTTACTTTTGCCCAGCAAGGCTATGTCATCGCCGATCTGCTCCACATGCTGCTCGGCATCAGAAAGGCCTTGCCGCGAACTATGCGCCGCGAGGTCGACGGCAAGCTGGTCACTGAGGAGGAGAACCCTATTATCAGGGGATATTTTGAGGCGATCAACCTCGATTGTAAGTTGTGTCATGAGCATCTGTTGGTTAGCGGAAACTAACAGGTATGTTCTCTAGTTGCCCATGTCAAGGCAAAGAAGGAACGCCCAACTTTCTCCCCTACGGATTCGAGGTCGTTCGAGCTTCTCTTTTGCTCTACACTCCTGCTCCCCCCTTCGGATTCCTAAATCGAAGAAAGGTAACATCCTGTTGGTGAGCAGCAGGTGAACAGCGGTCATACCTTTTTCACTTGTCGCGATGAGACTTGAAAATTGGTCTCGGGATCCAGCGGCAATGGTTTTATAACTGATGATGACATGGGAATGAAACCACGAAGAGTGGTGGAGGCTTACTCTATCGGGATGATGGCTTGGTTAATGAATCGACGTACAGCCTCTCCCCAGACGTAGCCTGCCTCTACCAGAAACAAAGTAATGTCTTCTTCTGAGTGTTCATTCGGATGTGAGACGGATAGATATGATGGCTGAACGGGCAGAGCGATTGGAGTTGGTTGTTGTTCTCATCTTAGACTAAAATACCCTGGCCAAGCTCTTAGAGATACCTCCTGTCACGAAAACTTAATGCGAGTTGATTATTACCAACATTATTGGAAACTTATACTGGCGATGCTGAAAAGGGGGTTACTTCTGACGAAGCAACCCAAGTCGATGATTTATTCACAGTAAATGCTCGTACATACAGCCAAAGCCTGTAGTCCCACATCTCATATAGTTGCTTTCATGGCTCCTGTTGCTGTTGTGATCAATAGGTTGATTGGCTCTTACCCGCCGTCCCTTGAACCCCTCCCTCAGTACCAGTGGGCTTCTTTGGCTTCCTGAAGCAGGCAAACTCGCTCTTGCTAGCCTCCCTCAGCCGTTTGAGCACAGCGCGCATCTCGGGCAGCTCAGCTTGCAGCCGCGCGCGCGCGTCGTTGTCAGTGCGTCCATCAAGCTCCTGGTAGATGGTGCTCTGCAGCTCCGATGCGCGATCCGTTGTATAGTGGCTGAGTGTCTGCGCCACGAACTCGACATCCAGCGTCGCCTGCATCAACGCTTCCAGGTGGTACTTAGGGCGCGTTTTGAACGCCTCAAGCAGCTCGCGTGATGCTTGCTCGAGGAGGTACGAGAGCACCTCTGACGTGAGCGATGGGGCGGTCGTAGATACTTGGGTATGCACCAAAACGAGTGTAAGGAGGGCTTCATACACGTAGGGTCGGACGGAATGCGGCTTGGGACCCCCTGGTGGAGGCACCCAGTCGGGAGAGGTAATGCCGGCATGGATAATACGTTTGAGAGCCTCGATCGAGGGTCGAGTATAGGACTGGAAGAGGCGGGCGTCAATCTGGCCGAGGACGTCCCGGATGGTCTTGGTTTCGTCGGTGAGCTTGACTGAGAAAGCGTTTTCGAACTGGGTGTTTAGTGTCGGCACAACGTTTGAGCGTAGGGCTTGGAGGTTGCTAAGAGTGAGAAGCATGCGAACGTTCTGTTGCGGGTTTGCTGTTAGCTTCGAACCTAGACAACCATGAGATACACCTTACCCTATCGCTCGCGTCCAGAGTGCCTCCTGTGCTTGTAGAAGCCGACACCCGGGGATTACTTGGGCGCACGAGGACGGAGGTCTCGGCCTCAACTGTCCATTCATCTTCTGCCTTTTTGGGGTACCGCTCAGCATTCTCGACCATGCCGCTCAGGGCCTTGTAGAGGGTTGTGACGTATTGACTGCGAACCATCTGCAGCAGTTTAGTCGGCGGCGGGAGGACAATATCTTCCGCACCCGGCTTGGACATTGCCTCAGAGATGTAAAGGATCTTCTGCATCCCTGTGAGCAATGCACCTTCAAATGCGGCAAAACTGGCCGGCATTTTCGTCACGTCGTTGCTATCAGGGCTCCGGTTCCAATCCTCGACATACTTGATGTTTTCGGCATCCCTATTCCAGGCTGCACAGAGGGCAGTCACACATCTCTCCCTCGCGACACCAACTAGAGCTCTGACGCGCTCAATTTCGGCAGCGTCTCCGTTGCCAACTGGTGAGACGGAAGCCATGTCAGCTGCCCCCGTTCCGACAATAGAAAGCATTGTGGCAAGGTAGTGCGCTCCGCTGATCGAATTCGACCACGGGGGCCAAAATGCAAATTTCTCCCACACCTCGCCTCTCTTGGGCGACGGGGGAGGTGGGTTACTCGGATCAATGTTGAAGCGAGGATCTCGTGGTGTCAGCAGTCCGCCAGAGGAGCTAATTCCCGGAGATCCTGGAGACTGAGGCGGCATAGGTGAGTACAGCAGCGAGATATCTTCGGGAGGAGGGTCAGCAAAGAAGGCTAGAACGCTCTCCCGAATCAAGCTGACAAGCTCGGTGATGCCTTTCTGGAGTTGAGCCACGCCTTGCTGGGACAGGCGGTGGTGGGCTTCTGACTCGCCCTGGTAGCCTGTTGGCAAGTTCATTTGCGTCTTGCCATCGATGAAGCCTTGGACAGTCTGCCAGAAGTCCAGGACCTCGCCCAAGAATCCTTGTGGCGAGAGCATATTGTTCAGAAAAGCCACATTCATCTCCCAGAGCTCCACTATATCTGGAGAATCTAAGTTTTTGGACCTGGATGATTCAACCGACTGCCTGCCAAGCATACGCATATGAGATGCCATGGCTTGAGGAGTTGGCTTTTCGGCATTCGCCAAACGGCGGCGCAGAACCTCAATTTCCACTTTCGACCTGTCACCGGTCGACTGGATTTTGCTCTTGAGATAGTCATAGCGACTCAAGAGCCAAACCCAAATAGGGTTATCCTCCACGCCCAACTCTAGGAGCAATGAAATGAGCTCCATGTGCTGGTCGCTCCGTGGCTGGCCCGCTGCGTCCGTCCTTGCGACCATGATCTGGGGTGAAATAAGCCTCCGCCAAATGTCTCTTTTTAACGCTTGAATCTGCTCATCCACATCCTGCCACATTCGCGCTGCCAAAATGATGCGATATAGCTGCTCATCGGTCGGCTGTGAGGAGTTGAGCTCCTCGGCCAGACGCTTTGCTTCGTCGGCAAACTTACGGGCCTTTGTGTATTCCTCAACTAAGCTCTCGTGATCCTTACGCTTAATGCTGTCCGCGATGGCTGAGCTGAGTTCGACGTATTCTTTGTACTGATCGAGATAGGAAGCAACTGTCTTGAGGTGCTCTTCCTTTTCCCTACCCCCAAGTGCAGGTCCCCAAACGTCTTCTGCCTTTGCTGACACCTCAAGAAGTGGTGCTTTTACACCCAAAACACCATATTCGCTCTCTTTAACCAGCGCATTTTTCTTGCGAGGGTCTGCTGCAGGTAAAAGGGGACCGGCAAGAGGTCCCGCGACATTACCTCCTCGAATGCTGCTTCTACTAACTTGGCGGGAATGGCCACGGGGGCGTGGAGCAGGTGGTTCGGCGCCGCGATATTTCATCTCCTTGTACACATTGTCGATAGTAGCCTTCGCGCGGACGAAACGCTCAAAGTTGGACTCCACTAGCACCTTGAGAGACGCTGACTTCTGGTCAATTGACCTGGAGAGTACCTCCAGTCCGTTTATTAGTGATTGAGTATCGGCATTTGCATGCATCTGGGACAGGAAGAGCGCCGGCGAAAAGGTCGTTGATGAGAGGAGAAAGCGGTTCCCTATCGGCAGAACTGTTGTCAACGAATGTCCTGGACACATGTTTGTGCTGTCTTGGAGGCGAGGGCCAACTCACGCAGCCGGAGATCCTCCTGTACAGGAACACCAAGGAGTTTCAATGTTCGCACTACGCTGTCGGTAGTGCCAAGGGGGTCTGGCTCATCCCTCTGCACGAGGTTGCCCATCCCGCTCCCCGAGGTCTCCGAGCCAGGAATGAGGCTGCTTCGGTTGCTTACAGCCCGCTCCAGAGCTTGGTACCGGGATTTGCGGCGGTTGGCCTTCTTCTTTGCCTCGTCGTCGTCGGAAACATCGCTGTCGTTGTCCTTCTCGGTAGGCCATTGCACGGGATTGAGGTTGGAGATCTGGTAGAAGTCGAGAACGGTCCGCTCGAGGTCCGTCGCCATGTTGGGAACGGAGGGGGTAGTGTTGATAGCGACACCAGTAGCTTGGAGCAAGGTTCGGGGTGGTTACAGAGTACGCCGTCGCGTCTCCGGCTACGCAATGCAGCACGTTGGGAGTAGGGCTGCCGGCGGCCCGGCTGTGGATCGAGCTGGTGGAGATTTGCACCCACCAGAGAAGAGGGGGTTGGAAACGTTGCGTGGGGTTTCGGTGGGACTCCCGTTAGGCAGCTTGGCGCGCATCACTCGCTGTCTCAAGAACGCCCGAGAAGAGCCAAAGGAGAGCGTGGGTCACCGCGTCATCGTGCTGCTCACCGCCCGCCGGATACTAACCCTTGCCTTTTTTCAAAGATTCTGCCGCACTTATCAGGCGGTGAGGAGATAAGATGCAAGTCCGTCGGCTTTTCATCGACGTAATGGCATGTCGCCGCGCGGTTCAAGATCCCTGCAGTGCACGGTCCCAGCCGTTGTCCCGCTGCCAAATCCTGCCATTCCTGTGGGTTCCCAAGGCAAGCAGTGGGAGGTGAAATCGATTAACTTTTATCTGCGCATAAAAAGCATCGAGTATCAAACTTGACGTTTCCTCACTGGACCTGGCGGTTGCTCTCGACGTCCTCTGGACCCTTGCATCTCCCTACGGTGCAGCACCCCCTTCCATTTGACGGCCCTCTTCACTTTAGACGCCAGTGTTCACCATGTTCGCCCTCCGCTCCATCGCTGCGCCTATGCAGCGCCAGTGCTTCCGTGCGGCTCCCCGCGCGGCCGTCTCTCTGTCCCTACAGGTGCGACATCACAACCCAATGTGTCCTATGTCTTGAGCGACTCTGTGCTGACATTGAGACGTTACAGAGCAGGTTCTACTCGTCGCAGGACTCCATCGCAAAGTTCACCGGCCAGAAGGATGCACAGGTAGGCCAAAATTACCAACCGTCCAGGGCACTTCAGCTGTCATTTTCAACCCATGAAAATCACTCAGGATAGCCCCGAGGTGTTTATTCTGCCGTAAGGAACAGTACAACTGAGACATCTCTGTAGGGCCGCTACACCGTTAGCTTGATCGAGGGTGATGGCATTGGTCCCGAGATCTCCGCCGCCGTCAAAGATATCTTTGCCGCCGCGAAGGTTTGTAGCTTCTGCTCATCCTGTGCCACCCAATGCCGTTGGGAGATCACAACGACACAATACTGACCAAAACAGACTCCCATTGTTTGGGAGCCCATCAACGTCGACCCCGTTTTGAAGGACGGTAAGACCACTATTCCCGATGCTGCTATCGAAAGCATCAAGAAGAACAAGGTTGCCCTGAAGGGCCCCCTGGCTGTATGTTTAAAATTTTCGGTTGCCCCTTTTCAGCACCTCTAACTGCTCGTAGACCCCAATTGGCAAGGGCCACGTTTCTCTTAACCTTACTCTTCGCCGTACCTTCAACCTCTTTGCCAACCTCCGTCCCTGCCGGTCCGTTGCCGGTTGCAAGACTCCCTACGATAATGTCGACACTGTTCTAATCCGCGAGAACACCGAGGGCGAGTACTCGGGCATTGAGCACGTTGTGGTGGATGGTGTCGTTCAGAGCATCAAGCTTATCACCCGGGAAGCCAGCGAGCGCGTCCTCCGGTTCGCCTTCCAGCACGCCCGTGCCATTGGCCGCAAGAAGGTCCGCGTCGTCCACAAGGCCACTATCATGAAGATGAGTGACGGTCTTTTCCTCGATGTCGGCCGCCGCGTCGCCCAGGAGTTCCCGGATATTGAGTTCGATGCCGAGCTGCTCGACAATACCTGCCTTAAAATGGTCACCGACCCTGTTCCTTACAATGACAAGGTGCTGGTCATGCCCAACCTGTATGGCGACATTTTGTCCGATATGTGCGCCGGCTTGATTGGTGGTCTGGGTCTGACCCCCTCGGGCAACATCGGCGATGAGTGCTCGATCTTCGAAGCCGTCCATGGTTCCGCTCCTGATATCGCTGGCAAGAACCTTGCCAACCCCACTGCCCTTCTCCTCAGCTCCATGATGATGCTGAGGCACATGGGCCTCAACGAGTATGCTGATCGCATCGAGAAGGCGGCATTTGATACCCTGGCTGAGGGCAAGCACCTGACTGGTGATCTGGGTGGCAAGGCGACCACGACGGAGTACGCTCAGGCCATTATCGCTAAGCTATGATACCAAGAAGTATAGACTGTACTAGTATGGCAGGTGTTTTTTGAGTAGCATCTTGGCTGGCCGGTTACGCTGATGACGATGATTGTAATGACTCTTTCAACTCCTTTGTGGCACATATTTGATTGTCGCCGCCAGTGGTCATGGCTGTGAGTTGGCCTTGAAAGCAGAGCGTCTTGGCAATGTCTGAGGGAAGCGGACCTTTACCCTCAGCCCGGTTTTCCTGCAGACTACCTACCTGTACTCGACTATGCGCTCACCAGTTTTCGGCGCCTAGCTTCAGACTGTACGGCTTGGTTTAGCACAAAAAAAGTTGTACATGATGCGGGCTCTCCGTAAAAAGCCGAATTTGGCCATTCCTCCTTGCTTAGCCATTGATCCCTTGTGCGTGGCGAAGTAAATATAATAGTACCCAGTCTCGGTCATCCAAGCAGGTAGGCAGGTACTGAAATCGACAAGAACAGCTCCCAAAAATGTGGCGGCCTCGGTATCACAGAAGCTGATGGGTGATTGCAGGCTCATAGAATAACACGGTAGCCACTCGCAACTCCCCTATTTATACACTTTATTTCATTTCTTCCATTGTCATTTGTACAACCACAGCCGCAGCCATCAAGGTCGGATGGGGCATATGGGTGCCAGGAATACCTGTGTGGTTAACTTGCTCTTTCCAGCCATTACACAATCGCTTGAGCCATTTCAAGCCGCGTCCAAACGCTAGTTAAGTCATGCTAAACTCCGGCTCGGGTACGGCAAGCATTAAAACCCCATCTACTGCTCATCGTGCATTGCAACAAATTAACGTAGTGGGGATTAGCGGACAACCGACTGACCGTTGGACAGCCAAGAGTTTTCAAGCCTCGATGTCTGACAGAAAAAAACACTTCAAGGGTAGTAAGACATGTTTTTCATCCAAAGGGGAGGGGGATTCTTACAACTCTCCATGCCGTTGCCAAGAGGAAGCTACTTTGAGAGTGAATTCCCCAGAGAATTACCTAATGCCAGCGCAACGTCGTGCGAGTCTTATCAATCAGCAACATCTTGGGGACTCCCTGAGGAGCACACTGACATGGTACGTGCAGAGACGGGGCGGCTGAAGGGAAAGCAAGCAAGCAGTCCTCCGACCCCACCTTGGGCAGACAGGTAAGCTTCTTATTTGCCTGCCTCTAGTCTGTTCGATCAATTTGTCTCAAGGTGACGCAGTCTTCCGCAGAAGCGGGTGCGTGGACGTGGGCACATCCTATACGTGTTGCGGCCAAAGAGGGTAAGCGAATCGGCAGGCCAAAGCAGCCCCAGCTTTCTGCAACTGTCACCCCTCTCTTAGTCCGCCATTCACTCGTGGGGGATGTCCATGCAAACGGACGGGTTCCCTACCATACAGGCAGGAAAACGACCCCGTAGTCTAAAAGTCAGTGATTGTGTGAGAGTAAGAAGACCACAACGACTACCCAACTGGCATTGCGTCCTCGTCCTGCCGTGTCCTAACTTAACCTAACGGAACGTGGTCTCTAACCTGTTTTCCATATTCTCGAGAGTCCTTGGCATCCTTTGCAGCTGAATGTTTCACTTTATTTTGGGGAGGAGAGGGGGGTGGTTGTTAAAGTGACGATGATTTCCTTTAACCCTGACACCTAGTGCTCTCGCCAAGATTCGCATGTTTCTCACAGCCCTGCACAGCCGTGATAACCAAATGACTTCTCCCGATTCGCTTTTGATACATGTGATGGATCAGCGACATCAGTCTATAGGATTTAGACCATCCTAGGAGTTTGACTGCTTCTTGCGGCATTCAGGCGAAGATCAAAGGTTCTTGTTTGGCCCAGTCCCCGCCGCGTTAGGGCACCTTATCCCTTAACCGTGGAATTGTATAGGTATGCTTTAGCGCAAACTGATTATGTCAGTATCGCTATCTATGGAAGTAAGCGGGAGTAGTGCCATCGCTTGAAGCGGACAACAGCAACCACTTTCCCAAATTGAGAACCAGCTTAACTTACCATTGGTTCAAACTGGTTTTTCCGAGCGGGTTTGACCGTTAGCGAGCCCCGATAAAGCAAATCTGTGGGTCGAGGGTTGGGGCACACCAAAATCAAATTCAGGGTCCACAGAAAGACCCTGCCCGCGGAGCAAACAGGAATCAGCTCAGCACACACATCCCCAGGGCCCCAACACCAACAAGACAGGACAGCGACCACGAAGTGTTCAACATCCTACCCTGATCTCTTGGCCAGAAAAATCACTCATTCTTTACTGGTCTGACAACATACTGCACACACATACATGACTTAGACCATCGATCCTGCAGAGGTTGGATGCATCGATCGTGCTTCCGTTGCAGGAGGGGCAAGGCAGCATGCCGCCCGGTTTGTCCACAGTTGCCAAGCAATATGGCGAATTGGATGGCAGCACGCGCGTTACCCATCATGCAGCCAACGCGAAACACACAAAGGCCGGGCTGGGCTTTGGCGTGGAGGGCAACTGAGAGCGAAGGTGCCGATGATGGCACCGTTGGTTTCCAGGCCTCGCTGTTTCACTGTGTCTGGATAGTCCGGAAGCCCGGAATCTCCTGAAACCGTAAGAAATCAAGGCTGTTTCTAATGTTCAAAAGCGCTTCTTAGACCGGACATATGCGATGCGGAAAGCGCCCGCTTGCCGTGGGCGTTTCAGTACTTAGTTGCCAGCCCCAGTTCAGCGTTGTTAGAGAGTATCTTGATGAGAGTTGCCAGAACAACCCAATCTGCCACTGTGTTCTCGCGCTGCAGCCTTGGTGGGGGACTCAAGTGGAGTTCCTAAAGGAGGCTCGGGGACATGGCTAAAGCCGTCAGCCCGGGTAAGCGTCCAACTGCGTATCGAACTGCTCTGCCCAAGGCCTGGAAGACGGTAATCTGAGATGACGAGCGAAGCGTTTACCAAACAACAAACTGTGTACCCGGTTTCTGTGCGCTGTGTAAGGTTAGGTAATCACATAGGATGAGCACGCGGAAAGTTTGTACGCTTCATATATCATCAGCCTGGGCACATGCACAACGAATACATGCAAGGAACAAATAGGTGGATAGGTAAGATAGTCGGTACCGTAGGTACCGCTCAGCAGTTGAATGTTGGGGGTTGTTCTCTGGTCTCCACACGCGGAAACTGCAGCGCCCACGGTTCTTCCCAAACAAGGATGCCGGTGGTAGCGTAAGATGGAGGATAAGTGAGAAATGGCTCATTGACCTCAAGCGCCAATTCTGAGGCACTCCGTACGCATCCCATTCCCACCCCCCTTCCACCTCCCTGCAATTAGATGCGCAAGCCTGGCCTTCCAGAACCCGAGAACCCTCAACTCATCTCATCTGTGCCTGTCGAGTTGCAGGCCGTGCCCAGTTACGTACCTGGTTTCTGGGCCCGACCATCGGAGACGTCTTCTAGTCCACAGATATAAACCTCTTCCTGCTCCCTCCTCTTCCTCAAGCCCATTCACAACCATTCTCGCATTCAACTCTTCACTCGTGATCTTCCCATTCGTTCTCTCGGTGTCTCCAGCCTGCCCACACCCTCAACTGCTTCTGTTTCCCACTTACAGCCCACACAATGCCGTCCAAGGATCAAGTTTACGACCTCCTCCAGGCCCAACTCCAAACTAAGGGCATCAAGTTCCACATCAAGACTGGCGGTGCCAAGTGGGAATGCACGTTGCTCGACCGCAACACTCAGTATGTGCTGCCCTCATATCGGTATTCGTTCTAAGGTAGTCAGATTGCTTCTGACACGGGATCTGTAGTGAGAAGCGAAAGGCTGAGCGCCAAGGCTCTACTTCGTCGGCCTCCTCGGTAACCTCCTCAAGTAGTGCGAGCACCAAGTCTCATTAAGTTGAGTCTTCGGCAGCGATATGTTCGGCAGTCGACTCATCAACACCTGCTTTTGCAAACACTCCTATGCCAGCCAGATATCAGCACACTCGTCCTGTGTCTTGACTCAAGCTAGGCTCTTATCGATTATACCCAACAGGCGCAAAAGGACACAGCATTTTTCTCATTTAGACAAACTGCCAATGCTTTATGGGAACAAAATCCGGGGGACGATGATTTGAGGAAATGGATGCGGAGTTTGACCGAATCGGCACGACACCATCAACATGGTGGAGCCGAATCCCACTGAGGCTCCATGGAGGACTCCATCGGACCCGTGGGTGCCGACGGTATCTTTCTCCTGCCTTTTTCGCCGACCGCGTCTTCAGCTTCTTCTATTGTTTTTTTTTTTTTTTCGGCGTTGGAGCATAGCCAAAACTCGGGATATATTGGGGGGTTGGGCGTTAAGGATATCCATGAATTAAAGTACTACATGGCTAATCGCGACACGGACGCGTAGTGTAACCTGGGTATCAACAATAAAGAAAATTGAGCCGAACCCAGGGTGCCTTTGACACATATGCGAGGGATTCCCATCGTGCAATTGCGGGCAATTGCCCATGCAACAAGACCACAGCGTATCTATCGGCCTCGCACGTGTGTGTGTTCCGGTGTGCAGGAACTACGGCGGCGAGTTCATCCGAATGTCGAGACCGGAAAAAATGGGGCCGGATCTCGCGGGTTTCCGCGCTGTGCTCTATTACTGTGCGTTTCTTCCGCGGTTCCGGGAGCTCTCCCACGTGTGGAAATGGAGCGGTTGTGGTTGGAAAGTTCGCTCAACAAGGCCGGGTTCCGGACTTATCGCTCCCATCCACTGTGTCCTCTGTCAAAGAGGCAATCCTTGTTCGTTTCTACTCAGCTCAACGACATGCCAGGCCGATGGCCGAGTGAATCTCCATCTGCTAGGATACCGACCTGCGGGCTGACCCACTCGGCTGTCGGCTTGCAAGCTCGTGCATTTCAAACCCCATCTTAGCCCGAATGAAAACAGCAAATACATCGCATCCAGTAGGAATTATTAGCATACTACTCATCTGGTGGGGCGATAAGACCACATAATCATATTTTGGATCAATGCTTGAACGGTGTTAAAAGTCCTTACACGCACCTCAAGACGTTTTCAGCCTCTCCAATTGTTGCCAGTCAAAACGGGAGTTGCCGTCATGTTGTACAAGTAAGGAATGTAAGCTCTTAGGATACTCAAGGTACCTCCCTGGCATACATAGTACCTGCTCTGTACAAGCACCTCAGGTACGCACCTTAGGTATCTGTCTCTGCCACAGAGCCCTTCACCGTTTCCTACTGGTGATAAAAGAACTTCTCCAAATATTTTCCCAAAAAAACCTATCGTTGCAACCTGCATCGTCTGATCAACTCTACTCGGAACGCCAAAAGGGAATCTGCAGTCTGGAAGAAGCTCGTTGCATTCAAGCACAAGGTACCTGGTACGGATCCGTGCATCCCTGGTCACTTCATATGAGACGTGACGGAGTGTGTTTTGTTAGTTCCTTGGGGAGCAAGCCCACTCAAGAGTGACTAAGTGCGCGCCACCAAACCCTCGAAGGGGCTAACAAAAGAAACCCTGGCGCACTGTAGCACTGTGTCTAGGGATGAACCAAATTGTACTTGATACGGCCTAATCTGAGGTTTTCAATTTCTTCCGCGGTTGTTGGCCATCATACTGGATTAGTTTTGCATCGTGGACCCAGGTTTTAAAAACATGAGAGCAATTGAAGGAACCATTGCGAATGTCAATTAAGGCCAAAAGTTAAAGTTGTTCTGTTTGTTGCCCGAGCAATCACAACAGACTGCCTTGCGGTCATGCCCCCCTGCCTGCCCCGCGCAGCGCCTGCGAATCATACTTCCTTGTTGCTTGGGTGAAGTGGCGAAGCTCTTCTCACTGGGGACGAGTGACACGCAAGCTCACCTCACCCACATCATCATCAACCCGTCAAGGCCATCATCACCTCTGTACTGTAGGCCTCCTGCGGCCTATAATGAAGTCAAGTTTATCTCCTGTCATCTGAACCATCTTGTGCAGTAGTTCTAACCCATCTTCTGAATCCTTTACCCGCCAGGGTTTGTTAACATCTGTCGCTGGATGCCTGCCCTCTGCTCTCCTTTTTATGTTCCACTGCCCGTCTTTTGGGTCCCCTCTTGAGGATGCCGCCCATTAACCACGCCGCATTTGCCTCCGTCGGTATCGTCGCCGCATCGGTGGCCGTTGCTGCGGCAATAGCTCTTTATGAAAGCCCCGAAGTTCGTCGACTCGCAAATGACCTCCGGAGACGCATCGCGATTGCTCTTCATGCCTTAGGTGACAACGTCGACCCGGCACGGCGGGCTGGGCGGGAGCCTCGCTTCAACCGCCCGGAGGATGCCGAGGGTTTCTATCAGTCTTATGAAATGGATGCCGATGAAGAAACACGGAGGAGACAACGAGAGGAACTTCTGTATTGGAATGCTGTACGTGAGGAACAACGGCGGCGGGAGCGAGAAAGTGAAGAGCAGCAGCAGTCGCAGTCCCGCGGTTCGACCTTTGACGACTTCTTAGAGTTTGACTCGACAGGCGATCGCGGAACTCTGGTGTATAACAGCGGAGCGAATACCCGGCGTAACGGTTTGGACAGCGAGCTCAGACAGCGGCGTGGCAACACCAGCGAAGACATACGCGGCCTCCAGACCTCCGTCATTTCTAACCCCTTTAGTGACGAGTACGGTATAAACACGGAGGAACAAATCAAGTTGCTCTCGAGCTCTCAGGTTCAGCTACATGATGGCGCTGTGTCCGACATCTATGGTGCTACCCCTCGTATTCAGTCTCCTCGTTCCCAGGGCCCGGTTGCCGCTGCTTCTGAGATCCTTTTTGACTTCGAGTCTCACTCTGTCTCTTCCTCAGCACAAAGCGACTTTGCCACAGCTCTTGGAGATGTTGATGATCGGGAAAGCCAGGCATCAACTCTTCAGGATCTCCCTCCTCGGCCTAGGACTCCTATTCGTGATGTTTCCTCCACACCAACTGCTCACACTCCTTCCTCTAACACCGCAACCCTTACTGAAACTGTGTCAGTCACTCCTAGCACCACTAGCACCGCCACTCTTGAGTACGAGCTCGGCGAGGACGAGTACATGACTGCTGGCCAAGAGCTCGACGATGAGGCATATGCGGCTATCCAGGCATGGGCTCATGCTCATGCTCAAGCTCGCTCTCATACTGTGTCGTCGGCTCCATCAGAAATTTCAGCTGTGGTTGAGTCGGAGTCCGAGGCTGAGATCATCAGCGAGGGTCAGCTTACTCCCGTGGGGTCAGACTCAACCAGTGTGGTGGGCGAGTGGAGGAACGTTACTGCTGCCCCCAGCACTGACGGTGACGAGTATGTTGTGAGCGATCATGAATCAGAGGGTGGGGACGGTATTCCGACACCGGGGAGCTGGTCAGATGTGGGTAGTGTGGTGAGCGGAAGTGAAAGGGCATTCGGGAGATCATGACCCATCCTCGTCTGTTGTGAGTTTTGTAATTGAGACAGAAGGATATTTGAAGGATGACACCGTGGTGTCGCTCTTCAAATAGGCATCTATCTTTTTGAAGGTGTTTTTCCGGAGTTTGGCGTTTCAACTGGTTGTTTTTCTATCAGACACAAAGAGGGATCAGGAACGAGACGACTGATGGTTAGTTTAATGCGGACTTGCCAATGCACCCAGAATCAAGTAAAATGGACAGGAAACCACGTCAAGTTTGTGTAAAGGCGAGTTGTGTCAGCCGGTCATAGGTTCACTCCAATACTACACTGTTGACCTGGTCAAAGGTTCTTGATGTTGTTCACCACTGCCTCAACTGGTAGGTCTAAACAGTAACCTTGACACCGCATTCTTGACTTTTCACATAATCGTTGTATAGCTCCTCCACTGACTGGCCAAAAAGCTCCGTCCAAAACCGCTCAGCTTCGTAACTGTGCCGAAGCTTATCGTTGAGTCGACGGACAGTTCCCTCTCCGAAGCGCTCCTCGAGATATTGTAGAAAATATGCTGTGTGCTCGTAGCCCCTATCCCACTCTATGTTGCACAATGACAAGCAAATAATCGACCCATGTCAGTTTTGTCGCTCTTGTCCTCGAAAACAACCCAGTTAGAATTCAGGAATAGAAGAACACATACCTCCGTTGGGTTCCCTCGTCCAATGAGGTGGACTCAAGCCGCAATTCAAACGTACCCAGTCTGCGATGCCCTCAATCAATCCACCAGGACAGCTATTTTGGCCATCCCACTGATAGCAATGGACCACTTCGTGGGTAATGACACCGGCAATTTCGTCCTTCAGAAGGGATGTTGGGTAGATTGAGTTGATGTATTTGAGAGAGAAGTGAATCTCCTTGTGGTCATTGTCCAGCTCGGTCTAGAGTTTGAGATTGTGTGAGCACTCTGAGATCAAAACAGAAGCAAGGAAGGCCATCTTTTACCCCCCTGGTGTAGGCCACGCCATCCATATCGCGCAATATCAGCGTTATAGATCGCGTTGGAGGGACTTTCATCTCCTCCGACGGGGAACTGAATAATAGTCGCAATACATTGTCTACAGCGGCAGAGAGGATTGAAGGAGGGCTAACGGCAGCGAAAAACTTGGCTGCTCCTGGATGGTTGAGATCTCGAACTTCAAGTCGTAGCTTCGGCTTGTCAAATGCGCCCTTCAATCCGGTCATTGACCCAGAGCCAGAGCCTTGGCTGTTTTCTGGCCGGGCCTGCATTGGACTTTTAGATGGTGTAGGTGTCAAGGTGTTCGCATGATAATCTTCCGGTTTTGCAACGAAAAGACTCGGGTGTTGACTGGTTAGATTGCTCCTCAAAGTCATACCTAAACACGCGCAAGCTCGATGACTAGAATAGTGGGACTATGAGAAGAGCCCCTCGCTGCAGTGCACTCAATTTTCTAGCTCTATGACCCTAGGCACCTAGAGAGGTAGGTCTGTAAAGAAACAAGAGGGTCTAGGGTCTGGATGTTGCTATGAACAAAAGAATGGCTGGGAAGAGCAAATGCGAAGGAGCTTGATGAAGGGGGGTTACGCTTGTCCTTGTCCTGAAAGCACCGCTGCCTGCTTTCTCCTGCTATCCTCATGAAGGCTATGGGGCTGGATAAGACAGCTGAACGTCTGTTGCTGTGTGGTATAACCTAGGCAGCATTCCATACACGTTAAAACGGAAGATCGACATTGAAAGCACGTGATAATGTCGTCCCACCTCTCAAAGGGGCTTTTTTTTGTTTCGGCAATGTTGAGATGAGGCACCCCTCTGGACCCGATGTCAAGGCGCGGGGTTAGGAAGAAGGCGATAAGATATTGTGGGGCAACTGATAAGAGCGGATGGGAGAGAGGGCTGAGGCCCAAGACCCACCCGTCCCCCCGCCGACCAGGGATCGACTGATCGGCAGCGCGTGCAGAAGACAAGCTGAACCCCCCAAGCGGAGTTGTTCTATAATCGCATCGTTATCAAGGGTAATTGCCTGGCCGTTCCGACTTCGACTCGCTGCTCTTAGGGGTCATTAATCGATCTGAAGGCTCCATTCTTCAAAATCCCGGTTTACGGAGGAAAAATCGGTCAGAGTCCTCGACCTTTGTTAGTCTTTTTCCCCACTCGACGGGACCCGCCAGGTCGTCTGCGCAACGTCACTGAGCGAGCTTTTGTGTTTTGTTTTCTTTCTTCCCTTTTCTGCAGCCGACCACACCACGACACCCACCCAAACCGCAACGACCACAACCACGAAGAAGACCACTCGCACTACGACCCGAGGTCGAAATCGCCTCGTGCATAGAGCACAGCCTATATTTTAGACGCGAATCGTCTTTGAAGGCCTCGGTCACGGTATATGGCGGAACGAATTACCGATGATCAGGTCGCGAGCCTGATCGCGATATTGCGCGCCGATGTCCCGGTTGATGCCAAAGTACAGCAGATCACCGCTGTCAAATCTAGTATCAAGCAACACACTGTGCCAGAATCATGCATCCTGCCACTCCTTGATGCTCTGCGTACAGCGTCGAGCTCTCAACATGGCGCTCTCGTCAATGTCGGCTTCACAGCTCTCAACCACTTATTCACACGTCTCACGCGACAGGACCCAAAGTTCTTGGCCAAGGAGGGCGCGCGGACTCTTCCGCTAGTTGTGGAGAAGTTGGGTGATCAGAAGGAGAAGATCAGACAGGTTGCCCTCCAGGCGCTCATTACCCTCTACAAGGTGGTCCCTGCCGAGGTCGAGCGCGCTGTTCGAAATACGGCAATGGTTGGAAAGAGCACTAGAGCAAAGGAGGCCAGTTTGCATTGGTTGCTCCAGGTACCTTATGAACATGGCCTCGCTATCGCTTGCCTGCGCTAATTTGAATTCAGATGCACCAAGAACATGGACTACAATTCCGCGCTTACGTTCCTAACTTAATGGAGCTCCTCGAAGATGCCGATTCTGGAGTGAGAGAGGTTGCGAAATCGACGGTCATTGAGCTATTTAGGTTTGTTTTTGGCACGAGATTCTCTATTTCTAAGCGGTATAGCTTACTAGAGAAAACAGGAACGCGCCCAATGCTGCGAAGTCCGATCTCAAGCGGCAACTGAAGAACTTCAAGGTGCGCCCGGCGATCGAGCAAGCAATCATCAAAGAGCTCAATCCCTCGTTCTCGGCGTCTGCGTCGCAACCGGATAACCTGGCCGAACCAGCGCCGCCCATGGTCACAAGCACCTCGTCTCACTCGACACGGCCTGTGACTCCCGGAGTCCCAGACAATGGCCCCGAGCCCGTTGAGCCGCTATATGTGAACACGTCCCGCGAGCTGGACGATATGCTTCGAGACATGCAGCTCTACTTCGAAGGCAAGGAAACGGAGCAGAACTGGATGAAGCGGGAAGAAAGCATCACCACTCTCCGAAGGATCCTTGCCGGCAACTCCCCTTCCGACTTCGGCGACCAGCTCCTCGCGGGCCTGCGCGCTCTTCTCGACGGTATCATCAAGGCCGTCACATCACTTCGGACAAGCCTTTCCAAAGAGGGCTGTAGCCTTGTCCAGGACATTGCAAGGGTGTACGGTCCAGGAATGGATCCTATGGTAGAGCTTCTAATGCAAACCTTCGTCAAGCTCACTGCGGCAACCAAGAAGATCAGCTCTCAGCTGGCCAACACAACTGTCGATATCATTATTTCCAAAGTCACATACAATTACCGCCTCGTGCAACACATCTCGTTTGCTTGCCAGGACAAGAATGCTCAGCCCCGGCTCTACGCTTGCGGCTGGCTGAAGACGTTGTTGAACAAGGAAGCACACCACAAGAATCATGTGGAGCATACAGGAGGGTTGGAAGTGATCGAGAAGTGCATTAAGAAAGGCCTCAGCGATGCCAACCCTGGTGTCAGAGAGAGGATGCGCGGAACTTATTGGACCTTTGCAGCCATATGGCCGGCGCGGGCAGAAGCCATCATGAACGGGCTTGACTCAACTGCACAGCGGTTGTTGCAAAATGACCCTAATAATCCGAACTCGCCAAAAAGGCTAGACGGGCCTGTCCGTCCTGGGATGGGCTTGTCGAAGAGCACTATGGGCTCTTCGAAATCGAATCTGAGGGAGACTATGCAGGCACAAAAACGTTCCATGGCAACGGTATCCAGTAAAGAGATCCCCAAAACCCGCCCTGGTTCTGCCATGTCGCGCTTCTCGCCCGTCCCAACCTTATCTAGTTCTCAAGCGATGGGGGCTACGCGTGTTAGGCCGGAGCCCAGTATTATGGCATCAACCGGTGGTTTGTCTGGCGCTCCAGTAAGACCTGTCAAGAGGAAACCCGAAGCTGTTCCCCGTCCAGCTACCGCCGGGCCTTACTCGGTTCGAGGCCATGATCAATCTTCAGTCGAACAACATAGCCCTCCAGATACCAGACAAAGGCCAGTCGCAGTTACACCAAAGCCAGTTCAGTCGCCTCCAGAACGGACGATCCATAAGTCGGTTCGTCCATTCCAGCTCCCGGAATCTGCCGAGGCACGCATACCAACACCAACAAGGCCAGGGACGCCAAAAGGGTTTACGTCCCCCAGGCTCTCCCCCTCTCGATCTCTCTCATCGATGGTTCCTCCGCCCGTTAGCGGGCAATCTAGAGCTCATGATGATCTTGCCATGGGTTTACCTGAGAACCCATCTGCTCCACAACCAGGAATCCCCCAAAGTCCTGGCGCAGGCGAACCGATGGCCCTGAGCCCGGCACCAGCAATTACGGCATCACGGATTCCGAGACCGTCTTCAACATCACCTACAAGCCCTCCAAGATCAGCTCATCGTTCTGCGCCACTCCAGCTTGGCTCCCCCCTGCGGTTCTCGGAACCCAGCTTGCCCTCACAACCCCGGTCACTGGAAGTGTATGAGGATCCGTTCACAGCAGAACGAGTGGCTTCACCAAAGCCTGCATTTCCCGTTCCTGTCCTAGAAGACAAACCAGTGAATCAAGATGCAGCTTTACTACAACAGGCCAGCCGGAGGCGCCAGGAAGGCGACGCAGATTGCGAGGAGCCTTCCTCTCCAGAGAAGACAAAGCTGAATTTACGTCTTCTCGACAGTGGGATCGCCAAAGTACAGCAGTTGGCTCTCGACGTCCACGGCTTCCGGAAACTCCAGGGCATCCTCCGGGAGAGCTGCAAGCCAACAACTACCACTCCTCGACTCCTTACTGACGACAAGTTCAATGCTCTTGTCACCGCTTTATTTTCCTTCCTCGAAGCTCCATTGCCATCACTTTCCCCAGAGAAGGCCTCAGACGTCAAGACCCAAGTTCTTGCGACCATCAAGCTGCTCCTCAAGCGCATGCGCCCTTCTTTCCAACCACACGTCTCTCGCGGTCTGGAAAGTCTTGTGCGAGTCCGTGCCTCGTACGATACACGCACCCACATTGTCAGCGGCCTCGAGCTTCTTGCGCAGGACCTTGCCGCTCTAGGAGATGCATCTGAAATTATTCTCGTCCTGTCGCGCTTATTGAGCGAACTGGATGTGGATGACCCTGTTGCGGGGAGGTCGCTAAGCATGGGGCTGCATGTGCTTGCGCAGATGATTGATGATCGACTCCGACAAGCGTCTACTGCAGCCCCTGACCACACATTTGTGCTGGCAGACCCAGAACTCGATGCGTTGGCCTCCTTGGCTGCCAAATGTCTAGACAGCATGGAATCCGCGGTACGGATGGATGCTGTGGCATTGTGCGTGGCGCTACATGCTGTAGTTGGAGATGCCAAGTTCTGGCAGGCTGTAAAGGGCGTGAGGGAAGATCCAAAGAGCTTAATCACGTACTATATCGTCAAGAGACAGAGGGAGATGGGTACGTTGGTTGGGTAGGAAGGCCTGGAAGGTGATTTATTCCATCTATGTTGTGTTTGAAGTTGGCGTACCTTCTTCCTCATCCCTTCTATTCCTTTTCTTTCCCATTCCGTTCGTTGTTCTACGTTGAGAACCGTAGGAGTTGCTTTTCAGATACATTGATTCGTTACTCTCGGAGTTGTGAATAGGAAAAGGGGCTGGTTAGTAGGAACGTGGAGTGCTTAGGGCCTACTTGTAATTGAGATTGTTTTCATCATTCGTGTGGGCTGTCAAGGTTGGCTCCTGGCAGGTTCCGTTCATCACTCAGATATCTGGCTTTTTAATGTACATAAATAATGATGTGACCAAGCAACCCCTTCGCTGTTCATAATGCTTGACATGGTTGCTATTCAATTGCTCTTGGAGCATTCGTCATCATTTTGCACCATCATCCGATCCGGTCGTCTACAACACGGCGATTTACGTCAGGGTCCAGTCGGTCATTTCTTCTCTCCCACACCTCGATCTTTCACTCCCTCTTTGAGACATCCGAGGTCTTATTCGCCAGGGCCCAGGCTTCCGCTCTTACATTCTTCGGCTGTCAGCCGATACAGTTGTCAACGTAAGTACACTAAGGATCAGCAAATCCTCCTGGCCGCTTTTGCTAGGGGCATCATGATCTGTATATTTTCGCATTTCGAGGAGACATGGCATAGCCGAGAGTATCTGGGAACCACTACACAGAAAGTCTAGTTCTGCATGGACTGTGCCTCCTCCTCCATAATCTTCATAAAACGGACACACTGGGTGATCTCTTCATTGCTTGCTTTAGAACATTATAACCCACAACTTAGGTAGGCAAGCTAGCACCGTCGATATAGGCAATAATTATTAGGGAGCTTGAAAACAACTCTGCAATCAGATGAGTGGGTATCGAGGAAAATCTTCTGCCGTCATTTGTCCAGAGGTCCAATGCAAGATGAGAGAGCCACATTTACAGTGTTTCCCAGATGTGTGGTTCCAATAAGTCCTGTCAGTGTTAAGTGTGAATGCATTATGCAAGCTCTGGAACACGTCTAGAACCTCAGGAGATGCGATCATCAAAACAACAGTTCTCTGGGTGACGAAGTTTGTTCTGCACATGCATTCGGCACAAGGTACTGGGTATCCGTTCGGCTCATGAGGCTGGTCGGGTTACACGGACCCAGAGAGAGGCTCTTTTCCGGTGGCGGTTCACCACGGTGGATCGTTTGGCTGACTGCTTGGGAACGGCAGGACAAGGGACTTTGCATGAAACGCCAAGCCACGGAAGTTTAGCGGCACAATGCTTGCCGTTCAAGAGCACCCGCATTGTTGATGGCTCGTGGGGACATCTTCCGTGATGCTGGTCTGCCTGGACAGGTAGATTGACACGTACGGATTTTTTTTGAAGGCATCTACTCACCGAAGGAAGGAACCTGGACAGTCGGATGGTCTTGGAGTACTATAAAGAGAAAGATCATGGGCAAGTCATCTTGCTCTGTGGCCACTGCACGCTGTACGTATCTGTCTTCATATCTAAAACTCAGAGCACGAACCTGCAATTTCTCGGAATTGAAGCCGGCCTGAGTGTAACATTGGGGGTTCAGCACCTCATTATGACCTTCCAATGTTATGTTTTGACAGGGAACGGCAGCTCTAAATGGATCGGAGAATCATGTCCGTTAGTGTAACTGGGTAGATTTCTCGTCTAGCAGAGGAAAAGTGAAGTGGCAAGGTTATATATGAACTTGAGAAAGTCACCGGTGGGCGAAGAGAAAGAAACGTGACAGACATTTGGCTTGATCAAGCCCTCCCAAGTGCTACTACTATGATATCAGCAGCGTTAAATTCTTTTCAGGGCACGCCTTTATATGACAGTATGCATGAACCTCCGTAGAGACTCTTTGTTTTCTACTAGCATCCGTATTTTTCCTACTCGCATTTACTGAGGATAAAGCGGCATCTTTGTTAAAAGGATTATTGGTAGAACCAACAGGCAATTTCTTAAACCGGGTCATTGTCTCTAATTGCCTAAAATGCTGTCTACAATGAGGTACGTAGGCTGCAAAACCTCGGACACACAGAGTTCGAGCAATTGGTTGCAGCTGTTTCTGCTGCTCCTGCTACTGTGAAGTATGCATCACTAGGTAAGCAAGGACAAGGCCAGCATTCCAGAGAGTCGCAACGGTGTTGGATCAGCTGGCAAACTAGTTTTATTTTTTGGCCTTTCTCAGATTGTCTCACATTTACAAACTTGAGGACGTAAGACTGTGAGCAGCCAATACCTACGTCGTACAGCGGTTTACCCTAGGTGGTGTAGCACGCAGGACCAGCAAATACAAAACATACAGGGATACGGATAGAAGATCCAGAGGAAAAAGCAGAACAAGGTTCAATTACATAGTATGGAATTTGGAGAGGAGAAACAGGCCATCGCGATAGAGAGCCCGGCACTAGAGAAATTGTCTCACGGTATCAACATAGGCGAATCCCACCCTCACTATCGGGCCGCGGCCGATAGCAGCGGGAGGGAAAAAGAATGGACGAAGGCCGACGACAGTTGTCGAAACCGTTGTATACTTATGAACCTGTTGCAGATCGTACACTGCTCACCTACATGCAATGAATGACTGGGGCAAGAGGGATTCAGCATACCGGTTATCTTAACAGTAGTATCGGAAACATAGAGGGTCGGCTACCTCTAGTGCTGGTGCTTAAAGAATGGTGGGTTTCTAAGAAATGGAAAAAATCTACTTCTTACTGGAAGTGTGGCTTATTGGACGCCACAGCACATACTTACCCCAGGTGCCTTTCCGTAGAAGTTCAAAAGATTCCGGGTCTTTACTGTTCGCATAAGGTCGCCTGACGCGGCGATGGATAGGGTGACCAGATCCCGGTCATGATGGATCCTTTGACCTGTGCGCCCGCACGGCAGCCGGTCGTCGACGCGTCCCGCCAACCCTTGTGGTCTACCCCTGACCGCAGCCTGAACCCCTGGCTGGGCTTGGCTCTGGCTCGCCCAGCAGCGGAGGAGAGAATGCGAGGGCAGCCAGCCGAATTGGGCACAGGAAACAGCGTTGCCAGCACCCGCCAAAGGCGCGACCAACCTGGGATCTAACAGCGCACCGCGGTCTGCTCTTCACCTCCGACCCTGGGTAATCATCTGAACCCCGTGTCAAGATCCATCAGCCAGCATTGGACTTTGTTGCTTGCTCGGTCGCATATTTTCGTCCATTTAAACTCTACATTCTTGCGCTGCGTGGACCTTCCCAGACTCCTCGCCTTGGGCACTTCATTCAACCACTGGTCCTCATTGTTCCAGGTCCTTAGTAGTCTCGTCATCCTTCATTCCCCGCCTCCTTCGATCCCGCGCTGCGCCTCGAGCTGGGCCTGGACCAAACGCTCAACTCACGCTCCGCCCCTCGTTTCCTACTCTCTGCTTTCTTTCGCCTTTGCCCAGGGCTACAAAGTGCTTACCTTAGGTAGATGAGAGACGCCAAGCTGCCCCAGTTACGACGCTGGTCTTCGTTTCTTTCAGCTCGGTGCATTTCTCAAGACAAGGACAACACGAGCTAATCCCGCCCTCTTTGGCAGTCCGTTGAGGCACGTCGGGCAGCTAGCTGACTCTTAGCCAACCCAGCGCTCGAGACTCTACCCTGATCATCGCGACATCTGCACACGGCTCGATCTTGTTGGCACCTCTCGACAAGCAAGGGTCGCTTACCATCCTGGAACCGGAGATCGGTTGCTTGGCTTCTTTCTACCCGACAACCGAGGTGATAACCATTTAGCCAATCTGTCAGGCTTTCGAGGATTTCCTTGGCTGAGGTCGACCAGTTGACGCGATCTTCCCGATTGCCACCACCATGGATGAGTATCTGGACAATACCATGGAAGCAGAAGAAACCTACATTTGTAAAGGGTGTGGTGAGATTTTAGAGGAGGGAAAGGCATTTGAGCTGGGTATGTTCAACAGCATGCTTCTGAGCCACCCGCTCAAACTCACTTGATCATACGGCCCATAATCTGTGGCAAAAGCAGTATGCTAACCTCTCCTTTCCAGCTGGGAACCGATGGCATCTTGACTGCTTTCGTTGTAACAGCTGCCGGACCCTGCTCGACTCTGACGCGAACCTGCTCCTCCTTGGCGATGGCTCCCTCATTTGCAATAACTGCACGTACAGCTGCAGCGCTTGCGGCAACAAAATTGAAGACCTCGCGATCCTTACGGGAGATCAGGCCTATTGCGAGCCATGCTTTCGTTGTCGGAACTGCAAGAGGAAGATCGAGAACCTGCGCTATGCAAGAACGTCGCACGGTAACCTTTGCATGAGCTGTCATGAGTCGCTCATGGCCCGGCGGCAGAAGAAGTTGAAGGCTGCCCAGGCGAAGCGAGAAAAAGAGGCGTCGCCTCTCCTTACCGACAAATCGCTGCCAGCCCTGCCCCCAAATGCTGTTCCGCCGAGCGGGTATGCGAAAGATCATCTCCTGTCCGATTCTGACAGGCCGACGGAGCTGTCGCCTCCTCCCCGTGCCGCATATGGACGGACGGACGCCACACCCCGGAGTGGCTCAAGACCGGATCGCTCTCCCGATCGAACGCACGAAGCGCATAACGACTCTTCGCTCGCTCCATCGACCTCGAATTACAGGCACAATCGCAACTCGGCCATATTTGCGATTGACCAAAGCAATGGCGATTCGGAGGGTTATTACATTCCTGTAGCTCTCGATCCCAATCCTGCACCGTCTATAACGCCAACGGCCCAGTCGATGTCGGAGGCATTTGCCGAGTCTAGCAAGAGGAACCGAGACAGGGACTACTATAGCGCCCAAAAGCTATCACCGGCTCCTGAGAGGAGAGCTGATGCCCCAGTAACCACACCCCATATTGCGTTCCAGGAGAAAGGTAGACAGCCAACCCAAGATTTTGAAGCTCCTCGGCACGATAAGCCACAGAGAAGGCTCTCCAAGAGAGGTGGAAATCCTAATGCTCCCTCTGATGACAAGAAGACCGCTGTTTCGAAGACTCAATACAGCGACGACTTCAAGTTGCAGGAGGCCCCCATGGGCAAGAAACCGGCTGACTCAACGCCCACGAAGGCACCGGCTCCCCCGCCACATGGGCCGGCGGATAAGATTCCCCCTCCAAGGCCTTCACAGGATCGCTGGAAGGATGAGAGATCCGAACCCTCTCAATCCCGCCCAGGTCTACCCGAGAGCAAGTTGAGTGACACTTATATGCAGCCCAGGCCAGCACCTCAACCACCTACTCAGGCTGCTAGCAAGGAAGGGGCAGTTTATGCCAGCGATTCATCAGAGCCCAAACTGCCACGTTGGAGTTCTGGCGGTGACTTGAACCTGGAGGAAGATATGGCGCGGATATTGGGCACGGATGAAAGTTCCTCCTCAATTTTGCGCAGAGTGTCGAATGCTGTCCGTCATGGACGTGCCAACAGTGATGCATCGAACCATGTTCGCCTTGGCCATAGCCGGAGTGTCAGTGAGACCACGAGAGGCACGTCATCCCCTCGTTGGCCCAAGACGCCTATGGCTGAAGATCCCATGAACGCAAGCCAAGTTCCAGACGTTACCAGCCCTATCTCACTCTCCGGTTCCGCGCAGGACGACCCCGCATTCCTGAAGCGGCAGTTGAGGAACTCGGAACAGCGGGTTGCTGAGCTTGAACGCCAGTTCAACTCAGAGAAGGATCTCAAGAATCTAACTAGGAAGGTTAACGAGAAGAGAAAGACTGTCTCTGACCTGAACGCCCAGACGGAGATCATGATTCGGCAGCTTGAAGTCCTTGCTGGTTATGTGGAGCGGGCGAAGAAGACTGGCGAACCCCTAGATCCTCGAGAGCTGGAAGAATCTGCGATCAAGGAGTTTGTTCAGAAGCTTGAAGACGTGAAGCAGAAGTTCCAGATTTCTATCGAGAAACTGATCCGCGAGCGGGACGAACTAATCGAGCAGAGAGACCAAGCGATTGCTGAGAGGGATCGCGCCTTGATGGAATTCGAGCAGCTGTCCTCGAAGAACGCACAGTTGGCAGACATGAATAATGACCTGACTCATCAAATTCAGGAGAGGATCAAGCAGCAGGCCAACTCCGCGAATGGCCTGGGCATTTATGGCCATGCCAAGGGTGTCTCTACCGCTTCGGTTAATGTAGATTCGGCAGGTCTGCAAACTGGCTCTACATTTATCGGTGCGGATGGGGAGGAGGTCGTTGAAGGGGCCACTGCCGTCAACGTCCGCAAGGGCCAGGCCAAGAAGTTTAACTGGAAGAAAGGTTCTAGCAAAGTTGCCCAAAACATTTCCAAGGGCATCAACCGTGCTGCGGGCGCCTTCCAGCAACAAGACCAAAATCGCTCTCAAACACATCCACAGCTCAACAATGACAACATTGGCTTACCGTATAACATGACGGTTGCCCAGGTTGATTCCCCGGTCACGACAGCTCCTCCGCCCCCCAACCGATCCAATGATTCTGGAAGGCAAGGTTTTGGTTTCTTCAGCAAGAAACAAAACGTTCCGAAGTCGACGTCCACCAACAACGTGACACCAAATGAGAAGCTTGCCCCTCCCCCTGTCGTTGCCGAGGCGCCCAGCACACTGTTTGGGTCTGATCTCGTTGAGCGGGCTGATTGGGAGAAGAGGCAGATTCCAAGCGTTGTCACTCGCTGTATCGAGGAGGTGGAGCTTCGTGGCATGGATGTTGAGGGCATCTACCGCAAGACTGGCGGCAATTCTCTTGTTAAGATGATCCAGGAAGGCTTTGACAAATCGTTGGATTTTGACATTTCAGACCCGTCTCTTGATATCACGGCCGTGACGAGCGTTTTGAAGCAGTATTTCCGAAAGCTTCCAAATCCTCTACTTACGTTCGATGTCTACGATCGCGTTCTGGAGTCTAACTGTAAGTTCTCGTTACTTATCATTGGCGATAGTACATTGGTGCTGACAGCGATTCTAGCCATCCAAGACGAGGCTGAGCGCTGCGCTCACCTGCGCGAAACGATCAACATGCTTCCACAGAAGCACCGCGATACCCTTGAGTTCCTCATGTTCCATCTTGCCCGTGTGGCCAGCCGTGAAAATGAAAACTTGGTACGTAGCATGCATGAATGTTGCAACTTGAGGATCGACATGCTAATTCACTGTAGATGTCGCCCAAAAATCTCGCTGTGGTGTTTGCGCCTACCATCATGCGCGATCACAGTCTCGAGAGGGAGATGACAGATATGCATGCCAAGAACTTAGCTGTGCAATTCTTGATCGAGCATAGCCACATCATCTTTGGAGAGGCATGATTTAGTTGCTTTTGCCGAGTTTCGTACAGTGCCCGAGGGGTGGGGGGTTCGAGGAACGTTTTTGCAATAGGAGGAATGGTGTTGGAGTATGAGGCTCATTGTTTCGGTTTTGTTTTAGCTTCTGCCATTGTGTGGTAGTGGTTTGGTGTTCGGTTGTCCGGCTTTGGAGGTTTCTCTTCGTCACAATCGGCACCTGTATATAGCGTTGCTTTGTGGAACATTTGCTTCCTGGCTTTTTTTCGTTCTTGAAGAACGGGACTGGTGGGCGAGGAGTACGAAGGACGGTGTGATGTTTGGGTCAACGGATGCTTCATGACTACATTTGTCTTGCCTTATCCCTCCTTACGTTATATATTTTTTTGTTGATTAAACTTCAATGGAACTGAGGTAGGAAGATTTGAGATCTTGACTTCAGGAGTTAAGTAGTCTTTATCGCTGGGCAAGTGTAATGACAGGAAGTTCCGTAGGCGTTGGAGTCTTGAGATCCTCCAGCAGCTATCATATGGCCTACCACATCAACACGGCCCATCTGTGATGAGGTAGGGGTTTCAAGATTACGAATTGTTTAGGACTTGCTGAGCGATACGTTCCCTGACCAACAACAATCTCACGGTTCATAATATTCGCCAGCCATGTACATTATGGGTATCTGAAAGGAATCAAGGAACATGCAACACCAACCGAACACTCTTTGGACACACACTATACCACCGGCGTCTCAATCTTGGAAGCTAGTCCATGAAAAGACGAAACTTATTCTTTCCCCATCAACTTTTTAACCTTCTCCAGCAGCACTGCGCTCTCTCTTCCAAGCTTCCTTTTCCCGTCTTTCCCAGGCTGCCGGGCCTTAGCCATCATCTTGCGGAGCCGCTCGCGCTCGGCAATGCGTTTTTGTTTCTCCTCCTCACGCCGCTTTTTCTCCGCTGCGCGCTCCTCAGCTTCCTTCTTTGCCTTCTCGGCCTCCGCTAGCTCCTTGCTGAAATAGTCTGGCCTCCTCTTCTTCTTGGGACGCCGGTCATTAGGGCCGTCTTGTTTTCCCTCTTCTTGCTTGTCTTTTCCCGTAGTCTCTTTCGACTTATCCCCATTTTCTGGACGGAAAGATGCGGCGCTTGCAGCTTCTAGCATAGCTTGGCGTTCTGGGTGCATTTGCGGAGTATTATCGGAGGGTTGTTGATCGGCCGTTTGGGACTTGAATGACTCGGGCTGGGTGGGATCAGCAGGAATCGGGAATGGATTGGCAGGCGCGTTCTTTTGGTATTCGGCCTTGACTTTGGCATATTCCTTTTTGACCTTGGCCTTTGTAATGAGTTCTTTTTTGATCTTTGTCACTGGAAAACGCATACATTAGAAAGACGCTCTCAAGAAAAAAGAGAAGCAACGACACTGATGTACCTTTCCGGCGCCAAGGACCGTCAGGAAGGTTCTCGGGGCCAACACGGAAGCCATGCTTCGCCTTTTTTGATGTCCTAGCATTATCTGCTGAATGTGATGCACCGGCATCAGAAGATTCATCCTCTTCACGAGCTCGTTTGGCAGCCATTATGATGTGTGACCCCGCTTGGCAGTAGTGTTGTCGCAAAGACAAAGTTGGCGATGTAGGTCTCCCAGAAAAAAGCATGCGATAAGATAAGGAGTTTGGCTGGGATCTCGAGCTCTTCCCAACTAATGCCGCCCACTTGGCATAACCTCTAGGGTGGAGCACTGCATGCATTAGGTGTCCGTGCTTTTTCGAGTGCATACTGTACAGATAACTGCTGGTTACCTACCTACTCCGTACAGTTCAGCAAACCTAACGGGACTGTGTTCAAAGATGTGCTTGGTAAAGCCATGTCCGGGGCCTTTGCTGTGAAAAGAATAACATGATCAAAGTATGTGCAATGAGCCAGCAGTGGCTGTACTAAGCCGGATCCGAGCCTTTCTCCTTGTTGATTATTGACTACTTAAGCAGGAAAACGCCAACTCTCCTACTGCTCCTGATACCAGCAGACAGATCGTTTTGTTCAGACAGTGTCTGGTCAAGGGCTGTTTTTGGGTGGTCATACTGTACGGAATGTCTGACGCAAGGGCCTGGTTCAAAGCAAGGTATTTGGCTTCTATTATCAATCAGTCGGGTGAGCCATCGTTAAGTGCAATCCCAAACTGCGACCACGCTGTGTCCATCTCCCCATATAAAAAGGCAGGATGCCAATGGCTGTTGATATAGGGATTGCCTAGCAGAAGAGTACTACCAGGACATCAACGCTCAGTCCAACACTACATCTGACACTCATTTTCGGAACGTCATCGGGGCGGTTGTCATTTGTCATCTTGATGAAAGAGACTGGACGTGGACATCAGTAGGTGTGACCGCGCCCACCGTCACTCTTGCTGGCAGTCAGAGCCCCCCTGAACCACTCCGCCACCTAGACTGAAAGTGCCTGCGGTATCCTTAAGCTTGTGGAGGCCGTGTTATTATAAGGGCCCTTTGGGTGCTTGCTTGGGTTCTCGACAATATCCGGCGGAATCCAAGACCCGAGACCCCAAGTAACAGGCATCAATCAAGCCTTGAGTGATGATGGTATTGTGTGCCCGAATCCAGCGGCTGCCAATACCATCCCCCCTCTTGTTCATTGTTACTCATCTCACCGAACCAACAAGACTGAATTTACCTTCTGCGATCCTGTTTACAAGCCTTGAGCTCCCAAGCCGGACTGATCTGACTCTGACAGCGGCGGCCCCGTTGGCAGCTTTGTACACACATCCCTATAATTCATAGAACGCGCCCAAGCCTCGAAACCTTTCGATCGCAAACATGGGGAAATGTCTCGGTCGTCGTCCTTCTGAGGAAGACATTTGTGCTAAATTTTGTGAGGGTTCTGATCCTGATGGCCTTGCTGGACCAACCACACCTCCCCGACTCCAAAATGCAGTTACAGACCGGGCCGAGCTCATCGAACGCCTAAAGAGGGGTGAAAGCCCAACATGGATACCAAGCCGTCACGTATGTTTTTACTTCATTTCTCCCTTGGTCAGGACTTAGTTCTCTGGACTAACTGAGGAGAGTAGCTTGGGTCACTCCTTCAATCTGAGAAAGGCTCCGAGCCGCCCCAAACGCCCAATCAATCCCGCCCGGCCTCAACTGGCTTGCTTCCTGCTGCAACCATCACTCCCGAGAGACAAGATCAAAGAAATCAACTGAGCATCGACGATCTGCAACAAGCTGGGCTTGGTATAGAACGCCCACGTTCCGCGCTCCATGCGGGCAACTTCACTCCCCAAGAGCACTCTCCCATCTCCAGCATGGTTTCCAAGACTGTTAAACCGAAGAGCCCTTTCCAATCCTTTGATCCTTCATGGGTCGGCACTTCACCACCTAGAGATACCCTCCATTTCGATTTTACCGAAGGCTTTCGCAGTTACAGAAGAGAAGCGTTCCACTCACCTTGCCACTCTCCGTTGAGCTCTTCGCTCTCGCCAAATTTCTTATACATGCCGCCAACAAGTCCCTTGGCACGGTCTCAGAGTAATGATGATGTTGACCTGAGTTCACCCTTCAACAGCATCAACATACAAAACAGTCCTTGCAGCACACGTCGTCATACATTAAAACATACCCAATCCTCCTTTGTCAACCTTTCGAGCAGTGTTCAGACCCTAATTCTTCGAGAGAGGACGTTCCCATACCAAGCTCATCAGCCTCGACGCTCGCTCAACTCGACGCCCGTGTTTTCGTCCTCAGGTTCTGACTTCCAAACACCGTCGTTTTCTCATCTCCGAAGACCATCCCTCAGTCCAGAACACTCACCCTTGCAGCATGCTTCCATGGTGGGTTCGTTTGAAGAAAGCATTCTTCGAGGTCGCATGTCAACATCTCCGTCCAAGCCCATAGAGTTCCTAGCCCAAATTGGTGTTTTGGGCTTAGGAAAATGCAAACAGAGTTTACGCTGCCCACCTCATGTAACGCTACCTTTCTCAGCTGTTTTTTACAGTTACGGTGGGACTTCTTCAAGCAGCAGTAAAGTTGATGAAGGCCCAAGTCCGTACGTAGGACAGATAGACTTGGAGAATGGGCTGCCAAACCCAGACGAGGAGCAGAGGCTCAAGAGAAAACTACAGTCCAGGATACAGGATCGCAAAGGCCTTGCCAGTGATGAGGCACAAGTAAACGACAGCCAAGCTGAAGCGTCTGAAGTCGATATCTCGTCCAAACCTAAAATCAAGAGGCGTTCACGATCCCCGAAGGCACCTCCTGGGGGCTGTTACCGCATACCAGAGAAGGGGCAGCTCCAAATAGTCATAAAAAACCAGAACAAGACCGCAGTCAAGCTCTTCCTCGTGCCATATGACCTCACAGGAATGGAACCTGGCACAAAAACCTTCATCCGCCAGCGGAGCTACTCCGCTGGTCCTATCCTCGACCCAGACATGCCCGAGAGCGCCAAAAACGCAGCGACGGCGGCGGCCGTGGAGCGTCCAACCCTCCGTTACCTTATCCACTTACACATATGCTGCACCTCCAGGGGCCGATTTTACCTCTACAAGTCCATACGTGTCGTATTTGCCAACCGTGTGCCCGATGGCAAGGAGAAGCTACGTAATGAGCTCACTTACCCAGATCCGCGGTTTACCCCTTACAAGCCCATGCGGGTGATGCACCCTCCTTCGAACATGGCCTCCAGTAACCAGATTCACGACAATTCATCGTTTGGGTCAGAACAAACCCTACGTCACCACAGCGTCGGCAATCTACATACAACATTAGTCCATCCCGCGCTACACCGTCATCCCCTTCACAATCATCTCCACCATCACCATCACCACGTGCATCATCAGCAGCGGGAACAGAAACAAGACCAAGATAGCCCATCCCTAACAAGTCTAAGTTCGGGGGAAGGCTCTTTCCCAATCATGGACCCCTTTGTTCGAACTACAACCGCCATCAAACCCTCCAACAGCGGCGGCAATGTCATGGGGAACGAAGGTCTTCTTTCTCAGCAACTACGCGAGTTCAGCGCATTGCGACAGCAGCAGCAGCAGCAGCAGCAGCAACAGCAACAGCAACACCACGGAGAACAACAGCAGTCGAACTCACCATCATTGCGATAACACGAACACAGTAGTTCCAGGTTGAGACCAGTGTGCCAGATCAGAATACAACATCATGGGTACCAAGGAACTACCAATCGACATGGTTCTTCAAAACTTTAGAATTGTTACTGCCACCCTGTGCTGATCTTGAGTTGTGCAAAGTGTCAGACGAAACAGATCCGGCATAACTCTACAAAGAAACAGACGAAAAGTTGGCGAAGAAGCCTACTAGGTAGTACGTAGTATATATATATAATCACTTGATTCGATCTTGAGCCATTTCGGTCGGCAACTTTGGTCAAACTTCACGAGCTTCATTGATACCTTTCTACCTTTTGCTACCAAACAGGGGGTGCATGATCTGGCTGTATGATCCGAGTCCAATAACACTCTATAGATTTGGTTATGGAACTCCGCTGTGCCGCCTGCTTGCCTCTGTTATTTCGTCGACCCAACAATCCTACAAACCTCGAGGAAACTAGGCCAAACGAAGTGGCGCTTAAGTTCCCGAGGGCTCGATTCAGCAGGTTACCCGGAAACCACCAAACAGCGTTTAGAGCTTGTCGTAGTACTGGATTACTTGTTAGCATTTTACCGAACCCAGAGGGATAGGGGTCATCGTCACTTACGTTCTCGTAGCCCGGGACCTCCACCTTGAGACCCTTGCGCTTGCGCATCTCCTGGACAACTTGGCCAACCTTGGTAGTAGGATCCAGAGGAGAACCACCAGGAAGAACCTGCCAGTGATCGAAGACAGACTGAGGGAAGGCCTGACCAGAAGTAGCAGCACGCAGATCGCCATTGAAGCCGAAAGACTCCATGACGGGCAGATAGGCCTTGATGTTGAAGAGAGGAGTGCCTGGGCGCTGCTCCTCGCTGAAGACGTGACCTCTCCTGCGGGTGAGGACGCCGTAGACGCCGCCCATGGCGCTCTCGGGAACCTGAATCTCGACAAGGAAGATGGGCTCGAGGAGAGCAGGCTCGGCCAAGAGAGTTGCGGCGTACAGCACACGACGAGCAGTGGGAATAATCTGGCCACCACCACGGTGGATGGCATCAGCGTGCAGAGTAACATCAAGGATGTTGAAGCGGATGGAGCGCATCGGCTCCTCACCAAGGGGACCCTCGCGAGTGGCCCACTGGAAACCGGAGACAACAGAATCCTTGATTTCCTGCAGGTACTGGACGGCCTTGGTCTGGTCGACCAGCAGGTTGGCGCCAGTGGTATCGGGACCGAAAGCCCAAATCTTGCGGGCATCGGTGACATCCCAGCCGAAGTCGTCAGCGAGGACACGGGCGCGGGCCTTGAAATCGTCCCGAGGCGAGATGCGTCCAGCCTCGATCTCCTTGCAGAGCTCCTCATCAAGAGGCTCAGCAACCATGTACAAACGGTTGTGCTTGTTAGGAGACTTGGACAGGGCAGTCATGCTCGACTTGGAAGTGACAGTCTCACGGTACTGGACGACAGGGTCCGAAATGTTGAGAGGAACACCGGCGTGGTCCTCCTCGAGATCCTTCAGGCAAATCTCAAGGTGAAGCTCACCAGCGCCAGCAACGACGTGCTCGCCAGACTCAGAGGTGTAGCACAGGACGCAAGGATCCGACTTGGACAGACGCTTGAGACCTTCGACAAGCTTGGGAAGATCGGCAGCGTTCTTGACCTGGACAGAGCGGCGCACGACGGGCGAGACAGAGAACTTCATGACCTTGAGGTTGTGGGCCGTCTCGCTGGTGGTGAGGGTACCAGACTTGAGCAGGAACTGGTCAATGCCGACCAGACCAACGATGTTGCCGGCGGGCAGGTCATCAATGGGTTCAACCTTGGCGCCCATCATCAGGACGGTACGCTGGATAGCCTTGATGAAGAGATCGTCTTTCTTGCCAGGGGTGTAGTTGGGACCCTGGATGCGGACCTTGAGACCGGAGCGGACGGTACCGGAGAAGACACGGCCGAAAGCATAGAAGCGACCCTTATCGGAGGTCGGCACCATCTTGGAGACATACAACATCAGAGGGCCGTTAGGGTTGCAGTCACGGATACTGATGGCAGCCTCATCGTCCAGAGGACCCTCGTAGAGGGTCTCGACACGATACTTTTGGGCCGTGACGGGCGACGGGAGGTGCAGGATCATCATTTCCAGCAGGCAGTCAGCAGCCGGCAGGAAAGTACGCATGACGGCCTTCAGAAGTTGCTTGCCCTCCTTGTCGCGGTCCTCAGCGGGAAGCTTGAGGTTCAGCTTATCAAGGAGTGTGTTGACCTCATCCTTCTTGAAGTTCATGACAGCATTGAAGATCCTGAAGATGGGGTCGAGGATGAACTGGCAGAAGGCACGTTCAAGTTGGGTGCCGTCAGCAGCAGTCGGGCTCTTGGTCCACTTCTTGGTCTTGGGGTTGAAGTAGTTGTCGCCCTGTGTCTAGTTAGCAAGGCATCTCGCATCGCGTCTGGCAAGCGCAAGAAACCTACCCAGAGACGCTCCATCATCTTGTTGCGGTCAACACCGAACTTCTTAGCGTAGCGGGTGGCGAACTGGCGGATAGTGAAAGCCCAGCCGTGGAGACCAGAGCCGAAAGCGACGGTACCCTTTTCGGGGTAGACCTGAACGTCGCCAAGGGCCTTGTCAAGATAGGTAGAGATGATGACGTTGACCGACTCGATGGTGCGGGAGAAGGACTGGTAAAGGTCCTCCTTGGTGACCTGAAGCTCGAGCAGAGCACGGTCAACCTTGTTAATGATAACAACAGGCTTGATGCGCTCAGCAAGGGCCTGGCGAAGCACAGTCTCAGTCTGGACGCAGACACCCTCGACAGTGTCGACGACGACGAGGGCACCATCAGTGACACGAAGAGCAGCAGTGACCTCGGACGAGAAGTCGACGTGGCCGGGGGAGTCAATGAGGTTGATCAGGAAGTCCTTGCCTGCGAAGAAATCAGCAATTGGCCAATTGGAGGGGAAAGGAAACTGAGGGGGGGAGGGGAGCTTTACCGTTGGACTCCTGGCCAACAATGTCCTTGAGATCCTCCTCATCGGGCAAGCTGCCGTAGAGGGAAATGGCAGTGGACTTAATAGTAATACCACGTTCTTGTTCATCGGCTCGCGTATCTGTCGCGCGAGCCTCACCAGCCTTACCGGTAGAAATGATACCGGCCTTAGCCAGAAGAGAGTCGGTCAGGGTGGACTTGCCGTGATCGACATGCGCAATGACGGACATGTTGCGCACGTTCGTGGGCTTGTCTGCATTCGACAGTCAGCACAAAAGCCAACGCCATCCTTCACATCATGGCAGACAACTTACCCATCAAGGCCCGAATCTCCTCAATCGTGAAGCTGTTGTCGAGACATTGTCAATACTGTTCTCACCGTCGTCATTGGCAGTCCTGTCCCTTATCTCCGGGCGGGGTAGAGCAAAAGCAGAAATGTCGCTGGATATGTGCAATGAGCACAGCAAGCGGCAGCGACAAACTGCTCTGCCCCAGTGAAGGAAATGACCAGTAGAAAATAACTTGCTGCACTTACTTGACCATTTTGGCGGTTTTGTTGGCGACAAACTGCTAAAATGGGTTTTGGTTTGGTGATGAGGGTTGGTGAAGAAATCTCCCGGAGAAGAGATTTTTTTTAACCCCAAGGGCAGGTGTTAAGGTTGGCGAACCCAAGAGTGATAACAGGGTCCCCGCAGGCCTACTCAGTGGATCAGCTATCAGCCCCAGACCGACAGCTGGAAACAAGAGGAGGCTGGTGAGAGGAAAGGCGACAAGGACAGTGGAATTTGTATGCCAGCTGCTCTTTGGCCCTTTATTTGCGGTTGTGAAGGAGAGGAAAACTGTTCAGGCAGCGGGGGGAATGACTTGAGGAGGGGTAAAACGACGAAATAGTGGGGCCGGTCAACATGATTTGCTGCCCCTCCATTGGCCCCTGCTACCTAGATTGTGCGTCGGCTGATGCAACTGGCCAGGACGAGGGCAAGCCCTGCCGTGCCTCTCGCTAATCCAAAACAACAAAGCAAACCCCGCGATCAACCAGAAATTTTTCAACGCACCTTTCAGGTTCTTGGTCAGCACAAGATGCAGAAAGTTGTAACCCACAAACGTGTGCGAATGATGCTACGCATCGATTGCACACAAAACTAGATGCCTATGACAGCAGCGATAGCTCGGGCTAACAGCTCTTGGTGCTTTAATATTATCCTTTAGCTCAAACGTCGTGACAAGAGCTCCGCAACACTCAGAAGCTTGGGACCCGCATCTGCTGCTGATGCAGGTTTAGTCGTCCCATGAATCCAATGCGCCGTGGCAAAACCGATGAGCAAAGCCGGCGTGGGATGGCCAGCTTTTGCCCCGGGGCCGAAAATCGTCCACTACTCTTGCATGCCATCTGACAACGAATCGATACCAGCTTACTTACACCTCGCCATTCATGGGTAGGGTTCCTGAGTAATCGACCTTTATTGCAGCTCCATGTGTCTCACAGCGCGACTGGCTCGAAGGAAGGCAGTACAAAAGTCATTGCCATACGGAGTCTATAGGCCGGGTTGCTGTATCTGGAAAGTAGGTAGGTACATACAGTGTGAAATCATGACTCTGTGCCGGAATGATACTGTGGCTCAGAGACCCCAAGGTCCCAAACAGATCGCTTTCTGTCATCGTCTTATTATCCTCAAATCAGGAGACAATCAAGCCAACAATCAACGACCCTAAGCGACTGGCCCAGACATTTCTAGGATTGATATCAATTACGGACAGGGCAGGTGATGTAAAGTTGTGCTTGGAACGTCTCGCAACATGGGACATTTTAAGCTAGGTACCTCGATGCACCACTGTCTAGACATCAGTCCTGGCCTATCCGAGCGCAGCAGAAACAAAAGTAAAGGGTATCTACAAAGTATCATCTGAGAAGCGCTCTGACATGCGGTTTTTGAAAGGGCAACCATTGAGACGCTACTACCTCCCCCAAACGTTTTCTTCCTTATCGACGACAAAGTGTGGGCTTGTCTGGCGCGAAGTCTCGTTCTCTATTTCTTGTCCCCATACTTGGAATCCTTCTTCACTTGGTCCGTCATGAACTGGAAGGGCAGTCTTCCAATGGTTGGCTCCAGGATCTTGAGGCCTGTGTAGGCCCTGCTCGGCATCGACATTAAAGTCGTCTGTGGTAATTTCAGGATGCGTACCAACAGTGGGGCCGTACGCAATTTCGAGGGGGTTCTTCCCCAGGGCATAGGAAGGGTTGGGAGATGATGTTTGTGAGATTGCTTTCTTCTTCCCTTTCTTATCCGTGACCCCAGCTTGGGGACCTTCTTGGACCTTTTTTTTCTGTCTCCCTAGGGGATCGTCAGACCTAACAGAGTGCGCCGAACTTGATGAAGAGCGGTTGTATACGCTTCCTGTGAGCGTATGCTGATACAGACTTGGATGAGGCGACATATATCGTTTACTGGCAGGCTCACTTGCCGTGATAACAGGATACTAAACGTGTAATGTTAGCGAAACCAAACAGGGTAGTGGGATTAAAAGAAGATTACTCCAGAGAATCTTACATTCCAATCTCCGTATTCCAGCTTCCGCGCACTCTCGTATAGCTGTTCTTCCTCGGGATCAAGAACAGGTTCCTCAAAGCTATTGGTATGTGGAGAGATGGATCCGTTTCTTCGACTTGGGCCGCCATTTCCCCCAAGCAGAGGCGTCGTTTCCTTGATCTCTTCTGGTCTGGGAAGCCAATATTTCCCCTTTCCTCCTCGTTCATATCGCATCCCTGCTTTGATGCGGGCCAGGCGCGACCGGGAGAGCTCATGGGCCATAATCTTGTCTCCAGAGTCAAAAATCCGATAGCCGTATTTATCACCCTTGAAGGTCTCTTTGGAGTCTTGAATAAGGTCGCGAATTCCAAAAGCATCTCTTGCGGCATAGTACACTGGCATTCTTGCCGATGCGATCCGATTGTCGGCAAAATCGTGCCATGAAAAGGCATACCAGTGGGCAATCGCAAAGGCTGGCATCTCGATGCAGATCAAGAAATCCTGGATAGCAGCCGCAAGGTTGTCTGGAGTGTAGCCCTCAACTTGGTCGGGAATGGCACCTAACCAAACTAGGATGGAGAGGAAGAAGCCTTGCCAGTATGAAGCAAAAATAATGAGCTTGACGCAAAGGAATTTCGGGATTGGACGGAAGGGTTTAAGGTCATTGTTCATGCAAACCCAGAATAATCCGAGCGAATAAAGGCTGATGGTCACGCTGATGTTGTAGATGATGCCGCTCCAAAAATAGCCTGACTTGAGTCCGATATAACCCTCTTGATATGTGTCGGTTGCTTTCATGATGATGGTAGCCAGCGCAAGAATCGGCTTCAGCCATGCATACTGCAAGATCCCACGCTTGATAGCGAGAAAGGTATAGGGGTCCGAGATGTCAACGCGGGGTAAGACATGGTTAAGGGGCCAGAGATGATGGACTGGTTCTCGGCCGTGGGTCATTATGATGAGGGCACGTTCGCCGTTGAGGTAGTTGATTAACAACTGGAAGAACGTGTATATGGTGAACGCCTGGAGCAATAAGCTTTCATGTCACGGGCGATAGCAAAACTAGTCCTCACCTCATAGATGTCCCGGACTGGGTCAAGGAAATCGGCTGCCAACCGGGAGACCATGCTGGTCCAAGAGGCGATCGAGTATATCGGAACCCTATCGATAAACGGCTAAGTATTCTGCACATATCAAGGATGGGATCCAGGTAGTCGTACATAAGAAGGATGCGGACAACATATCGTTGTAGCAGCGGCTTCCGATAATTTTTCCTACGCGGCCAACATTAGTAGGACAGGACGGGGCATGGTTCCGTCATGCAGAGCGTGCTTACAGCTGAAGCCATATTGACCTAGCTCAGGGTAGTGTCGCATCAGTACACTGGGAACTTGCAGAATGTGGGATATGGCTAATTGGGAGAGCCAGATCACGTACACAATAGAGAGCAAAGTCGCGATGAGGGATGCGACACCGGCAACAACAGTGGTTGCTGCCTCGAACTTCTGCCCAGTACCTCCGGTCATTGTGATAAGCTGAGGACTCGAAGATATAGTATGATGGCAGTGACTTGCTCAAAGCTCCGCCATCAGAAGGCATGGAGACTGTAGTTGGCAATCATGACACGACGGACGATGGTTGGGAACGCGCGGAATGAGCTGGCAGGCGATAAAGCCGATGACGACGGTGTTAGCTTGCCAGCAGGCAGTGGCCTTGTCAGGCTGCGAGGTGCTGAGAGCTCTGTCGTTGTGCTGCGGAGCGCCGCACGAAACCACTGGCCAACGATGCAGCCTCAGGTCGGGAGCTTCCCGAAATGTGGGAAGCTTCTCGGCCAATCAGCGTTTGGTGCTGGATACACCCTTGTCTGGAACCCCTGTACAGCAGCAACCCACCGCCCATGGAGGTACCTCACCACATCCATGTGCACACGAGCACGTTGCAGTTCACGCTAGTTGAGCGACCCAACAACTGCCGTATCCAAAGTGCAGGATCTTAAGACCTACAAGCAGAGCACGTTAGAATTTTGAAATTTTGACTCTTTGACGGATAAGCCATATCCATAATCACGTTTCCCCTGAACAGAGGGATGTGATGCGGAAGCAAACCTTTCAAGTCAAGCCTTTTTTTAAGTCACGTTGTGGCTCACAAATAAGCAACCAGCCCTGCGCGCACATCTCCTTTCTTTCGCGTCAGACCGCAGCATGACGCTCAGTGCAACCTGCCTTCCCAGGGTCTATCAGAAACGTGATCGTTGGTGGCCGGAAGAAACTTCAACCTTTAACATGGCGAGTGATGGTCTCCCTTCGAGCCAAGGACCCATGTTTAACGCGTATGTCCAGCGCCCTGAAGGTTCCATTTCGTTAGGTAACTTGGATTAACCCATTTCTTGATGTTTCAGGGATTTCCTTGGAGTCCTCATAGCCTGTGCTAGTCTGTAAGTACTTGCGCCTACCACTTCTCCGGAGTTTCTGTTCAGTTGTTGATGGCAAATCAGAGCGATCTTCTCCTTGCTGTACTTCAACCGGGTGTTCGCTTCGCTCGTGTCCTGGGGAATCCGCACCTACACATGGCACCGCTACCAGATTTATATCGATATCCAAGCCCTGCAGATCTCTCTACTTGCCGGTCGCATCTTTTTCACTGGTCTCCGCTACCATGGGAACAATGAGACCATACTGGTCCAAAACGGGCATATTACTTGGGCCTACTGGTTGCGCAGGGTGCGAGAGGTACAGATCGGGAAAAATAAGGCAGCCAGACAGGATGATGATGGCGCGCCTGCCGACCACTTGACCAAGCTGCCATGCCGCGTCAAAGTCTCCCTCATGGGCCTGGAGTGGTTCATATACAACCGAAGTCCGGCCTACGATTCTGTTCTTGCTGGCCTTGACAAGTCTGACCCAGTGGCCAACAACACAAGGGAGCGCGACGTTCAAACCGAAACCGTGCCTGGCTCTACTCTGAAGCTGCGGAAGAGACGACAGGACCGACCTACTAAGATAGATGGAGCTACTCGCGCAATGTCCTCTGCGAGCCGTGAAAAAAATAGTGGTTCTTCGGACCGTCCTTGCTCTCCTGTCGCGGGACATCCTTCCAGCCTACGATCGTCAGCATCAGAAACGGACGATCGAGAAAGAAATGGGAGTGACCACGCAGCCCAGTACGAATCCCAGCTCCCGCTGTTCCTCCAGCTTCTCCCTATACACATCGAATGCGAGAAAGCAGCATTGGTGATGGGTAATGAAAACACCAGGGCTGTCCTTATCATCAAGGCGGATACCTTGTCAGGCGAGGTTGATGCTTCCGAGACAAAAACTCCTGATCCCTACCGTCAGTACTTTCGGTTCAAATTCAACCACCCAGTCATTGAAATGAGGGAGAACCCAGACTATAAAGAGGACCAAGCTGCCCGAGCCGCGCGGGACAAGCACATCCCCCAGGGACCGCTTGCTTCTCCACCAAAACGGTCGTTCCTTCGCTGGCAACGCCACGGGTTGCACGCTGGTCTCAGGCGTCTGATACCGTTCTTGAACCCTTCTGTCGAGTCCCTTTCGTCTTCTGACAGAGATATTGACACAGCAACGGGCCAGGTTCCACCCAGTGGTCAATGGCAGGGGCTCTCTCGCTACCTTTCGGATGATACCGAAGATCAAAGGTCACGATGGGCATCATGCGAATATGCTGCGGTGCCAACACTGTTAGATAGCCCAGAGGCTTCTTTGACCATCTTCTGGGATGTTGCGGGCAAAGTGGCCCCAGGTCTTGGAGAGGATGCGTCAGGGAGGGCCCTCAACATCAACGGTGCAGAACCACCTGCTTGGTCAATCACTTTGTCAATCCACGGTGGCTCCATCAACTACGGTCCATGGGCGGATAGACATCGCGCTGAGCTTCAACGCATCTTTGTGCCGAGCCTTTGTAAAGATGCTGTCCCCGCTTCGCCTTTGCCTCCCGGTGCATTCCGAATGCCGACACAGTTCACATTCTATGTTGAGCTCACTGATGTCACTACTATTCGCATTCCAACCAAGGAAGAATCGAAGAACTGGAGGTGGAAGGGCAAGGAGTCGGTATCGAAAAAATTGCAGAGTCATGACACACGCCGGGTGCGACGATCTAAGAAGTCTGACCAACCTGCGGATGTGCACTCGCGACCGTACGGCTGGCTCGATATCAAAGTCCCATCCAACTCTACCGCCTCCTATTCCATGGATATGGTCGCAGGGCCTTCCGGATATACTGTCACTCTTGAAGTTGACTTCCCCACGACTGAAATCACAAGCAGCATCAACCATGAAGTGCTTTGGAGGTCCGGACGGCAAAGAATATCATGTGATCTTTCCACGCCACTGTCTTGGAATGGCCTGCGCCAGTGGCATTTTAATATCAGCAGCAATGAGTTGGAGCTCTATCTTTTGCGAGATCATGTGTTCCTTCTTACGGACGTCGTGGATGATTGGGCAACTGGACCTCCCACAGAGTACCTTGTCTTCACTCCTTTTAAGTATCATCTGAACTTCCAACTTCACGACGTCAAGCTCTTCCTTAACCTCAACGACGCCAATATCATCAACAATCCCACAGACCCAGAGGATAATACGTACCTCATAATCTCCAGCCCCCTCCTTCGAATCAAAACATGTATCCCAATCGACGAGTATCGCCCGATGAGGAACACTATCCCTTATGACATACGGGCTGACACTGTCTCGTTCGACTTGCATGTCCCTCCATGGAACACCCAAGCGTCGTTTTTGAGTTCAAAAGAAGTTGGACGCCTCGAAACCCTTGTTATCAAAGGCACATACCATTATAACGCGACTATCTCGCCCGGCAATATTGATACCCTCGTCGTAAATGTTACTGGACAGTCACTAGTTGCCACCTTCTATGGGTTCACTATCCGATACTTTCTCAAAGTTAAAGATAACTATTTTGGGGAGGATATTCATTTCAAGACCCTGGAGGAGTATCAGGAGTCGCTGCGACTGAAAGAGACGGACCCGGCTGCTGAGCTTGCCAATCGCCCTCCGCCCAAGAAATCAAATGACTTGGATGTCATACTTAGCGTCCGGACCGATGATCCCAAGATCATCCTGCCAGCAAATCTCTACTCATCTCAACGCCACATACAGATCGATACAGCGAGCTTGTGCCTTGACTTGCGCTTGACCAACTATTACATGGACATGGATCTTGTGGTGGCTCCGTTGAACTTCTCCCTTGGACACACGGGTTCGGGTGCAGAAACTCCCATGAGTTCGACGTCTAGCACTCAGATGTTCATCGATGGTCTGCACGTGTATGGTCATCGTCTTTTTGGACTTCCTCCGACCGAGCCGACCTACATGTGCAACTGGGACCTTTCGGCAGGCGCTCTTACCGGCGAGTGCACTGTGGAATTTTTGACGACCCTTGTTAACGCAGGTAAATCATTCGCATTTAGCTTCGACGATGACGAAAATGCCTTAATCCCTGCCTCGGCTCTCATTGTTTATGATATTACCTTCTTTCGAGCCCATGTGCACTCCGTTCGTCTCTGGCTACATGTTGAAGATGCTGCATTCCTTCTGTCAACAGGAACCATCAACCTCAGATACAACGACTGGGCCCGGTCGCATTATTCTAAGAGAGCTGTCATCAATATCCCAGATGTTAAGGTTTCTTGTCTGAACGCTGAGTCTGCCACGCGACATAAAAGCCGTTCGAGCCGCCAAGTGGAAGCAGATGCCCTTGTAGAGACGAGCGTGCGTCTAGCTGTCATCACACGAAAAGCCCACTTCTCAGCGGAGAGGAAACTTCAGCAAGACCTTGTCCGCGCCAGTGACCAACGAACACGCAGAACCCATTTTCTCATTCTCCCCGAACTTGTTGCGGACGGTCAACTACCTTCCAACGTGGAGCCTGCTTCTCAGAGCATTCCCCCTATGCCGACCCCTCTCAAACCGGAAGAGCTTACCGGAGGCGACGGTGCGTCTTTCATTTCGAGCGTCAGCTCGAACAGGTTTCAGGGGCTGAGGAGTCAGTCTTCGTTCTTGCCCTTTTCGAGTTCGGCGCAAAGAAGTGTGCGTAAGCCCCTCAGCTCAAAACGGTCAAGTAAGAAAGAGTTAACTTCCGAGCAAGGGAGCGCACGCTTTGGCGATGATGGGAGCACCCCATGGGAACATGCTTCACTGGCCCGACAGTCCCTCTATCACCGCACGTCAGGAGAAACCGTGAATTATCAGGATGCAGCACACAACACTGTCGCATTCTCGAGTCAATATTTTGCTCCGTACTTTCCACTCGAGCATGTTAGGCCAAGCCACCAGGATGCAATGATGCAAACCATTGAGGATGACGAAGCCGACCTAATCAAATTCGAGTTAGCAGACATCGATCCGACTTCCCTCGATGAAGACTTCGCCTATTCGGCTGTTGTGTTGGAACTTCCTCCAGGCCTAAATATGTTCTGCAACCCGACCTCTCTGCGCTATGTTGCAGCCCTTCTTTCCTCTCTTCAATGCCTCGACCCTGACAATATCCTCGATTCTTTGCAAATTGATTCCATGAAAGAGATCTTTGATATGCAGAAAGATCAGACGATGAAGGGTCGTATTGGTGACTTTATGGTCAAGCTTCCCCAGGTCAATTTGCGTCTTGTCAACCCTGCAAGCCTTGACTCGCTGGATCAAGCCACTGATGAGCATGACCAATACGACGTAGTCCTCAAAAAGCTCTCTTTTATGTCTCGAATACATACAACCTGGCAAGATCCATTTAAGGCAGCTTCAAGACAAGCCCGAAATGCATTCCATCTCCGGTTGGCGTCCATTGAAATCGCAGCAACTGAAAGATTGCAAGGTGTGGGTAATCCTCAAGCAGCCGCATCAGCAAGAGTTGAAAATGTGATAGCTTTTGGCGATACCAGAGATGCTACTTCTCTCTATCTCGAAGTTGATGCAATTGGAGCCAGTACATCTTCCGGGAAAGTTGATTCTTTGGCTTCATTGATACATCGAGCCAGTCTTTTAGGAGCTGATCTTGGCAAACTCTTCTCCGAAACCTCATCCCAGGAGAAGATGGTGACGCGAAATCTTGTTCGTCACCTTATTGCAAAGAAACAAGAAACACCAGATCCCTCATTCTTAGTCCGTCCTTCAGCAGTTCTCAGGTCCGCAACTCAGCACTTGAGAACCTTCGATTCGTGGAAGTTGATAATGCGTCTTCGCCAAATGTGGACGGTGTTGGAGGCGACTGAGGCCGAGGAACTTCTTGCCTCCTGTTTTACACCGCCAACGATTTCTCTGATTCAAGCCAAGAAGGAAGTACTTTCGGCTTTCGAAGGATGGAGAAGTTGGGACTTGGACAACATTGAGGAGAGTGTCTTTGTCAATTTGATTTTCGGCAACGGTGTTGATCGCTCGGCGTCATCAGCCACCAACAAGCCAACGTTTGTGGCTGCAAAGATCAAGCAACTGCAGCTCGCACTGAATCCAGGACCGAAGCAAAATGGGATCATACTTTTAGATCTGGCTATAAGGGTCCAACTGGAGCCCTCTTCGGACCAGCATCTTGGTGAAGGTTTACCCCCTAGCATTACTTCAAACATCATTAATGTCAGCTGTGGTAATGCCACTGTCAGTTTGAACTGGGAGCTATACGAACTCGCTGAGAATATTCTCAATTTGGTGGAGAGAATCGATTCACAGTCTCTGAGCGAATCCCTTCCAACTTCGTCAGACGTTAACCAGACGAAGACCGTAGCGCATTCTCTGTCTGAGACTACAACTCATTGTGTTGTGGTTCTTGACCACGGCTCTCTCATCATTGAAGCAATCAACCTGTACTCGGAATCCTTCGCTGACCATGCACGGGCATCGCTTCTCGTTAAGAGAGGGGCCAACAATGCTACCGACACCAACCTGATCCTTAGCTGCGACTCGGTCTCTTCCAGCTTACGCAGCCATCATCAAAAACTCGCCAAGCTCTCTCTGGAAATGCCAAGTGTTTTTGCTTCTCACGAGTTGCGAGCCAGTGAAACCACGGATTCTCACACCATCAAAGCCACTGCTAGCAATCGATACATGAGCCTGATGGTCAAGCAGGACCCCATCACTCTGGCTGAAGTGTTGGACCTGTTAGTGCGAGATGAGTTTGCTCAGCTTTCCCAGCTAAAGAAACAGCTTCCGTCACTGCTCATGACTCCGGCAGCACCAAAAAACATAAAAGACCGACTCACCGCCTTCCGGGTGAATGTGGCTCTGTTCATGGATCGTTATACCATCACCATCCCATTGCTCCGCTCTCTCACCTATACGGTTCATGGAACAGTGTCGCGAGCAGCAATTGCAGCAAACTTTGGTCGAGAAATTATCTTTGACTTCGATATTAAAGAAAACTCCCACGATATTCAGATTCAAGCAAATAATGTTTCTCGGAGCATTTCTCTCCTCCAAATCCCTCCGACAAGTGGACGGATTCGAAGCCACATAGACCACGAAGAACACATGGTCAGTGTGTTTGCGTCGGTGGAGCTGGTGCAGTTGGATGTTGGAGCTGTATACAGCCTGCTGTCTGCTCTCAACAGGCCAGAGATATCGAGTGCCATGAGCGAGCTTCAAGAACAGATCAAGATCATTGAGGAACATATCAAAGAAGTCACTGGACATGAGGACTTGCATTTTGAAAAGGGCTCCCCGCGAAGCAACCAGAGTACTCTTGTTTATGCTGTTCACCTTACGCTGGCCGGAATTGAGATATTTGGGGAAACTCCACTCACGTCTGATACTACTGCTCTCGCGCACATTTCATTCTCTCTTGACAGCATTCATCTTAGTCTGGCCAACCGTGTAGAGCAACATGGCCCAACACTGACGTACCCCGAACTGAACCTCAACCTGCGGCGTATCTCATGCCAATTCAAGAGGGGTGTTGCCGGGGCAATGACATGCTGTGGCAATGTCGTGTTTGGAGCCCTGATTACCGCCTCTTCCCGGCCCAACGAAGATGGGAAAGAGGAAAGGTTCTTCCACGTTAGGAGCGACACATTTGAAGCTGATCTCTCACCTGCTACAGTCTCGACAGCTGTTGATGTCCTTGGATACATGAATGACAGGTTTAAAGATCTCGACACTTCTAAAGAGCTTGAGTACCTCCGAAGGTTCAAGCAATCCAGGCCCCGAATTGCCGTCAATAATGGGGAACCAGGGACTGAAACAGATATCATTGGTGCTTTCCTCTCCTCAATCACATATTCCTTCGAGTTCTGCAATATCCAGCTTGCATGGCTGGTCACCGATAAGGATGACATACTCACTCCTGGTAGTGAAGATCTTGTCCTATCCCTTGCCAGAATCGAGCTTGGAACCCGGACGAGGAACTCGGCTCGGCTCGCCATTGAGAATCTCCAGCTTCAGATGGTTCGTCCGTCGCACGACAAGCGGCTCAGGTCGCCGAACTCGGCACTCCTTCCAGAGGTAATATTCAACGTCGCTTACGTCTCAACAGCCGATATTCGGAGGCTTGCTTTTCAGGCAGTTGGCAAGCCTCTGGACGTTCGGCTGACATCAGGATTTATCATCCCCGCGGCACATTTGAATGACTCCATCAACTGGTCTCTTCAAAAAGTTCAGCAGGCCTCACAGAACTGGAGTCCGATTGTGTCAAGCCCTCCTCCAGAAGCAGTGAACCTACAGTCAGAAGAGCAATTGGAACGTAAGAATTTCATTGGGGGCAAGCGTCTTGAATCGCTGCTTATTGACGCCGATTTTGCTGGCGCTGTCGTCCACCTCACCGGACAGAAGCCTTCACGAGAATGGATTCCTCACCACAGGCCTGCTCGGCCGAGCAGCTCTGGAAAGCAAGGTCATTTCTCAGCTGATGAAACCGCGAGCAGCACAACACTTCGGTCACCTGGTTTGGCTTTCAAGCTGGAATTTAGGGACAACGGCAAGGATGACCCTTCGCTACATGCTGAAATCAAGATTGACGCCTCCAGCAACACCATATATCCGTCTGTCGTTCCCCTTATTGTAGAAATCAGCGACAGCATCAAGAAAATCGTTAGCAGTTCCGACGAGGGGACGGAGAGAAAACCCTCACTGAAAGCCCGCGATGTTACTGCTAGGGTCAAATTGCCGGAGGAAGACAACATCCTCGCTACTGATCCCACAACGATGCTCGGCCGGGTGAGGCTCAACCTAGGATTGCGGATTTGCCGGCAAGAGTTTTCCCTCAGCTGCCAACCTATTGCAAGAGTCGCTGCTACAGCCAGCTTCGACAGCGTTTACTTTATTGCAAACACTGTTCGATCAACGGATCAGGGCAACTTCTTTGCGGTTTCCGGCATCTTCACACACCTCCAAGCTTCCGTCCAGCATGTGTATTCGCGAGAATCAACAGGCAGCTTTAAGGTAGAGTCAATTGTCCTGTCTCTCCTGAACAGCAAACATCTCAGCGGTACCAGCGGTCTTTCGGCCATTCTCAAAGTTAGCCCCATGGAAGTGTCAATCAATGCAAAGCAACTTCAAGACTTCTTGCTCTTCCGGGAGATCTGGATTCCAAGCAATAAGGTAGATCCGACGGCACACCCCGTCGCAAAGCTCGTCACAGAAACCTCCCAAGGACACCTAGTGCAGCGCTACCAACAAGTTGCTGCGACCGCCGCGTTCCCGTGGACAGCGAGCATTTCCATCGAAGCACTCAAGATCGTCGTTGACCTTGGACAATCCCTGGGCAAATCAACCTTTTCAATCCAAGACTTCTGGGTCGCATCAAAGAAAACATCGGACTGGGAGCAAAACTTATGTCTCGGTTTTCGCATGATTGGAGTTGAAAGCACAGGAAGAATGAGTGGTTTCGTCGCTCTGGAAGACTTCAAGTTGCGAACCTGGATCAACTGGCCCGAACGTGAACAAGCGCTCAATGAGACCCCGCTGATTCAGGCGTCTGTGGGAATTAGGCAGCTCAGAGTCAAGGCAGCCTTCGACTATCAAGCTTTTCTTGTGGCAGACATCAGATCGCTCGAGTTTCTGATGTACAATGTCCGGCGCAGTCGTAAAGGGAGTGGCGACAAGCTCAAGGCTGTTTTCATTGGTGATGCTGTCCAAATTTTCGGCACCACTACATCGTCTTCGCAAGGAGTTGCCTTGTATCAGGCCTTCAAGCGCCTAATACAAGAACGAAAGGCAAATTTTGAAACCTCTCTGAAGGAGATCGAGAGGTATCTCCAGCGCAAGTCGGTATCGGCACCATCCGACGTAATCGAGCTTCTCAAAGCCGCAAAGTCCAACGTAAAGGATGATAACGTTGTAAAGTCTCCAATTTCTCTTGACACCGACGTTGCGGTTACCCTGAAGGCCCTTAATTTGGGCGTCTTCCCCAGTAGCTTCTCGGACCACCAAGTCTTCAAGATGGAAGCACTCAATGCCCAGGCACGGTTTGCCGCATCGGTCATCGACGATGGACGCATCCACAGCATCCTGGGCCTGACCTTGGGGCAACTGCGCATAGGACTCGCAAGCGTGCGGTCGCCGGCGTCACCACGAACTCTAGGAGAATTGAGCGTTGAAGACGTGGTGCAGAGTGCAACTGGTTCACGTGGAGGAACGATTCTCAAAGTACCCAAGGTCGAAGCAGTCATGCAAACTTGGCAACGAAATGACTCTAAACGAATTGACTACATCTTCAAGAGTGCATTTGAGGGCAAAGTTGAGGTTGGCTGGAACTACTCGCGCATCAGTTACATCCGCGGCATGTGGGCGAACCACACAAAGACTCTTGCTCAAACTTGGGGCAGGGAGCTGCCCAACGTGACAGCTATCCGCGTTACAGGCGTGGGACTGTCGCCAGACGACGAAGGCAAAGGGAAGGTTAAGGAGAAAGAAACAGAGAAGCAAAAAGACAACAAAATTACGGCCGAGGTCAATGTACCAGTGTCCAAGTACGAGTATGTTGCACTCGAGCCACCCATAATTGAGACCCCTCAGCTGCGCGACATGGGCGAGGCCACACCGCCACTGGAATGGATTGGCTTGCATCGCGAGAAGCTTCCGAACCTGACGCACCAAATAGTAATTGTGGCGTTGTTGGAGCTGGCGGGTGAAGTCGAAGATGCATATTCAAAAATACTGGGAAGTAGTTGAAGTTTTCTTGTCTCATGTTGTAGTTGTTTCACTGCAGGTTGCAATCCGTAGGACGTGCTTAAGGAGTCACGGTGCATCGATATGAAATAGAGTGGTGTAGGGGGGGTTTCCCCAGACTTCTTGGTTTCCTGATGGCTCTTTTCTGCTTAAAGGAACATGGGTTTTCACGACGTGTAACAGGGTATCTAAAACTTCCAAACAGATACTGCCGCATACCTACACACTGGACGCAGCCTAATGTTACAGACACATTCAACCTTTGATTTAGAATGGGTGCAAGGATAATGAAAACTGAGATACAGGTCGTACTAAGGACCGATTTTGGGACTGATTCTTCGTAGCCGCTGCAGATCCAGATTGTATGATCCTAGTCAAAACATGCTGGCCAAGGGGCAAGCCAGACTTGCGAGGTAGAACTCAAGACTCCGTGAAAACCTAACAGACATTAAGGAACTCTAGACATTACCAGTTTCCCACTCAAGACATTGATTCTTTCACACATCCAACCTAGCCACTGTGCGGCCCCAGAGAGTCATGTGCAGGATACCCTTCGGAAGTCGGTCAGCGAAAGCTCATCAACAAAGGCAGAAAGAACAGGGATGTGGTTGACTTACACCATGAGCAGACAGCAATAATAGCATACAGACAAATCAGCAACATGCCCTCAAGCCAGTGACTCTTGCCATCAGCGATCAGGTAGTTTACCAATAGTACCGACACGAACATGACAGCAACCTGGAATGGGTCAAAGTTCAGCGCCATCGCATCAACTCCCATCCCCCAACCGATAATAACAAGCAATGGGATGATGAAGAGAGCGACCTGCATGCTGGACCCGACTGCAACACCGATGGCCAGGTCCATCTTGTCTTTCATGGCCACCGTAACGGCTGTTGCATGCTCGGCCGCGTTGCCCACAATGGGCAACAAAATCAGACCGACAAATTCGGCGCTCACGCGGCCGCCAGATGTCACGGAACTGATGCTGTCCACCATGTACTCGGCACATAATGCAATTACGACAGTCGAGACGGTAAGAGTGGCCACAGCGACACCAAACTGAAGCTGAGGCTCTTCACTGTCATTTTCGTCAACAGCACCAAATTCTGTTCGGCTTGGTTGGGCTGCCGCGACACCCTCAGCACAGTCTCGGAGGTTTTTCCGTGGAGGGTTGGCAAGCAGGCGGCGCAGACGTTCGGCTTCAGATGGCTGGCCCCCGTGACCGACCATGATCATGCCAGCAGGGCTCATCAGACCCCGGGCAATTGCAGATTCAGGGCCGTTGGCACTATCGTTACTTCCAAGAAGATTGCGTTTGAATGGTTTGGCCTCGACCTTTTGGCTTTCTTCGGCGAAGACTTTGGAGTGTGTCTTGAGCTGGAAGAAAAGATACCCGCCATAGACAATGAGTAAAATGACGGACGTGCCGCGAGAGAGTTTAGCAATGTCGGATTGCGGGGTATCGCTGGCAATGTCGAAGACCGTTGGGACAATGACCGACGCAACGGCTAGAGCAAGCAAACTTGCGGCTGTTTGGGCGACTGTGGTGTTAAAGTATTGCTCCTGGCGCCGGATGCCCCCAAAGAAAAAGCACAGCCCCAACACAAGCAAAAGGTTGGAGAGGATGCTGCCGATAAGTGAAGTCTGGACAATGATGACTTCATCATGAGCCAAGGCAATGATGGCAACAATCAGCTCAACAGCGTTGCTTCACCAGCTCGTCAATGATCTGCAGAGTTTTGGTCCCTGTGGCGGAAAAAACTTACCCGAAGGTGGCATTTAACAATCCTCCCAACGTCTCACCTGTCCGCAGAGCGATCTCTTCTGTGGCGAAGCCAAGCATGGCAGCAAGGGGAATAATCGCGATGAAGTTGACAACAAAAACAGCAATTCGGCTCACCGAATGGACATAGTTGATCGCAATGCCCACAGGAGCGGCAAGTAGGAGGATATTGAGCCAGGAATTCAAGAAAGTCCGTTGCAGCTGGTTGCGTACAGTGAACGGCTCTTTGGGTTCGATGTGCTTGAACAAAGTCTTCGTCTTCTTCTCTTCTTCAGGGTTCCCTTGCCGGCCTTCTCCTGCTGCGCCAGTCTCCTGCGAGTGTTCGAGAGCAGAGTTTCGCTGACGTAGCGTGCCCTGGAATTCTGTTGCCGAGGCAGTGGCTGAGTCTTGGCTCTCGTTTGGCTGGAGATGTGAGGTTGAGGCAATTCCAGTGTCAGGTCGGCTGTCTTCGACGACCGCGTCTTGCTCCTTGGCGCTAGACGCATCTGAGGGGCGTGAGGCGCTTGGTCCATCCAAAATGACAGGCTGCTTCTCAAGCTCGTTGCCAGCTTGCCATTGTGTCCGAGGAGGTTCGCTCTTGCTCCGAGTGATAGGGAAGAGATTCAGACATGAGGTGCTTCGGGCTTCCTTGAACGCAACCTTCCTGTTTTCATAGGCATTGTCTAATGACATCAGTTAGGAATTGGCAAGAGATATATCTTGTGAGACCTCTGTGACAGGATAACACGATGCCCAGCTCGCACCGTGATAGACAGTACTTTGAGCAGAAAGTTAAGAATCAAGAAGCCCGGGGCCCTTACATGTAGCCATGTTTCATGGATCTAAGTGGCTATTGTTAGGCTGTTGGATTTGTCGATGGCAATCTGTTAAGAGCGAGTTGGTGATAACGGCAGGTTGTCGAGTTTGGTGGTCCTAGAAGTCGTGACTTTTATAAACAGAATACTACATATAATGGGGTTGGTATGTCTCAGAAAGAAGCTGTACCTGACCACCGATCACGTCCGTAGCCGTGATAAGCTCAACTGGGTCCTCCCGATGATCAAAAGCGTCTTTATCCCAATTCACGAGCTTGTCGGGATGCGTCACTTGTTTGCACTTCTTGGGCCACCAAGAAGCTGAACTATATGGTTGCTGCTGGCTTCAAGCACTAGTTTCCATCCCCTCGAGAAAGAAAGAACTCAATGACTTTGTTGATGTAGAGTGACGTGTCACTGTGTGGCTGTCCTACAATATTGGCACTGCTTAAGCACAGGAACATCGCAGCCGGAAGTGTGTTGTCATCGGTCATGGACTTGCAGATCGCGATGAAAGTTCGCGGTCTCGGGAGTCGTCACTTACAGTCGAAGCTCTGGATGGGCAATTCGAAGGTCAAAAGGCCATCGTCATGCAGCTCAAGCCACATGCGACCTACAGCTGGCGCAAAGTTGAAAACAAGCAAAACAGCATGTGGAATATCCATCGAGAGTGGACAGCGGGACACGGGCCCCCAGGAGGGCGCTTGCCGCAAATTAATAACGTGCCTAGCTAGTATGGAGGTGTTTTCCGTTTGAAATAAGCTTTACAGGTCCTGGTGCCACCCAGCTTTGCCCACTTTGGCTCCCTCACTTTCACACCGCAGAGATTATGGGTCATGCGCTAGCTAGGTAGGTAGGTAGCGTGGGCGTTAGCTGGCCTGGCCTATCCCACATCATAACCGTCGACCAGCAGCTCCTGTCACTGCTCAAATTGGAACACCTCACTGAATGCAAGCGAGTCCAGTCGTGTCGTCATCAGTTCCCGCCAAGACACTCCCGCCAAGCCACTCAAGCCAGGGACCCGCTACTGCCCCGGGGCTTGGGCTACACAGTAAGCTCTCGCCAAGAGAAATGCTTGTTTACGCCACAGCACAACCCAAGATCTATAGAACCAAGGAGACTGGGCGGTCGACTAGACGGGGGCTTCGAACACCAATGTCCAAGTCGTGGCATTGTTATTCGAAAGGAAAATGGAATGATGAGTTGTCGATTGAACAAGATCCAGCTCAGCGAGATTTGAAGACTGTATTCAGAGATCCTAGCATTATAGAGTCTGTACCTTTGCTCACCTATCCTCTCTTCTCTCCCCGCCATTGTTACCTCCTGTGATCCCCCTCAAGCCTCCAAGGAGGGTCTCGTACTGTACACTTCCTCTTCTCAAAAAGTTTGAAGCTGACATCAGCGCGGGGTTGGGGCTCCCTGCCCTGGAGCTTGGCAGAACTATGTTCCCAGCAGAGGTTGCCGAAGTAACACTAGCACCGGTGTTCTGCTGCCCTCCGACAGACGAAGGCAAAGTCACCCCAGCAGATACAGCACCAGCACCAGCACCAGCAGCCAGTCCTGTCGAAGAACTCAGCACTGACGGTGGCAATCCCAAGGCCGGGATGCTGCCCTCTGGCACTGTCGACACGACGCTGCCAGATTGGTTGAATGAAGGTGGCGTCATTTCTTCTTCGGTGGCATTTGGTACTGCCGTTGGCGGTACGGCAGTGCTGAGCTCCCTGTAGAACTCCTCCAGCGCCTGCGCGTCGCGGCAGAATGCCTCAAGTTCGTCTTTGATCCACTCCGGTTCTTGTGTGGTCCAGGTCGTCCACGAGGTGCCGGGATAATGGCTATAACCAGGGGCTGTAGCAGCTGTTGTTGAAGTAGACATAACTGTTTTGCCAACCTGTGTGCTTACCGGCCCACCAGCCCGTGAGACAGGAGATAGACGGCCACTGGATGGTTTCAAGAGCGGTGAGGAAGCAGGAGTTGATGACTCATGGAATGCTGCCGGTGAATTTAACATGCTGAATGGTGTGAACGAGCCAGGTGTGACAACACGCATCGCACTCGGACCCGGAGTACCGAGCCCCCCTCCGCCACTGAGCCCAGTCTCACCGCGCTGTTCGCGCTGAAGTTCTCGTTCGCGTGCCGCAGCTGCTCGGTTGCTATACAGCCTGTTTGCCAGAAGTAACAAGTCTCCTTCATCTGTGATTTCTGCTAAGACAGATCCAGAGCGATGGATATATTGCGTATACTTGAAGTCAGGTTTCCCCCACGAATAGGTGACCTCGACGTTGCTGGGGAAATTGGAAGCCGCTTCCATGTCCAAAACAAAATCAAACTTGCGCAAGATAGCCTTTTGGTAGAAATGACGCCCAGGCTGCGCTTGTGGAGTGAATGACGTCGGATCATAGTAGGTTAGCGGGGATTGGTCCGGAGGAGGAACTGCAAGCTTGATGATGTATGGTCTTCGGAATGGGTTTGTGTCGCTGACTGCACATGCCTCAGCAATCGGTACTTCTACCAGCTTTAATCCATATTGAGCTGCTTCACGTGCCCAGTGCTCAATAGCATCCTCGACAAGTTTGGCAGTAACATTGATCCAGTCAACTCGAATGTGATAGCAGTTATCCGGGTTGTGCAGCCTGTCATAGTGCAGCTCGATGATCTCAGGCCGATAGGAACGCTTTCTGTGATCCACGTCATACTTGATGACCTTGCTTAGTGTCACCTTCGGCTTTTTCCCCATCGCTGTGGATGGTGCTGTCGGTGTTGTCGAACCAGATGAAGATAACTTTTCTTCATGTATTGACGTTGGTCGAGAATAATTGGCTCGAGAATCTCGTGGGATATGGTCACCCATTGGCGTGGACGGCACCGATCCCTGGCTTTTCTTGGTGTTAAACCAACTCTGAGCATGAGTCTTCGCATACTCGCTCGTAATCTGATAGAAATATTGCCCATCTCTGAATGGATGTCGCCGTTCCACATGGACGAAGAGGCCATTCCCTTTTTCATCCACCATGAGACGATTGCCCAGAGCTTCGGCCTCTTCACGATCTTCCAAATCCTCAAAGTTTTCCAGAAGCCATGTTGTCATATCCGATCCAATAAAGCAGTTGTAATGCAGTCGCCAGTGCCACCTGCGGTTCTGCATCCGCACGCCTCCGTTTTCAACAGGTTGTTGGATAGCCTCAGCAAGCGCTGCCAGACTAAAATTCTTCTTCGAGAATAATTCTCGACTCCTCACCAGCCTTTCCCGTTGGCCTTCTTGGCCCTCCAAGAGAGGAAGCGTCTCCAGCTCTGCTGCGATGACAACCGATGGGTCTTCTGTCTTGTAGACAATATCAAGAGGGCTCATCTCTTTCTTCTTTTCGCGAGTTGTTGAACTCTGAAGACGACGCTCATTGGGGGGAATGTATCGATATTTCTGCCATATTTGCGCCAGTTTCCTAATTCCTTCGATGCGGATTTCTTCCTCATTGTCGCCAGCCCGCACCCCAGGGATCGACGAGCGCCGACCGGTCATAGGAATCAAAACAAATCTGGCGCGCCAGAAATTGAGGTAATCCCTAAGTTCTTCGTTATGCCCAGCAACAAAGGCGTCGATGTAGTTCCAGTTTGGACGTGGTCTGCGAGACACAAGCGGGAGCTCGCTTGTCTGGTATCCGGCGTCCAACAATGTCCTTATAGCCGGTCTGTACTTGGGGATCTCATCAGGGTCTTGTGCATTATGGAGAGTCTTTCGAATAAAAATGTTGACTTCGACCTCAGTGCCGTTGACACAGGATAACTGATGGATAATATTGCCAACGGACATGAAAATGCTGGTACCATCTTCCATCATCTGGTCTTGAGAGAAGATATCGGCGATCTTGACCTGTTTCTGGCCTAGTGCTTTGGCGACGGCAGGGCCAACAACGATCTGAAAACCTTGTGTGAAGCGTAGACTGACCATCTCACGCAGCAGCTCATCACGAGATCTGGGCTCTTCTAGCATATCATCATCGAAAGCTTGAGAGACAATGTAAGGCTTCCGTTCATACTCAGTCTCGAATTGTTTTTTGGACGGAAAATACTCTGAAGTAAGGGGCACGGCAGCTGGAGTGCACAGAGTCTTCCATTTCATGATCCTCATTTCCTGAGGACGAGGGAAGACGTGCTGCCAGCGGCTGTAGAGCTGGGGGATCTCCAAGTCATTAGGGTTCGGATTAGAAGGGTTTAGCAAGGTCAGCCACGGCGATAATGCGGTTTTTGGTGACAGATTCGATGGCACCGGCACGGCTCCAGCAAGGAGTTTGGAATTGTAGAGTTTTTTGGCATCTTCGGCCCTTGTTGCGTTCGAATAGTACAGGTCGCGGTCTCGGCCACCTGGCTCCGGTCGAAGAGTCGTCGCAAGAATCGAACCAGATAACATGGCAGCTGCCGGTTCACTAGCTTGCTGGTTTTTTCTGATGACTATTGGCTTCGACGGCGTATCTGGCGCGGGCTGCTGGCCCTGGGCCAACGAAAATGACCCGAGGCTGCCATGAGAGAATGTGCTTGTAGGCGTTCCGACTATGGACGACCTACGGGACGACGATTGCCGCTGTCCTATCCGTTGCGGGATCATCCGGAGGTCTTGGTTGCTTCGAGATGATGTCAAAGTCTTGGAAGCACCGACAGTCTCAATGCTCACTTCGGCGGTTGCTACCTTGGGAGCTGCAATTCCAAACCCACGGTTGCCAAGGCTGATGCGCATCAGTTTCGGTGTCTTTGCGAGAGAAGACGAGGAAGACGTCTCTCTCGGTTCCTGTCTCATAGATCGGCCACTGATGCTCTTGCGGTGGGACTGCACGACTTCGGCTTTCTCCGCACTGGAGTAACAAGTAATACCCTCGGAAAACACCTGATGCTGTTGGGTCGCAGTTGACGGTCGCCGCTCTGTATACGACGTCCCCAATATGCTTACAGAAGTGGAATCCTCTGCGTGTTGCCTGCTCGGCATAGCCTCTAGGTCTCTTCCATGCCTGGAATGGCCAGCGCCGATTTGTCGAGGAGGCAATCGTGCTTTGCAATCATCGTACTCTTGTAACTGCCTCCACAACGACCTCTCCGAGTGCTTTCCATGCTTATCAGGAGCAAACTTCTGAAAGCCATGGACAGGGTCGAATAGGCTATCTGGAACCCGTAAATTCTTGACAACGACGTTTCCCTCGCTGTCTAAACGATAGCTCCCAACACGGTTCTCCAAAACAGCCTTGAGAGGAAAGCAAGAGTCTAGATAAAGAGGTTTCGTTTCGATCTCATTGGTTTCCATCACGCTTCTCATCTGCAAGTCGTACATCCGACATCGTATTGGGAAGTCGTCTCCGGACTGCGTACGAGTAGCATCTGAGACGGACAATGCTATCCCATGGTATGACAATTCCTCCTCGGAAGCACCAGTCCAATAGGACACGTGAAGCCACTGAGGGATCGCACACCACCATTCATCTTGTGACCAGGAAGAGCTAGAGCTGTCGCCGTGTCGGGAGGTGTCGGTTTTTTTGCTTGGTGAGTAAGAGCTGGCGATACTGCTGTAGCTCCCAACCACCAAGGATGACTGTTTTGGAGTGCTTCCATAACTTGGCTCTAACTTTGCTTTCCTCTGAACATTGTCGTATTGGGGATTGCGATATCGAAACAGCGGAACTGAATGTAGAGGTATTTTTGGTATGCATATCAGATCAATAGCAATCCCGCTCCCAACCAATGCCTCGGTGGTGCGGCGCAATGTGTCGTACTCAACTTCGAAAACGCCAGGGCTGGGACTGATGATGACCACAGACAGCCCAGTTCTTGTCAAGTCTCTGTCAATGTAGTCGTGGGAATATAAAGACAACGCCATGTTGATGGCTTCTAAGAAATTGCCATGGATGGCCCTCGAAGCTTCTGCCTTGATTTTGTTTAGCATGGCATCTCTTTCGTTGGACATGTCTGCACCTGCAAACTCCCTCATCGCTTGCTGGTGATATGTGCTGATGTCTTTGCGGAAGTGGTTGAATTCACGCTTGAGCTGATAGAGAATTTTGGTCCATTCGCCGCTGCTCATCTCGCTGACCACAACACGGTAAAAATCCTTGTATGGACGACGATCTCCTGAAGTTTGGAACCCGGTGAAATAGTCATCATAAACAGATGTGCCTGCCAACTCAGTGGATATACCCATGTCATACTCGACGCGGGCAAAGAGGACGATGGTGACAAGATGTTTCACCCTCAATGTGGCCCATTTCTTAAATAATGCCGGCAAGAAGCCATTAACAACCTTGTTGAACATGATCTCGCCCGAGCCATCAGGGTCAAAATCCCACATTTCACGGGCCATTTGGATGAAGAGCACATAACGGGCGGATTCGCTTCGGAAGATGGGCTTTGTGTTACGTCCGAAGAATGCTGACTGGACTTTGCGGCCATCAACGTAGACAGAAGTGACCTGGGCCTTTACGGTGCCCATGAATAAAATCATCTGTCCCTTGTAAACTGTCCTTCTTGCCAGCTCTCCTACCGTCATGCGCCACATATCAGCCCGCGAGAGGTATTGATCTTTGAAGCACAGCTCGACATGGGATGCCTCCACAGCAGGATTGCTTTCATCTATCTGTTACAGACAATTTGTTGTCAGTTGAAGCTGACTTCACTTCCAGAGAGCCAAGGTGAATGATTCAACATACGGGTGAGATGGTCACCTGGGTGCCCTTTTTCATTCCAAAGGCGTCGGCAATATGCTTCGCCACATATACCTCAACCATAGGGAAGCGAGCCTTCATCTCCCTGGGCATATCCTTGACAACACATATGTAGCGCCTCTCTGAGGCAGGACCAGAAGTTCCCTCCTTGCGATCCAGGACTGGCTGTCTCCCATACGACGAGATTGGTGGCGGCTTTTCGGAATCAGCCTTGACCAAATCAAGCGCCACAACACTTCCAGGTTTGACATCAGGCCCGATGAGATCAAGGTTCAAAAGCACATCGTCATGAATAAATGAATCGTTGATAGTCACCGTCCATCGTCGCTCAGGTTGACGGGAATGGGGTGAGCGCGGCTCAAAGAACATGGAGCTGCTAGATAACGCATCACTAGGAGAGTCCGAGAAGTGGCAATCGGTGGCACAATATTGGCGGACTGCAGAATGGACATTGCTGGGAACATTGGGGCCTCTCGCTGGTGCCAGCGCGGCAGAAGGGGCATTGCGTGTGGCGGACATGTAGACTGGTCCTCAGTGCCAGGCCCAGTTAAAATTTGTCTGTTGTTTCCTGGCCGTCATGGCGTGAATAAATAGTGTTGATGCAAACTCCAACAAATGAACGTCGGTGGCTTGCACACTGGATCTGGTGGTACAAGTCCATGAAGTTCAAACAGCTGGATTGTCCAGACGTTTATGGATGAGGTTGGTAGCAGCCGGCAGAATCCGTGGGGTCTGCCCACCGCCTTCCATCTCTGGCCTGTCACCCCAGTGTGCACGGGCCATTAATTCCAGAAATAAGGGGAGGGAATATCCTTTCCCAAAAAAAAATTACAGCTTGGTGGTTGCAATTGTTGTCAGGCATTCAAACCACCAGGCTACTTGGTGTTGTCTGGCTCAGGTTTGATTCTGGTCTCACAAAGCCTAGATAGACCAAATACACCACACTAATTTAACATTGTTACATAGCCTTGATCATGCCCCTGAATCTCTGGCATCCTTGAGCCTTGATGCGGGTGTGGGTGTGCGACTCGCCAGCACATGCTTGAAGACCTGAGTCCTAGATACACAAGGTGATAGTGATGATTATGATGTTTCCCCTGTGTTCAGAATGTTAATTTGCTTAACCTGGCACTCCAACAGGCATGGCACAATCCCAGGACCTGCCTTATTGAAATAGTAGAGCCGAGCATCTGTCCATCCATTCCATGTCCAGCAAGTGCTCTAGACCCCAATCAAGAGCGAAGTCAGTTGGTTTGCCTTCACCCGTTCTCTGTCCGACTTTAGACACTTGTTCTTTAGGTCCTCCGATGCGATTGATGTCTGTCAATGATAAATCCTGAAAAAGCCAGCCTTCCCATGTTTCTGCTGCTTGCCATTCGGGATGCACAGTACACAGATACCTATATGTGCTCTCCTTTCTGCACAATTTGCTTCCTAACAGCTTCATATCATGCACGTACGTGTACCCCTCCTAAAGCCCGGATTGAATACACTACAATAGCCCAGTTCTTTGGATGCGGTGGCTTCCTGTACTTTTTTCTACGTTGCATTCACCAATCCCCTGATAAAATCCTTCTCACTACATGCTTAAGAGGTCATGCACACACGATCCTCAAGTTTACGCTAGAGTTCAACTGAATTCAGGCTGGCTGAGGAGGAAATCTATCACTCTGATCAACAACTTTCTCGAGTTACCTGTGCATAACCAAGCTGTGTGTTCTGTTTCATAGCAGCTACATTGGCTGCAGTGTCGATTTTCCGCAAGTCCACCATCATTGCAGGGGCAACAAAATCAACAGGTCTGGAGCATCTGAACAGTTTGGTAGACTCAGATCCGACATCTCATGGGTGCTTCTAATATTGCGACTTCAAATCTCCCACCACCTCTTGGGCCTTGCAAACTTACAATCCAAGCAATAACACTGTCTCAACAAGGAAAATCGATATACAGAACCTTCCTCTCCAGATCATCATGGCATTCAAACTCACTGATAAGCAGAAGGTGTCGCTGGCAATTGTCATCACTTTCTCCTTTTTTGTCTGTGAGTTAGGAGGTTTGTTAAACCAGTGGTGTTGGCATATCCATGATTAGTCGCTCACAGCATCTGATAGTGGCATTCAAAACAAGGAGTTTGGCTCTTATGGCCGACGCCTTCCACTACGTGAGTCAAGCAAATAACAATTACTTCCAAGGATGGGTTATGCAATCGACTTACCTGCAGCTAGTTAAATGACTTCGTCGGCTTTGGTGTGACCCTCACCTCTATCATCGTACGTTGCTGATCCTTATTGCTGGAATTATGATTTCGACGTTCTCTCTGACTCCTCTTTCAGATCTCGAGTCGTACAGAATTCCGTCAGGATTTATCCTTTGGCTGGCAACGCGCTCGTCTTCTTGGGGCCTTCTTCAATGGCTCCTTCCTGCTTGCTTTGGGAATCAGCATCCTTCTCCAATCCATCGAGCGCCTTGTCTCGATCGAGCATGTTGAAGAGCCAAAGCTGGTGTTCATCTTGGGGTGTGTTGGTTTTGGCTTGAATGTTATCACTGCCGCATTTTTGCACGGTAAGCTAGGAATTGCTGTCATTACTCAACATTCAAAGCTCACAAGAAACGTTCTTCCAGAGCACCATCACCATCACTCTTCTAAAGATACAGAACAGGGGCTTGAGGCTGGAGATAACACTGAGTCTCCAGCTTCGGTGGTAAGTTTCCACCTAGTATCATCAACACTGGTGGTGGTTCTGACATATTGCAAGCAGACGGATGATCTACACCACCAGCATCGACACGTTGGTCTCGCTATCAAACGCCCTGGCCGAGATCTAGGTATGCTGGGTGCGTTACTTCATGTCGTTGGAGACGCGCTGAACAACCTGGGTGTCATTGTCGCTGCCCTTGTCATCTGGCTATCACCCTCTTCTGACAGATATTACGCTGATCCAGCTATTGGACTGGTAATTTCCTTGATGATCCTCTTCTCAGCGTATCCCCTTGTAAAACAGAGTGGCACAATCCTCTTGCAGAGTGCTCCTGAGGGAGTCAATCTCACCGATATTAGGCATGACATCGAGAAGGTATGTTTTCATAACAAATTAGCATACTATGACGAAGCTGGCAAGCAAGGATATTGATCATTACCTAAATGACTGACTCAATTAAAAAAACTACTGAACAGATCCCTGGCATCCACTCAGTCCATGAACTTCATGTCTGGAGACTTGACCAGAAAAAGGCCATAGCCTCGGCGCACATCATCGTCTCAAATCCAGATGTTGCCAGTTTCATGGAGCAGGCAAAGACAATTAGCCAGTGCCTTCATGCATATGGCATCCATTCCACAACACTCCAGCCAGAGCTTATTCAAAGTCTTGACACTATCACGGTCTCGGATCCAGCAAGCGTCACAGACACGACGGTTGTTCCGGATGGTGATGCTATTATTGAGGAAGACAGCCGTGGTGGCACCAAAATAGCTGGTCACAATCCTCCTACATGCCAGATTGTGTGTGGCAAAGGCTTGTGCAACCATCTGACATGCTGCAACAGGCCGAAGGAGTGAGAGGTCGCCAGCGATGGTGCTTCAACGGAAATTTAAGTGATTCTACATTGATTTTTGCCCTCTAATCTCTGACTTCTCGATCAATTTCTTTGTTGTCTCTTTTACAGCCTATCTAGCTTAAAAGTCGCTCCCTGTCCTCTAGGACAGACAGTAGACATCGAGGCCTGATTTTTGACCTGCACAACCAATCCTCATGTGGCATGACCTCTTAGCCTTCGGCCATGAGCCAGGTTGTGACATCACTTATAATCATAACATAGACTTGCGGTAGAACCATGCTTACTCTCTCTGTCCTTCAATGTAAACCTAGACATAATTTCGCCGTCGATGGACAACATCGCCTGATACCCAAATGCTAATCAAATGTAACATTGTGTACCTAAGTTAGATGACGAAGGTTGTCAGTAAATCCTTTGTGTTGTGCTACACAATAGACACAACATATAACAGACAGACTCTGGAGAATTGACAGCCCGGATGTGTTGAAAGGTGGCGACATGTTTGCACAGGCTGATTCTTTGTAATCAAAAGCCGAGGATTTCAAGTGAAATAACCCGTGCTTATGCATGTAGTCGGAGTGGGAATCTATACAGTTCGATATGGATTCAAGGCTTTACGACAGCCTCCAAGCCATGGTGCACAAGTTTTGTGGTGATCTTTGTAACATTATAAAGCATTTTCTCCACGATGCCTTGTTTTCGGCTTGTTCATGTTTGCTTAGTGCCACCCGTCCAATCCAATAGCAGCCCTGAACCGGATCCGCGGGCCCGGTGAGATGACATAGCTGGGTGAGCGTGGGGGTGAGCCAGGGGAATGCCCTCACGCAGCAGCTTTGTTGTGTAGCAACATGGCCATGCGGCTTGACGATGTACTTTGTACGTAAAAGATACTCCTGGTTCGCGAAACAGTTTCCCAATCATGGAGATGAAGACAGCGACGGCGAGATGATGGTGTATGTAGCGAAATGGGGAACACCTACGTCGCAGTCGCTGCGAGCCGACAGCACGGCAAGTGTCGGGCGGCTCCATCACCGCTGTGCACATAGACTGAGTGCTCTCTTCATCCGCTCATTGCTTTACTGTTAAATCCATGTGGATATCAGATTGCAGGTTGCTTCAACCTATTTGGAGCAACCACAGAGTGGATTGTGGACAAAGAAGTCCTGTTTAAGTCGTCAATATTCATACAAATGCTGAGAAGCCAAGGAGCAAGCAAGCATGAATTTACAGGCAGACAAACATGCATAACAGTGGAAGTCCAGTGTTCTTGGCTGGGGGAAAATTAGGTTACTGACACCATAGAATCTACATCATCTGCAGCAATTTTATGCTGTGCGTTATTAATCGGCCAGTTTACAGATAATCCGCTAGCCAGTCCCCATTAATCTCAAAAATGATCCATGCTTCTAAGTGAAGAGTTTAAGGCAGGCAGACAGACATTCAGGCACGAAAACCTACCTACGCAGAGTAGAAAATCAAGGCCCGGACTGGCGGCCAGAAGGATGGTCCATGGGTACGTATTACTCAAGCTACCTACATTGGTGAGGTAGCTTAGGTACCTGGATGAACTTGTACGAGGGGCAAAGAGGAGTAATCGCAGAATAGGTACAGTAGGCAAGCCTATAGAACTAAAGCTGGGCGTTGCCGTAGATGTTCCTTAAGCTCACAGTCACTACGTAGTAGTGACTAACAGCCTCCTCTCGTAGACTTGTAGGTTTTGGGCAGGGAACACAGGACAGCCCGTCTTTGTCCATTTCTGCGAAAGTATCCAGTACCTAGAGCCAGATGAGCTTAGTAAGGAGATGTCAGAAAGCAGAAGACGGTCATTGGGACTCGAAGATGCGATTAACCACGCTATTGAAAAGCAAGTAAGTTCTCCGAACCTTGTCTTGATCTTTCTCTGCCATCCCATCGCACAAATGAAAGGCGAGGGGTATGTGTACTTGTAGCACGGCACCCCGTCAAACACTGATAGGGGAGTTGTGGGAACGGGACTCACAGCATGGAGAAAACTGGTCAGAGGGGAACGCTGGATCTTGACTGCTGTAACCTCAAGTCGCTTGTGTATGCACATGTCTCTATGCTGCGCCCTTCTTGCCGTTTCCGTGATTTCTGAGTAAAGAACTCTCCATCTGGAGAGAGCCTGGTGAGATTTCTATACACATACCAGGAAGTTCTGTTGGTGGCGAGACTTGGGCGTTTCTTTACAGCAATTGAAAGGCATCCTTCCCTTTGGAGGTGGTGTTGCTTCAATACGCTATGTAAGTTACGTACAGACGATTTGATATCATACGTCCCACTACCGTTTTTACGCTGTCCCATACACGTGTACAGCTGTGTCCACATATCGCCCTATGTGTATCTCATGCAGCAATCCGTACCTTATTCTTTTTCGTTCCATACGCACCTTTACATTGTCCCTTTCTCATCCTGTGTGTATGGCGAGGATCAGGATGAATTACAAGTTACCTAGATCACGCTGATCACTACCTTACGGATTACTACATCCTGATTATCATTCGCAGCCAAAGCGTGCTATCCCATTGAGACATGCAAAATCTTTACATAGAGAGATCTCTAGCTACTTTAGTACTGTGATACATATCGGAAATGTTTGCAGGTGTCACGTGTCGTGCAGCCGTTCATGGTTGTGTGAAAGTGTTGGACGGTTCTGTTGCTGCCGAGAGGTTGGACTTTGGTGCAGCCCTGCCCAACTGGCCCCAGCACTGTGATGTGATACCCCTAGATGAAAGAGGTACGCCATATGAGTGCAGTAAATGACCCCACTCAGCTGCAGCGTTGGCGTTCATTGGTCCAATGCCTATCGAATCGAATCTCATGGGGGGCACTAAGCTTCTCCACCTGGGACGATTTGCCCGTGACGATTTGTGAGAGAGACGCCTCGAGCGGGCCCGACCCGCATCTTGCCATCCCGGCTCCGGTGCTCGCTCGCTGCAAAAAGTGCGACCAGCGAGGCCAGCGAGAGCAGCGAGCAGTTGCCAGTCCAACATCGCTTGTGACCATCGACGCTACGTCGCCGCATTGGAAAGCATCCATTGGATTGGACTGCAGTGCATTACTGCATTGCATTGCTGCATTGCGCTGAACCTCGACATAGGTGGAGGCCGACGCGACCTTTACGTACCTACTATCCACAGCTGGGCTCTGCCGGCAGCAGAGCTCCAAGTTTCCATCCCGCCCTCATCATCGTCATCAGTCATTGAAAGGCTCGACAAAAAACCCGACCGGCGATTGGTGATTGGATGGCTGTGCTGTTAGCGTGCAGTTGCCGTCACCGCCTTTCTGACCACCTCCTTGTACCGTTTGTCGAGTGCTCTGCGTTGGAGAATACGAACGACTTGCTCAGGTATGCGGCACGCGGCGGACAACGGACGCCTGCCACGCCGGGTCACAGGTCACGGTAAGTTGCCTGCCAGCAGCCTAGAGTTTGGAGATAGGGCGTAGATACGGATTAGCGGATGGAGCATACTTACCTGTCTACTTAGCCAAGGTTAAGTAAGGTATCAATTGGTCTTCCTACCCCAGCAATGTCCGTTGGATGTCGTGTGTTGCATCCCGAGCCCAGTTCCAAGGCTGTTGATGTACAAGTACGTACTTGCGCCGCACCCCGCAAACCTGGGGAAACCCAAGATCCGATTTTGAACCGTCGTTAGTCGTGTCAGGTTGATCTAGATGGGAGAATGGAGAGGGCATGTTGTGCCGCGTGAGGCGCGCTGATAGACTGCCCGCTGGCTAGTGCACATGTCATTTTCATTTTGCTAACTGCTTGCCCCGAGATCGTCGGGCCTGCCTCCCTACCCAGCATTTCGATGGTTGATACAATACGTACCTACACTTGTGCTCAATGTTTCTACCTATATGTTCTGACTGTTTGGACTCTCCAGTTGCTTTTCGTCCCGTTTCCCCGTTGCCGTTCGCTTCTTCTTTCTCCTGGGATCCCCCGCTGATTTTGTTCAACTCCCTGCCGCCGCCGCCGCCGCCGCCGCCAGTTCGCAAACCACGCTCGGCCAAGCCCGGCCATCTTGGTATGTTCTCCACAGGTGATAAAACCCGCTCTGGTGGACTTTGATGGGCCTGATGGATCTGGTGGATCTGTACTAACCGCTCTGAGGGACAGACAAAGCCACTTGAGTCGCTGTGAGCCAGTCTTACCGAGCCCTGCGTGAAGGACGGCGGGGGTTTCGACCTGGCCTTTCAACCACTGTTGTAGCCCTGCAACCAACCTACCTAGGTATAAACATAACTTACCCGGCTGCTAGCTCCAGCTGGCAGCCCCCTCGGCACGCCTCTGTCGCTCCGGACAACCTGGATTCAAGGGCAGAACCGTCGCGTCTGGTGCTGCTGCCAGTAGTCTGGCCTTGATTGAGTCTTCGCTCTGGAAGAGCCTAAGAGCGCTCCAGGTTTCTGTGTCCTGCCTGCCCTCCATCCTTCGAAGAATCTTTGGGCTCTGTACGGCATCCACATAGGCATACGCTCGTCTGTGCGCCGATCTCCTTCGGCAGGTCAATCAGCAAGCAAAAGTCAGAGAAAGAGCAGGACGCGAGACATCGGGTGCCCTGCGCGTTGAAGACACGGGGTCCTGGCCCGGGGACCAACCAAGCGTTGAGAGGATCCAAAGCCCACACGTTCCCCGAGCCGTTCGCCCTCAGTGCTGAATGCTGAGGTGCTCAGTCCCGGGACTCGAGAGTTGACGCGGCCGTGCCTTTCTCTGTCGGCATGCGATCGATGCTCCTGCACACATTCGTCGAGTCCCGGCCACCGCTCTCCCTCCTCACCAGCGCGTCTCTTTCGGCAGGTATTCTCGAATGGCGATATAACCAAGATTCCCAGTCACCATGTCAGCTCAGTGCAGGGCTACCGTCTGAGCTGTTGAAGGGACCAGACCGCCGTGGACCACAGGTACACCATACACAGGAGTCCGCCGCTTTTCCTTCCCAGAGTCTCTTGTTTGTTCTCGACCCTTTTGACACCCAACAAGATGTTGGGGAAACTCTTCAACCTCGGCGCCGGAGCCGGGACACCTCCTCTGGCCCAACCCCCCTCGCAGAAGACATTCCCGCTCGAGTCGGTACAGGAAGACATCCATACGCGGCACCTGCTCTTCCCCGATCCCCAAGACCTGTTTGAGCATCGGCCCAACCAGCTGTACCCCTTGTCCAGCATTTCTTCTGCGTCCACACACACAACCAGCAATGCCTTCGACTACAATGCAGACATCGAGCTTGACATACCCGATGTGCGCATCATCATCATGCAGGATGCCCTAAGTTCAGTTGCCGCTTCCCTACTGTACGACAGCCAACCTCCTCCTCCGGTTCCCCCGACGTCTCTCGACCGTCCTTCGGCAACCGCCGGCTCTTACGTGGTTCAGGAGCCACGCAAAGGCCCTCTGTCTCCACGAAAACCCAGCATCAGTCTTCCGCAGCGTCCTATGGTGATTCAATCTGGCAGTCCCAGGAATCGTCAGGGAGCATTTGATCGAAGGCCATCAGTTCACAGCCGCAACCAGGGGTGCATCGAAAGCGAATCTCAGCGTGCCTGGCGCGAGTATCGAGAAGAACTTGCTACCTTTTCTAGTTGCATCTTTGGTAATTCAGAACTCATGGCTTATAAGGGAACCTCAACTAAGGTACATGTTGTTCCTTCGGATGTGCGGCAACTTGATGGCGGTTTTGGTGATGGTCGAAACTCCATAGGCAGGTCGACAATGCGCACTAGCCGGCTCTCACAGTCGTTTACCTCAGAAAACCAGCACATGTTCACTTCACCCACCTCGAACATGTCTTTGCGTAGTGTCGATCGGAAGAAGGTACTCATTACGAGATTGTTCCCGGTTAATCTGCCCTTAGACGAAGACATCAGCCCCTTCTCCGACGACAATATTCCCGATCATTCCAAAGCCGCAGAGCACATCAACCCCAAAAGATTCCAACCTCGGCAGAAGCGGACGCCGATGTACGCTGTGGCCTTGATCATCAGTCTCCCCCCTTCCAACATTCACGCTACTCCGGCGGCAAACGCATTACGGTATGGATTCAAAAGCTCCAGCTCCTACGCCGAGCAGGACTCCTTCCCGTCTTCCTTAAGCTCCACTCGACGCTCAGGCTGGACCTTTGTCGGTCAAGGAGGAGGAGGAGGGCAGGATTTGTTCGATACCAGCTTTGGGAGCGAAACGGACGATCAGATTGACGCGATCACCCAACACTGGGACATCATCATGCGGACGCTGAGTCATTTACAGACCGTCGTTGCCAGCACTTTGTTTACCATGCTCAGGCAAGCAGACCGTGCATTCCCGGATCCCGTCTCTCCTTTATCAACTCAGGTAACCAGAGGATCTGCTGGGAGTAGCCGTCGTGGCGATGATGGGGCCGCTATCAAGACCACGAAGACGAACGCGAAGCATATCACATTGCTTCCTAATTGTCTTCTGGATAACAAGCAGATCAGCGCAGAGGTCGATGCTGCGAGGACGAGAGTCGTCGCCGGTATTCGTGCCTCTCGGGTGACAACGGGCCAGAATCGTTGGCCGATATGGCGGGAGGAAGCTCGATGGGTGGCTCGGTGGGCTGCTGGAAAGGAGCAAGGCTTCTTCTTTTTTAATCTATTGACAGCCTTTCTTGCAACCCATACCGATTGGATGCAGGCACTCTGTCCCCCTTCGTATCGTCGCCGGCATTATCTCCATCAGCGAACGAAGGCGGAAGAAGATGCCTCGGTTCCCGCGCGAACCATAATCGTTAGCGACAACAAAATTGCGGCAAGGCGGCTGATCTTCTTGTTATCGGCATTCCTTCCTGCATCTCAGCTCCTCCCTGGGCCCAGAGCTCACCGTCCGAGTACCCCGGCTTCTTTAAGCGCGCTATCCCAGTCGCCCCCGTCTTTCGTGGTCCCTATTCTTAAGGAAGATTCTCTGCGCAGGAAGATCCATCGCCGGACGGGCTCACGTATGCCATCTCACTCGCGCAACCTCAGCGTGCAGTCACACGCTGCACGTGCAGGTGGCTCTATCCCTCTACCACTGGCTCATTTGAGCATGGAAGGGAGACATGAGAGGCGGGCCTCGGATGCTGCATCAATTCGTACCACTCAACTACCCATTCGTGGGACTGATCCCCGGAAAACCGGTGCAGCAACCACTACCACTATCACACCGGAAACCAGCATCCCGCACTTCTCCGGTATATATCGAGCTGATATCTTCTCTCAGGGGAGACCTGGGAGCAGCAACAGTGTTGCTGCGGATGATCTAAAGCGGCTTACTCGGGATGAAAGCCCGGGCTCCCAAAGCTCGGCTGGTGGTGAACGCTGGTCTAAGTCGAGATGGAGTACCGTCATCAGCGGGATTTGGAAAAAAGAGTCGACCGCCAAGCCCACCGCGGGACAACCCGGCAGTTCATCGGCATCTGTCAACCGCCGAGAATCCGTAGCTGCTGTGTCTTCGAAGCCTGCTCAGGCCACCCAGGTTCCAGGACCTCCCGCTGCTGGACAGCCTGGTAATGCCAATACCTTTGGAACTCAGCCTGTGAGCCCGAAAAACTCAATAACTCCTTCTGCTGGACATTCCTCGGAGACTTATCCTCCTGCTGAAGCTCCGTGCCTTGCGCCAAACCCACAACGGATACCGGATCCATCCAGTGCGTTCGAATCGCCAGTGAAAACATCGATCAATCTTGACGATGGAGTTATTGACGTTGATGTCCCGCTACCTGATTTCATCACATCCTTTGAGAGTGCGGTGAGCTCACCATCGAGCAGCGGATATCTGTCCGCTTCAGGCTTCGGCACGGGGCTTGATGCATTCGAACAGTCATGCCGCTTCTCCGCCGACGGAGATGCTCCCATCAATGTAGCTGGATGGCTACAACATTACCATCCCGATTTCATACTGCAGGCTGTGCCCGCCCAACATGGCCTTATTGATCATATCAAGGCGTCGATGCAGGCTGAGCCAACCCCGCAACTCCCTCCAGGCACACCCACAGCCGAGGACGGCACGACTGAAACTTGGGTCGATGTCGCATCCGCCATCGTGGCAGATGCAACTACATTCACCATTACACGCATCCGTTACCGTCGCCTTCTCAGGCTTGGCTTTGGGATCGATCGCCAGTACCAATCATCCTGGTCGTCACCAACACGACAAGGAGATATCCAGCTGAAGGATGAATTTATCGAGGAGCCTCTTGTTACATTTGATGAGACCCTCATAGAGGCAGTCGAGAAGGTCATCGCAACAGGGTATCCTGGTTTCGGCAGCAGTACCACGGATCTTCTTGTTACCGAGACGGCCATGCCAACACCAACAAACAGTAAACTCAGCTCGGCCACTTCGTCTCGTTCAAACAGCAAGCGTCGCGACGACCGCGCATTTTTTGGTATGGACAATACCGCATCATCAACGGCTGGCGCTGAGACATGTCCCCCTTCCCAGACACAATCTAGATCCCCACTGCACACCACAGGACTGGCGCCGCCACCATCTATTGTACAAGAAATTCCGAGATCCCAGTGCAAGACAGTTTTACTGTCAGCGCTGGAGGATATCATTCATGAGGTGATTGCCGAGAGAGAGCATAGGCAGGAAGAAGAGGAGGTAACTAGAACGTTAACAGGAGAACAGCTTGGTCATGGAAAGGACATTGAACAGGGCCAACAAGGGAATGAAGGACTGGGAAGAGAGCGAGGTCGACAGATGGGAGGAGGTGTCGGTGGTGACAAGGAACGTGAGAAAGCCAAGGAGAGGGAAAGCCCACTTCGTGAGGCAGTCAGGGCTTGGATTGAGAGTGTGGATATAACTGGGGAGTGATGATGGAGCTATGTGGATTGGCTTATAATGGATTGGGATAGGGTTGATTGGTGGGTTGGTTAGATGCTCCGTTATGTTCGTTCGAATTTGATACCCCCCTAGCAGTAGCTTTTTTTTCTTCCCGGTTGTGGCATGTAGTCTGAAATCTCGCAGGACGCTTTGAATTGAAGAGCTGGTTACTCAATGGCCACAATCTGCCCTGCGTAGTTTGCGTTTCATTCGAGAGCCTGGTAATAGTCAGGTTACTATACGACTCTTGATTGCCCACCAGCACCCTGTGTTTAAGTGACAACAATGCATACAAGGCAATGCCGTTCCCTTCCTCGAGGATGTTTCTCATTCCTTGTCTGTTCTGGAGTCTCCTGTTCCGAACGTCGCCGTCCAAAAAGAGGTACCAGTTATTGTACTGTTGTATGTGGCTGACTTGTTGATCAGCGTAACAACCTATTAGCGCCTGCTTAATTACGTTCTCTTCCGCCTCCCTATACACCCAATTGGTCAGGATGTATAGGAACGTAGCATTAAGCCATGCCGAGGAGGATCCCCCATGCGTAGAGAGCAAGCCACTGCCGTTCGGCTGGGACTCGGACGTGATCGGACAAGACCAGTAAGATCGTGGATGCTAATTTTGGACGCTGGTGTGTCCACCCGCAATTCTACAATGGGGGATTGCAGCCATTTGCCAGATACAACAATCTAGATCAAATACGAAGGTGATGGCGATTTATTGACTAATGTGTCTTGTGACTATTGTGTTTTACTAAGTCGTTGATGGAAGTTAGGCACTGTTGTACATATCCTCAGTCTCTATCTTGTCCTTATTACAGTATTAGCAGTTCGCAGTTAGCCTAGCGCAGGCTCAATTCAAGGCCCGCTGCTTCAATCGACTGTTCTGACCATTGACTTGGCATCATGCTAAATTCGCACTCCTATTGGGCCCCACGGCAAAGCTGGGTTACTTTAGTCTTCCGATTCGAATCCCGAACCAGTGAAAGCAAAGGGGACCAGGCATTGAACTGGGGCTTTCGGGAATCGTTGCTTGGCTGAGGGACGTTTCCACACAAGACTTCTATTGTGTGCCTTTCACGAAATTTCGGCTCTCCACATACGTTCAACAGCTTCCTGGGCGAGTTGTGTCATGAGATGTTTTCCGGCTTTGGTGATGCGGGTGGTAGGCTGTGGCCGGGTTGAGTTTCTTGCTTAGCGGCTAAAGAGGACGGTTAAAATCCAAGCCATCGGGCCCGGCCGACGTCATCGGTGATCTTATCCTGCAAACGGGAGCATTCCCGAGCTAAGGCTCGGGACAAACGTTCAAGAACTTTCATACACGGGGAGTCGTTATCAATCTGGAGTAGTCTCTTGCCTTGAGGGGCCACTGTCGATCTTGGATGACAAGTTCTAAGTTCGGTTAAGACTGTGATGTTTTGTAGAATGTAAACGGAAGCTCTTATGCAAAAGACAAGGGCAGAGGAGTACATACATCAGTTTGACCCTTTGGTTGTCTTTGCATTAAGTCGCCCCAGTCTCTGTTTTATGTCGGAAGTGTTTGTGTGTTAGTCAAGGTGTGTCAAGGTACCTAGGCAGCATACGCTCTGCCAAACTCTGTAGTTTAGCCTTGTTTTTGCCTTTATCTTCACTGGTGCCCATGCAGCAAGATTCAGAACGGTGTCTGACACGTAGAGCCTCTCTTAGAACAACAACTCCTCCTGCTCTATATTTACATAGGCCATGCCATGGAAAGCTGCGGCTCCTTTAAGCTGCCCGGGCTCACCAGGAAGTAGCAGAAGAGTTGGGCACCATATAAGCTTTGCTTGAACGCAATATACTTGTAATTTCCCGGGACCATGGTTCTCAATCCCCCCGGTAGTTGGGGCAATATCTAACCATCCATCCATGCCAGCATTAGATGGTGACAACTCTTGAAACGACATATACACGTGTCGAACGACCTCTGCCTCTGAGGGGAAACAGTTGCTGATTCGTCTTAGAAGTGTGCACTTACTTTTTGAGCTCTTATCAGGTCTTGCTGTCTTGGGGTGGCCACAGGTGATCGACGCGCATTTTCGGGCGCTGCTAATTGGTCGGCGCAGCCCTTATATATGTAGGTACTGTTGAGGTATCGCACAGTCACCGAGGCGCAGGCAGCTAATCAAAGTTCTTATGCATGTTGAGCCATTGCCGGCCATGATCCCAACCTTGATTTGCGAGAGCTGAACAGCAATGTCCATGCCCGAGGAGAAAAATGAAATTATATGATATCTGCATGGAATATCAAAACCCAGTTCCTTGCATTGTTTTCTCAGGCACCATTGACCTAACTATGTTCCCTAACCTGGTACCTGATGTTCAGGTCCTTCAGCATTAGTAGATTACTTCCCAATAGAACCCAACCTGCGGGGATCGTACCCCATCCTACTGTAATCCATAGAGCGGGTTACTTGTTACACAGTATGTGTGGTCCTCTGACATGGCCACAGATACCCGAACAAACAGTATACACTATTGATTGATTGGTTCAACAAGCGCAGCGGTCTGCCCCTGCGCTTCCCTCTCATCCAACCAAGTCACCAACAACTTGCTGACCTCAAAACAATCAGCCGACATTGACTGTCTCACTCTTACTTTTGCACCACTGTAACAATCAGAGAGACAAAACTACGTGCTGTTTCTGATCTCTCCTCAAACTCTACTGTCTCTTCGTTCAGTCAACAACAGAGAGGTATCTCCTATCAACCGTACCGAGTAAATTGATGCAATCCCTGGCTCCATGCTCATCCAATCCTTCCAGGATGACCGCGACTCCTTCTGACTCTTGAAAAATGCTGAGAGAGACATGTCACCCATTCCTCCATGCCTTCAGCTTGCAGTCGAGAATCCTATGCACGCACATCTTGCTGCCCCTTGATTCTGCCGGATCATTGATATCACTTGTGCTGGTATGATCACAGCGCGCAGGTAGCCACCAAGGCAGTGAGAAGATGTTAAGTAAGAAAAGTACTGGCTGTCAGCTGATACGAGCAACAAAGCCATTTGTCTGTGCCGTAAAGACACCTTGGAGCTTCGATGGCTCACAAACCTCTTTTTAGTACTTTGTGTACCATTTTATGTGTGACTGTGCCGCATCCAAACAAAATTGAACTCCAAGAAAGCTGTATAAATCTGTTTACCACCCCTACTCCTTCCTTTCCCTCACGATGCACGCTCATTGATACCTCCAAAAAAAAAAAAACTCTGCGGGCCGTTTCGCTGATGACAATCCATTTTCAAGTTTTGTGTCACAAAGGACTCGTTTATAGCTCCCGCTTACGCACCTGCGTCCAGGCTTACCTACAAGCACATACTCCTGCCGACAATATCACAATCATCACATTTACAGCTGCGATCAACTTAACTCCTTCTCCATTGGCAGCACTTCCAATCTTTCATATCACTCACACAGCTATTGCTGACAGTCTAAGTCACAAAGCCACCAGAAGATCCGAGCTGAACAAGCAATGCGCATAACCAAGTATTCCAGTGTCGCCGCATGCCTCTTTTGCTTAGGGGGTGCGGTTCCCTGTGGACAGTCATTTATATATGTGTCTGGTTGGGGTAATGAAGGAATAAGAGGCATAACAACACTCAAGTTGGCGGGCTCAAGCTTGAGTGTTGTCTTTAACACTGACGAGTGTGGTTTCACTCCTACTTGGTTACAACCAGCCAACAATATCCTGTACTGTACCAACGAGGGTTGGTCTGAATCATCAACTTTGACTTCTTTTGCGGTCAATAGCGACGGCAGTCTTTCCAAGCTTCATCAAGTTCTTACTCAACTTGGTCCAGTCCACTCTGTGGTGTACGGCGGAGGGAGCAGGTTAGCTGTACCTTACTAGTAAGTCAACTGTCCTGGACAAGATGGAGTTCTAGGGTTGAAACACAATGAGCTAACTTACACCCCAGTGGCTCATCTGGACTCAACCTCTTTGACATCGCTGATCCAAATGTTGGCCCTCGTCTCCTCCAAAACTTCACGTTTGTGCAGCCAGGCGACATTCCCAAACTTGAAGGAAATGAGCAGCAAAGGGTTCCACGACCGCATCAGGCTCTGCTCGATCCGACCGGAGAATTCATCGTTCTCCCTGATTTGGGGAGCGACCGTTTACGTGTATTGAGGGTGGACAAGCAAGCATTACAAGTCACTGATACTGTAAGTACTGTGCTTTCAAGTTCGGTGAGCCGGACTTGGCAGATTTCTAATAGCATGTGTGTTACTCTGCAGGGCAAGGATCTTGTGTTCAAGCGCGGGAGCGGCCCAAGACATGCTGTGTTCTTCAAGTCGGGGACCAATACGTTTCTGTACATCATTACTGAGCTGAGCAATCGTCTTCTTGGCTATAAGGTCTCCTATGAGAACGACAAGACGCTTGGGTTCACATCGATCCAGGATCTCAGTACCCACGGTGGCCAGGAAGCTCTTCCAGATCATTATAAGGGCTCCGAGATTCTGATCTCTGTAAGTTGACTAATCACTACCACCTTTGTCATCAGGCTATAGCAGGGCCTAACCGATGTGCAAACAGCCTGACAACAAATTCCTCACTGTTTCTTCTCGAAACGAGAGCACACTTCAGTTTACCCTTGCCAATGGCACAACTATTCCTTCAGACCCTCTGATAAGCTTTTCCATTGACCCCAATACAGGAGTTTTAACACATGTCCAAACAGCATCTGCTGGGGGTGTTTTTCCTCGGCATTTTTCTTTCAACAAGGATGGCAGTTTGGTTGTGTCTGCGCTGCAGAACGACGGCCGCGTTGTTGTCTTCCAACGAGATGTGAAGACCGGGAAGATTGGTAACAAAGTTGCAGAGATAGACCTGCCTGGCATGAGCCCTGCGTTTGCTATGTTCAAGCAATAGGGGTTTGAGGGGGCAGTCTGTGAGAACGCCAGGGGGCCAAGTGACACTCTGCCCCCTTTTCCTCGGTCACTTCTGATTCCCACCCTTTCTTGGTTCGATGCTCAATATGCTCATGGGCAGTTTCCGGAATTTTAGTTGGCGTAATCAGTACACGTATAGATTAGAATCCAGGCTTACTCATATTTCAGGGGTCATCATGATATGGACTTGGGATCTACAGTACAATATTAGGGTAACGAAATGGAAGGTATACTTAGAACGTCTTCATTAGATAAGAAAAATGCTGACTTCACATTTCTGACAAAATGGGACTCCAGTCCTAAGCAGATGAACAAGACTGATCTTGATGTTTTTGGTCATCATGTTGGACCTGATCACAAAGCCGTGTGCGAGCTGTTGGTGGGGATCTCGAAGCCAAAACCGACCAGGTGGTCATGAATTCCCACCTGAAACCGGGACGTAACAGCAAATCTCCCTAAGCGCTTGCCAAGCACACATCGTCACCAACTAAGGATCTCCTCGAGGGCTCTTCCTGAACCCCGATCCACGGCTATGGAACCCAGGCGAGTCTACCCTGCTCTGCCTGCAGGCGTTGTCTTCAAGGACTTAACGGCTGGACTGCCTGTTGTTGACTGGTTTGTTTGCCTTGTTTGTGGATGTGCGTCGGCACACTAAGGTATGGAACATCAAAAAGGGGAAGGGCTCGGAGTCTTGCAAAAGCACTTTTTTTCTCCAATGTTGGTCAAAAATGATTATGTTCTTCCAGTGGAACTCAGCTCTTTTGGGCAAAGTGCTTCCTCCCCCCCTGTGAATCGCAAAGTTCTTTTGTAAAATCAGCCCGCGAAGATCACTTCCCCCACAACTACAGCAATATAATTAAACTTTCATTATCCCGGGTGCTGTATACACTGGAACTTGCGATCCCAGTGGTATGTATTTATTGTATGTATGTAGTGGCGTGTATTTCCAAGTTTGGTCGAAAATTTTAGGGTATATCTAACGTCTTTTCCAGCTTTAACTCTGATTTAACCCCTGAGAATATCTAGCTTGGCTGCGACTGTGTGAGGTTTAGTGACCGTCTCCACTGGAATAATGCAGACACGACCTCTAAACCTTCCACCCTGGAGAAATGAGGATTTGGCCGTACTGTTTGCTAAACGGTGACTTCTTATGTAGAGACGACGAGAGCCCAAGTCTTAATTCGTATGTCAACAGCAGCAGGTTTCATAGGTAGAAGTTGCATTTGCGAATCATTAAGCCAACGATATTGGCGGCTGCGTTGGCAATATGATGAAGATGGTCTTCGTAGCCATCAAAAACCTGAATTCAAGATCCGATTCGGCTCGGCACGTGCTCATGTGTACATCGAGAGGATTTGAGTTCCCAGTCTGTAATTGAAATCCACACAGTGCCAGGCAGGCCGATGATGATGGCCAAGAGTACAAGGGGGAACAAGAGGTTTGAGAATCGGCGACAAGGTTTGTAGACTCGAACAATTGTCCTTGCACGCACAGTCAGAGCCTGTCCAACTTTCACGCGGAAGCATACTTGTAGCAGCAAATCTTGCGAGTGCGCAATGCGTGATTACTTCGTACGGATCAGTACAGTTGCCACTGTTGGCAGCCGATCTCGCAAGCAACCGATCTTGGAACGCAAAAAGCTGGGACCGAAAACTTTGACGACGGCAGCCACAACTTTTTCTGGAAGGAAAACTAGCTTCTTCACCATGTAACGGTAGGCACCAAAGTCAACATGACCCAACAAGGGACGGATCTGGATGTCACCATATATATTGTAAAAGGGCACTTTGGGCACACACACCCTCACTGGTAGATAGAGGGTAGAAGTCTCCGCACGCTAGATGGCCCCTGGGCGGCTCACCAAATCTTGGGGCACCATCCGCGGAGCCCTACAACCATTCCACCTCCCCTAACCATCATCAAGTAGACGTAGTATCCGGCAGCTGAGCGCAGGAAGGGATCCTTGTTGTGGAAATGTGCAATGGCGTGTGACCCAAGGGACTTGCGGAGCTTTGGTAGCATTGGATGGTCTGGATACTTTAACCACAATCAAGTCAGTTTGGGTCCAGCGAAACGAAGGCTCATGGCCATGGGGTGGGCTGGTGTGGCGGCAGTCTTGGAGGGGAGCAGGGGAGCAAAAGATCGAAGTCGACTGGATAACCTAATTGCTCAGGTATTACGGTCCAGTTGCGTGCTTTCGGGGCGATCAAACAGTAGGTAGGTAGGTAAGGGACCTGTACGTGTCATTGATGAGGCCAGGGTCGAGCCTGTGGGGCTGCCTATCTCCGAGGATGGGGGGATTTTTACTCCGTGACCTACCTGAAACATGCAGGTATTACCTACCTTACCTAGATATGTAGGCGATGGTCGAAAACAGACGATGCCTGTCATCATGAAAGAGGAGAAAGGGCTCTTCTTCCAAGAAGACTGTGGTGATGAGGTTTAAAGTCTGGACTGTTGGTATCCGTTGAGGACTCCGCAGAATCTTGCAGGCTTATCAAGCTGCCAACCCGCTATGCTTGTTCATTTTCTTCGGAATCCGGGACTTGGCGGCAAGCTGGTAGCACGTCGGATGCAACACACAGCGGATACCCAACTTACTTGCCGGTAGATGACTACCGTTGGCGAGAAGCTCTGAACCAACCTGTCGTCCTACCTACCCCCATGAAATCACACGCACGAAAAGAAAACCGATACTGTTGGGTGAAAAGCACGGACCCGACCCTCGGAACTGTTGAATCGACGGAGCTAGCAGGGGCGGTAGGCCAAGATCGGTCGATATCTCCACCGGCCACACTCCCGACCGATGTGAACTTAACGGACTCGGCAGCGTCCCCACCTGCACTGCGCGGTACATACGGAACACCAGGTGGCAAAGACCTCGAGCCGAGATGACGGATGGGTTCTTGGTTGATAATGTGCGTTGCTCTGGCTCGTTCGGGCATAGCTGAGGGTATAGCGTCAAGCATACCCGTTCAACGGGAGGGCCCATCCTGGTGTCAGGGTGTGTGTGTGCGGGATGGTCTGTAGCACTCTCATAGGTTATCTAAGGTTATGTATTCGTACTAGTTCTTCCATCTGGGGCTGTGCAAGCGGCTGGAACACGCGGGGGAGAATGTGTGGGGGAATGGTGAATCGGTAATGACGACTTTCTGCTTTTTAAAAGTCGCATATGACACCAGAGTTGTAGACCTGGAGAGGATCTCTTAATATCGACTCCCGAACGCTACCCTATAGCGCAGCCGCAAATCGGGCTGAGGAAGTCTGCATGTGCGGTCTGTAGAGGCAGGCAACATCAATCAGTGGTAGCATGTGTTGATTAATATATTGCTGTGGATTCGGAGTCCCATGACCAAGCGGGTGACCAAAGGCTCGGGTTGCCGAGATGCGGCGGCGAGGCCCAGTCAACTGTTTTTGGTCGTAGACAGTAAACAAGACTTACAAGGTGCATCTCTTGCGGTTGCCACAGATGCTGCAGGGCCTAGAGACGGTCACGTAATACAAGCATCCATAACATGCTGTTTTGAGGCTGTAGAGACTTCTATCCTGGCTGTAGACGTCGGCCCGCCTTACACAGCTCTGAAGGTTCAGAGTCGGTATGTGTAATCCATACCACCACAGAAAATACCTAGCCCAAATATGGTGCATGCGTATATGCATTATGCCAAAACAGAACATTGGATCCCTGTTTAGTTGGCAGCTTCCGTTTGCACTGTTAGTGCATTCGTTTGTGAGGAAATGTGCTATTGTAGCTAACTAACGGTCAAAACGGCGTTAAGTACAAGCATTCGGACCGACAGCAGCTCTGGCTGCCCAGTGGAAAACGTTCCTGGCAAGCCACCGATACATCCCGGAACCACATGCACCATGCAGCCTGACCTTTCCAGGAAACTCTTCAGCCACACCACACGCCGAGCGCTCGTACCAGATGCAGCAAAACGGACGCCGGGCCGCCGTTATGACAGCCACACCTTGATGGACGATGGAGAACCACGCCGCTTGCCCAGAAGGGAAATCAGCGAGCAATCTTTGGTCGAACGGAATTCTTGGCTGGCCATAACCAGAGGGTATCTAAGGCGACAGTAACAACTCACCTGCAGCGCGCGATATTGAGACCTGATGAAAGGGACAAAGTTCTCTTCAAGCAGATGACGGTGGCATGGCAGGTTCCGCCTGTTCTCAAACTCGGTTCTTAATCTCGAGAGCGCCATCCTCCTGCCGAACCTCCAATGCCCGTTCGCTCTCTGCCATCCTTCTCTCGGTTACCCGAAATAGGACGCGGCTTGGTTGACTTTTCCAACACAGCGAGCGGCCTGCTGACATCCTTATGTGGCAAAGGTGGAGAGAGTCCTGGTTCGTCGCGTCGCTCACGGGACGCCCCTCGCTGTCGATAAAGGCAGGACGTGCTTTGGCATTTTTGTGAGGGTAAGCCACGCAGCTTGTTGGAAGACAGTTTTCGCCAGGCAAAGCAGGCACATGACTTTTCGGTTGGCATCAATGATGGCGGACCCAAGCGAGCCAAGACGGCAGGACATGGAGGTTCACAATGCTACAAGAATCCAAGACACAGCACCAGCCGAGCCCACGAGTCCACGGGCGCAATGAGGGCGCAGTTGGAGTCAGCAACATGCGGTGGAGCGACCGGTCCCAAGCACGGACGTGCGTGACTACCTGACCTAAGACATGCCGGGGGTAAAGCACGGCAACCCCGATTCCCGCGGGCTGCCGACAGCGAGCGATCGTGGGCAGTCCGGCATGCGGAGACCTGACGAAATCGGGGGGCTGTGGAGTGGAAGCAGCTTCTCGAAGCTTGCCTCGTCCACCTCTGGATGGGGCCTTGACCAGCGAACAGCTCGGATGGCCCGGGCTTAGGGCTGGCGTGGTTCGATAGCCAAGAGTTTGAGGGGGTAGCGACACTGCCTACCGCTGGATTTATGCTAAATTGATGGTTGCAAGACCTATTAAAAAGCCTCGCTGCGTGCGCGGTCTCTGAGTACACTTTATACGCTTCCTCTGCGATAAGATCTCGTCTGAGACCACGTGTCTGCGGAGTTCAAATCGCCCGAGAGGATCAAAACTGCTATATATAAGGCTGGCATGGTTTACAGGACAGATTACCAGGACGCGGGTGGCGGAAGTATTCTTCGCAAAGGACAACGGCCTGAAATCATTGTCGATGATAAGACAATGGTGCTTTCTGAACGCTGGACGTAAATTGTGGAGCAGCAGCAACACATGATGCCTGACTTATGGAGAACAACGCATACTGTAATGAGATCAAGTAGCGAACGGAGCATCGAGCTTTTGTGAAAAGGGTTGTTTCTCATGCGGGGTCCAAGTCTAAGAAGGAAAGGTGCCAGCAGGCAGCGCATCTTGACCGTACGAGCAGATGATGATATTCCTTTGTCTGACAGCAGCCTGGGTGTTGCAGGCATGGATCAGTACGACCAAGCAGGCGCATTTTCAAGCCAACCTTATGTGTTTGTCCATCTGCACTGCTTGATGGGCTATATAGTGTATGGAAAATTCTGTTAGAGGTGCCATTAGCTGAGGAGCTAGAGGCGGGCATATCCAGGTAGAGAGGTATACGTGAGTGAAGCAAACAGCGGCTTCGAGTTGCCCATGTATCTCCAGAAATTCCAGACTGGATGTTCCCTTCATCCGGGTCAGCAACTGGGCTCTGGACGATACGATGATGACTATAGTCGAGTCAAGAAGCCAAGAAATCGGGCATTCGTTAAATCCAGCGTTAAAGCTAAAGATACCTGCCTAAAACTAAACCCTCTCCGGCGAGCGCTCCGTGCCTCGTCTCATGTTACGACTACAGAGGAGCTTAATGACAGCTTTGGGTGAACCTTACCTAGCTGACCAACAGCTGCACCAGTCGATCTCTTGCACCCCGATCACGCTGTGGTACCTACAGTACGTCCAGAAGCCACAAGCACTGCGCCGAACGTCTCGAACTGTGGAACGTCTGTGCGCTTCTGTAAAGAAACGAGTCAGGTAGGTCTCCATAAGCCCTTTAGGTAGATCATCAAGATTTATCTGGCAGGAAGTAGTAGACACCCGTTCCAACATGACAGAACTGGCCATGAAGATACAGGCTGGGGAGATATGTGGGCCGTGAACAACGGTCAAAATAACATGAACGATAGAAAGAATTCAGCGATGCGTGAAGATGCCTAGCAGGCGATTGCAGCTCCTGTAAGTGAGTCGTTAACAAGCCTATTGTTGGAGAGCTCGGGAGTAACGAAAGCGCTGTGGGTACATTCGGCTTGCTTGCAGATTACGGGTTGCAGGAATGTGAGGGGGTCAGCGTTCTCGAACTTGAAAGGTTCCGCTGTGTAAGTGCGAACTGCGAGAGGGGGGGGGTTTCAAGGTTGCGCAAAACGGCTGGAGTTGGAGACCCCACCCCCGCGTTTTTTTGATTCGCATGTTGTCCAGCTCCCCTTCATTTTTTGCTCTCCTCCGCATCGGACCCACCTTCAAGGTCCCCGGTGTGCCCAGAACTCCAGCGACCCAAGTAACACAGCGGTCCGCAAACAGCGCTCGCTACTGGCTGGGCAATGACCGTTTCCACGCCGGTGTTTGACGCTGCTCCATGTTCTCGTGAAATGAAATGCTATAGAGGAGCAGGCGAAATGCGAGCCCGGCGACAACCGACCTGCGGCCTCTATGGACCGCACGTTACCTTATACAGCGAGCCAAAAGTGAGAAGGAGTGAGAAGCATGCGATGGAGGCTGCTTTCCCGTAACACTGCTGCGAGGAGCATCCAATGCCGGTCACAGTGGCCATGCTGGAGGGAGGTGGAGAAGAGCCTGGAGGCCCATATCCGCTTTCGCACGCTAGCACAGCGTCAACCACCACCGAACTGGGCCAGCCCAGGCCTGTGCAGGTTGTTCGAGCAGAAAAGCGACATTTGAACCACCCCACAGGCGCCCACAAGGAGTGTCTGCTCTTGGTTCGCTGCCACCTTGCATGCAACCCTCAACAGGGGATGTGGCCGAGCAGGACTTTGGCGGATTGGCCTGCTGGTCGTGGTCGGTCTTGGTGGGCAGTCAACTCCCTTTTGGGACTAGCGCATGGAACCCTGACGCCCCACCGTTCCGTCCGTTTTATGGCTGATTTTTGAGTGGCTCCAGCCGCGCAAGCAGCTGGCGGCCAGCGACCTGCTTGCCTACACACCTACGTACCAACAAAACAAGAGCTTCAAGGAAGTCGAAAGAAGCACACACACACACACACATAGAGAGAGAGAGAGACATCAGCCCAGGATTGAGAACTGGGTGGTCGTCCTAGAACACCTCCATTGCCGTGGCAGCCATTTCGCTGACTGGAGATCGCGGAGTATTGCATATCTCCAGGCTACGCACTTCTTGCCTGGCCTTCTTCACCCACGCTCTATACCTAACGGCCTGGGCAGGTAGCCTAGTAGAGGGTAGGGTTCGCTACAAGTAGAACTTGAACCATAGCATCCTGGAGTTCAGGTTCCTCCGCAGTGACAGCGACGGTTCAACCGTCAACGGTGGACTTGGACTTACACTACACTATACTAGGTCTACCGAAGCAAGCTTCCCGGGCTCCCCTGTCACCACTGCCGCCGCCATTTGCCCTCGTCAGGGCGTCCGACACACACCGTGCCCTTTGCTCTGTCTGGGCCCCTCGACACAGACAGACGCTAGCCCTGTCTGGCCTTGCTTTGCTGTGATTAAAGGTGCCTCTTCTTGGGGGGGGGGTTCTTCAGCGCCACTGCCCAGAACCGATCCTACACACTTCCCCGGTCCTGTCCCCGCCCGCACACCACAGCGTGCTTCTCGGCAAAGTGGTAAGATATCTTAATATGAACCTTCGCTCCCAAAGGCCCGGAGTCGCTTCCCACCTCTCCCTACCACTGCTACTCACACCAGCGCCCAGTACTGCCACTTAATCCGCACACTGCTCTGTGTTATCCGGCCAACTCTGACGCCCTCTCCCAGTCCAGCCAGCCCAACGCAGAGCCCGTCCGTCTACCAGGAATCTGGCACCGGATCAGAGACTATCCTGTCCGTGGCTCCCCGATAATGCGAATTCAAGAGCGCGCCACGCGTCCCAGTGTTCACGGAGTTTGCGGTGTTTGAATATCCTACTTGAAGCTAGCAGCAGCCCGCCCGCGCTTATACGTTTACTACTGGCGGATCGGCGGTCTCGCATTCACGCTTCTCTAGTCTGTGAAGCACCCGGCCGCTGCGCTGCGCACTTCGCGGTGTCGTCGCAGCTCGACCAAGCCATTCTTTCGCACCGCCCATCATGGCCCCCTCGTCCAACGGCGACTCTCCGCATTCAGCAACGGCCAGTTCCATGACGACTGCTGTCGCCGCCGCCTCGGCTCCTGGCGCCCATGGCGCGCCCCCGGTCGTCAGGCAGTATCAAATTCCAAACCGCGACTTCACTGTTGAGATCCCGGCTCCCGGGATTGCTGCGGCCGCCGCCAATGGCGCAACGTCTTTGAAGTCTCCAACCTCATCCTTGAAGTCCGCCGCTCGGACTCCGAGTTTCACCCGTGAAGGTATCCTCGGCTCGGCGCAAAAGACTCGGAATATGTCGCAAGCAGCCACTGCCACACCTGCCACTGCTACGACTGCCACTGCAACAACCGATACGAGACCAGACAGTTCTTCGAACGGTATTGTCGCAAAACCGCCTTCTGAAGAGAGTGTAAATCCCCTCAAGAGGAGAAACCCCGATACCGGAGTCGACTATCCCCGGAGGAGAGCAACTATTGCGGTACGTTGAAGCGGTAGCTTATGGGGGTCTTGGAGGCTGACTCTTTGGCAGTGTGAAGTATGCCGCTCGAGAAAGTCTCGGTGCGATGGGACGAAACCGAAGTGTAAACTATGCACCGAACTGGGTGCAGAATGCATCTATCGAGAGCCGGGCATCAAGCTGGATGCGGGTGACAAGCTCATCTTAGAGAGGCTGAACCGAATTGAACATCTTTTGCAGATGACCCTGGTAAACCAGCAGCACAACGGCATCGGTCTATCGCACGATTCGCCAAACATGAGCAATGGCACAGCCTTGAGCGGAGAAAACATGATGATGCAGAACCCAACTAATTTCGTCTCTATCATCCCCAATGGCGGCTTTGGGACCTGGTCTGCGACATCCAACAGCCTCTCAACCATGCCGAAAGTACACACGAACGCTGCTCTTCACCTTCTTCAATGGCCGCTGATTCGGGACTTGGTGTCTCGGCCGTATGACCCGCAGATTCTCCTTCAGCTGGAAATGGCCCGCGAGCCGCTTCATTCTCTAGCAAAGACACCCTGCGTCGACCTTTCCAATACCCAAGCCTACATCGAAGCTTACTTCGACCGAGTCAACGTATGGTACGCCTGCGTGAACCCTTACACCTGGCGCAGCCACTATCGGAGTGCATTGTCAAACGGTTTCAGAGAAGGGCCCGAGAGCTGTATCGTGCTGTTAGTCCTTGCGCTCGGCCAGGCCAGCTTACGTGGGAGTATATCAAGAATTGTTCCGCATGAAGATCCACCAGGGCTCCAATACTTTACGGCTGCATGGTCGTTGCTGCCCGGCATGATGACGTCTAACAGCGTGCTCGCGGCACAATGTCACTTGCTGGCTGCTGCTTACCTCTTCTATTTGGTCAGACCTCTCGAGGCCTGGAATCTTCTCTGCACTACAAGCATGAAGCTACAGCTTCTTCTCATGACTCCAAATCGTGTCCCACCTGACCAAAAGGAGCTGATCGAGAGAATCTTTTGGAATGCACTTCTCTTCGAAAGCGACCTTCTGGCCGAACTCGACTTGCCTCACTCGAACGTCGCTCAGTTCGAGGAAAATGTTGGGCTACCTTGCGGCTTTGAAGGTGACGAGAACGAGGCTGTCGGACGGGACGATTTATGGTATTTTTTGGCTGAAATTGCGCTACGGCGACTGTTGAATCGTGTCAGCCAGCTTATCTACTCGAAGGATTCGATGGCATCGACGACCAGTCTGGAACCGGTCGTTGCGGAGCTTGATTTCCAGCTGACACAGTGGTACGAGAGCTTGCCGGCGCCGCTCCAGTTCCCATTTACAAGAACCATGCTCCCGGATCCCGTGCAAACGGTGTTACGCTTGCGCTTCTTCGCCTGTAGGACCATAATCTACCGGCCTTACATTCTCGCTGTTTTGGATAACGAACAGGCCATACTGGATCCCACGGTTCGGGACAATTGCACTAAGTGTCTTGAAGCATGCATTCGGCAATTGGAGCACATCACAGCTCAGTAAGTCTCTTCGCTCACCTCCCATGGCCCCCCCTTTTTTCCCCTTCCTCTCCTTTCCAATTGGTCAGGCTCATTGCTTTGTATTCCCTTCGCAATCTAATCATTTCTCCGTAGTCACGCCGGACACATGCCGTACCTCTGGCAAGGCGCGCTCTCAATCGTCTCTCAGACTCTGCTGGTTATGGGAGCCACGATGTCACCGTCGCTGTCCACTATTCTTTGGAGTCTTGTCCCTCACCGTGAGGCTATTGACCAGATCATCAACGATGTGGTCATGGAGATCGAACGCTACGCTGTTCTTTCACCCAGCCTCAGCTTGGCGGCCGAGATCATCAAGGAAGCTGAGGTCAGGCGTCGGGCATTCCTCAGCGGTTGACCCGCTCAGCCCTTGCACACTCAACAATGATGACCAACGCGAACATGCATCTGCTTCATCACAATTGCGACCTCTCCCTGCCCTCTTTTGCTCTCACCTAGCCCTATGTCTTCGACACCGCTTCCGGTCTTCTGGAAAGAACGGTTTCTTTTCTGGGTAGCAAATAACTCTGCGACCTGCAATTCGCCTATTGCGGGTGCATGTAGCCAATGCACGTTCGCGAACAGCCACCAATACCCAGCCGAAACAATCCCTCGGATCAGCACGACACATGAGAAGAAAAACCGATATGCAAACCGCGGCTGATCCCTATCTCTACCCAGAACATTCGCTGCGAGCCACAGTGGTTTCTGCATTGCCAGACGCTGTCGATTCTAGCATTCTGAAACCCGCTGGACCCCATGGCTCATGAAGCTTCACGACGTCGTTACGAAAATAATTCGGTACTGTACGTTTCGCCAGAAGCAGTGTACCAATTTTTTTCTTCGTTACAGAGACGATGACGACCCAATAATCTAGATCGATAATCGCATCTCACTCTCGCGCGGTAGCTGCTCCTTTTTGCGAAGTCGGGCGCAGAGAATGATGGTGTTCCCATCTGATTTGGCCGAACCAAGGAAAATTAGCTACGCCTAGAGTGGGTAGCCTGCAGGGTCGCTCTGGGCTGACACACTCTGCGTTCCACTCCCACAGGCAATCGAATTGGCCCGATTTGTTTGCAGCAAGGCTGCGGATGACCTTGGATAACGGGTGTGGCGGTCCGAAATTCCGCCCCTTAGTTGGCCATTCCCCCGCTCCCCGCGTTTGGATTCTTCATGCGCCCCGCCCTGGGTGTCACCCGATCGGTGTGCGTTCATATTCTTTGCACCTTTTTTTATTCTTCTTCTTCGCTGGCCCAACTGGCGCATTATTTTTTTTGTTCTGTTTTGTATTTTCCCCTCACTAACCATCATGAAAGGAATTTTGGAGGGCGCGGTAAATTAGGGAGGGCAGGTACAACACCGTGTTGGCGTTGGGATGGAATACCTGTTTCGATGGGTGTATGCTCTCCCGGATGGGAATGCTTCCGAGGTTTCTCTTCCTGTTCTCTTCTGTCTCGGTGTTATTGTATTTGGGCGGTGGATATATCCCATGGGGGGAGTTTACAGCATGAAACACACGTATATAGGATTGGACTTGTGACAGCATATGAATTATGCATAGAAGATACCTTTTACCCATCATGCTCTTCTCTATGTCTGCTCCGAACTGTTCTTGGGTACACTTTTTATTGTGAAGGCTTACTTGCATCCCACTGTATGCAGAAATCCGTTTCACACCGCGGCTGAGAAGAGGGATGGATCATTGCCTTGTCTACGCAACTTTGGTTTAGAAAATCCATCTGACACACTTCCATCCCTTTGAGACGATACAAACTGCTTTCAGTCATGATGGAGAAGAGTAAAAAACAATGAGACTGCATTCAGTCAAGCATATAAGACAAACGCCGCCGTTTCACCGTTCTGTCTACATACCTCCTTGCCGGCCTTTCTACCTGCCATCATCTTTTTATACATGTACTCACTCATCTTAGACCTTCCAATCGCTTTTTTCTCATCTCATTTCCCTGACAAGTACTTTCCCCACTCGCGCACGATCTCATAGCCCGGGTCCGCATTCCCGGGGCCTACGGAGAACCTGCTGCAGAGAAAGGTGAGAGCCACTTCGGAAAAAAAGGAACAGATCGGGAGCTTATGGCTCATGGGTCGCAACGTCATATGCATCATTGCATGGTCGCTTTTCAGGTACATGGGCACGTTGGTTTATTGCAGGGTTTAACGCTTTTAGGATCCGCTAGAGTGGTTGTGAATCATTAGGTGTAACCGAGTCTTGAATCAAGCGTTTTATTATCCTCACGGGATAGTTGTCCGTAGTTCCTTAGGTTAGAAAATGGAGAACACCCTTAATCCACTGAATACCCCAGTGACTAGTTCGTGCACATCAAGATAGATCACGAAAAACAACATGATTCAAGAGCTAAACGACGATAAAGTTGCTTCAAGTAAGTTCGGAATACTTGGGACCTTGGTTCCATCTACTGAATTATATCTCAATGGTAACTTTCCGTAACAAGAATCGAATCCCTCTTTACCATAAGCAATGTCGCACATATCAGTCAGAACTACACTGATAGCGTTAAAAAAGACCGTCATCCTCCATTGAGCCGAGCGCTACCACATGCCCAGCATCCTCATGCTGTTCGTGGTGTTTACTGCTACACTTTCATGGAGGCAGCCGAGAATAGGTAAGCATCATACAATGCTTGGCCGGGGGTCCTGAATGTTACCCCAATGGGCTCAGACAGGCTTGAGAGGAATGGCGGACAGGGGTTGCTCGGGAGTTGGAAACGGGTGTCGATGTTACTTTATAACCCTCTAGCATATGCCAGGGCACAACCGTTGGTCCGCAGACTCCCAACTAGGACCCGGTCTTGGAGATAACCGTGATCCGATAGCCGTGATCTAACACGGGCCGGTAGGTCAACTACCGTGCTAGACTTTCCCAGTGAAGGAAATATATCCGGCACTGGAACACGAGGTTGGCCTTCTTGCTGCTGTTTCGTGGCCCTCATGATTCCTTTTGTATCCGCCGTTTTGTTGATGCCGATACATAGCACCACTGTACACGAAGAGCCTTGATTAGCTGTTTGGATGTCGCTCCAGAAGTCACGAGAGAGGTCTGGACAAACGAGATCAACATTAGCTGTGCTGTGCTGTGTGTGTGTGTGTGTGTGTGTGTGTGTCACACCGAGAAAAGGCAGAGAAGAGCGAAGTGGAGTTCAGACCATCGCATTTCGGTCCTGTATCACATTAGGCACGACACGACAGTCCCAATTCAGAGCTTGTTGTGATGGAGCACTCAAGTACATATGACAGTCAGGGCTGATGTTCCACAACAGCAAGTCCTTGCCGAGCCTTCATGATATCTGGGAGACTATGCAGGAACTAGCTGAGTCTAGTTTTCGATGAAGCTGGGAACGACCGACTCTAGAACGTATAGGGAGAGTTAAAGTACGGATAACTAGAGCAATCCCTAGACTTAATAGCTACATTGGTTTGTAGTTGTTGACGTACATCCAATTGACAGCTATGTAGGGTTAGGCCACGGGGCCGGAGGGCAATTATTGCCCAATCGGCTCCGGTAACTGGGGCAAGCGACGGGCTGGGGTATATCACCTGGGCGGGACGAGGGAATACCCGAACTATGCGGGGCCGAAGCTGTTGGATCGAACCTGGATGCCGGACGTCGAGCAGGGTTCACCATACGGGGTAGTCGGCATCGGACGTGCCCATGTGGGAGCAGACTGCATCGGAGCTGCAGCTACCTCAGGTAGGTCCTCACGGTGCTGAGGTTGCGGGATGCGGAGAAGCGCGGAGAGCAGCAGCGACACCAACAGCATCTCCCGGTACATTCACATGCAGTCGAGTGCAGCCGGTGTAATCTCTTAGCCCGATGTGCATCATTTCATTGCAGTCGCATTGCATTCTGGAAAATTCGGTTGTATAGAGTCATGAATTCTATGTTGTACCTGAGGTCCAGACATCTTCTGTCTATGTTCTGCCGTGAGGAGGAGACCAGTAGTCTTCAATATGTCCGCTGCTTGCCAGCGCTTGGCTTGCGCTGTTGTTGCCCTCTGTGCGGGGCCACTTGGTACACCCCGCGCTAGCCGGATGGTGCGGGGCTCGAACCCTGCGGGTGGATTCCCACAACTTTGAGATCTATGATCACGTGACACAGAAATGGCGTTCCGACGAACCACCCGCCATCTGATTTTTGGTTGTTCGTGATAGGGTGGCATGGCTTACTATGGCTTCCATGATTCTGGTTTGCACACTTGATCTCGACCATGTCCTCGTCAAAGTCAAGATCGATTAGGAAAGCCCCATCTTTGCTGGAAATCCGCAGCAACCTGGGCACTTATACTACGTACTGTAGGTATCGACAGTTTCTTGCATTGCCCTCGTCCAGGCTCCATCCCGTTTGGTTAGTTTCTCCTCGGGAGCGAGGTGCGGGTGGGACAAGACTGCGACTTGCTGCATCACAAAAGCGCCCTTGTTGGCCATTGGAACCTGGCAACTGCACAACCTGGGAAGAGCGGCCGGCACGCAGCTCGCGAGCTTCTGCAATCCACAGACCACTCACCACAGTTCTACGCATGCAACCCAGATTTGGTCGAGCGTGCGGAGTTCACCACGTCGCCCAGTGATGAGTGATCGGTGATGATTGAAATGCGCGCTACTGTGTGGTCGGTAGACGCCTGCATCTACATGCGTTTAGCGAGCCCTAACCTACCAGGATGTCGGGAGGCTGCCCTATCGTGTTGTCCTGAGCTAAAGACGCCGCCGCATGTCTGCTGCCCCTCATCTGGTCTTCTTTCTGAGCCTTCGTCATCTTAATCCCCTCAGGCCACTGCTCCTCAGGCAGTTTTCATCTCTGTCTTTCCCCATTACATTGCCGACGTCGTGACCCCGCCCGAGATACCTATCTTCCATTCAACACTCAAACGACCGCGGGCCCTGCCGTTCTCAGACTGGAGACACAGATATTCAACACATTCTGCCGTCCGCTTCATACTTGGCCCCGCGCAGTGAGCAAGAGCCCAGGGGTGTCGGTGCCGGCGGCCAAACTGTCTTGACGGAATTGTGGTGCGCTGGCAATGCACCTTGGACCATCGGCGAGCCCAATCCCAGCGACTCGCAGCTAGGGCACCATAGACCCGCCCTCGCCCGGCCAACCACGCTCAACCATCTGGCCAACGACACTCGAAGCCCCAATCCCAGACTTCCCAGACGCCTGAGACCTGATCTTGCTCTTTTTGCAGTGGCCAAATTGTTGGATACCTAGGCCTCGAGACCGCGATTTTCGACGTTGCCGCACAGTCGTACTGCCGTCGTGATCAAACCTGGCGCCGCCACTGTCGCTACCGGTGTTCTTTGTCGTTACTGCTGCTGCTGCTGCTGCCGCTGCTCCCTCCGTCTTTCCCCTCACTCCAGACACAGGCGTCGGGACGAATGGCTGAGGTCGGCCGGGAGCAAGGCGGGCCCAGCACCGCACGACGCAAGAGACCCTCAAGTAAAGCCAGATCCCAGGTCGCGAATGATTGGCCCGAGCCTGGCGAGACACGATCTCGTGCCTCGCGTCGTTCGAAGCGCCATGTTCCTGCGGATATAGATGTCGATGTCGTTGAGACCCCCACCTCTTCGACTTCCTCCTCGTCCGACGAGGACGACGACGTGGACATCAAGACGTCGTCGAGGACGAAGCTCAAACGTCGTCGGGTCCGTCAACGCCGCCGAGAGCCTGCCAGTTCGACGAGCACTACCTCTGACTCGGATACGTCAAGCACGCCCCCGAGAACGCCACTGAAATCTCCTCGGGCCGCTAAGCGTTCCTCGAGCTCGCGGGTGCCCAACGCCTCGGATTCGGCACCCAACATGTCTCGTCACCACCACCCGACCTATGTCGGAGTTATTGAAGAGGCAGAAGACGATGACGAAGTTGCCCAGACACTCCCATCTCGTCCTGCGAGTCGCCAGACCGTGTCCCGTCGTGACGTCAGCCCCCGGTCTGTCCACCGCTACCGGTCGACCCCTGAGTCCAGGCGTTCTCCAAGGACACCTGTGTCCGATTCCGACGACGATGCTACTGATGCCACTTCCGACTCAGACGACCGCATCCATCTCTTCCGTCGCAAGCAGCTTCCTGCTGTTCCAAGTGCCCCCCCGCCGCCTAACATGCACAACTCGTTAAAGGAGCGTCTGGGCGGTCGTGACCCCGATGAGACTGCCTACGAAGATGACGCCGACGCTATTTCGAGGTACGCGCCGTCTACAAGACATCGGTCCAGGTCTCGTCCGCCAGAGAACAGGCGGGATCTGGATGAGTATCGTCGGCCCAGAGACATCACCGTTTCCAGTCCACCAAGTGTCGACGAGACTCGTTCTCGCTCTAGGTCTAGAAGGTATGTTGTCTCTTTGTCATCCGGTCCTGTAGTGTGGTCCATCAAGCATGTTGACTGACTTATTCTGCTAGGCCTTCAAAAAGGCATTATGAATCCGATGCCTATGTGTCTAGACCGTCCTCCTCACAGAAGAGACTCCATGCAGCATCATCCCAGAGTCTGAGTTCAGAAGCCAAACGATCGACTCTTTTTGGCGGCGCTGCGGCCTCCTCTGTCCATCCCGCGCGGCATGACAAGATGCTTGACCGGTCAGTACCCTCTTCCGCTGTGTATAGTTTCATACATTTTCTCTCCTCGCTGACACTGGCTTCGGCCTTAGTCTGACGACGTGTGTGAGCTGCGGCAATGAGGCCACTCCTGTGAGCAGAACTGTCAAGCTCAAGTGCCTACACCGCATGTGCCATAATTGCCTGCACTATATCTTTATGCAGTCATTGACAGATCCACATTGGATGCCTCCTCGATGCTGCACTAGTGACCATATCCCTCTCAAGCACGTTGCAAACATGTTTGATGCCAATTTTAAGAGGGAATGGAATCGCAAGTACATCAGATACTGCACCAAGTATCGTCTATATTGCCCATCGCGCCACTGCGGTGAATGGATTAGACCGGAAGAGATTCGACGGGAGGGCGGACGTAAGCATGGTAGATGTAGCCGCTGCAAGATCAAGATCTGCGGCTCTTGCAGTGGGAAATGGCATCAGCAGCCGGAGTGCCCGAGAGACCCAGAAACTGCGCAGTTGCTTGAACAAGCGCGGCGAGAGGCACGGCAACGCTGCTATCGTTGTCAGGGACTGGCCCAACTGACATACGGCCACGACCACATCGTCTGGTAATTGCCTTCCTGACATTTCCCTTGAAATAATGGGTGAACTTCAAAAGACACTGACGGATGATTACACAGCCGTTGCGGTGCCGAATTCTGTGTTATTTGTGGCGAGAAATGGAAAACATGTTCCTGCCCACTGTTTGAGGACGCTGGCGAAGAGGTCGTCCCAGGTCAGCTGGATATCCGGCGCAAACCATTCAACTACACATCGGCGTATGAGTCGCGGGCGCCTTCTCCCACTCGGGATTACCGTTCGGATTTTGTTCCCATGCAAAGCCCTACTCTTCGGGTGCGGCCAACAAGCTACGACGACGAAGTCTTCTGGCGCCGAATGCATGACCGCCAGCGTGATGAGCACCTTGCGCGCAGGATGCATTCTTTCGATGTTTTCGGTCATCATGAGAGCCACGTCGATAGGGCTGGCGACGAGGATTATGAGTATGAAGAGCAGCGTGGTCGTCGTCGTCGTCCTGAAAAGTCTCGAAGCTATCCCGTCGCCTTTCTCGACGACGACTATCGTCTTCGCCGTGCCGCGACGGTTGTTGCTCCATCGTCCCAACAACCGGCTGTTCCGGAAGTACCAGCGCCTGCTCGATCGGCATTCGAGCCTCCATCAAGACCTGCTCTTGAGCGTGCGGCGTCTGCCTTCGATTATCCAACTACTACGCCACGTAGTCGGAGGATGCGTCAAGCGTCTCCAGAGGGATATGGCGAATATACTACCAATCATTATACTCCAGAGCGGCGTTGCTGGCAATCGCCAGAGAAATGGCAGGGATTTTCTAGCGAACGACGTGCTCGGTCACACGACAGGCGCCACACATATCCGGTCGAGTCTCGCGCGGCGTCTCCCGACGGATGGCAGCAACTGCCCACGAGGTTCCCATCTCCTGAGAGGATAGACACTGCCTCGGAACCCCGACGCCGTGCTCATTCCTTAGAAAGGCCTCGCGCATCGTCACTCGAGAGGCGCCTTGCTGACCGCTTCAACCCCGAAACCAGGGCAGCCCCGGCCGCAGCTACCATCCCTACTAGCCCGGCCGGACCGGTTGGCCATCACCTCGGCACTCTCGGGCCTTTGGGCCCTCTTAGTCCAGCCATGTTCCCGCCACATCCTCCCCCCCTAACGGCCCCGGGTGCCCCGGCCATGCCTATGGTCTCCATGCCTCCTCCTGCTATGCATGGCGTCCCTCACCCGCCCGCGATGCTCCGTCACCCCATGGAAGAGGACATGTATCACCCAGGCATGCATGGCGCCCTTCCATCGCATCCAGGTCCCGCCGACTGGTACGCCCCAGCCAGTATGCCGCACACCGGGATGCCGAGCATTCCTCACCCACATGCTCCTGACATGTTGACGGGTCCGACGACTGCGACTATGGATCCTCTTGCTGTGGTATCTCCCCGTACGCCTAATTTCAAGAGGCGACTGAGAGAGCATCACAAGATGGAGCCTCCACGGTCGAGCGTTCTGGCTGGGCTGGCGGGCCCTGGAAGAGGAATGCACCGTGTGTATGAGTGGGTTAATTATGTTGAGCCTGGGCCACCAGACGCTGAGCCGCCTGCCACGGTGGTTTGAGGGGTATATTCCGCTCTCTTCATTTTGTCTTGGTCCCTCTTTTAGGGTGTCTCTCAATATCTATCTCACCTTCGCTTATTTTTTCCATATTCGCCAATCTCTCTTCTTGCGTTGTTTCTTGCGTGGGACTTGGGGTCGACCAGTCTGTCGATCATTTGCTAGCATGGTGCAAACTATGGATGTTCACGACAACAGCGATAACGACTACGATGATTTGGGTACGATATGAGGATGATGGATGAATGGACGATCTTTGCGTGATATATGGCGATGATTATACAGCCCATGGCAATGCTTATGAAGATTGAATGAGTCTTGTGATGACTGGTTGATGTCGGTATGGTTTTGGTCTCTGGTAGTATCTGTTGACTAGGTCGTCTGTTGTATACCTCCTGCACCATGATCAGTAGAAGCAGCAAAACATAAACTTGCGTTTCATGCCTTCACGTTTAGGGAACACAACTGAAAGACCAACAGGCATCTTGGGTGATATTATTATACTTGCAAAACTATGTACCATTCGCCCTGCTGTGTCCTCGTTTAGTTAGTGGGAGCCCCCCCCCTTCCCTGTTGCCTTCACCGGAAGGTGCAAGTCCAACACTACACTCGATATATTTGACCTGGTCATCCATCACCTGTTTGATTCATCTGGCACATTGTCTCTGAATAACTACAGGAGTCCAAGATCCCTTAACCCGCAGGGTTGAAGGGCTTTGAAGACTTCTATACATTTTTAACCCAATTATGGGACAATACCTAGATAGGTATGAACGCCAACCAGCAGGCAAAACCAACACTTTTGATGTCTGGCCCACCGCTATCCAGAGGTTTCCTACACACCGCTCTAAAGATTATTTCTTCTTCGGTTTTTTGGACGGACGCGCGTTCTTCTCCTTTCTCCTTTCCTTGAGCTCCTTCGCCTTGCGAATGTCACTCTCCGTCTTGAGTTCGCGCCGGTTGCCCTCCCCATCCTTGAACTTGCCGATGCGCTTCTCTTTGGCTTCCGCCACGCGCTTCTTGCGGACCTCGTAGTCGTCACGCCACTTGTCCGCCTCCTTTGGCGCTTTCATCTGCTTGTGCTTGAAGCGCGGGCCCGATGGCAGTGAGAAGTTGCGCACCAGGTTGGCCTTCTCCATCTCGCCCACCTGCGGCAGCCGTCCCAGTCGGTGTTGCTGCCTCCACTTTTCGAAGCGGCCGCTCTTGAAGGATGCTGCTATCTTGACACCGCTCTCTCCACGTATCATCTTGACGCCCTTAGACCCGTCATCGTCGTTGGCCGTCGACACATACTTGCTGTGTCGCTTGTCCCAGCGGTACTTAGGTCGGCTCGGCAAGCCAAAGCCCTTGGCTCCCTCGTCGTTGGTAAGGTCCATTGTTGCGTCACGGGCGGCCTCGACGAAGTTGGAGCTCCTGACACCGCCCGAGTGGACGCCATAGGCGTGCTCTTCGGCTAGACTAGTCGTTCGTGGTGTGTACGACATATAGACTTCTGGGTCTGCGAAGGAGGTCTGACCCTTCTTTGCCTTGGCACTGTTCGTCACTGTGACTTCCAGTTCTGATTCAGAATTGGAGTCAGAGTTGGAATCGTGCTTCCAAAGCACACTGTCCTGTGTAGCGCCATCTTCATCCACAGACTCTTCTTCTTCTTGACCCTTCCGTTCAGCATTCCCTACGTGGTCGGGAAGAGCTTCTGCATCGACCATCTCAGTATCCTCGTCCTGCTTAGGAAGCTTGCGTGGTCCAATTCTTTGTCTGAAGCTCCGTACAGCCTCCGCAGCCTTGTTCTGCGAAACCTTGCCCTTGGGACCAATCTCAAAGATTGTCTCTTGTGGCTTGTAACCGGTAATTTTGGAGAGGAGGTTGTCACGGACCTGCTCTTCATTGGCCGCTTCTTCTCCAAAGATAGCATGAAGTTGGCCCCAACCCTTGGACACAATAACTTCACGTGCACGCTTGGCACTTTGTGACGAAGCTGGATTTCTAGTCTTCATGTACAGCTTCTCAGCCTTAGCGGTGACTCGCTTGAGTGCGCCGATATCTTCATTCTCATGGAGGACCTTATTTACCCATTCAACGTTATTCTCAAGTTCGACCCTCTTTAAGGAACCGACCACGATGTCGCGGGCAAACGATGGATCTTTTTCCTCTCTCCCTAAGACAAGCCTCCTTCCAAGGAAGAGCTGGAGATCTAGGAGGTAGGGGAGGTCAGACTCCCTAACAAGAGCATAGGCCCAACCACGTTGCCCAGCACGAGCCGTACGACCAACACGATGGACGAAAATCTTGGGTTGAGGTGGAAAGTCATAATTGATAACGTTTGCAAGCACGGGAATGTCGATACCACGTGCAGCAACGTCCGTCACGACGAGGATATTAGTCCTCCCTCGCCTAAAGTTATCGACCTGGATCTTCCGAGCAGTCTGGTCCAGTGAGCCATAGACGTACGAGACCGAAAAGCCTGCCAGACGTAGGAGATTCGAAATATATTCAACATGGTGCTTCGTAGCTGTGAAAATAATGGTTGAGTGTTCGGTTGGCTTTTCTTTAAAGTTCGGCTTATCAGAACCACGCTTGCGCTTCTTCGACTTTGGCTGTTCTTCATCGTTTTCGGACCGCGGAGGGTCTCCTAGGGGCATCTTAATGATATCATACAAGATGTGGAGCAGAGCCCCCTCTTTCTCGCCGCTCTTGACCGAGAAAAAAGCGCTTTCGAGATCGGGAGACACCTTGGTCTCAGCATCCAGTCTGACAAGGACCGGATCTTGCAAACCAGCCCTGGTGAATTCGACCAGGGATGAAGGTAGAGTGGCCGAGAACAGAAGAGTTTGCCTAGAGGGAGGTAGGGCATGCAAAATTTCAGTTAGTTGAGCAGCAAAGCCCATCTCAAAAAGACGATCTGCCTCGTCGAAGACAACATATTTGATAGAAGAAAGGTCGAGGGACATCTCGACCTTGAGATGGAGAAAACGACCTGGAGTCGCAATGATGATATCTGGGTTTGTCGCCATCAAGCCAAACTGCTCTTCCAAACTATCACCACCAACAAGAAGGACAGTTTTCAGGTCAGTTCCCTTGCCGAGCTCTTTGACAACCTTTAGGGTTTGCAACGCCAGTTCGCGGGAGGGCGACAAGACCAGAGCTCTGGCACCAAACCTGGCGCTGTGAGCCTTGAGACGTTCGATCATGGGAATCACGAACGCGGCCGTCTTGCCGGAACCTGTGCGAGCCATGCCGACGACATCGCGCCTCTCGAGGATCAGAGGTATCGTTTTGCGCTGGATGGGGGTCGGGACAGAGAAGCCCTTCCGGGCAATCGCTCGCAAGAGATTAGCATCGAGACCTATACATGTCATGTTGCGTCAGCGATGCGCGCGAGGTGATGCGAATAAAGAGAAACAAAACACTGACCCATGGCTTGAAAGCCGCCGCCCTTCTTGACCGTCTTGCCCTGCAGATTAGAGGATTTCCTGTTGGAGCTCCGCTGGTGCAGGTCAATGAAGGCCTCGTCGCCGCTGTCGTCATCAGAACCGCCATCGTGAGTAGCGTTGAGAAGGTCTCCAAAGTCGAGATCTGTAGCAGTACCAGGATTCGCCTTGGGAGCATCAGAGTCGCTGTCGAGTTCGTTCGCAAACAAAGACCCTGCGATGTCGACCTCGTTCTCGGACGGAGCCGGAGATACCGCCCGTTTCGGCATGATGGCGGCCAACTTTCTTGAATATCAGAGCAATTCGACCTAATACTGAGATTGATGATTGGGGCCAACGCTGAATGAGCGTTTCTAGTTGTCTCAAATCGAATGCAGCATCAGAGCGTCGCATATGCGCTTGTCTCGTTGCTGTAAATTTTCGGACGCAACGGGAGGCCGGCGGGCTGTCATTTTTTAGTGGGGCAGGCTCTTATCGCTAATCACTATGCTTGGCGCGCTTATCGCCCGTCCTCTGCCGCTTGCTTGTGAACGCGAGCCGCTCGCGAACCATTTTGGACTTTCGCCAACACTTCCGGTATACCATCCACCTCGATCAAAACAACCACCTGTGACCTGGGACATACTACAGAACTAGGCGGCGCATAATCATTGCAATCGGAACTTCATAGCTACTCAGCCCTCGATACCATAGCAAACGTACCCTACAATGGCGACTCAAGAGACAAAGGAGCCCACAGTGACTCCACAGGACGCAGCCATACCAGCGCCGCCTGCACAGCAGCCAAAGCAACAAGAGACCAAGACAGAGGAGCCTGTCGACACTCGTGATGCACTGGAGCTTATTGAACAAGAGGCAAAGGAATGGGAGAAGGTGTGTAGTGGCCTATGCTTTGCGGGTCAGGGGACCAGTCGTTGTTCACTGACAACAAAACTGTCAGGATGCTGAGATCGACCGGATTCTCAAGGCGTTCCGACTTGATGCGTATGTCCTCTGCTCCTCCGTTTTCTCTGCTACTGTTTCCCCCCCCCCCCAGAGTCGCAAGACCATGTCTAATCAGCGCAAAACAGCTACGCCGTCTTGGGTCTTAAGCCAGGCGTGCCCGAGTCCGATATCAAGCTCGCCTACCGCAAGAAGTCCCTTCTTATTCACCCAGACAAAACTAGAAACCCCCTAGCACCAGAGGCCTTCGATCGTCTCAAGAAGGCACAGATGGAACTCATGGATGAGAAACATCGCAAGATGCTAGACGAAGCAATCGCTGACGCGCGTATGTTGGTACTTCGCGAGAACAAGTGGACAGTGGATAGCCCGGAACTCAAGACGCCGGAGTTCGAGCGCCTGTGGACAGAGAAGACGAAGTGGGTTTTGATCGAAAACGAGCAACGGCGGCGTCGCCAGTTGAAGGCGCAAATGCAGGAGCAAGGCCGCGAACAGCGTCGTCAAGAGGAGGAAGCAGAGGCGCGTCGCCGTAAGCGCGAGCATGAGGAAGCGTGGGAGGCCACCCGCGAACAGCGCATCAATAGTTGGAGGCAGTTTCAGAAGTCCAAGGCCGGCGGCAGCAGCTCAGAGAGCTCGGAAAAGAAGAAAAAGAAGAAGCTGAAGCCCATCGGCTGAATTTTCTGCCTGATGGTTTTGTTTCCAAGAACTGGTGTTCATGTTCAGAAGAGACTCCTTCAGTTTACTCAACTCTCTGCTCTGTGAGTTAATGGCGAGATGGAGGTCATAGTTTTTGTTGCTTGGTCCTGACACTTCAAATCCGAAAGGTTTTTTTATTATCTAGATCGCATTCCGAAACTGAGCGCAGCAAGGACAACTACCCGCCAAATGTATGAAGATCCCTCGGTAGAAAGCGAATGTACTCCAGCATTGATCATTGACCTTACATAGTTTGGTATCCTAGTGAGAACCGCACCCCCCTTTAACCCCCCGGCAACCGTCCACCTTTCCCATTCCTTCATTTGGGGGCATGCTTCTTTTTATACTGAACAAACCTGCCCAAGTTCAACAACGCTTCATCTGCTCTCGTTCTCAACTCCGGTTGCGTCCTCTTGTCGATCCCCTTCGTCAATGTTCGCATCTTCGGCAAGAACTCCTCGAGATGCTTGAGGAATCCATCCTTCCAAAATACCTCTTTGTCACAAGCCAACTCTTCATCTCCGTATATGTCAAACAGCTGGTTCAATGCCTCTACGATCTCTGCCGGCGGTACATTGTTGCTTTGACGGAGCAGAGTCACCAGGAAGACGCCAACTTCGCGATTCACCTCAATCGGCGCTGGGTCATGGGCCAGTGATCCAACCACACCGATGCATTTGACACCAAGACCTTGAAACGGGTCTTCCGGCTCCTCGATGCTATTGCTGTTCCCACCAGCTTGCTGCTTGGAGGAATGATACAACGAGATAAACTTGCGGTGGGGGTTGCCGTCAGTGGGTGTTTCGCCATGAAGCACTCGGGCCACAGCCCACGCGAGACTGGTCACCTGAGTGGCGAGCTTCAAATCGGCGCTGTCGGCTTCAAGAATGGGCAATATTGTTTTGCGCCAGATCTTCTTGGCAGTTGGGTACCACGCGTTGTGGATATTGGCGTTCTCTCCATTGGCAAATTCCAGGCACGAGATGGTCCAGGAAATGTTGTTGAGGGCAGACAGTGCGTGAGATTGGATGGTCAAGCTCTCATCACTGTCAATTGGAAGGTTAGACAGGCGAATTAGTTGTGGTACGGCCGTCTGGATTAGCTCCCGAAGTGTCGGCAAATCCTCCAGGTCACCGTCGTCTGTGCCATCTGCCCCGACAACACGTTCCATGTCGGCTTGCATTTCCGAAGTGATTGAGTCATCGTCATCATCCTCGTCATCCTCCTTTACATCGATTTCCTCGTAATCCTCCTCTTGATCCTCTCCAGAAGAGGACTTTTGGTCGACATCCATGGCATCGCCATCGGCATCATCGAAACCGTTCCATTCTTCATCTGCAGCAGATATTGGTGATTCCCGGCTACCTTGATTCCCCTTCACGAGGGTCTCCTGGAAATCTGTGCCTATTGAGGCGAGAGTCACTAGTGCTAGCAGGGTGATATTTGCATAGCGCGCATCACCATTAAACTTTGCCCCCCCAGGTACAACATGTTCGAGTGCCCGGGTCAGGGTCGGAATGAGAATGGCGTCACATGCTCCGTCCTTACCGGGGCTGTGATCCATCCATTGGAGTGATGTAAAGACGTTATGGAGAACACCGCATGCCATAACCGCCCTTGGGTCCGTCCCAGTTGCAAGCTTGAGGAGCACATCATAAACATGCGTCTCTTGGTCATCAGTTATGGCTTGGCCAACTTTCAGATTATCCTCCGACAAGGTAGTGAGACATGAGATGGCCTCTTCATAAATGTCTTGAGGCGCGATGTCGGCCGATATAAGTCGGAAGAGCAACCGCAAAATAGTTTGCTTGGTAGCGACGGCCTCGTGGATTTCATCGCGCGCCAACGCGAGCAATCCAATGAGGACCAAAAGAGAGCCTGTAATATCCCATACCAGGCGTTGCTGTGCCTTCAATAGCTTTGAAAATGGTGGCTCAGAGGTTGTAAGGGTTTCAAGAACCTAGGTACATCATCAGCTACTGGATCAAAACCCAAGGGCCAAGCTACTTACTGCCTTCGCTGCATGCTCAATGGCTGTAAGCACATCAAGGCGGTAAAGATGTACACAAAAGTCAGCTTCTTCCTCTTGGGCGAGGACCTTCAGGATTTCCCAGCCAGCAGCACGGCTGTCGATGTTGTTATCTGTCAGGGTTTCAGTGAGGACGATATGGACCACTTGTTCCCGAAGAAGGAGCTTTCTGCATTTCGCATCCTGGACAATATTTGCGATGGCGCCAGCAGCAGTGGTCCTTGATTTGGCATCAGGGCTTTTCAGATCCTTGAGCACTGGCAGGATCTTATCCTCACGAAGTTTTGCAAGCTCAGGATCGGTTGGCGGCTTCACAGGCTTTGCGATGGGATCTGTGCGGTTGCGCACTCTGTTTCTGCGAGTCTTCCCCATGTTGCTCTGACAGTAATGAATGAAGCATATGATTCAATCAACTTGTTGATTATGTGATCTTCTGCACTGCAAGTCGAAGCAAGTATTGTAACTTTTCGGCAAGAGGGTTGAGGCCTGCACTGCCAATCCCTCCGGTTGCTGAGGTGAACTTGGTATTTTCAGAAAAAAAATATGGTTTTACATCGAAAATCGGCCCCGCCTGAGCCCCACCATTCCCGCGCACCGGCATGAAGCTCTGCAGAGCAGCTCCATCACACACAGATGCACGGTGGGGCAAATGTGGGTCCTTGTTACACAGACAGGGGCCTAGTGCCACGTTTCTTACAGGTTGCGCAGGATTCCAAGCCTCCATCGCCGTACCTTGTCCTGCGATTTGGATGTACACACCTATGTTGGAACGGAAACCCATGGGCCTTGTCTCCCAATTTTGTGATGTTGCTGCCCTGAGCCATCCATTCAAGCAGTGTGGCGGACTTGCCGGTTCTTTCAGCTGCCATAGCGCTCGTATCAGTATCCTACTACGCAGTGTATCCAGGCTTGTGGACCAGGACTCTCGAGCGTCGCCAATCCGATGAGACATCAGGATTTGAGGCGGCGTTGGAAATTGAGGGTTTGAAACAGTGAAACTGGCAGCCATCAACCTCAGAACATCACAATATCCTTGAAATCTAACCAGCGCCGCTTTTTTCTGTCGCCGGCAATGAGGCACAAGATGACTGCTCTTTTCACAGCTCAAGATGACTTTGGCAAGAAAGATGACGATCGCAAACCGGCAGCCGGTATGTCGACACAAATAATTTGGAGTCCGGTGAACCGAATCGCGCCTCGTAAAATGATTAAGCGTATTATCCTCCTCCTCGGAACTGGCCTTCTCATCTACCTCTTCATTCACAACATACCGACTGATATAAGCCCTCGAGATCGTCGCCATCCCGTTTTTCTGCCCCCTGAAAAGTCCAGACACAGGAACCCCCCGAGGCCGGGGCCTATGCCACAATTTAAGCCTGGAGGGCAGCCGTTGAAGCCCAACACACCACCGCTGGATCCAAAAGTTCTAGAAGATCAGCAAAATGTACCCAGAAGCTATGATGGACCTATCGTGTTTCCAAAGCTCTCCTCCTCACTGAACGCCATTTACGATACCGACGGTACGTCGATGATCAATAAGAATGTTTTGTTTGCCGCAGCAAGCTTGCAGAGCGCAAGTTTGCTTCTCCCTCTGGCTTGCAAGATGGGAAGTGAGCGAAGGAACTATGTTCATTTTGCTCTAATGGGAGGAAGTTATATCACGCTCGAGGATCTTCGTGCTGTCAATGGCATTGGGGATGGCTGCCATATCATCTTCCATGGTGAGCCTTGTAATCCTACATCGCAGTCGTTCGGCCTCAGAGAATTAATCATCCCGTTTCTCATTCAGATGCGCGTCCAGACTTTCCAGCAACATCCACGATTGAGCGCTTGAAGAAGAGTGTCGGAAGTGCCTTATGTGAGTTATAAGTCCCGTCGTTTGTGACATCCAGCTGCTAATATCCTGGTCAGACCACATTATCAACTACATGCACCCTCAGTCCATCTTCATTGATTCTTCGGGGGCAGAAAATGACTACCTTCTCGCGGAAATAAGGAGAGAGGCGTCTATTTCGGGCACTTCAGTTATAGAACTACCAGCCGATTCTCTGTCCAAGCTTTCTTGGATTGCAAATTTGGACAGTTCATCACTAGCTGGTAAGTTATGAGCCTAATCAAGCTTTGTGTCGATCCCTAGTTTAACTATTTGGTAGCCTGGAACAAGGTCAACATTGACATCTTGATACACGTTTCACCTGGAACCACGGGAAGCCTTGTCCACCTGCTGAAGTCCTTGTCTAAAGCGGATTACTCCGTAGGCCCGGTTCCCCGTCTAACAATCGATTTGCCCGCCAACATCGACCCTGTCACCACAAACTTCTTGACAACATTTCAATGGCCCCCGAGGAGTGCCAACGGTGTATCCCAACCACAGCAGCTAATCATCAGGCGTCGCATCTCCCGGGGCAGACAAACGGAGGAGGAGAGCACTGTGCGCTTTCTCGAGTCATTTTGGCCCATTAATCCCAAGTACTCTCATGTATTGGTCCTGTCCCCTCAAGTTGAAGTATCTCCTCTATTCTTTCACTGTAAGGCTTTCCGCTCCATGTCTGCCTTTATCGCTGCTGACAGTCCATTCCAGACCTCAAGTATGTTACACTACACTACTTATACTCACGGCCTGCGACTATTCAGCAATGGGACAACAGGCTTCTTGGTTTTAGTCTTGATATCCCGGCCACATTATTGAGTTCTTCAGGTCTATTCAAGCCCCCAACGCGTCGAAAAACATCCGATCCATCGCATAGTGCCGATGATAACACTCCATTCCTGTGGCAAGCGCCAAATAGCCACGCCGCGCTGTTTACTGGACAGAAATGGATGGAGCTTCATATATTGGTTTCGAGAATACTCAATCTTCAACGATCCAGACAGCAGCTACCCGCTTTCTTCACCCAAAAGATGGTCAGCAAGAATTTCCCAGCATGGATGGAGCATGCACTCACCCTCTCCCGTGTTCGGGGCTATTGGATGCTTTACCCAGGTGCGAAAACTGCAACCAAGATCGCCACATTTCATCAGGAATTTTATCGAGCTCCAGAGGAGTTTGAGAAAGAGCTCGCCAAAACAACCCCGCAGTACTCCGAACCCCGCTTAGACCAAGGTGCATTGTTTGAGACCCTACCAGGCCGCGGGAATCTATTGCCATTCAGCGACATGCCGTTGCTGTTTTGGGACGGCACACCTACGCAGCTTAAGGTCTTGGACACAGCTGCAGCAGACTATGCAAACGAGTTTAGACGCGCTGTTGGGGGCTGCGAGGGGCTGGATCCTGAGGAGCTCGTCCCAAGTTCTTCGTTGCAGGACCTATTCTGTGTGGAAGATGAATGAGCTTTCGAAGCCATGTTATGTTGTCTGTATTGTCAGTGCCCATATGCCCGTCGGTTTATATGCTGGATATTCTTTGCCTGGAAGGGAGGGGGTTATTGCAACACTGTTACAGCAAGAGTTTGAGACTTTATTCCCTATCTGATGATATCAAGAGAGATACCTTTTCGTTAAATTCGACTTCTTCCTAACGGTGACGCGAAGGGAAGAACGTCGTCTTCTATTCTTCTGCATCTTGATTCAGTTTGTTTACCACTAAAAGCGTAACGCAAGCTCCCACAATGCATAGTGCGATTGCAGCCATAACCTATGACCTATCAGCATAAACTTCTCTTGATGAAGCCGGACTCGAAGAGTTGTCTATTGAGTAGTCCATACTTACCACCTGTGTCCTCCATCCGCTTTGTACAAGCGCCGCTCGATGACTATACTTGTTGACGGTTTCTAACGAAGCACATACTGTCAATAGGAACATTCAACATATGGTGACCAGGAATAACAAAGTTTGTGGAATCGATACTTGTGTAGTTAGCAAGGCCCACGCCCAGGCAACTGACAGACAATGCCCAGAAGACGGCGCCGAGGGGTTGTGCCATTCTTAGCTCGAGTTCAGTGGCTGTTTTGCGCAAGTGGAATGAAAGCACAATGGCCACAGCTACAATAGCCATGTAGATTGACAGGCGCAGGTATGAGAGAAAAGCTGGACACTATTAGAACCGAATGCCGTGTTAACAAGAATGGTGGACAAATCTTACTCCTCTCATTGGCGCAGTGGTCGCGGCAGTCACTCTGCTCATTATCAAAGAGCAAAGGCCCGAAAAATGGAGGCATACAAAAGACATTCTGGAGAAAACCTTCTCTATAGACTTTTTTTAGAGTCTTGTTGTTCATGGAATGATTGGGTGATGGTTTGCTTGTCTCATCCTTACTGTCTCATGGTGGACACATCAACGGGCTTGTTGAGAGATGAGAGCGCGACACAGCAGGCGGGTGTGCCATCTTCCTCATCGACGTCAGATCTTGTAACAGGCGTTGTCATGATTGCTATTCAAATGATATGGATAACCAGTATGGGTAAGTAAGTGTACGGAAGGATGCAATCTCTAAGAGCTGTGGGAAATCCTCTGAGCTATGACGGGATTTCACTCATCAATTACCCGCCAGTCATGGCAGGCATTCCAGGTTAAAAGCCCCACAGCCGTGTGCTATCGAAGTACCCGACACACGGCGGCGACCACATAGGCTAGGGGGAGCTCCGAAAAGTGAGACCAGCGTCTAGCGTTAAATTACTAATATTGTGATATGAAAAGCATTCAAGAGATATGTTTGGGTGTTCAAATCGGTCCAAAACGCTTGGTGGGAAGTCCAGTTCCATATGTGTCCTGAGCCAGCAACGCCTGCAATCACAGTGGGTCTCTGTATCAGTCGAGTGTGCTTATCGGTTGGTCTCTGGGTCCATCAAGCAGCGGGGCATGCGTTTAATGGATTTGCCGCTGACCGCGTTGATACGCGTCTGCCTTCTGAAGACTTCACCCCGCCGTTCTCCAACCCGAACCAGATCTTGTCAACTATCTGTCCTAGCAACAACCACCCCATCATGGGTACGTTCGTAGTTAAATGACTACACCTTTATTTTATCAGAACTGCTTCGAGTATGCTGACTTGCTTCAAGCATCCTATGCAGGCTATGCAAGCCAAGGCTACGGTGCCCAAGGCGGGGAAGACGGCGGCGGCTTCATGACCAGCTCCCAGCAAGGGAGCCAAGGAGCTACCAAGAGTGTGCGTACGCTCTGCTTGTTTCGGTGTCTTGTTGGATATTTGGCTGAATTATGTAACAGAAATATGCGGAGGACACACTCCGCCCGGTCACAATCAAGCAAATCCTCGACTGCAAAGAGCCGTACCCGGGCGGCGACTTGACTCTTGATGGCGCTCCTATCTCGCAGGTGACGTTCGTCGGGCAGGTGCGCTCTGTAAATGCCCAGACTACCAACATAACGTATACGGTGGACGACGGCACTGGGATGATTGACGTCAAAAAATGGATCGACGCCGACCGTATAAACGACGAGATGAACTCGAACAACCATATCGTTCCGGACACATATGTCCGTATTTTTGGCCGTCTCACCACGTATAACAACAGAAAGCATATTGGCGCGCATTGTGTGCGCATCATCCGAGACTTCAACGAGGTCAACTATCACTTGTTGGAGGCTACATATGTTCATCTGCTCCTGACCAAGGGTGGGCCCCAAAGGCCAGGCCAGACTGGTGCTGCAACTGTTGGGGACATAGGAGGTGATAGCATGTTTGTCGACCAAGGCTTCAATAGTGATGTTCAAGCCAAGTTAGCTGCGTGCTCGCCGGCAGCGAGAACCGTCTTCAACTTCCTGGCTGATAACCCAATGGGAGGAAATGAAGGCGTGCATGTCAACCTGATCGCGAGCAACACGCGCTTGTCCTACCGGGATGCTCTAGATGCTGGGAATGAGCTACTATCACATGGGCTCATTTATTGCACAATGGATGATGAGACGTGGGCTGTTATGGAATGCTGAGGTAGCGTTAAGGGTTTACCAGTGCTCTCTAAGATAATTGTTGGCAGGTGCATTTCGTGAGATATTAAGGCGTCAGGCTGGCTGGGCATTACCTCTTTTCAGCGGATTTGTATACTTAACAGGCCCTTTCTCATCCTATCTGATAATCAAGGTCGAGGTCCGTTTGGGGCCAATTTCATTCCCAACAATTGACAGGTGCTAAGTTACAGTCAGAGTGGCTAACTTGACAATCTTGTTGGTTCGTATGCAGGTACCGAAAAGTCTCATAGGTAAAAGCCGTCTCCCAGACAAGTCAGTGCCGCAAGTTGAATGCGGCACGAGAGTAGTTAACGGATGCGTTGAGCTCATCAACCGAAGCAAACTAACGTCACCTAGACATAAACAGAAACTGGACAGTCAATCTTAGCGCTGCACCATCTGTCTCAAAGATCCTTCAGCCCCTGACAGGCTTCTTCGTGGCTGGATTTGAGCTGGTAGAATAAGCGGTACTCCCAGGTGCGCGGGGCTCACGAACCATGATCGAAAGACGGACCGGCGCCGGTCCACGCTCAAGGAAGATTTCTCGCTTCACCTCAAAGCCGAACTTTTTGTAATAGGCGTTGTTGGCGAGCGAGCTCGACTCGAGGTAGATCGGACGCTTTTCAGCGTCGGCCTGGTTTGGTAAGAATCAGTTGGCCTACCAAGACTCAAAGCTCTGACGGAGCAAACTTACCCTTGCTATGACGTCCCTCAACAGTTTCGAAGCATAGCCGCGACCCTGCGAGCTGGGCTTGGTCCCCAGGTAAACGAGGTACCACGCGTCATCATTCCTGTCACCGAGCACTTCGGCCTTGGTGTTATGCAACAAGGGCAGGATTTCCTCGAACAAGCGCTTCTTCCCCTCAGGCGAGAGTTGGAAGTGAAGTCTCCACATACCGCTCCGAAGCTGAGTCCAGAACCCATCCAGGTTCTTGCCTGGAGGCACCCTGTATAATGAATGATTTATCAGCCTCTTTCTCGGTTCAAAGGAGGCAGTTACGCACAGAGGAAGGCAGAGGACAAGATGAAAACAACAAAAAAGACAGAAAGGCCGAGAAGGGCAAAAACAATTCATACCAGAGAGCGACGCTATCAAACTCCGGGCCGACAGTCGTGGCCAGCCCGCTCATGACGTGCGCAGTTACTGTGTATGTGAGGATGTCGACATGCAGCTTCCACTTTTGCTCGGCCGAGACACCGTGCATGTCGCCGGAGTCGACGAGGTACTGGGCATAATCATCAGCAGCAAAGGCGTACGCTAGAGTGAGCGCGGCCTCCCTACAATCTGACATCCCGACGACACGCACAGTTTCTTTCCATCTCGGTGGGATCAGCGAGCGGCGCTTCAGGGCCACTGTCACAGTACTGCTATTGGTGCTCGCACTTGTGCTGGCGGTCTTGGTGCTCACAATGCTGCCGCCGGTGCTAGAGCTAGCACTGCTGGTGCTGCTGCTGGTACTGGTGCGGCTCACGGGCGACGCCATGTTGGGCAATCACAATTCAATCTCCTACGCAAAGTGTCAGAATTGCCTAACCTTTTTTGGGCTGAGGACAGAAAGACGGGGTATACGCACGGTTGTTTTGATAATATATTTTGTATACTATCTCCGGTGTGGACTCTCGAGAGTTGTGATCTCGAGATAGGCATGAATCTGGCGGGATGGCGCAGGCAATTGAGGGCGGTACGAAGATCAGCAGACATCAATATCGGCTTAGCTCGTCGACAGGTTATTAGGGTCGGGTTGTCTTGGTGAAGGCTGAGGTTGGTGGTTGACGCCGAGCCGTCCAGACGTTTGAGTTGGTTCCTACAAGGGGTTACACAGGCAAAGGCACAAGCACACAGAGCAGATTGGTTTGATGTGGCTGTAGGATGATAATCTCGAGTAGAAGAGCAGACAGGCAGGCCTAGGCCACTAGCAGCAGGCAGGTATGCCCCCAAGTTGAAATGACCCCCTTTATGGGGGTACTGCAGCTGGTCTGACGGAGAGTGCTTTGTGCTATCCAGAGACGGCAATTGTGTCTACGAGACAGAGGGGGAAAGAACGACAATAAGATGGGGGACGGGGGCATAAGTACCTTCGATATTCCACCTGGGATAGCCTGGGCCATGGCCTTCCGAGACAGGTCAGACAAGTTGGGGCAGGTATTAGGACTTGAAAAGACCAAGACAAGACCAGGGATCCGGCATCCCTCAAGGCAACGAGGCGGATTGCTGAGCATCAGGCTCCTACGTACGCTTCACTATACTAAGTAGGTACTTACACTGCACCGGGTTGGCTGTTGTGCTTGTGCATACACTAACTGTCGTGTACGAGTGGTATCTGACGGCATGTCCTCCTCAAGAACACCCCATGTTTTTGTTACGTCCAGGGAAGGGTGATACAGGGATGTGGTGACCGCCTTGAGACGAGCAGCGAGAGTCAAAGGCGATTGGCTGTCACTAGTCTCATGGCAAACGGAATAGGAAAACAAGCAGCAGCAATCAACCTACGAAAATACAGTAGCGTATGTAGTGTCCGGCCTACTTGTACTGTACGTAGTGGGGTGCTTGTAGACACCCCCCCCCCTTTGCGGCAGACCAGTTCATCTTTTTGACGTCCTGATGTCCTCCGCTTTCGAGGGACTGTCGCTCCGAGCCGGAAGATAAGTTCTCGGCGGGACCTAGCCAGCCGTCAGACGTCTGATCCGGCCTCCAATCTGCGTCCACGACCACGAACATGGGCCGGGGGGGGGGGGCGGAGGCCGACGTGGCGGAACGGTTCCACCCATGGCCAAGGCCGATAGCATGGGCGTCTATGCAGAACGATCAGGTGACACCCCTCAGATATCCTGGGGTTTGCAGTTGTTCGTTGGCTGGAAAGATAGTGGCGTCATACCGCAGGATGGGGCGAGACAGAATGTTGGCGGACACTCCTCCGGCCCATCCATAGGGAAAATCCATCGTTACAGCACGTTCTTTGGTTCATCTCTCCCCCACGAGAAGCTGCAAACCTTGTGTGACATGCGCCCCTTTCACTCCTCGTATGTATGTACATATGTCTATTCTCTCTGGTGAATAGATCTTAGCCATTATATCTACCGGTGTATGCAAGCTGCTGAAAAGGGGAAGCAGGGAGCTCTCGCGCGGCATCTTGTTTGCCGTCGCAAACGGAGCGGATATCTCAGGCATCAATTAGAAGTAATTAGTAAATTCCAACCCACTGGACTTGACTCGATCCCACATGCCAATGCTCACGACAACATCTCCGTTAAGGAGTTGGGATGTTGTTCGATCTCTCACATGCGCCGGATCTGTTGCTCGTTCTCGAACTTTTCGAGGCCCGATTCGAGGTGCGCCCACCACTCGAACAGCATCGACTGGCAGATGAGCTTGAACCAAGGAGTGAACTTGAGCGTCGGGTCCTGGAACAGCTGCTTGAGCTCCTCGGGCGTTACATATCTCGTGGCTTGGACCTCGTTCTTGTTGATGTTGAGATCGACATTGGCCTTGATGAAGAGGATATAATCAACTGGGCGGTTCCCTGTTAGCGTCATCGGCACCAAAACAGCAGGACACACAGATCCTCTGGACACTCACTTTCGTGCTCACCCCATTTCCCATCGCTTGGAGCCTTGTAGTGGATACGGGTAAGAAAGCGGAACTTCTCCAGAGGGACCTGCTCCTTCTTAATACCAAGCTCGTGCTCGAGTTTCCGCTGGGCAGCATGTTTGACGCCCAAAATGGCGGCCTCGAGAGTCGAGCCCGTCTCATTCGAGACATTTAGGGGGTGGGAGCAGCAGGTATTCGTCCACATGTTGGGAAAAGTAATCTTCTCGGAAGCACGCTGTTGCAGGAGCAGTTCATTCTTCTCATTGAAGAGAAAGACGGAGAAGGCACGGTGCAGAAGCCCCTTGTCGATGTTTGTCATAAGGTGGCCTGCCGATGGTGGACAGTTGACGGTCAGCATCCTGCGCATGACTAGAGCCAGACAATTCTGCCCTCCACTGCGGCAAGGGTCATATGGCAAGCGGGAGTTGAGACGAGTCTGTTTAAGCAAGACTTACACAGCTTCTTGCTAGCCGTCCCAATTGGCACGTCATTCTCGTCCAGCACGATGCACACCTCGTCCATCAACCGGATCTGCTCCTCATCATGGCCCTCCAGAGCCTCAGAGCTGGTATCGATGTCGGGGAAGAGACGGAGGATGTTGTCGGCCGTAATCCGGGTTTCGGTAGTCACGGTAGAAGCAGCCATTTTGCTCAAAAAATATCCGTTGCTTGCAGGTTGGATAAAATTGATTTGCGCGACGACGACGCGAAGCGTGTTTGTCCCGTCAGAAGAAGCGGAGCGTTGGCGTTTAGGTTGGGAGGGGCAACAAAGATAAGGAGTTAGGTAGGTTCACTCCAGCTGTTGCCAGTTGGGGCTCACCACTAAATTTCGGGCCCGAAATCGACTTTTTCCCTTCTGGGCAGCCACCGAAGGGGCCAAGGGCCAAGGGCTGCCGAAGCACGGGCCCCGGTGGATGCTCTGGGCTCCGACCACCCGCGTGTCAGCTTAGGGCCTGGGGTCCGGGCGCCAGGGGCAGGGACCGTCCGCTGCGGAAGCTTCCTGCTCAGCAGTTGGGCACGAATGGTAGGATCCCGGAAACCAACCCGTGGCTGGCGAAGGTCGGCAATCCATAAACCTCATCAGATGCAAGCACACAGTGTTATAACAGCCCGGACTCTAGATATGTCAAGAGTTGCCAGTCTTCTTCCATCTCCATATGACTACACTTTTTCAAGTCAATGAATTTGAGCGTTGATACAACAAACACCTTGCGCCGTTTGCAACTACTGCGCCAGCAGTAGAACCACCATCGCTTGACCAGGTCTTCAGTTGTTTCTGTTTCTCTCTTTGCGTAGCCCAGGAAAGCAAAGGAAGACAGTGGTAACCAGATCATATCGACATCGTCGACACACTCTATCTCAGTGTCTGAACCTTCGCACATTCCACGGAGGAGGTTTAAAGTCTGAACTTTAAAGTTCTACTTCCGCAACCCTACACGAGTGGACGACGTTCATCGCCCTTCACCCAGACCTATTCCTGTGTTCGGCCTCTTTGGCCGCTTGATGCCAGTCCACGCTCCAGGCAAACCAATATTCTGCAAATGCAACCCTATGTTAAAAGCTGATTAGTACTGCGTAACTCTGTCACAAAAACATTTTTTCAAAGAAGGGAAAAAAAAAAAACTTACATCCCCAGTCCGAGGGTGACGCCGATCCAAAGCCCCTTGAGCCCCCAGTCCAGGCCAAAGCCCAGGCCGAACGAGATGGGCAAGGCTACCAGATAGTAACATAGCAAGTTGATATAGCCACCGAACTTTTGTCGTCCGATCCCTCTCAGCAATCCATGAGACACCGCAGCCATTCCGTCGAACAGTTGCATGAAAGCACACACAGGAAGAGTATGGGCTACGATCTCGATCACTTCGCTATCTTTTGTGAACAACAGCGGGATGCGGTAACGGAAGACTGACACCATTGTCAAGTTGAACAGTCCTACCATGACTCCGCCAGCAATTGTCTATGTGTCACGCGTTAGCAGCCCAGTTCGCTCATGTTGGGCAGTCAAGCCATTGTCAAGGCAAACTCACCACCTTCGCTGCCGTTCGTGCAGCATCGACAAGTTGGGCCCCAATAAAATTGGCCACTCGAGTTGAACCCGCAATGGACAATGGGAACGGGATTTGAAACGTGGTTGATGTTACCGTCACCAACACACTCTGCGCTGCCAGTGTGGCTGTTCCGATCCTTCCTGAAGCAAGAGTCAGGATTTCGAAGGCAAACCACTCTGCCACCACCATCACCATTCCGGGGAGTGCCAGCCTGATCATTGGGCCCCAGTTCCTGAAGGCAGCTTTCCGGAAGCCTCCCCAAGCCTCAGAGCCTTCTACCTTCCACACATAAAGAAGTAGAAGCAGGGGAAGCATATTTTGCGTCGCCGCCACCGCCAATGGGGCCCCTACGAAACCCCAGCCGTACTTCCAGACGAACAAGTAGTTCATCAGTACATTAGCTGGAGCCGCTATCAGCAACACATAGGTTGTGGCATGAAACAAGCCTTGTGCCTGCACAAATCTCTTCCCAGCTTCAAAGCAAGCATACCCAGGGGTTCCAAGCAGGATTACCCGCAGGTACGTTGCGGCAAGCGCCGCACTCTCCTTCTGAATCATGCTTGCCAGAATCGGCTCGATGTTAAGCCAAACGATTGAGATGGGGATCAAAATCAGAAACAAGAAGTATATCATTCTCTGCATCTGCAGCCCCACCAGGTGCTTGTGCCCAGACCCAAAGGCTTGAGCACACAGCGTATCCAAGCTGGTCGCGAGACCCTGAACTGGGGCATAGCACGTAATGCTCGCCGTCATAGAAGCCAGTGACACAGCCCCGAGCTCGAGCGTCCCAAGCTTTCCAACAGCAAAAATGGACGTTACATTGAGCGAGTACTGCAACAGAAAAGTGACAATGAGCGACCGCGCATAGGTGGCAATCGTCTTCGCCTCCCTCTGCCATGTTGTTTTGATCTGTCCGGCCGCGACAGCAGCTTCCCACTGCTCGTTGAGGGCCCCATCATGCAAATTATCTCTTCCATTTGCTGAGGGACGACGTTGTCCCAGCAGGGGAGACGTCTCGGATGGGGCAACAGCTATACACGACCGTTGCGCTTCTTCATCCGACAACGGAACTTTTGTGCTGAACACGCGTTTATACAGCGTCTGAAGCCACCCAAGAAGTCCTTCTCTTGGGGGTTGATATGGATGTTTCGGCGGCAGGAGATGGTTATCTCGCAACAATGACCGCTCTGCATCACGACTACGCGCCCTCTCGGCACGGGTCAGCACCGGCGGATCATCTAGCCCTCCTGGACCTGCCAGTGCAGGCCTGGTAGCCCCAAATGCAATGCCGCTTGGCCGACGGTACAGCGTCGGACCGGGCATAACGTCTTCGTCATCTTCTTCCTCAGCTCCTGAGTCAATTGCGCAGTTCTCGCCCTCATCCGAGCAAGCAGCAAGGTCTCGGGCCAACATCTCCTGCGCTAAAGGAGAACTGGAACGGAAAGAAGCTGCAAATCCTGACTGAACGTCATGCAGGTGGCATTGATCCCTGCTGTTGATAAAAGAGGACGGCTTCTTCGTCGGGATTGGCTCGCTATTGTCATTGAAGGTCATTTTTTGAACGAGTGCAAGGGGTCACGTTAGCTTGACAATCGAAGCATCAGTGACGGAGAGTTAGCCGTTAGGGCTGCGGTCCTGTGGGTGGTGCGTGGGTTGACACAGGTCCTGTTGATGCTTAAAAGTGCCGGAGAGCAGCGGCCCTGCGAGGAATCCAAAGTCAAACTGGAGTTACACGAAACTGGCTGGTCTAATGCAAACCTCGCGTGTGACCTCGTATACTGGGTCCGTTACGTGACAAATCTAAAGCCAGACGGATAGTAGCAGGGTGTCAAGGCGAACAAGAGGTGAGTCGCGAGGGGAAAGGTTTACCTAGTTCTTGTTCAATGTCGGGGCTCAAATCCTCTAAGAATTCCGGGCTGTTCCCGTCCTTTGACCCTGGGCCCTAGTCTCTCAGCCTACAGATCACGGCGGGGATTGAGTCAGGGGTCGATGCACGTGCTGAGCTCTGCAACGTTTCTTAGGCCGTTAGATAACGTTCGTCTACACTTTGATCGCGCGAGGTTCGTTCCATGGGAATCCCTTGGGTAAGGTAGGCTATCCGATGGCCCTTCTCCAAGAGCGGCTGCAACCGGGCCGGTGCTGCAGCGTGGAGGTTTTTCCAAGCTACAACCCTAACCCGATATACATACATCCGTCTGTAGGCGGTTAGCATTGAAAGGTTACCGAGAAGGAGGGGTGTTTTCAAGGCACCCTTGACGAAAAGCATGGGGCTATTATCGCCCCACCTCTGTGTTGTGATAGGAAGGCGGTGTACAGCTGCAAAATCTATGAAATTCCCAGACTTGATCATCGACCTCGGACTGTTCACATCACCAGCCAACCCATCCCATTAAGCCAATTGTGCGCGTTCAAGATGGGGAAGAGGCTTGCTAGAGCTCTTGATGGGCCCGCCGTGCCGCGTAAGCGACTCAAGGTCGTTCATGAGGCACCAACGTCGGAGGAGGTAAAGACAAGCAAGCAATTGCAGCATCTCCTGTCATTCACGCCAGACACTGCGCGCGCAAGGCATGGTATGTATCATTACAGTTATCAGCTTCTGTCCTTGTCGGCATCGTTGATTGAAATTTTTCCGTAATGGTCATACAGAATTAACATTCGTGTCCAGGTCTGCAATCCTTTAAGCTTTTCCTCGATGAGCTCCTTCATCCTGAGCATGACCCTGAACGCCTCAGTCTTTTAGAGGCTTATCTGGAAGCCGTGAAACCAAACGCAGACGATGAGAACCCAGTCTTCTTGCCAGACATCATGCAGCTATGGAGTCATGCTGCCCAGACCAACAACGAAAACATCATGTCGGCTGTCCCGGTTGTCCTTGATTTACTTCTCAGGCTGCTCTCGAAGACTCTCGACACAGTGCCCTACGGACTAGGTATCTGCAGGACCCTGCTTCAGAAGCGCCAGCAAGAGCTGATCGCTCGTAATCTCTCTGCGGATAAGAGCAAGTCCTTTATCATCTCCCCCACTCTCCGGGTATTGAGGGAAGCTATTGCTTTCGATGGCGGTACTATTGCAAGGCCGTTGTTCCGAGCCAGGGCAAATATGCTCAAGTCCCTGGCCCGAAACATGGGCATTGTTCACATAGGTGACGAACCGGAGGATGCCAAGCGGCCCTCTACTCGAACCAATGCCGTCCTCTTCTTCCTTAGCGCCCTGCGCTTCCTCCATGCCGAAGCGAAGAAGGAACTGCTGTCTCAACGGGATATTGTCTCTGCCCTCACGCGCGACATCAAGCAAGATCCCCCATACCTGGTCAAAGACATCCTTGACGGCCTCAAAGTTCATGTTCTTCTTGATGACAAGCTCCCGCGCGAGGCCAAGTCGGCACTCTTGAACGCCTCAACGCTCACCCGACTATCGACTCTTTATCAGTACCGCCTAGACTCCCCCGGAGAAGACGAGATATCAATCGCAGATATTGCGCATGAGTTTCTGATGCTTGCATGCACGAATCCCTCCTGTGGAGTGTTAAGACAGGATTCAGGCTACTATCCTCGTGAGGTTGATCTTAACGTCACGATTCCAGATGCTGATATCGATGACCTCGGATTAGAAGCGATTGTGTGGATGAATAAGTTCAAAGCCGAGGTTCCTGTCAGAAATTACACCTTGTCAAATTTCTTGCCGAATCTACGGCCGTGGTCGAGTGTCAAGCAAAGCGAGCTCATCACTGCTATCTTCAAGGTAGCTCCTGAGCTGGTAGCCAATTACTTCCTCAACAATAAATCATTCTCCTTCGAGCCAAAACTCTCAGCAACATGGATCGGCTACGCGGCATTTCTCTTCAACATAGTCACACTTCCCATTCCGGCGCATTTTTGCCGGGGGTCGGACTTTGCCACTCTTCCCCCGCCTACCTCAATTGTCATCGATAACATTCTCCCTCCGCCCCTAAACCAAAAAGCTCTCACACGGTGTCTCAACCACAAGTCAAACCTGATCTCATTCTTCGGCGTTCGAATCCTCGTTGTCGCAATCGAGAAGCTTGACCAGGCCATTAAGCTGTATCATGAATCGTCGCACACCAACAAAACAGCTTGGACTGAGGCTGCTAAAAGACTGGTTGACGAGTTTTGCCAGCGGAGCCCCAGCATCAAAGACATGATCAATGCATACCGCTCAATACCTGAGGCCAATCTTATGCATCGTGAGGCAGCAAGCAGGCTCTTGCGCCTGTGCTATGAAGTGTTACCTCAAATGGCTTTGATGGCCAAGTTCGATGTTTCCCCGCTATTGGAGACATGCCTTCGCCGTTTGTCCTCTCAAGAGTTGGATGACCCCCGAGACTTTGCATTAAGCCTGAAGGAGCTAGAAAACCTGCTCGCTATTGCTGGGTATTCACCAGGCATGCGCTGGCTTGTCGCCTCGGAAGGTCTCTCTCTTTCACCTTTCACAATGCTTTTGAAAGTCTGCCTGGAAGCTCCGCATGGTGTAGCCCTAGAGGCAATTCGTCAGGTCCTCGATTTCGTGGCCAAGGAACAGCAAGTGGTTCCAGCGAGCGACCACCATCCTGGACTGCTGGTCTTGTTGGAGGCGCTACAAGCTTTGGGCGCAGAGAAACCAGAGTCGGTGGTTCAGGTGTGGCCTTTCTTAGACAATTGTCTTACACGGTGCGCAAATGCACCTGTCAAATATGTTGAAAAGTTGCAGCAGATCGTATTGGAGGGAGCTAAAACTCTTGACACAGGTCTTTCTGAGGCGGTTGTCAGCCCGCTCGCAATTGTCATGCTGGAGCAATTACCATTTGTTGCAGCCAAAAAAGACGAGCAAGACAAGCTTCGGGCTCTTGGGGAGTTTTTGCCCAAGTTCTTGGGTTATTCTGTCACGTCCGGGGAAAGCAAACCGGTGCTTGATCTGATATTCTGCAAGATGGCTGAATACCTACCTGATATCAAGGACAGAGTAGAAAAGCCTGGCGTTCTGGGCGGCCTGGTATTTACATACAGCGATTGGTCACGACATACAAAGACCTCTGTCTGTACACAAAAGTCAGAAAAGAAGCCGATAGCTAGCTCAGAGGAAGGCCAAGGGAAGGAGACCATTGACCTAGAAACTTTGGAGGCCATGCTTGATGTCACAGACGCTCTCAAAGCAGACAACTCGGCACTGACCAAATGGATATCCAAGACGGTTGATGAGCTCGTTGATGAAGGCTATCTGACAGCACTTATCTCCCTGCTTGTTTCGGAACATGCTAGCATACGAAAGGAAGCCCTTGTCAATATCTTGAAGGCTGCCGCTAAGATTAAACAATCCGAGTACGAAGAGAAGGAACAAGTCTGGTTGCTTCTCTCGGAGCTCGCTGAGACAGCAAGGGACAAAATCAACGACGGGCCGCTGCCCAGCACGACGGTTTCTTTTGCATGCCATGCACTCAATGTGCTGCGCGATCCACTTTCACATCTATACCCCAAGGTCAACACATTCTTGATCCGCGGGCCATCTTGGAACCTCGACAAGCCGCCGTTGGTGACGGAGATTTTGTCAGAAGACCCTGCAATTGGAGATTCGTGGTATGCCCAATCGGGCTGGCTTTTAGAGTATTTACTGGATGGGCTGCGAACACCGAGCGACTTTGAATTGTTTCACAAGAAGCGGCTCAAGGGGCCGCTTTTCGAGAGGATCTTGACCCTGGCAGCCAATCCGTATCTGCGGGCACCGCTGCGCATGCAGCTCTGCAGGCTGATATATCGCACGACCAAGATCGAGGGGGGCAGCACTACACTCATTACTCGACTTGGCATCATGAGCTGGCTCGAGGCTAGGGAGGCTGATTGCCTAGACCCCAGCGAAGCGGTCATTTACGCTGGATTGCGGGAAAGGATATGGGATACATGTGACCAGGCGAGGGTAAAGAGTTGGAGCAAAAGCGGCTTGGGGCATAAGGTTTAGTTAGATACCTACTCTCTGGGTTTAGAGGGCATAGACACAGATAATTTATATTTATGTGCACTTGTGTGGTAAAGTGATTCGAGACAAAATATGGCCCATTTTTAAGACCGGCCAGCCAGTTCATGACACGCCCTACCACGGATTTGGTCATAATTATTGATTGGTATGCTTGACCACTCTTGATGAGTAGTCGGCTCCAGCTTTGTACCCCGCGCCTTCATTTTTACTAATGGGCGAGATTACGGTCTGCGTCTATGTCCTTCCTCTCAAGTTTCAGAAAGAAACACAGGGGATGAGAACATACTTGTTAAGCGCCACCAAACGTGTTAATTTTGCCATTTACTGCTTTGCTTGCCACTTGTGTTATGGGGATTTGCAAAAGTTTGAACATCAGTCTCACTGTCCCAGTGTCCCTCGGCCTTGTTCTTGGAGAGCCGCTGGGGTCTTATATCCAACGACGCACGTCTGTGGCGGGGTTCGGAGAACCCAGGAGACCCACTGTCCTGGACTCTAACTCTCCAGCGTCCAGGACCCCAGAAAGCCTGCCTCCTGGAACCTCTGTACCCCACCGCCACCGTCTCTCGATATCTGAACTTTCAGTCTCCGGGGGCCACTGCTCATGCGATTTCCAAGGTTATGCTCATAGAGAATATGATTTCAGCAGTGTGGCCTCGCCTCGTGTGGCTCTCCCACTTAAGCAATTAGCGTGCCTAGGGCCCGCCCAACGCCCGCTTAATCGAGGGTCCCGGCCGAGCGAACCTAGCCTACCACAGGCGGCAAACATGGCAACGAAAGCCCAAAACCAAAACCAGTCTAGCGAACAGTTGAAGCTCCCGACCTCCATACCTCCATAGTTCATACCACCCGACCCCAACCTGGATTTTGGATTCTTGACCATCTCCAGAACAACGCATCTCTCTGGCTTCCTTACCCACCTTTGTTGAACAGAACAGCCACAAAATCGCACAAAAAATACACTCTCTCAGGACGGAGAGAAGAAAACAAAACGGAGAACAGGGCAATTTCCATCGCACACTCTGCCCTCGCCGAGCCTGCCCTCTGCCCTGTGCCTTATGCCTTCTGCTTTCTGCTCTCTCCTTTCTGCCTTGAAGCTGCATCGCACCCAATTTGTCGTTCGCCGCTTTGCATTTGGGCCGAGCCACACTCCCCACGAACCTACCTACTTAGGTACTTCTCAAGCGACAACTGATCACGTCCACGCTTCCGACTCACTTCCAAGTCCCTATCGACCTCTTCTTATCTCCGATTAGCATTCAGTATCACAAGGCTTGACTTGATCCTTACCGAGAATCCCGACACTGGTCGCATGCGACGAAGCCATCGCCGCTACGGATAAGTTGGTGGTCGTTTCTTAAAACGACATCATGGCGCTGCGATACTCAGCAGACTTCCTGCTGTTCCTGCGCCAGTCGCCGCTATGCGTCAAGCCGCCAAACCTTCCTCCTCCGGAGGAGTGGATGGGGTACGTCGATGTCTTTTAGCCTGCCTTCGATGCTGTCAACAGTTTTTGTTGCGGCGCCTTTGCCGCCCACGATAGCCCCGCGCGAGCCATAGCCATAGCTGACTATCTTTCCCTCCCCCCCATCCCTTTGCTTAGGCCACCACCCGAGACAATCCGCAACCAGCAGAAATCAGCGAATGACCGTCTGAAAAGCGGGGAAAATGCTTCTTCGCTGAACCACGAGAATCGCCGCCCTCCTCATGACCGGAACGGTTCTCGGAACACATCCAGTATGCACGCCTCTCCTCTGTTTCATACCCGTCACTTCACCAAGCAAGCAGGATCGGACAATAACATGCTGCCCGCTGCTTGGCTTCTCAATAATGTATGCCTGTCTTGGCTGACCATCCTTAGACCCAGACGATATCATCCTTGGCCCTCCCCGGACTAGTTTTGCATCAGCTACGTCTGCCCGCAACAGCCGATCTGGCGATGGCGAGAAGGGATTTAGGGATTCAGATCGACAGGATCGCGGTGACCGCTTCAACTTCCGCAGTCGCAACAACGACTCAGAAAACACCAACGATCGGTTCAGCAGGGAAGGAAGGGACAATCGGACCAATAATGGTTTTCGAAGGCGAGGCGACCAGGATGATGGCGAAGGTTGGAGCACTGTGAAGCCACGCAAGAGCTTCGGCCACGAAGGCGCCGAAGGCTTCCATGGACGTATGAGCGGCGGTGGTGCTGGCAGCACTGGCGCCGACCGTTTTGAAGTACGCGAGGATCGGAGAACAAGGGACCGTGACCAGGACGGTAGCGACCGCCGCAACCGCAACTACGAAAACCGTTCGCGCGACCAAGACGGCGATGAGGTTGACGGCGCGCGTAGAAATGGCCCTGGACGGAGCAGAACCGAGGGGTCATGGAGGGATTCTGCCAATCGCAACAACTCGAGCAGCACTAACAATGCTCCCATGTCCAATCGGGAGCGCATTGAGAAGGCTAAGAGCTGGCGTGATAGAGATCCGGATGATAGGCCGCACGACCGGTATGGCGATCGCAGCGAGCGGAACTACGAACGCAGGTGGGATCGCGACCGCCAGAACCGTGTCGAGAACGAACCTGAATGGCTAGACGAACCCGCCGAGGGGAAGCCCAGTCACGCCCCGACCGAAGAGGACTTTAAAAAGTTCATGGAAGCCATGAAGGCTAAAGCAGGCGGCCCGACGAGGTCGGAGGAGAAACCCAACGTCACGTCAGACAAGCCTGCTGCCGATACGGCTGCCGAGCCCGAGCAGAAAGTTGCCGCCGCACCCCCGGTCGACACTGGCCCAGACAAATTCTTTGCTACCTATGGCAACGTTACCCTCGATGTTGTTGCTGGTGGTGCTGGAGAGAGTAAGGATTCGGCGAAACCCAAGACGGCCAAGTCATCGCGGTTCATGGCCTTCCTGGCACCTCAAGAGGACCGCACCAAGCCCGAGCTTCCAACTCCGGCCGCGGGTGGTGAGAAGTCATCACAACAGAGCGATGCTGAGAGAGAGGCTTTCGCTGCCCTCATCCAGAAACTACAGAGGTCAGGGTTGAGCTCAGGGATCCAGCCAAGTTCGAGCGTTCAACAGAGCGCACCGCCTCAGACTCAACCAAGCATCAACAACTACCCTGAGCCGCCTCCATTCCCGGAGATGCAACGGGGCATTGTCGCTTCCCCTGACTCCTATCCTCAGTATGCCAACAACGAAAGACATGATGATCCACGCGTTCGTACGTCTCAACACTCGATCCACGATATCATCTCGCCACGACCAATGGGGCCGACCGTTCACCCCCCTCCACCGGTGACACGCCCTGAGCAAGCCTTGCAGGAGTTACTTGCGCAGCGACATCAGCTCCCAGCCCAGACGAACATTCGTGCGGCGCAGAATGCTACGGCTGTTAACAGCAATACCGAGTATCTCATGCGTCTCATGCAAAGCCATCGCGACACCTCAGAGCCGCCGCGTACAGAGCAGCCATTTGTTAGAATGCCCCAGCCCACCAAACAAGTGTCGCTGGCCAACCTTCCAGATCGGGATCCTGACTACCAGCGCGAGCACACCGCTTCCCAACGCCAGCCACTCCCCCGTCAGGGCGGCCCTCCAGGCTTCTTGGATGAGAGCCAGTTCCGTCAGAACGACGTCGATGGCCGCTCGGGTCCGCAGCCGACCCAGATCCTTCAACGCCCCCCTCCTCCCCCAGGCCTGGACCAAATGCACATGTTCCATCATATGGGCGGCGTCAACCCTGGCATCGGCCCTGCTCCGCAGGGAGGGTCCATGCCAGGCCCTCAACGCCCCATGATCCCTCCCCCGGGCCTCATGAACAACGGGCCTCGCAACGTCCCCATGCCGGGTATGTATCCGCCCAACTTCCCGCCTCCTCACCATGGCCCAGGCAACTTCCCTCCTGGCCCTCCTCCTCTTCCTCATGCAGGCGGCCCACCTCCTCCGCCAGAAGGTTTGGTAGGTCCCGGCCCTCCTCCCCCCGGCCCTCCGCGCTCCATGCAGCCGCCTCCAGGCTTCTTCGGTGGTCCGCCCCCGCCGGGCTTTATGCCCCCTCCCAACATGGGTGCTGGCGCGGGTGGTTTCCAAGGCCCGCCGGGCCCGGGCCCGGATGGTCATCCGCCGCCGCCCCCTCCTAATGCTGGTGGCCCTCCTGGCCCGGGTGGTTTGCCTGGGTTCGGTGGAATGCCTGGTCCTTATGATCGCATGGGTGCTGCTGCTGCTGTGGCGGCGGCCGCCGCGATGGATCGGAGGGGAATGTTGCCTCCTCCGGGGGCTATGGGGGGTTACCGGCCTTAGGAAGGACCGTTGTTGGTAGACGACCCTCGCTAGTTGCAACGGGTCTAAAGTTGGTTGGGGTTGATGGGTTGAGGGTAGCAGGGGGGAAAGAAGAGATTAATAAAGATAAGGGAATGAGGGAATATGGGCCTTGAGTTAAGGCCAGATTATGGGAAGAGGACGCAAGGTATTGTTTGAGAAGAGTTAAGGGGGGTGAAAGATGTTGAGGGAATAGGAAGGCGCTTGTGGACAGTAGCGAGGCAGTTGGCGAAAGATTACTGAGGAAGTTGATCGGAGAAGTGAAGAAGGCTAGGAAGCGATAGTGTCGAGGTTTGGGCGTGGCAGCCGAAAGTGCTGTATAAGATTTGAGTGTTGTAGGAAGATGCGGGTGAAGTTGTAACAAGCTTGTAGTCGGAACGTTCGTTTTGTTTTTCCTGGGACCGTGATATGAGTGAAGTGTGATGCGCGTCTTCGGTCTGGTGGGCTTTGCTCAGCCTAGCATTCCCTTCGGTTATATCTTCTCGTCAGGGTATACAGTTATGATGTTGTCTATCCCTGAAGGTTGGTCTCTTGATACCGATAGAGATAATCGAGAGCCTATGAACAATTTCCTAATTGTCACTGCCCATGTCGAGCCAAGTCACGGCAGATATTCTTATTATCAGCAAATATCGGCAGATATATAGGCTGTAGTGCTCTTGTAAATAAAGTCATGTTTTGCATAAGTACACTAGCCTGGGCTTTCAACACAAACAACTCCATCTCTCAGATAATACATCAACAACGCTCGAAAACGCGGTAAAGTCCCTTCAAGTTCGCAACTTCCACAACTCCTTCTTCCATTAACGACTTGGTAGCCACCAACCGAGCCTTAAAAGCCGGAAAGAGAACATGCTCTACCGCCCTGCGGACATGAGCTCGCCGTGCCTTGATCTCCTCGTCAAGGTCCTCCTCTTCAGCAGGATCCCCAGGGCTAGTTGGCAATTGTTCAGGAACGTAAAAGGCTGCGAGCTCCTTGAGAAAGCTCTCGAAGCATGGCTTTTCCTCCATCCAGTTAACATGAGGACCCAGGCGCAGCAAGAAGCGCGGTAACTTCGCAATAGACGGTGTGTAGCCCTTGACCATCAAGGGAATGCTCAGCAGCTCACCGGCTGGGGAGATTTCTAAGGAGAAGTACTCGAGAAGCATCTCGCGCCGCTCGATCAGCTGTTCTGCAACCAGTTCAACGAGCTCTTCGGTGTCAAAATCTTCATTTTCGTCATCGTCCGCAGATGAAGACTTTTCGAACTCGGCAGCCAAAGAGAGCAGCTCTCTCAGATCAAGAGGTGGGCTGAATTTTATGGTGCCAAAGTTACCAAAGTCTGTTAGTCCGAGCTGGTAGAAGTATTCAAAGCATACGCGGCCATAGTCGACCAAGTACAACTTCACCCCCCCCTGGATAGCGGCAAGACGGCGGCGTTCGTCAACAATTCCAACAAATGTGTGGTTGGCGAAGATTTCTGTCAGCTCGTGGTGCATATCTTCTCTGACCGCAGCACGTAGTTCTCTGACGCTAAGCAGCCGGCAAACAACGATGTCGCGGTCAACTGTCTCGTATTCGAGCATCTCGGCATTGACGTTTTGATAACTTGGCGGCCCGACTTTGTTGTTAACCATCGACACGGGTGGCAACATGCTGGTGATTTTGCGCAGGTTTGTATCGGTCCTCACTAAGTTACTTTCATCTGGGCGAGCCGTAAACTTCCTAGACATATGGCTACCATTTGTCTTGGAATGACCGGCCACCATCTGCTGAGACTCTGCGATAAAGGCCAGTCCGGTTCCTCCGGGGAGAAGACTCTGGGTTACGAATGTCCTGCTAGCGTCGACTGAGGCCAGCTTTTCGCGTAGATTCTCGCAGATTGCCTGGATAATCTCATCCTCGTTCAAAAAGTTCACTTCCCTCTTTGTAGGATGAACGTTGACGTCTACCCGACGTGGGTCGATTTCGAGGCTCAAGTACACAAAAGGGTGGCCGTTCTTGGGAAGAAAGGACGAATAAGTCTGTTCGATGGCCTTCTTGATATTTGAAGACTCAACACACCGGTTATTGATGAACAGAAGAAGGGTAGTCTTCTTGGTACTGTAGTTGGCATTTGTAGCATAGCCACTGGCCTTGAACCCCCAGCGATCATCAAAGGTTGAAAATTCGGTTAACTCGTTTGCAACGCTGCTTCCATAGATCTGCCGAATTCTGTCGATCCGTGAAGAATCGGCTTGGACGGCAATGCTTGCGCAGGATTCGCCGTGTTTTTTGCAGGAAAAAGCGACATGTGAACAATGGATGGCATAGCGGCCAACCATGTCAATGATCTTGTTGTACTCATCCGAAGGTGAACGAAAGGCCCGTCGGCGCGTTGGGACGTTGTAAAAAAGATCCTCAACCGTGATCTGGGTACCTTGCCGCCCAGCTGTCGGCTTTGGGTCTGGGGATTGGCCCGGCTTTGCGGGCACCAGTTTCCCTCCCTCATAGTAGGCCCTCCAGGCAGTAGGCGAATGACGCGTTTTGGTGGTAACTGTCAAATGAGAAATATGACTAATGCTTGCGAGAGCCTCGCCGCGAAAGCCATATGTGGATATAGTCTGAAGGTCTTCAAACTTCTGCAATTTGGATGTGGTAAATCGTTCACACAGGATGGGCAAGTCCTCCTTCTGTTGATGTTGTGTAAGCCAGAGCAACCCAAAAACTCATAGGTGACTTGGAGGAGACTAGGGGGTTTGCGCACATCAATACCACAGCCGTTGTCTGTTATCTGCAGCAATTTCAGGCCTCCTTCTTTGACGAGAATCTCGAGAGAGGTCGAGCCTGCATCCACGGCATTCTCGATGAGCTCCTTCAGTGCATGAACGGGGGCAACAATAATCTCTCCAGCAGCGATCTTGTTGACTACATCTTGATCAAGGGCCTACGCAGCCTGTTCTTAGTGTTCTGTATGGTAGTATCAAAGCGAGAGAGGCTGCCTAGTAACGGACGGAAGGATGTTGTCGGCGAACCAACCCACCTTGATGCGACGAGGCGTGGGTATGTCGTCGAGAGCGTCTGCCTTTCGCTTTTCACAACGCGGAGGTACATCCGTGTGGATGTCAACATCCATAGCATCAGTCATCGTGATACTCGGTGGATGTCACGGCAATACGGATCAGTATAAAACAAAGACGCTCCTTCTAAGTTCTGACGAAACGGAAGGGCTTCCAATTCAATCCAAGATTCGGAGTTGTATGCGGGATAACATCACTCGGGTGACGATGACAATTTAGTCTGGCTGTAAAATTGTCTCCATACACATGAGTATCCGGGGCTAGGCAGACAGGACATCACTGGCAGTCAGACGTGTTGCTGCTTCCGCCAAGGGAGCTTTTGGCTTTCGAGACAGATGAGCGGAAGTCGCGACAACGGCAGCCTGCTACGAGCAAGGATCAATCAGCCATTCCGGATTTGGATTAGCTCAGCAGGAAGGCTATAGTCTTGGCATCCCCGTAAGCTGGAACACTGCCCCGCCCCCCACCGAAGCCTTTCCCCACTTTTCATGATCTGAGCGTTTGACAGCGGCGGCCGACGTGTACTTCACGCTCCTCCTTGGTTTCCAGTCTTACTGACAAAGATTGCACGCTGTCACTGCTCCAGAACCAATATCAGGGCATGCAAACAATTATATTACAGTTAATCTTGACCCTCAACTGCGTGGCAGGAAATGACCGGCTCGACAAGTTGACTATTGATTCGCTCCCTACGGTCAAGAAGCACAAGAAGGAACAGTTAGGTACTACGCCTTAGATAATAATAATCTTTGATCCCCATCATCCGCTAATTGACACTGCAGTTCCAACTGTTGCCCCGTCACTCCCGTCCGTTTGCCATCGCCATAATCCCACCACCGCCTACGTCTCAGCTGAGCACACTTATATATACCAGTTGGGTGGTGGCTGCATCCCTGCCAGGTTCCCGATCCCGGTAACATCTCGATAAAGTTACATTTCCCGCCGGTTCCGCCCTCGCTTGCATGTTCCCGGTAGACAAGTGCTTCCGCGGCCGCATTTCTCCTTCTGTCAGGCTTTCGGATGGGCGCCCGCCTAGGCCAAGCCTTGGCTTGCCTTCCATGCCAGGGCGCGAGCATGTGCTTAGCTTCTCGCTATTGCGCCTCATCTTCATAGTTATTTGGTTGGAATTGGCCAAAATGAAAGCCTACTTCGCTGTGACATGCCTGCATCTCCCAGGGGTATAAATATAGGAGCAGGCTATATCTCTAATAGCGGTGGCTCGTCCCAGTCCTCATTTAAACTGATCGCACAACACAGCAACTGCTTAACTAGATGTCTTCGTATTTCCTACCGAGTCATTATTATGGACACGAAGCGACATCAGAGGACGAGTTTCCACACTTCATCCCCGCACAAACTACTGGCGAGTCACCCTCGTTTGTTCAAAAACAACTTGATAGTCCAAGCAACTGGTAGGCTTTCCTGCTGACTCAAATGTTAATTGGATCTTGGACTCATATAGATAAGTTCGACCATCTCCCTCCATATTCCTGCAACATTCCATTCCCCCTCCGGGATACTTGAGGCCCCCTCGACACGATTAGCGCGTCCTCATTCAGTCCAGCCATCTCGACAATCATCGTTGTGTAATGATACGGCTGCCATTGAAGACATCCTTAGAGATCTCATCACTGAAACTTCTGAAAAAGATACGAAACAATCCTATCGAGGAGTGAAAAGATCCCGTGATGATGAATCAGCCGATGAGCCTCTGGCCAAGCGAGATAAACTGAGCGAGGAGCTGGAACTTATGTCGACTCACCACCTGTCGCCACGATACATCACACTTGAACCTGCTTCTGTCTTGAAAGGCACCGACGAATTGGTCTTACAGGTTGAGCGTTGTCATTCAAGACCTGGAAACACTCTTCCAATCAGGAATCGAGTGTCCCAATCGCAGCGTGTACAAATTACCCAAAGTATACCTCGGGACGACTTTGCGGGTTCGAAAGTGGATAATGGCAAGGCCGAAGGCAATGACTAACTCAAGAACACAATGATTGATAGATAGTAAACTGTGTTATTTCAGATATCACAGCACTGATAAAAACATAAGTGTGGAGGAGGACGAGCAGTCCTATACATACTTACGTACTTGGATAGGGGTGTAATATGCATTAAGCCTATCTGGTAACTTTTCCCCCTTAACCTGTGACGCAGGTTGTTTTCCGATACAAATGTGACAAAAAAACAATGGCTTTCGTAGATTTCATGTGTCTAAAATGGTTTCCCATCTGATATCTTCGGTTTCTATAATGATTGGCACAAAAGGCAGCTCGGCCGAACATACAGCAGCACCCAACCAGTCAGGGGCTGATCATAAACTAATCAACTCGGGAGCCAAAACGGCCCGATGCACATAAGATGCCGATCCATCGGTACCCGAGCCACAATTTATCGGAAGTGAATAAATTGCCGATGTGAATTACATATTAATTTTCCGGATCCCTTGCTAGGCACCCTCGTTCTCTATAGGTGCATGCTTGAATTGAAAAAGTGGCAAGTTATTTGGATGTTAAGAACAGAGATGAACACCGCAGAACACGTCAATGCTTCCAACGTTCCATTTCTCCTGTGACACGTGTATGGATATTGTACCATGTGATCCATAATTCCGATCTCCCTACAACTCGAACTGTTTGTGTGTTGCCCAAAGATTCATTGCGACTACTGATAAAATTGGATGGGAATGTTGTCGGCGACATCGGCCTTATGATGCTTTGAGCACGTTTCTTTCCCTCTTCTGTACTGTTTACAAATAAGAGATTGCACCTCATGCTGATACCAACCACATTCCTGATCAGCACCTGGATCATGACTGCCAACAGTTCCAGAAGGCTGGATGATCATTGGTGATCGCCGCCGAAGCCGAATCCTTCCCAACATTAAGGCAAGCGAAATTACTTGGACACTCGAAAGCAGACATGGCTAACTGAAGTTGAGGGAACATTCAAAAGAACCACCATGTATGCACTAACTACCCTCACCTCTCCCTAAGATCTTCATCTTACTCTTGCTCTTTTCACTACTCATGAGCCCTTGCTAGTTTTCGTTAGAGAAGGTTGACAAAATGGAAATTGAGGGCTCAAAATCGACATCACTAGGCTCTCAAGCGCCATCATCTATGTCGGAAAAAACGGTGAACTTTTACATTCAACTGCGGCTATATACATTTCACGTTTTGACGTTTATTCGCAGAACATATATGAGATTGTTTGAGAACTGACAAACAGTCATCAAATCAGTGAAAAAAAAAGGGACCTTCATGATGTTGGTATCATAAGCATGGTCACATAAAGGATATGATGGATCACACTTGCCAAAGGAGCTGACTCATAGCATGCAAACGCCTGATATACGCGATTCAACGACTACACGGGAAAAGAACATGGAACCATCTAATATTGCTTCCAGCTTAAATTCAATCTTTCCAAAAAAGGGGTATCGAGAATAGAAACCACAACAGCCGCACTCCGTGCCACTGCCAGAGTCCTCGGCATCATGATATCCATGTATACTAATCAACCCAACCTATGTGATAGGAGAACACTAGATAACGTTTTTTTGACCGGAACCCAGCCTCTGTGTCGTCGAAAAAAAGTCCCAGACCAAAGCAACGCCAAATCATGCCAAGATATGTTGTTCCCCGCGATTCTCCTTGCCCGAGGATCAACATAACACAATTACTTAAATACGAAACGAAGTTGTGAAATCAAGATATACCATGGTATCATGAAAATGCGACCACAACCAATGCAGGTAGCCGCAAGAAAGGAGAAGAAAAGAAACTAAAAGAATAAAAGACGAAGAGAAGATAACGAGGAGAAGGAAGAAATCCGCAGCTGGGGCTCCAACATAATAGGCACGAAAGTGCTTCCTGGATCCGTATTAACCCCTTAGGGCTGTCATCATCTGTTCACGTACATCATGACTGCAGGGAATCCTAAACCCCCACGCCATCATGAAGCATCTTTCGCCGGTCCATGGTTATCAAGCAAACCGTTAATTCCAATCCGAGAGCGTTCATCTCGAGCTTCCGATCGGGAAGTTGGTGGGGCAGGGGCTCGTGACAGCTGCTGGGGGTTAATGACTGGTGGGCTTCTGATCGGGGGGAGGGGCGATAACATCGGAAAATCGCTGCTTTGGACTTGACGGTCGACTGCGAGTGGAAGTTCGCTTCTTAGTGTCTGATAGGAGCTGGTTGCGTGAGGGTAGTCGGGTCTGCTGGGTGACGCTGTATAGGATGTTGGGGGAAACCCAGGGCTCCGTCCCGGCACTATGGTTTGAAGCGGGGCATTTAGCGGTCCGGGTTGTCGGGGTTCATACCCAGCAGCAAGGCTTGAACTGAAAGTTACTGATCGAGGGGTTGGATGAGCATAAGGCTGCAGCGGCGATTCATATGATCCAAGTCCCTCTCGGATGCCCGGTGATGGAGTCGGATACAATGGTTGACTTTCCCGATCTAGCAGCAGAACAACAAAATAGATCGACTCCTTCGAAGCAAGCCCCATGCGGACAGGATATTGACGTCTTTGGCCGTTGTCGGAAAGAAAGGTGAAAACATCCGTCCACGGTAAAACGTATCGAGATAGCTCCTCTGAGCTGAACCCAAGGGCTTGCAGCACTACCCTGCTCCGGTCGCCAAAGATGGGTGGAAGGTAAGCCGGGTCCTTTTTGGTTTGTTCTTGTTGAGCTTGCTGATGCAGTTTAGTGGCTTTGGCTTGCTCCTCAGGAACAAGGACCCTTCCCAGGCTGAGGCCCGCTACAGAAAGACGCCCAATTGACTTGAGGAACATGGTCGATGCCCTCGAGAAGTCAAGTCCTATCGTTAAGAACGCCACGGGTTCCTCCAGCATTCGACGATCCGGGCTTTGGGCGTGTGGTGCTCGTGCAGTCGTTAACGGCAACTGGGTAGCATTTATGCTTGCAGCTGCTAAGACATGCTCTGGGAATCTGGGTCTGGCGGGGTCGGCTGATTGCGATTTCAGTACGCGATAAGACTGAATCCGTCGGAGGGGATCGCTCGGAGGCGTACCCATCGATGGCCCGGGCGCCAAGGCCGATGTCA